CCCTAAACCCTAAACCCTAAACCCTAAACCCTAAACCCTAAACCCTAAACCCTAAACCCTAAACCCTAATTGAACTTAGGACTAATCAACTTGTTAACCCTAATGTTGATATTTTGGGTGGTTTACTATGATCGCATCTCCACATCTAGGCCCTTACCAAAAAAAACCTCGATTTTCAATCGAAAATTCCTCCACCAATAATTGTCGAATCTACTATAGATCGGAAATATACAAAATTCTTTACTGGGAATACAACTCCTAAAAATCTAAGCATAATCCGACGCCAGCTGCTAAATCGACTGGCCGTGTGAAAATTAACTCGACTGGCCGTGGGCCCACTTTTTTCTCCCATACAAAAATGCAAAACCCTAATCCGACTCACCGTCAGTCCCCCTCCCCCCATGGGATAGGATCCATAGCATGCTTTCCACGTATGTACGCTCCTGGTCAAACTCGTAGTTCCCAGATGATCTACAGCCAAGATAGCTCACCAAAAAGCTTGCGACCTCCTCTGGCAGGCATGTTCCCCATGTCTGTACTATGATATCAGTTGATGCCGGGGGCAAGAGGTTGAAGTATATAGCTTACAGCACAAACTAGGAACTAAGGGTAGAATACGAAGTCCTATTGATAGTGTAAGATTCGGACCAGGAGACCACCCCATGTGGTTTGGCACATACAATATATAATGCTGAAATAGTCTATGTCATACACAAAGTGAGCTACTGGGACTTACATGTGCCTGCTAACAGTAATTGTTTCACCGGTAATGAGCTGATGCTGACGTAGATTGATTATCTGTATATAGAACAGGTGCGTAATGCGATGGGGCCCTGTTGGTCCTGTCGTGGGTGTCCTTTCCTAGTATTCATACATGACCCAAGCAAAGTCCTTGACGGTGGAAGAGGGAGTGTAGGTGGCATTCTTCCACGGGTAGGATTAGGTATATAATGGGCCTGTAGAGATAATGATCATATTGTGAGACTTTAGCCCACGATACCCAATTCCTGCAGCGCATCACGGGTGTACTAGAGGCCTTAGAGCTACATAAGCTATGGAGCAAGGATGTTATAATCATTGACTAGCAAATTCCTATCATAGCTCATAGCTCATAGCTCTCTGTGGCCTAGCTGGGGATAAGGACCCATATTACCTTGTAATAACAATCATACACGAATTTGCTGCGGGGGGAAATGGAAATGATGAATCACTAGGGTGAACTACTCGGTGGCACGGCGTCGATCAGGGTGTTCGCTTCAGTGTCCCTGGGTTATCAAGACCAATCAACGTGTGGAATATCAATAGACACCAAGCTCTGGAATCTCGCATCGACGCGGTCAAGGTGGCAAGGGAGCATGGTATCTTGGGCGTGAATGAAGTTACACATGCCCGTCTCTCTACGGACTCACGGCCTCCAATTTATATGGCGTTCTTCTAGGCGGTTGATAATGGCAGCCTGCCAAGTGAGAAAAAGCTACTTGGGCTTGGTTATTAGATATCAGCCACTTCCTACAAATGTAGGGGCTCGGCGCTGCATAACTGAAGACTTTGGACCCGCAAGTCACCTCGCTACTATTTCTTTCAACGGGCAGCACCTATCCTTTCAATCAAGGTATCGTTCTGAAGAGAAAAAGATAAAACCAGAAAGTAACAGTCTGTTTTCCGTGGCCTTCACGGCCCCATTGCGTTCTCGGTCACTCTAACCAGCATGTAACTACAGTCGAAGACTAACTTTTATATTCCGGATAGAAAACATAGTTGCTGGAGATAGTTTTCGTCACCCATCAAGGTCCCCATCTTGTATACCTGACAGTTCTTCCAGGCATGTGGGGCGTGTACGACACCGTATCCGATCTAGCCAATCAATGGTGTTCAATGCTCTGATTTTCATTACCCCTATTTCTGCCAATTTATATGGGGAGAGCTGACTAACTAAAATACAGAACTAGTATATGACTAATTATGGAGACTTCTCAGAAATTATCTCGACAGGGCGCTAGCCGTCCTGCTCAACATGTCGACCATAACTGTCGGTAGGAGTGGTTCGAAGTGTGAACGGAATCTGGATAACGTCGTAGCGGATAGAAGGAGCATCTTCTTCGACTCCAATGGTACGACGTTGGCCACTCGAGATGGTATCAATCAGTTGCTCCAGATTAGACTGGGTACCCGCTGCCTTTCCAGACGAACGAACTTCTGTTTCACTGCGCGGATTTCCCAGATATCCAATGTCCACCGGCGAGCTGGTTACCACGGCCACCAACGTCTCGTCAACCTTGTTGCTCATCGGAACTTGGTTCGGCCACGTGACTGGCAGTCCTGGAAGCCCCCTGTCAAGGTCTTTTGCACCGAGTGTGTATGACCGACCGCTTTCTAGGTCAATGCCGCTAGGGCTTGAACGCGAGAGATATGAAATCCGCCCAGCGACATTAACGTCAAATAGGGATATGTAGACACTGTTGTCGCCCTCGTTTCGTAGGTTGATAAACACGCGGTCCCCGTCGGCCAAGTAACCTGTGCCATCCTGAGCGATCATCCTTCCCCGTTTCCCTTTTACGGCGAGCCCAAATTCAATTTTGATCTTGTGGCGGAGCCTTTCCTCGGGATTTTCGCAGTCCAGACCAAGAAGATGCTGCCCGCGGGCAAGCTCTTCGGCATCAATGACAATATCATTAAATACCTGACGCAATGAGTTTGGGTCATGTGCCGTCCTTGCTGCGATTGGAGTTCCTTTGCTGTTGACAACTTCAATTGTGGGACCGCTTTGCCGAATCACCGCGAGGGGGTCTTTGTCGTCCGCATCACGAGGCCGCAGGTAATCAGACTCGTCCACAAGCAGCTGGAGTCTTTCAAGTCCTGCCGGAAACTCAATGGGCCACTCGTACAGGGCCTCTTGCTCCAAAACTGCTTTTGCACCCTCAGCAGGGATGGACTTTTCTTCCCCTTTGAATTCCAAATGCACACGAGACCTAAAGCCTGCGACATTGGTGACGAAGCCTGTGGCAATCTGGGTTCTAGCTTCGCCGGCATCAGAGATGAAAGGATATATCGTGTAGGCATTGTTTTCGCGAACGCCGCCGACCCTTCCTGCGGATAATATTCCGACGCTGCCTTCCATACGAAGAAGCAAAGTCCTCGATGCTTCCTTCAAGGTGAAGGGCATACGAGCGTGCGGTCCCTCGGCGTGCGGATGTTGCTGGGGGAAGCGGACATTGACAAGCTGTCCCACACGAAGTAGCGTAGTGCTCCAGGACACCTCCTGCCCGTCTGATTCCTGTAGGGCCTGAGCCAGAGCCTCAGTGAATGCACCAGTCCACGAGCCAGACATAGTTTCGTACTCAAAGGCACTTTCACTGGTGTTGCAGGCAACAATCCGGACCGCGTTTGGGTTACCCTCGAGGAATGTCTCGCCCTTGAGTTCTCCCTTCTTCCTGAGCATCTCAATATACTCTCCGATGCGTTTGTGCTCCTGCTCAGCAATGTATCTGGGGACTGCTCTGGTCCCGAGGCTTGGATCTCGCGACATGCGACCAGAGTGACAGCAGTCAAGGATAACTGTAACATTCTTGGTCTTTTGTGTGGTGTCGCGAAGCAGATGCGATAGCTCCACATCTAGTACGCCCCTGAAGTCATTTTCCGTCGTCTCATGGTAGTCGATGGGAACGATGAACTGATAGCGCCAAGGCGCTTTTTCACCGTTTGCTCTTTGGTCGGAATCCGCCGCTGGACGTACGGGAGATTGGACCAAACCTCCGTGCCCTGAATAGTAAATCACGACAACGTCCTGATCAGAGCACTGCTGAGTAAGCTTCGACCAGGCCGACTTGATTGAATTGCGGGTCGCATTGCGCCCAGAGCATTCTGTTAACTTGAAGCCTTTGCGCCCAAGGACGCTACTCATGAGTTTTATGTCATTGGCCGGTCCAAGAAGTCCATTATAAGGGCTGGATATAAGAAGCGCTCGCTTATCGGGGGCCATTTTTAAAACTGGGAGGATGGCAAGACAAATACCAGAGTACTGACAGAAGTGGCACTGAACTGGACAATGCGTACTTATGAACTTATGAACCTGTTCCAACCCGCGAAATATCAAGACGGTCGCCGGAATCTAACCACTCACCGGAATCTAACCACTCGCTGTCCCAAGGAAACCGGTCTACATTTCGTTGTCCTCGCTCATCTCAACAGCCGCAAATTTGAGTATTAAGTGATATACTATGCAAAAACTACTGTTGTCATAGACTCCCTCATTCCACCGGGTTGGTCACAGGAGCGATATTGTGATGACATTCGACTCAATCTAGATCGTGTAATGGCCTAGATTTCATCATCACAATGCTCTTGCGTAGTTAAGCAAAATAGACGGATTTAGAAAGTATAGACCGAGTGGCTTAAAATTCCGTGGCTAGAGGTATAGTATATATAAGCATTCTAGTTGCTCAGATAACCTATCACGATTACTCTTAATAGGAGTACTAAGATACGTAATATCGATCGACGTTTAGGCTATATTCCTAGTCATAGTAGTGTGATATAAGCTCACCGGACCAGACCTATATACCCACTATCCACACCTAATTCCGACTAAACTATATAGGTCGAGGTCGCGGACCCGACTTAGAGACGAAGAGCTGCTTTCGGTGTCTCTTACTACTCTAGACGGCCTATATTTGACCTAATGCTTTCTACCTATCAGCACATATAATAAGTACTACTTAGCAAAGCACGATAGACCGTTCTAGACCGATCATGACCTCATAAAAACCTTATCTTACTCCGAACCTATTTGCGATTCTATCGATATTACTATTATAGTATCAAAAAAAGTAGCTTCAATCCAATTTTAGTTTGTTTTACTCAACAGCCGCAAATTTAAGTATTAAGTGATATACTATACAAAAACTACTGTTATCATAGATTCCCTCATTCCACCGGGTTAGTCACGGGAGCGATATTATGATGACATTCGACTTAATCTAGATCATGCAATAGCCTAGATTTCATCATCACAATACTCTTACGTGGTTAAGCAAAATAGACGGATTTAGAAAGTATAGACCGAGTAGCTCAAAATTCCGTGGCTAGAGGTATAGTATACACAAGCATTCTAGTTACTTAGATGACCTATCACGATTGCTCTTAATAGGAGTACTAACGTAATATCGATCGACGTCTAGGCTATATTCCTAGTCGTAGTAGTGTGATATAAGCTTATTAGACTAGACCTATATACCCACTATCCACACCTAATTCCGACTAAACTATATAGGTCGAGGTCGCGGACCCGACTTAGAGACGAAGAGCTGCTTTCGGTGTCTCTTACTACTCCAGACGGCCTATATTTGACCTAATACTTTCTACCTATTAGCACATATAATGAGTACTACTTGGCAAAGCACGATAGACCGTTCTGGACCGATCATAACCTCATAAAAACCTCATCTTGCTCCGAACCTTTTTGCGATTCCATCGACATTACTATTGTTATATCGAAAAAAGTAGCTTCAATCCAATTCTAGTTTGTTTTACTCCAAGTCTCCATCTATCTCAAATCCTGAAACTTGTGATCGTTTACTACCAGATTGTGAGATGGATTCGAGCTCACCAGAGATCCCGAACGTTGCCAAGACCTATCAAGTCATCCAGGATGTCTTGGAGGTTCTAGATAACAGTACGCTGTATATCGATCGAAGAGGCGATTTCAAGACCGCTCTTGACATTGCTCAGCGTTCATGCTCGCAGAGCCGTTCCACAGGGGGAGGTAACCTCGCTGCTGCTGTCATTAGCTGCGGGATTGTCCACACCCTGCAGGGCAACTGTACGCAGGCTCTCAGAGAGTTTAATGAAGCAAACAATATTGGACATGCCGACCCCACCCTTCGATACCTCGCATATGCGTATATCTACGTTGCCAATACGATAAACTACGACATGCTTCCCGATGGTGGAAATGGACATGCGCGTGATATTCAATACAGGTTCGACAAAATTCAGAATTTGCAGGGTTGGACTTCGCGCTGTTCGGAACTGGCCATTATACACCTTGTGGATCCCTTGATATACCGCGAATGTGAGCTTTTGAGTAAGCACAGGTGTTGGATGGCGGCGCCTCGCCAGAGTCCAGAACAAACAGAGGCCTTGTCGATAAATAACAGGAAGGTTCAGCTATTAGGCTCGGAAAATGATTTCAAATATCTTGCGAATATTGGCGCACATCAGCGAGGACTGTCCAGTTTCCAGATCGAGAGAGCCAAGTTGTACTATCGGTATTTCCACAAGCAGGAAGCCGCTCAGATTCTGGATAGCGCCCGAGCATATTATGATCAAACATATGACATGGTCGGCCTTGGGAGTATTGAGTTGACACTCGGTGACTGGCTTGTCGCGCCACTTTCTTGCCCCGAAGTCTGGAATTCATACCTGGAGCAAGCTACAAGCGACAGTTCACTGCACTGGAAGGTCGAAGCTGCGGAGGCTGCTATTGACATTAGCTCCATTGCCAAAGCAAGGTGGCACTATGAGTTAGCTTTACCACTGTTCACGTCGCAAAACGCACTTAGAGGAATGGCGGCGGCGAGATTGCGCCTCGGGTACCTGTCCGCTCTGGAAGGGCTCGCAGTCACAGATGCGGACTTTGAGAAACACTTTGCAGCTGCTCGACAGGAGATACAAGCTGCAGCAACCATGTTTGAAGATACGGGAGACATCATGGCTTTTCAGCTCTGTCAGGCGCACCTATCCCTCTGCGACGTAGGAGAGAAACAGGGACCAGACGATCTACAACGCGCGATAAGTATCGGGCAGTGGGGAAGGGTAGATGGCAGCTTCGGGTACGCGCTGGGACTCGGCCTTTTATTTGCGCGCATGGGGAGACGTTGGGCAGAGCACATAGGCGACTACGAGCGGGCCTTTACATGTTTCCGCCTCGCACAAGCCTTGTTCGAGGAATTGGGCGCAGAGCTGTCTCATATTCACGCCATAGCTGATCAGATGAACCTCTACAAGCTTCTTGGAGACTTTCCCAGTTTCTCAAGGCTGGCTTTGGTAGCTTTGGACGAATGCGGAACCTTGCAGAGTCAGGAGCCCAACCTCAGAGAGCGTATTGAAGAGTTGTCCAGCTGGATCCTCATCAGCATCATAGGTACAGCTATGAGCAGGAAAGACCCCGATCTAATCGACCACGCGCTAGATTACTGCTCTGGCCATTTGGGAACGGAGTTTGGGGAAGAAGTCACAATGCCCCCGAACATAATTGAAATCGCTACTGCGCTATCCGCCATTCAGGTCTCAGAGGACCCCGGGGCTATTTCCGAAGCTATGGACAAAGCCCTCAGCGCCTTCAATCCTAACGAAATGGCTCGAACAATGTTGATGTCCGCTGTCACAGACTCCCAACTCTATCGCGAATTCTATCGCGGGTTGAGTCATAGAAGAGAGGGTCGTGACGACGAAGCCCGAGACTGTTTTCGAATCGTCCGACAAAAATCCCAAGCTTATGAGGACACTCGGAGACATCATTTAGAAGCCATGGCATATGCCGGTGAGGGCGATTATGCACGTGCAAGGGCGGCGAATAAGAGGTCTCTCAAGCTACGAATGACAGATTTCGATGTCCGAGAACAAACTGGCCAGAGCACCCGGTTGGATGTTGACAGCCGCAGGCATGGTGCCGTGGAGGCGCTCATGGCTTTTGCCGAGTTTGATGATTTTCAAGAAGCCGAGAGGTGGCTGCATTTCTTGAATTCTCACATTCCGGATTGGTGGAGTGCTCAAAGTTCTCCTTGGGAGGCTCTTCATTACATGGCTCGGACACAAGAGGGCATTGGAGATTTGGGACCCGCTCTCGCAACCTATGAGAAGGCCATTTCAATGTTCGAGCGACATCGACAGAGCCTGTCTATCGATGAGCTAAAGCTCGCTTTCTCTGGCGGATCTACGACACAGAAGATGTTCTTTGCCTATACGAGGACATTAGTCAAAATGCACCAACACTCGGAGTCTTCGACTCTCTCTATTAAAGAGCTCGAGGCAAAAATATTCGAGGTTGTTGAGCGAGGAAAGGCTCGAAGTCTTCTCGACCTTATGCAAGGCGGACTGGTGGGAAGTAGCCGAGTCGCCGGTTCCAGTGCATTTCGACGCTGGAGACAACTACATGCCTCAAGATCAATGCATTGTACGCTGCTCGAGCACAAGCTGAGTAGCGGGAAATCGGAGCAGGGAGAGGTTGCTCAGCTGAAGGATTCAATCACCAAAATCGAAGCCCAGATTCAGATCGTGGAAAATGAGATGCAATCCAGTGGCAGCTCAGCAAAGCCAGTCACAGCTGAGGTCAGCGCTCTTATGGATGTCGCCAACAGTCTCTCCAATGGTACGCTGATCCTGCAGTATTTCTACAATCATAACACCCTGTATAGCTGGGCTATCAGCCACGAAGGGATGGTAGAGCTCGTGGACATTGAACTTGAGGAATACTGGCTGGACCGAGTCGCTAAGTCTTTTCATCATGCCTGCGACAAAGGACTCATCACCGCCCATGGGGAGCAACTTTCGGACACACTCCTTAAACCTTTCAATGACCTTCTGGAGCGTTATACGAGGCTTATAATAGTGCCCCACGGCTCCCTTCATCTTGTCCCGTTCCACGTTCTTCCGTTCAAAGGAGCACCTCTTGTTCTGTCCCATGTGGTGACATACCTCCCAAGCTCAAGCATCTTACGTTTTCTCCACCCGAATGAGACGCAGGCTCGGCGACAATCAGTGCTTGCGATGGGTAATCCCGCAAATATGAGGATAACAGACCGAGACGACAAGACAGTGTCTGCGCCACCGTTACGCGGTGCAGTTAAGGAAGCTGAAGCGGTTACTGCCTTTTTACCCGAGAGCAAGGCCATCCTCAATAAGGAAGCAACGCTTGACAATTTGCTGAAATACATACACGATTATCCGATCCTTCATCTGGCCACTCATTGCAAGTTCGATCCCGAGGTGCCTCTCCTGTCATCCGTTTGTCTCGCCTACGGCAGGCAGTTATCAGTCCTTGATCTGTTGGACTTGCATCTCGACGTGGATCTCGTTATTTTCAGCGCGTGCCAGACTGCCAAGGGGACCCCGACTGGTGGAGACGATATAGTCGGGTTCGCCCGTGCTCTTTTTGCAGCGGGTGCCCGGGCAGTCATGGTTAGCTTATGGCCTGTTGATGACGGTGCGACGTCTGAAATCTTGATCGAGTTCTATAAGCGGCTTGCGAGTGGCAAGTCACCACCATTCGCTTTGCAAGAAGCCCAGCTGTCCTTTTTCAAGAAGCACTCCGGATCTTGCGGGATTGATGACTACACATCGAATCATACCTCAGACTGCGCTGCAAGCCACGAGGATTCTGTAAGAAGAATGGCTGTTCTGAGAGATATCACCAACAACGAGCAGGCCATGCCTACCGATTATTCTCTTCCTGCGTACTGGGGCCCGTTCATCTTGATGAGTGCCTAGCTACCCACAGTCAACCTGAGCATCATCCTAGGGGTCCACAAAAAGGCGGGGAGTAAGTGTTTGAGTTTCCAAGATTTCGATTTCTTGAAGCTGTGGCAAAAGTCGTTGAGTTTGGTACTGAGCCCAGATTGACTAGCTATGTAAGCTCAATGTTGAGTGTCTTTTCACTGTCAATAAACACGGACCATAATTGATCATACATTGGCAATACGAGTGAGCATTCCTGCTGGATGGCTGTGGGAGTCCGATTACGCATGGCCAGTTTCACCGCATGAAGGAGACATTTGATACGGGTATTCGGAGTCCAAAGGCTACTACAGTAGCCACTCACAACATGATACATTAGGCCAAACTCCCACCGATAGGGATGTTGCCGCAATATAGGGCGCCAGCGCCAGCACCGATTATAGCAACTGCATACGAGGCTGTAGATGACATCTCCTCCGGGTCATTCAAGCACAACCGTGGTAATGCCATCGTGGCTAAAAGGGGGCTTTGTCGAGTATCCGCGAGATGGACTTTCAGCAGGGCGAGGCAGAAGATTTGTACAAGATTCTGAAAGGCGGCGGGTGCCCAAGCAGCTCTGATCGGCGCCCTTTCCTTTGTGGGCGGCTGACAGGGTACAAACGACTTCGAGTGCAAACGGCTAAAAGAGACCTAGAGCCCGTGTACCACATGTAATAATCCATTTGGAGCTTTATCACCATTCAATTGGGTCGTGACAGGGACAGACTTCCATGAACCAAGCAGACTCGTTTGCTTTGTCGCGTGTAGCGCCCGTGCCGCCCTACCTTCAGTCCTTCACCCGAACGCCCTAAAGCCAGATTCAACCGCTCTTCCAGAATCCATGGCTGACGTACGAGGCGATCATGGTGATTTCCCAAGGACAGTCCGTCTTTCTCGCCCGGCACAGAGAAAGCAAAGCGGCGCTCGTTAATATTCACCTTGAGAAGCAGCAGTTCTCGTCGGTCAAGCCACTGCTAGAATCTATCTATCGGTTCTCTTATCCCAGTGTTCTAGATCTAATAGGGTGCTACTATTGGGAGGATTAGGTGTTTTTGGTCTAGGAGCTAGTAGAGCTCTCGGTGAGTCACATCCTCGCATCGAGGTGCACTATCACTAAGGGGGAAGTTCTCGCAATTATTCGGCCAGTAAGTACTTGTCTTAGCGGTCGACAAGAGAAAGCGAGTGGTGCTTATGCCTAATAGGTCATTGCTGGGGACTGCTTGGGACCGTGCGATATTCAGTGTTGTTGACTTCATTCTCGGGACGCGTTCTTGCGGGAGAGCATCTTCTTGTGTCGCGGCTCTAGCCTGTTCTTTAGCCAGACCCCGCAGTTTATTGTCTTCGCTCGTTGAGATCCACCGGATATTGATCTGGTTTCCATTTCTCCGTAGCTTTCTCATCAACTTGTATAGTTGGCAGATGAATTCCTGGCCTAACTGTTGTCGAGGATTCCTTAGTGTTAGAGCCGCCGCTTTATTGCTCGTGAGTAGCGTAATCCTATAATCTTTCAGTCCAACTACTATGTTTAATGCATATGCAATCGCTGCTAGCTCTGTAGAGAACGGATTTTGCTCTACTCTTGCACCTAATGTGACGGAAAGGGTCTTTAGTTTCAGTTTTCGATACCGAGGTGGCTGCCTCTCGATCGCCACCCTAAATCCGACCAGCTCGTTCCGTGCCGAACTGCTAGTTGCGATCTATATTAACCCGCCTAGTACGGTCGGTGACTACGGAGTTGCTTTAACGCCAGCCTATACGCGTACTTCCTATGGTGCTAATGTGAACGGATTGATGGTTTCTAGTGTTTCCATCTCAATGTTCTTTAGCGCGTCTGCTACTTGATATAGCGGCGAACGATAGTATCTTCTGAATTTCTTGATCCGTGCTATATTCCTACGGAGAGGGTTGGTTTCTAGTAGGGTATGTATATCCGTCTATATCTTCACGGCTCTTCTCTAGAAACGGTGTTAAATAGTGGTAAGGTAGGCCTCCGCCTCTACTACACTAGTCGTAACTATAAGGAATGTTCCTATAATCGCCTACGCTCCTACCCTTTAGACGCGGTTTATCGGCCCTATAGCCTTATCTTTGCATATATGTATCCAGATATTGGACGCGTAGTCCACGACCGGCGCTACCGTCGATATAAATAGCTACCGCGCTATCGCTAGGGATAAACCCTAAAGTCGTCGAAGCTCTATCGCGGCCTCTAGGCCCTTAGATGCTACCCTCGTAATATATTCCTTATACTTAAGCTTCGTGTCTATAAGGACGCCTAAGATCTTGACACGGTCCTTAGGCTTAACGGTTTGTCCCTTAATAGTGAAAGGTCCCTAATCCAATTTGTAAGCCTTAGGAGCAAAGTGTATGATGGCTATTTTATCTGCTTTAAAAGTCGCTCCGCTCCTTTTCTCCTAGTCGAGCGCTTGATTGATAATTGCTTTAATACCTTCCTAGTTGCTCTAGGCGGTTGGCCTAGTCACCTATACGGTAAAATTATCCACGAACGCTATCGCTCCGCCCTAGCTATCGATCTGTCTTTATACGAGGTCTATATTAAAGAAGAGGAATAGGATTAGGGATAGGGGCGAGCCCTAAGGTAGGCCAGCCTATAGAAGGCTCTAGACCTCCGACACTTACCTATTGATTTAAATGGTCGCCGTTCGTTCCGAGTAGAACGCTTCGACCTACCGGAGTAGGTTAACTAGTATGCCTCGCGCTTTTATTCTCTAGAGTAGTCGTTCTTTACACACACCGTTATAGGCGCCTTTAATATCGAAGCTGATCAAACTTAACACCCGTCGGTTATACCACGCTGTGTAGATCTGCTCTTATAAGAGTATAAGCGCCTACTCCGCGGACCGTTACTTTTAGGCTCCGAAATGGCTGGTCGGGAGTAAGCCGTGTATCTCTACCGCGTGCGAGATCCTTTCTATAACCACGGATTCTAGTATCTTACCTAGCGTCGTGAGGAGCGAAATTGGCCTCTATGCCTTCGTAATAGTGTAGTTTTCCTTATTCGGCATTTTAAGCGGTATGATCTTCGTATGTCTCTACTATCTCGGTAATATGCCTTCTTCTAGTAACGCCTAGAATAAGTCGAGAACCCTATGCTTAACCGTGGGCCACGTTATCTTCTAGACTATCGCTAGTAGACCGTCTTTACTAGGCGCCTTCCATGATTTCGCTCTAAAAAGCTGTCGTTCTACCTCCTCTAGGCTGATAGTAGGTATTCCCACCGGCTCTCTTTATAGTCTGGTCCCCTCGTTATTAATAGCGTTAGGTAGAGGGGAAAAGAATTTAGATAGTAGCTCTTCTACTTACTCTTAATAATCCGTGGTAGTAGTTCCGTCTGCTCTAACGAGCTACGGTAGCTTCCTAAATACTACGTCCTCTCCTAACTTCAGGTATTTAGCGGCTCTTAGCATAATAGTGTATAATAGTGTATAATATAATAGTATAGTATATTTCTATTATGGTAGGAAGGAGATCATATATATATTACTGGCTCTATCTAGGAAGAACCCTAGATATCCTACATATAGTAAAAAACTATATTATGACTTCCTTTCTAATACCATAGATAATGAGATAATACAGATATCATAGATTATCTCATACTGAGGTAATAAAGATATCATAGATTATCTCATCATTTGCCTCCTAATGAACTATATAAGAAGCAAAGACTCCTATATATAACAATAATCAATCTTACCATCGCCATCTGAGTTACCTATTTAGGATAAGTATAACCACATACATATTTATATATATATATTATATAAGACATTATATAATATATATAGCTTATCTAATACTACTTCCCTATGAAATATTATAACCTACCATTAGGCTATAATATATTATCTGCTAAATCGCTTACAGAGATGTTGTTACTATATTTCTAAATTCAGTATTATAAACTAAGGTTTATACCAAGTGCCCGCTAGGCTTTAAAAAACTAGGCTATTACTAGCTGCTCTATAAAGTATTGTACGGCCTACGTCTATCACCTAGACTATAGTAATAAGAAGTAATAAGGGTTCTAGTAAAACTAGGGCTTACTCTAGTTCTAGAAGATCCCTACATTTTTACTACGGAAGAAATTATCATCTTCTTCTATATGGATGATATTATTATTACAAACCACCCAGATTCCGCTAAGTAAGCTACTAAACTGGACGAAGAAATGAAAAAGTAGTGGGAATTGAGAGAGCTAGATACTAGCTAGTTCCTAAATATACGTATAATTCGGGATCGAAAACAGAAGAAGCTATAGCTATACCAGGATTCATATATTAAGAGTATGGTAACCAGGTATAACCTGGTTATAGAGAGGAAGATTGGATCCCTAATGGCAACTAAACTATTGCTACCCTTCGAAGGGGTGGCTTTAGCATATTAAATTCACTAATTTCAATAGAAGGTTGATTCGGTATAGTACTCTACAATAACGAGAGCAGATGCCGCCAAAGCCACGTCGAAAGTGGCTGAATTTCTCACAAACCCTGGTCCGAAATATGTCGACGCTATCGACAGAATCATCTAGTATCTGTATAAAACCAGGTTCTGGGCCATTAAATATAGAAGTAGAGATAAAGATCAAAGACAAAAACAGAACAAAAACTATGCAAACCATAGTTTACAACTGGTAGCGAAGTCAGTTGAATTCGTAAGCGATGCTTCCTTTAGAGATAACAAAGATAGGAAAAGCTCAGAAGGTTATATCTGCAAGTTGTATGGTGGTCCAATTGACTAGAAAGCGTCTAAATAGAAGACCGTCATAATATCAACCACCGAACCTAAGCTTATTGCTCTCGCAGAAGCCGGCAAAACCGTATAATAGTGGCGCCGAGTACTGAATTCATTGGGATTCAAACCCGATCACCCCTTATCCATTATGTGTGACAACCAGCAGACAGTCGATCTGCTCATAAAGGAAGGGGCGGGTATGCATACGAAGCTTCGGCATGTGGATATCAATCGGTGCTAGATGAGACAGGAAGTCAGCGCTGGTCGAGTTCATATTGACTGGGTTCCTACCGCAGAGATGCCGGTAGATGGTCTCACGAAACCACTACCGAAGCAGAAGCAGGCGATCTTCAGAGAGATGATCGGTATGCGAGAGATCAGTCATCTAATCAACAAGAAGAGAGATTGAGAGAGAGATCAGTCAACTGATCAACGAGAAAAAGGATTAGTCATCCCAGAAAACAGAGACTGTTTTGAAGAAAGGCCAGAAATGAAGGAATTGGCAGTTCTTGGAGCAAGCTCCAAAAACTGGGGGGTGTGTCGAATACTAAGATTGAATACATGGTGGAAACAGGGTAAAATACTCTGAATATCATGTGACACATGGTACCATCCATACCATACAAAAGTGCATATTACAGTTAGTCATCTATGTCCGCCCAGATTGTTGAAAACGCGGGTTTTGTCATTTTAGTTAGAGATTCCAATATATCTGATTTTGTCCATACGTTGTCATACAGCCAGATTTCTGTCATTCGACACTATATTATGAATCCTAACCTAGGTTCAACTGAATCTCCCGACCTAGGGGTGTGGGGCGCTTCGTCTAACCAACCACATCTACCAAATACCGGCAAAGAATGTATTGTAAACCCGTTTAAGCCTCAGACGCCCGCCCGCCTCCCATGGGATGGGACCTTGGGGATTACGCTAGTACTAAAATAATATAGTAAGTGCCTTATTCAAGTTAGACTTTTACCTCACTTTTGCCGAATAGAATGGGCGTTTAGCTAGTGAAAAGGGGGTGTGCAAATAGTGGTTCTCATATGGCTAGCTAGAGAGCGCGGAAGGTCTCTAGTAAGCTATTAAGCGGGCGACGCTTAGGGTATAGAACAACATACAAGCCATAGCAAATTCTAGATCAGGGATTGACAAAGGTTAAAAAGTCCAAAGAAAGATCCCGAAAGAAACCAGCTCCAGTAGCGGTTTCGGGACGGCCCCCGTCCGTGACATTACAGTAATCCAAAAAGTCACCCGCCTCGTCAATCTTCTTGTCAATCAAAGAAAGGTAATCAGATAAAGAGCAACTCCTTCCAGGGCCATTTTGACAACTGGCTATAGGATAAACAGCGTCATTCAATAGTATACGGATGTAGGGCCCATTCGTGGCATTGTTGACATTGCAATCCATGACTTCAAAAGCAACAGTGCCTCGCATGGTGATGAAGTGCGCCACGTTATACAAGTGGTGGGTTGGTATATGATCTTCGGGAAGAGGTACCTCGAAATCGAAAATTCCCATGGCAGCGGTCATCTGGGCAAGTTGGTTGTCATTCGTGAAAGCCATGAGAAGGTTCGGAATTTCGAACTTAGTGCCGTTGGCTCCAACACCGACCTGCCCAGGACCGGTCTCTAGAAGAGAAAGCAGGCTTTTCAGGAATGGAAGGAAAAGTACCTTGGCTGGACCAATTGAACCGGGCCCGACACCGAAAAAATAGCTCAGATCCTGCGAGTATGCGTAGCTACGCAGCTCGCTTTCTGTAAACACACCACACCAGGGGCTGAGGTGGCCTTCAATCTGACTCTCATATGCACACATGTAGGGGAAAAAGAGTATATCTGTTTTGTCAAACGTAAGATTTCCTCTGATTTCGGAGTTGATGCGATGTAAAGCCTTGGGTAGCCACGTGGCATCCCCTATATATATGTAAGCGAGTGTCTTTCAGGGCATGGCACCTGAAGCGGGCCGGGGTTCTTTATCTTCAGAAGACAGAACAAAATTTGCTTGATGGCACTTACAATTCGTCACGTTGTTCCCTCCACTGGAGATAGTACTAAATGCAGGACAGGAATCAGAAGGCCCAAGGGAGTTGCCAATGGCCGCAGGAGATCCCGTAGAGTTCACGCTCACGACAGTACCGTAGCTGTCGGCATACTCATAGAGGAAGCCATTGAGAAATGCTCTCGCGGTTTGAACCACTCGTGATTCATTGATAGGGGATTTATATTGATTAGCCCACACGTAGAATGGGTTGCCATCCTGGTAAAACCCGGGATCTGTTCAGATTTATGAGCCCAAGTACTTCAGATTTGCAAAAATGGAGCGGTGCCTCACATCTGGATCGAAGTTGGTAACCAAGATCACTTGCCTGGGGTTTATTAGCGAATGAATTGTCGTTTGAAATATTTTCACTTATACCTCTTTCCATCCTGTCATTGACTCCTGTGCTAATTGCAAGGCAGGATTCGTCAATACTGGCTTCCATTTAGGAATAAACCTGAGCGATCCTCGAGCCTCAAACCCGTCTTGTTGCGCTGCAGCTTGGATCTGAACCAAAGAGATCATGGGTGAGAATTTAAAAGAAAACCAGGGGATATAGCCAAGAATAAGGCACCTTGTGGTAAAGTGTAACCCAAGACTCATATGAGCCAGTATCTGGAAATCTACCAGCTTTGAGGTCAAAATGTTTGCGCTCCATAATATAGTGTGATATTCTACATACCTACTCCCGTGCCTAACAACATAAGCAGCCTGGCGAACAGTGCATTGGTGTGGGGCCTTGCTGTCAATGTCATTCACATTTGGGCCTAAGTCGTATATTAGTAGACACTGGGAATCATGACAAGAGCACTAGTACCTGCAAAATACGGGGCGTTACCGCCTGCATATTGAAGAGGACTTGAAGAGGTCCTTGATGATGAAAAGACGATGTCGTTTGCTGGAGCTAGTGGTTCACAAAGACCTATGGTGGCTATACCTACCAGGGCACATAATACCGAGCTCTTCATTGTGCTAATATTGAATGAGAGTGTGGTTTCACAATCTAACAGGGGATCATGCGGCCAGTCTTATTCTTTATAATGATGATAGTGGACCTTAGGATTTACCGAACGTATATTGCGGGTTGGGGGCACCTCCGTTATACAAAGTGTTAGCAGTTAGCGTCGACTGTCCCCTCGCTGGCCCAATACATGCACGCCTACAGTTAGCCCACGTGGCACGATTTTGGACTCATGGTTTTTTGAACAATAAACAATAGGAGTATTATATTGATTCATCCTCATATATCTCCACATGTACCTCTAAGGCTTAGTACACTACGTACTAAGGTATGTACGATGAAGTTGGTGGACTGGTATGCTAGCGCGGAAGCCGAATGAGATAACTTTTGTGAGTATTCGAAGATAGACCAGTCACGAAATTTGCCGAAAGCACAATGCTAGATAAAACGAGTTTATTGATTGGACTGCGAGACAATGATTGCACTAGTGGAAATTGCAATATTACTGCCAAGGTGCTTTGTACGTTGGTCGTCGTTATCGACGTGGACCGTTTTGAGAGTGGAACCTTCGGAGAAATCCATCCACGAATGGATTTGTTGAAAATTCCCGGCCAGGATCCATCCTGTTTCCTAGTTGGAAAGTGGAGATGTTTGTACTGTTTGCATCCCGAGGTCCACGCATCCCTTTCCTCCCCAGGTTTTCATCGATCACACCACACACTTGATCGTGAAGATAGTAAGACTGGATGCTATTGCTATAACCTTGGAAAGGCCCTGCAACGAATTCCCCGCAACCGAGATACCCACGCACAACATGTCTAGCGAGTCTCACCAGGAATGACCTGTCGCGACGACTTTGACAGGGACGAACAATGGGATCCCCAAACGCGCTATGGCAAATCCAGACGGGTTTGCAGACTATTGTTCTGTCGATACTCATGCTTGTCCGGAGATGCGATATCAGGAGAGGTTTCAGAGATGTGTTCACCACGATATTGATAGGATGGATAACAACGCGGAGAACTCAGCAGCTTCCGGCCAAAGTTATGGCTGGTTGCGGTCGGGACGGGTTAAGCAAGAATTATCACACCAAGACTAGGATGGATGCGCGTGCAATAGACTGTTATAGCGATCGGTATACCGAGGCTACGAGTGAACACAATATTCTTTCCGATGCCTCCGAAGAACCTAGGTGCTCCTAAAGGGAACCGTGAGACAGAAGTACGATCCTTCCTGGCGCTTGTTGTATACCCGACCGCACATCATTATTTTGAAAAAAAAAAAAAAAAAAAAAAAAAAAAGGAAGCCGATGTAGTTTGTATTGCCCTGATTTGGAAAACCAGGGAGCGGGTGTCGAACACGTGGTCCACGCTATATCTAGTTTATCGTGTAAAAGTAAAGCGTCACCCACTAGTGTTTGTCGGTGTATGATATCATCTATATATGAGTGGTCGCATAGAGCCAATCAACGACTTGTCTACTCCATTAGATCCATTACAGCCTTGGCGTTGTCACCTCCTTTTCTTTCTTCACACGTATCCAACTTGGCTCCTACATACACAAACACCAACGGGCGCAGTCAAAGCCGCAATTATGGCTTCTCAAAGTCAGAGACCCGATATCGGATTGCGCATCGATATCATATATCAACCCGACGATATCATTCGGGCTTTTGACTGCGTTTGCGAGGCATTTGGTCGTCAAGTGCAAGATGGAATCTGGATAGCCATGAATCCAGGATGGGACACACCCCAGGGGAGGGCATGTGGAGCCGAGAGGATGGTCGCCCGTTGGCGCCACAAGACCAATGACAAAAATGGTCTCCCGAACACTATATTTCTCAAGGCTACGCTGCCATGTTCGCAGTTTGAAGAGAGGCGTGTCATTGTGGGCTTCGGTATTTGGGTGCAAGCTTCCAACGTAGAGGGCCATGGTGATCCTCCAGTGGAAGATCTAGCCAATTCGATAGACCTCAATGCGCTGTACCCCGACAATGAGCCTGAACAACGTTACCTCTGTCAAGTGATTTCCTCTCTGCATAGAAGACGCACCGAGGTAATCAAACAGAAAGCCACTGCAGTACCGCCAGCGGTTATGATCCTAGACATGTGCGCCGTCGACCCGGCTCATCAACGCAAAGGCATCGCAAGAGAGCTTGTACAGTGGGGCATCGATGAAGCACAACGACGTGGAGACCTGGAAGCCATAACCGAAGCGTCCAGTATGGGTCGACATGTGTATGGACAGATGGGGTTCCAAGCGGACGGCCCTGAGATCGAATATGTTGTGGACGAGGAATTTGCTTCTCGCGAAAAACCACCCAACCTGTTTATGCGCACCCATGCGAGCGTGGTTTGATGTGATGTTACTATCAAGGATTTTACCTTCATATATGGTTCCTTTCTAGGACTACTAGACCTCTAGTTATCTCGGGGAATTCCGTGTTTAGAGGCAGAGAACCGAGTACTGTAGTATACCGCGGGGAACCTAGAGAAGTATTGCAAACATGATAGACAAATTGGGCCATGCAGACCACCATGAACTACCATAGACCTCGGAGGACTACCATGACCTAGAATCTCCTTGAGTTACCTAAGTTTATCTGATATTCGATATTAAAAATAGGGAGATTTAGAGGACATAATGAGGAAGTCCACTTCATTACTTCTGATTTGCCATACAAGATATCTCATCTCCCGCCACACTCTCGATTTCCATAGGGTAGGTCGAACATAGAGACAAACTGACCGGGTTGCAGATATCTTTAAGCTCGCTGGAGAGGACTAAGCAATGCTATAGCGATGCATCTATGATATTGTAGTGCAGGCTTCGAATCATGGTACAGGTAAACTTCCAAATTATACTTATTAAAGTGCAAGATGGCAAACCGCATTAGTATGTATATCTTGGCCTGTGGTCAGACGGAGCACGGTCAAAAATGAATCGTTCTTCTGCTCAATATCGACAACAGGACTGGGAGTCGCAAGGGCCACAGTCCCAAAGGAAATCATAATGAACAATGATACCAGCGGATCGCATCTCGTCATAAGAAGTTCTATTCCACCAAGAGAAGGGTATGAGCTAAGTGTAGCTAGATTGTTCTGTCCAGCACTAGAAAATAGTCCGAACATTGTATGTAAATATTATCCCCCCGGTCCACCTGTATGTATAGTACATCCTTATACTTCTATTATCGGCGTAATTGGATAGATTCACTATTTACGCCTGTTTTTCTCCAATATATCTTATCTTAACAGGTCATGCCTAGTTTATCATAATTTATCAAATTTTCTAAGATTCTACGTTTTTTCGCCAAACTGTCTCCCGAGGTTGTACCTTGTGAGACTCACTCATTATTTAATTGCAATCAACTTTGGATCATATCCAAAACAAAAAGGCAAAATTAGGTGTGAAGTTATATAGTGGGTATAATACGCCGTGCGAAACTCCCAATCATGAAAATTGCTCGGTGAAACCCTCCTACCTCGTTTCGGATGAACCTGCATATTACTTAGATGGTAAGACACGGCGGGGTGAAATACGAGGTTGACCATCAGCTCTACGTAATTGAATTGTTAGATTTATAACCTAGAGTCACGCCTCTTCGTATTTGTCAACACGAGATATCTCACCACGCCTAAAGACTTTAGTAATAAATGTCTTTGATTCTGTCTTCTTGGGGGTTGGCGTTGAAGAATGAGACATAGGCCCCGTGGCTAGCATGTCGCTGGGTCGCTGGATTTGATCGAGGCTTCTTGTATACTTTTTTTTTTTTGATTTCGTGAGGTTTTTGATTTCAAATCGATTAAACAGTCCGTCAAATTCGTCTGGAGAAGCAAATTCAACAAATAGAACAACTTAACTGTTCATGAAGGTAGTCAAGCTTACCTATAATTTTGAATTGCATTAAATTTCAGTCACCGAATGACGTAGCCCCTTATACACTACTTCGTGTGGGGCAAATTAAACCTTAAACAGGTTAAATAAGTCGTAGACATACATGGAAACCCCAGCCAGACTACATGGCGAGAAACACGAGCTAAGCCTTGATCCAAGCAGTATTATCTGAGATGAGGGATTTGAGCAGAAGCCATGGAGTGCCTCATGTCTCAGAAGCTACTTCCATAAACACATTACTCGAGTAGTTGGGCGCCTTTCTGCGGGGAAACTATGTTTGTCGCGCCATGGATTGTGCGCGTGGATACCATTTCTATCTATAACTGCACTTCCACTATTCACAGTAAGAGTAGTTTTTCTTAATTGATTAGATCTCTTAAATAAGGTGTTGGTTGCTAAAACGCATCATCCAAGGTAATGAGCAGGGACATCTTTCTCTCGTTCGGCTATAAAAGCTATTCCTCTGATGCACGTAGATATGGAATGGCAATGGATGGCCTTGATCTGGGATATCACCTGATTGGGATACGAAGGGCTGTGCAGATCAGCTACCGTGTTCTCATGCAAATCAAGGTCGGTTGTGGCAGGTCGTATTATCAGCTAGATGTCTGCCAATCGAATGTATGTCTAAGAATAGCATGGATGGCACAAGTATGGGGACTTCAGCCCCAGGTTAAAGCTCAGCATTCCAGTAAGAAAGGTATAAAATCCACGTTCTTCCTTCGATATGTGATGCCTTTCACTCCGAACAACATCAGACTTCAACCGTGTTTTCAAAGCTTCCAATCAATCTTCGCTCCAAATAACTCCATTGCATTTTGCAAAGTTGCCTCCAAACATTTCAAAATGAAGTTTACCATTGCTGCAATCATCTCTCTTATGGCAGCCACTATCTCCGCCACGCCTCTTGAGGTCCGCCAGTCCAACCAAGTGACCGTGGCTCTATCCAATGACCAATCTGGTGCCTATGCCGGCGTGAAATTTCAAGCCGATGGCTCCGATAGGGGCATCTTCTCCTTGTTCAGTGGTACTTCTGTTGGGGCAGGTGGTACTGTCAAGGCAACTTCCGCCCAGCTCACCAACTTTGCGCAATCTATCAATTGTGTCATCAAAAACAATGATGCTACCATTGGTACCTTGACTGCTCAGCAGACATATCTGGATCTTGATGGAAATCCCAACGCCGCGATTCCAATCAATCTCAACAATGCTGTGATTCGCTGCCGTGTTTGAAGACCTGGCTCCTCACATATGCCACAACTCCGGGAATCTTTTGGGCAATACGATGTATTGAAACTGAACTGCCATCGAATGCGAGGCCGTGTTTCATCGTCTTCATGTTTTGTTCTGTGCCAAGATTGTCTTGTTGTGGTCAATATATGTCGATAAATGCCTAGGTTTTCATTTACTTGGATAAGAGACTTCTGATATATTTTGTTGAAATCTTGGTAATAGGAGCCATATTGTAGTACCCGTAGTGACTTGGTGACTTGTTTCCGTTAACACAGTTGTATTCTCTTTTTATAAATACTACCACTAGTTTTGTAATTCATCTTGTTTTGGTCATTTCCCGAATAGCATTATCTTATCATCCCCAAGGTTTTCAACTTCCAAAATGGCTCACAAGGTCCCCCGAAGATGAAGAGATCTCTTTCTAATTTTTGGACAGTTCCTTCCATATCTGAAAACAAAGAACGTGGGGTCTGCCTTGAATGTTAATATGTATAAATCTGTAAAGTGCAGGGCTCATTGCCATGCTATGGACAACACTGATGGTTGTGACAATGGGTATTCTGACCACTGTCGGAGAATGTATGCCTTCCCCCACGTTGAATATGCTTACCGAAAAGCCCCAGCGGATGATTTATTAACAAGTTAACAGAGCGGATCTTCGAGTGTTACCCCTCCTAGTATTTGGGTTTGCTAGCTATCAGCTTGACAGAACCAACATTGCCAGCGCACTCACAGGGAATTTTGCAACCCTTATATCCGTCGACCAAAACGTTATCAATCTCGGAAATCAGCTGATGTTCCTGGGTGTGATTGTACTAGAGATACCGTCAAATGTTATTCTACACAAGGTATGCTGCATCCCTGCCGGACGATACGCGTGTGATTAAGTTAAATTAGATTGGTCCTCGCCAATGGATCAGTGCACAAGTCTGTGTATTCGGAATAGTAGCATGTCTACAAATATTTGTGCGCAATAAGTTAGGCTTCCTACTCACTAGAACATTTTTGGGTCTTGCTGAAGCTGGGTATATTCCTGGTGCAATGTATACACTTTCTACCTGGTATACGAAGGAAGCGTTGACAAAACGAATCGCTATATTCTTCTTCGGCATGTTTGGCGGAACGGCTATTTCTCCGCTTCTTGGAGCTGCTCTCTTGAAACTGGACGGAAAGTGTGGTCTCTTTGGCTGGCAATGGATCTTTCTCGGTACGATTGAGGCTGATCCCTCAAACCAAACTATACTAACAAATATATAGTCGAGGGTCTATTCTCCGTTGCGGTCTCTATTATTTTATTTTTCTTCCTTCCTGAACAGAATAAAGTCCCTGTGTCGTCCAATCAAGAGAACATTTCGGAGTCCAGAGGGCTTCGCCTAATGAAGGGACCATTGGCTCACCCTGGCAAAAAGCATATATCATTCAGATTGGTGTGGAAGACATTGACAGACATATGGAAGTGGCCGCATTTTATCGCCACAGGCTGTGTCTTCGCTACATGGAGTCCTCTTACAACATATACCCCGAGCATTTTCATGGAACTGGGTTTGTCTCGAATCAAGGCAAACGCATTTTGTGCAATCGGCAGTTTGCTCACTCTCCCCGTGATTCTTTTTTTTTGCGTGGATGAGCGACAAATCGAACAAAAGGGGCCTCACCGTCATGGTTGCCATCTTCGTATACTTGATCCCTTTAGTAATTCTGAGGATCATGATGCACCGTGTGGATAAATGGGGCAAATTGGGCCTCTGGACAGCAGTCAATGCTTTGGCTGTGGGTTATCATCCAATTCACAATTCTTGGATCCAAATAAACTGCAAGAGCTCCGAAGAGAGGAACATAAGCGTTGCGTGAGTAAAATATCTCCCACTGGTCGTTCTTCAACCAGATGAGCTAACAATTTTGGTCCGATACAAAGAATGTGTAAGATTACTAGTCCTATAGCGGACAGCCTTGTGTTTACTAACCCAATAAAGTTGTTATGGCAGCTACAGGAGGGCTTATGGCAGGAACCCAGATATTCCGGGCGGACGAGTCAGCTACATTGTAAGTCCTATACTGCCAAGGTTGCGGATCTTACCCACATCACACCACTAATGATAAATCCATTGACCTGATAGTTATCCGAGAGGGGTGTCGATCATGATTGGGCTGGTGATTTTGGGACTAATTTTTGTTTCCCTACAAATCTTAATATTCTGGATCCAAAACAGGTGTATCAAAGCAAAATCTGGCAGCAGGGTGTTGAACGTTCTATGACAAATCAGGGGTAGCCTTCTTGCCAGGTCACATTTTTCAGTGTGCGATCAGATCCGCTATATACAAATTTATTAGTTTAACTGGTAGTTGTTTATGAGTAGAGAATGGAAGATGCAAGCAAAGCAACAAATAAAGGGGAGATTCACTAAAGCGCCGATCACGTATATTAAGCAACGCTAGGCAAGAACATTTGCTTATTCAATAACCTTCACAAGGTTCATTTACATTTCAAGGACCCTAGTGTCTCTGTCACTTCGTCGACTATTCTTTTAGCCAACATCTGCTCCGAGGAATCCACGTCATTGAGGAAATTATCGCATTTTTCTTCCACCACGCCTCGAGCATGGTCTATGCTTTGTTCGATGTCTGAAATCTCTCTCAACAGTTCCTGCATCTTCTCAAAAACCCGCATTGGCGGAAGCAGTCCCATCTTGACCCAATCCAGACCCTTGAGTCGGCACTCCGGGGTAATTTGCAAGGTTGCACGGATAATTGCTAAACTTCGGGTTTGGTTATTCAAGACTCGGTCCACAGAAATATGGCCATGAGCCTTGGTTTGCAGATATCGCGCAATCCTAGTCGCACCGATCTCAGCCAGTGACGAATATACCAGAATCCCCAAAAATGCCAATTGGAGAGCACCTTTCATGTTCACCATACATGCAACCGAAGATATGCCAGAGAATGTCCCCGACAAGGTCCAAAACCAGTGCAAAAGATCTTTTACCCAAGTCCGGTCATATTCCCAAGTGGAACGGGCCCATTCCTCAAGTTCCCTTTGTGGTCCTTTGAATATTACAGTGCCCCCCTCGTCGCGTTCATAGACCGCATATCTATCCCTCAAGTCGTTTCGGATGTGATCTGGTTTGTGGATCCTGACCATTGAAGTGAAGGAAATAAGCACCGAGGCGAACCAATGAGTGGTATATAGAAAAAACAAGGTGAAAGCCCAAAGGTCGGCTGTCAAAATCCCACACACCATACCGGTCATCAGCATGGCTCCGTTGACCAGACAAATCGAGTCCAACGTCCATTTCCCGAGACGCCACTTTAAGTTTCCTAATTGCTGACGCACATTTTCCTGGCGTTCTTTGCTTGATTGGTACATGTCATCCACACAAACGACAACGAAATCGTTCCCAGGTTGCTTGGATGTTTGGAAGGATATTATTTCAGTCAGCCACGCGTTGCTCAAGTTGAGTGGCAGTTGGCGAAATACATTCCCCGATACGTCCGATCGTACAGGGAGCATAGTCGTATCTTGTGCGCATAATTTGATGGATGGATGGATCCACTTCATCGTGGCATTGAGACGCTCAACAAGCATTTGCATGGGTGGCAGAGTCCCTCCGATCATTGTCAGGTGTGGCCATATGAATAATCCTCGATCAAACTGAGTATAGAGTCTTGCTGCACTTTTGTCGACGCGAGGGTTGTAGAGAACGGCTGCAACACCAAGCGGATCAAACGTAACTCCGTCATCTCTCTTCAGTTGAGCGTGCAAGTCTGTTAGTGACTGTGGAAACTTTTCTGCCTGTGCTAGCCCGATTATGGAGAGAAAACTTGAAAGATACAACGATGATGATGGCATTTTAAGGAACACGGGTCTCCAAGGTTCGCGACCCATGGATTATTAGAAAAAAATGTCTTCCAGTAAACACAAGGCAAGCCACTACTCAAAATTCCCTGGGTATTCGCTAAGTTTCCTCTATTGGGGTTAGTGCTTACTAGCTGAAGTCACTTTGTATGTCCGGAGTACAACATATACCTGACGATCCCCAGCGATCCACTAATGGCCGCACCTAGTCCAATAATATACACCCAGGAAACTGCCCTCAGAAAAGCAAGTTGCTGACGGGGTCTCTCGACTCGAAAGCACGGATGATGGATCCACTCAAAAAGACGCGTTTGGGTGATATGAGTACTCGCGAATCAGCACCCCAGCATTCTCAAATAATCTGTATTATAACACGTGATTAACTATGCACCCATAAGAAACCCACCCACATCCACAACCACCATAATCCTACCCCGGGCATGTACGTGGCAGCGTCTTTGGTGTCAGGGCTTCACACGCTTCCGAGAAATCTATGGATGAGACTGCAAATCACGACCCGAAAGGTCTCTCTCAACTTTGTGCTTCATTCGACCAAGGTGGTGGGGTTGCACTAGGAGACGCGTTCGCTATCTACTCTATTGTCGCGTCTTCTCCAGATTGGAGCACCACATCATTCAAATCTGAGCTTCAGGAACTCATATTAGCAGCTTCTGCTGTTGGAACCGTGATTCCTGTGCTAGTCGCCACGGAAAGTGTATTTACGGTGGACATTGTCTCATTGCCATATTCAAAGCATCCACCTTTCAACTCCTCGCGGGACATATCACCTCGTGATAGCCTTCCTTGGTTCCTTGTCAATGCATCAAAATTCTCTAAGCACCAGATTGTCGGCCGCGGCGACATTGTTGAGTCCTTATTGGTGATTCTCCAGCGACCGTGGTGTGTCCTTGAGCTATGTTGCTGTGATAGTCCGGCCATATCGGCCCTCCACCAGTTCGCCGTCATAGCGACCAAACTCAACCCCGAACTCTACAATAATGCCTTAGTATTATTACATCAAGAGCTGAGAAGAAGAGCAGTGCTCTCTCTTAGTGATATAAAACACTCCGGATTACCCTTCACTAAACCCTGGATATCCTTTGCCGAACTTGATAGAACACGGTTTACTGTCAAGGGAGTGTATACCGACTTGTCTTTTAATCGACTTCGCTCGCACAACTCGTTCTGGTTGCGATTGATTTCTACATGCGCTCTATACCTTGATATAAGCTGTTCAGATTTGGTTCGCATTTTGTCAGACACTTCCAGAGGCGTTGTTTTCTCGTGGCAAAAGCACACAACGAACCAGGAATATTATTCAAGGATTGAACAGATGTCGCTTCACTCTCACAACTCAGTAACAATATCGACATGCAAATCGGTGCTCCTAAAAAGGAAGAGTACTTTGACTTTCAAGGATCATGGCAAATGGGTGGGACTACATGATTTGGAAACTTTGGGCAGCGGGCAGCGATTCCTGCTTCTAATATACCGACAAGTTTTGCAAATTATTTCTGAATCATTGCCTTAGTCCCGAAAGAGGGATAGGCGATCAGAGTACCGGGCTTACATTTACTTCTTTGGCGTTTTCCTTCTATTTCCCCTTGAACAAAAGGGCGGACATCATAGCGGAAATTCCAACCTACACAAGAAAGTGCTCACAGTCCTCCCGTTATTTCACAGTAACCTTGCATAGCTAACCCCCTTCCCTCAAAGGTTTACTGCTTCACCGTATAGTCACACCAAATGCATATCCATATACTCTGAAATCTAAAGATCTATATACTTCCATCGTTCACAATGCAGTATATGCTAGAAGCGGTGGTCCAATCTCAAATCTCTCTTATTTCGGCTCTTGTACGTTCCAATTGTGTCTCGATATGACCTTTCCCACGTACGCCAGTTCTCTTCTAGCGCTATACCACTCCCCACCAAGATTGCCCAAAGCTCAAGGGTATATTTCCAGAAGGGAGATTCAAACAAGGATATAGGATAACGGTGCTCTCCAGTTATATAGATGCGCATCCGCCCGATGGATCCCCTTGCGGACATGCGAAGACCGCTTGGGCACCTACAATTGAATTGCTAACTAAGAGTTGGTGCTTGATATATTAGGTGTCTTCCTCGGTTCTCGCGTGGGCAGTGTTCTCTTCGTTCCACCCTTTTCTTCTTTCCCATCACCATCAACAGATAGGAAATTCCTTTCTTTTCACTTACTTCCCAAAACCTTCCAAGTTTATCTTGGCCATTACAACTGGCATGATTATTCGCATAGCTACCCATCAGACTACTTGGATCCCGGTCTTCCGTCGTTCTACCCACGTGTACGTATAACGACGCTGCAACCAAAAAGTTGGATAAATCAAAGGACTACATTAATCGATATTTAACTCTCATTCTCACTATTACACCTTATAACAACTTTGTCATGCCTCAGCCTGTCTTGGCCTATCGTGCACCTGGGGGGCTTTGCTTGGCTCAGGGATTGCGATATCCCATTCAAGTGGGTCAAAAACGATCAGAGACGCGAATTATATACCCAAAGCCACACGCTGAGAATCGGCAGATATAATGCTGAAGCTTTATACTCTCTTCGAATATTTCTGCACCCACTATATTAGACGGCCTTGCAATCCAACTCCAACCCGACAGAACATGGTAATAGACTTCAACCCCGAGCTCCCGTTATAGAAACGCACTACGATCCAAAAATCACCATAGGGACCTACACCAAGATCTTCATATAATTCAACGAGACCTTCTGGCCGAAGAACAGCCAGAATTTACTATATACCTCCCCGGAACGGCGTGGCTACTTCGCATCCTTCTAGTCGCTATCTGCACCTAGCTTCTTAGAAGGCTCGAACATTCTGTTTGCAACGGTTCTCGCTAAGGAGGCTTACCGCGTTAAGCGCCTTTCCGATACTAAGACCTAGGCTGAAATCATAGCCGTCCTACGAGAGATGTTTCCTGGGACCACTATCCCTAAACCAACTGCTTTCCTATATCCTAGATGGAACAAGGCGGAATAGGCATATAAGAGCTACTCAAACTAGCCGCTAGGAACCACTCTAGAGATACACTAGAACCTACACGCCAATACTTCAAGATTGTGGTTTACGGGCGAGGCGACAAGCTTACAGTAATCGTGCCAAGCGCCCAACACACATTCTCTGTGTTGGTGCGCCCCACTCAACGATAATTCCCACACAACGATAATTTTCCACTTTGGCATCAATTTTGTTAGCATTTTATACCATACCACGATGTCGGAACAAATTGAAAATCTCGAAGATCAAATTTTAAGAGCTACCAATGCCTTTCATCTGAATAATAACACCAATATCGCCCAGTTGGCGCGGGAATTCAGCGTTCCATACCAAAGGCTTCGCGCCCGTATTCACGGGCGCGGAAGTAAAACCACTGCTGCCAGCCTAAAAAAGACATTAAACCCAATTCAGGAGAGAGCATTGAAAACCTGGATCGATACCCTACATATTAGCAATATGGGTATATCCCCCTCTCTCATTGAAAAGGCTGCAAATTCAATTCTACGCCGGGCTGGCAGCGATCAGGTGGTGGGCCCTAACTGGGTATACCGCTATATGCAAAGACTACCCCCTGAGATACCCTATATCAACCCAAAAATGGCTGAAAAAGTGAGGCTTGATAGCGAGCAATACGGCCTAATGTTACTTTGGTTTAACAGCCTTCGTACGCTCTTTGAAAAGTATCAATTTCTACCCCATGAGATCTTTAATTGGGATGAAACCGGCTACCAAATTGGCTAAGGAAAGCGGCAAAAGGTGCTTGCACCTAATGCTAATTATACCAATCCTACTAGTGGTCAAAAAGAGTCTATTACTGGCATTGAATGTATATCTGCCGGTGGTTGGGTTATGCTACCTTGGTTTCTACCTAAGGGCTCTTTGCATATGGAGGAGTGGTATGAAAATATCACTACCCCCGATTTCCGGATTAAGCCTACGCCTAATGGCTGGATTGATGATAATACGGCTTTTGAATGGCTTTGTTCTTTTCATGAAGCTACAAAATCTCTGGTTAAAAAAGGCAGGCCAAGGCTGCTTTTAATGGATAATCATGGATCCTATACAACGATCAATTTTATTGAATTTTGCAACTAGCATTTCATTATCCCAGTCTTTTTTTTACCCCATACAACCCATCTCTGCCAACCGCTAGATGGCCAGCCATTCCAATGCTTAAAGCATCATTTTCGTATAGCGAATAATGAAGCTATAATGTGGGGTGGAAGTGCAAGCAAGAAGCGGGATTTTTTTAGGATAATTCAGGGTGTCCGAGAGCAAGCTTTCACCCAAAGAATCATCCGATCTTCATTTAAATCTAGGGGTATTTACCCCCTAGATCCAGAGCTTATTCTCGGTCCTCTACGTCAAAGAGCTCTTGAATCTGAAGGGTCCCCCCTTAGGATTCTCACTCCCTCTCCCCCTCCGGAATTCGCAAGCTCAGTCACCAATTCGCCGCCAGATACAATTGAGCGGGTTAATAGGCTTAATGCTAAGCTTATTGATGACGTTAAGCAAATGGAAAACTACTCTCAGAGGGTGAAACGGCATATCCAACGAAGTATGGATGCAACTTCACTTTTATCCCACGAAAATGCTATACTACGGGCTGAATTAAAGAAGGCCCGTACGTCCAGTTCAATTGCAAATACCCCAAGAAATGGGAAATCGCTTCTTGGGACTAAAGGCAATGTCCTATCACCTATATGTGCAAATAGGAAGATGGTTGACAGGAGAGATGCTGATTCTAAGAAGTTGAAGCGCATACAGGCAAAGCATGCCAAGGAATTGGAAGCTCAACGGCGAGCTCAGGAAGCAAGGGATTTAGTAGAAGCTGAGCATGAAGCTTCAATGGCGGCAAGAGATAGTAATGGTGCAAATTGGTATATAGATACTACTGGTGGTTATATGTAAATAGTGGTTTAAATGCAATTCATCCCATTAAAATTATCGTTGTGTGGGAATTATCGTTGAGTGGGGCGCACCAACACAGAGAATGTGTGTTGGGCGCTTGGCACGATTACTTTAGCTTTCTACATAGGGCATGGTTTTAGGGTAGGGAGGTCGGAGCGCAGATTACGGGGTTGATACAGGGCCATTGTACAAATGTGACTAAGGAGAACAAGTGTGGGGGAAGGAAGTATTATGAAACCTTGACAGGGTCCACGCCCTCAAACGCCTATGCCGTAGAAAACGGATGGCCTGGTGGTTTGCTTTATTAGACTACCAAGTTGTAAATAATAGTGTGCCAATGCCACAAGAAGGATTCTATCGATTAACAGAGCCAAATAAAGCGACGATAGCTCGCCAATAGCCTTTATCTGCACCTTTTCTATCTATAATTTATCGGACCACATTCATTGTTCTTCTACCCGGCCTAGGTAAACATGCGTTTTAGGAAAACTTTCGACCATTTCTGCATAAACGAGAATGAAATCATAGTCTCCTTCACAAATGAGATAAGCCCATTCACAGGGGAATCCCCTGTCGGTATACTGTTTTAACTAGCTTCAAAAAGTGGCTTTTGCCATATTCCAACGCCATTGACACAGACACGTGCATCATCACTAGGGAAATGTGTCTAAACGGTCCATCTCTGGCCAATTCTACCAAGGCAAATCATTATAAAATGGATGTATCTCGACATTAATCTGGATGACGGGTCTCAACTTGACTAATATTTAGATCGGCACATGTCTCACCCGCGGACGGAACTCCTGAGCCTCGACTTCCCACGGCACATATATGCTCGCCACTCCTCTACTTCAATACTTCCAAGGCCATTGCATCAGGTGACACATCCTCGCAATCAAGCCTATTATCTTAACCTCTGTTCGACTGTAGAGATGGCAGAGACTTTACTTCAGCCAGGTAGATAATATATCCCCTTGCCGGACTTGAAACCTTGGGATCCATCCCACTGTGACTTGGGTTCCAAACGCTATCTACGTCATTCCCACAACTGATTCAATTCGCGCTAACACTGCTTTCTGTTATGCTGCCTATTCATGTTGATCGCCGGATTTTGGACATCACAACCAAATCAGTAGGTCGTTGAAAAGGATGGGCCAGACTTACGTCTGAGTTGCCAAAAAAGGGAATTGCATTAAGCTGGCCATTGTGGGTCTGAAGACTGTCATGTTCAGACTTGTGGCAGAATCTGGCATCATCGCCTTGCGATATTCATCGGAAATTGACCAATGATCTCAACCTCTAGGGCTACTTTGAAATCATTTCCTTCACTTGTACGGAATAGTCCGTACCAGACAGAATAATGACACGCCAAAAGCAGCAAGATTGGCTCTAGAAATAGATTTCCTTCAGGTACATAGTAGTACAGTGGGGCCAGATTCAAAGCCATATTCCTCTTACTGCCTTAGCTTTGGCCCCCGATAATCCCTTCCGGATTGGTTAATTGGTCTTTTTGTACGGAGTAACGAATTCTGATTTTTTCTTGGCTCACATGCTTCAGTTAATGTGGTATTGCATGGCAGAGCAATTCATGATCGGCCTTTTTCAATTTGGTCGGCACGATCTCATACGTCGAGCGACTTTCCCACGTTTCAGACATATTTTCTATTCCTTTGATCGCCGACTTGCCAAATACGACGTACAACATACGTTATGCATTGAGAAACTTGAAATCTTTAAATAAAATTGAAAAAGAGTATACCCATGTTCCAGGCCATTTTCTAAACTCCTTACTATTCAGATACAATTTCTTATTAGAACAATCATTACTGACGAGTTGACTGCTATGTTGGTGCAGTGAACGCCATAGCCTACCCCGGAATTTGCATCAAGGATCTAAGATGGATGAGCAGCGCCTCTTTCCCCAAGGTTTCAGCGTTTATATCGACAATCCCCGGGCATGGTGTCCCTCTTTTAGACAAGGATGATCGTTCACCGTATCAAATATTCAACAAATCCCCCCTGGACGGACTACTTTGTAGATGTTTGGGGGCCCACTTGCCTATTGTTGCATGACAAGATTGCGGTCTCTCATTGGGGGTTGAAAGGAATGTCAGTAGAATAATAATAGGTACAATTGCGCTAGATCCTGTTTTGGACATTGCCTTATAATCGATATTCACTTGATGTTCCGAAACACCACATCATTTCGCCCGAGTGGACCACTTTTCCCATTTACCCCTGCATCTACGACATATATGCAGCTATCACTGGCATATATATTTAACCTCCTTCGCCTTTCTTATGCTGTAGCCATTCCAGATCAACGCAACAATTCAGCTTGTCTTTTCTTCCCAAGATGCACGTTCTCAGTACTTTGATTCTGTCCTCCGTGGGACTAGCTTTTGCATATGAGGTGCCCGCCAATTTGCAAGAAATCTACAAATCCCACAAGGTAATCCTCGCATGTCCATCAGCTATAGTCAATGGGCCTAACATGTTATAGGCTACTAAATGCAAAAACCTACTTGCCAAAGGATTTGACGATGGAGACGAAGGTACCACCGACATGGGTTATTGCGGCGACATAGACGGGGCTATCTTCTTGCACAGCACCTCCAAGGGGGGATCGTACGCTGACATGGACATCGATTGTGATGGTGCCAATAACTCCGCGGGAGGCTGCAGCAATGATCAGAGTGGTCAAGGTGTCACGGCTTTCCAGGATGAAGTGAAACACTTTGGTATCAAGGACTTAAATGCCAACATTCACCCCTATGTGGTCTTTGGAAACGAGGACCACAAGCCCAGGTTTATGCCTGATGAGCATGGTATGGAGCATCTGAGTGTGATGGCCATTGTGTGTGATGATAAACTGGTACCTCACCCCTATTCCCGTTTATTCATATTTCCCTGCTAAAATGTTATGACCATAGCACTATGGTATCTGGGGCGATACCAACGGCCACACCTCTACCGGAGAAGCTTCCATCTCTCTGGCCAAACTCTGCTTCCCTGATGACGACATTACCGGTGACAGCGGACATAGTGAAAAGGATGTCTTGTACATTGGCTTCACCGGAAAGAGCGCAGTTCCGGGATCCAAGGCAGACTGGAAAGCGAAGGACAGCAAAACGTTTGAAAACAGCATCAAGTCTCTTGGTGATAAATTGGTCGCGGGTCTTGAGTCCAAAGGCTCCATCAAAGGCTCTACATCTTCGTTCGCCACATCTACGCGGACTACCGCTACAACTTCCAGCAAGGCCACGTCCAGCGCTTCCTCGCGCACCTCGAAAGCGTGTCATGCGGACTAAACTCCCTGAGGTGCACAGCCTTCGATCAGTTTGGCTGTGTGTATCGGACTCGTGGAGAACGGCAGTTGGCTCTGTGTCTTCCCTTAGATTACAGTACAATAGTGTTTCTTTGAATCTTTGTAATTTTCAAATTGTCAGGAATTTATCTTACTTTTTGCGTTCCTTGATTTTCAAAAGTTATGTAGGGAGATATATGCATTCCATCTCTCGTGGAAGCAGGCTTTTCCCCGTCGTATGTAGTCTTTCCACTTATAAGAGGAAACTTTCGTCCTATCTCGAAATCTCCGTAGATGAATTCCCATACAAGAGGAAGCAATCATAGTACAGCACATGCTCCTAACTACTTGAATCATCTACGTACAAATTCTACGGACAGTGAAGTGATATTATCGCAGCAAATCCGTTGGCCTTATTCTGACCGGGCAGTCTTCAAACGACGTAGAAAGTATCTTAAGTAGTACTACATCACTGTCCTCATTAGTCATTTTCATGTCTACGGAAATGGGCATGCATATCATGCCTTATGTGAAACTACTAGATTGGCTTGTTTCATTTTTAACGGCTAGATCCTTCCCAACGATGAACAACAACAAGGTATTAATATCGCTCATTCAAATTTGGGTAAACAGTGACATCATTGGTAACCTGCTTCCCAACAGATAGACTGTATATCATGCATTATATCTTTCGATTACGTCTTTTGGGAGGTTATGCCGGACTCAACTACAACATCGACTGAGGGTGCTCGACATTGGAACTGGTACGGCGATATGGTCATTTAGTACATATGTAGTAAGCCCGCAGATGCAGACATATCCTGGATATATGGTTGTTTGTGTTGGCATACATCTAGTTGCAGATTAATTCCGCTCCGCTGAGGTGATCGGCGTGGATCTGCCCACGGGTCTCCTATTGAACCTACCTGGTCTGCTCTCTCGCTTTCTTGGTTCTTTCGTGATATATTAATATCTATCACGGTCCCGCCAAATGTCCTCTTTCTTATAGGCGATCTAAAGCAGGGGTGGAACTTTTTCCCTGGCTACTTCGATTTTATGCACGTTCGTGGGCTTGATGGATGTGTAAATAATTGGTCAAAATTAGTGCTTCAGTGTTACAAGTTTTAAACTTGGACTGGAGTTATTTCTAACAATACTACTCCGTACAGTCATCTCAAACCGGGCGGCCAGGATGAGATTGCCGAGTTGACATGTCATTTTGAGGCCAACAATGATCCAATGCCAGAGAGTTCTTACTTTCTTTCGCTGAGTTTTTCATCACTTATCAGCGGTCCAAAGACGAGATTGGGTTGTGATACCTAATCTGCCCGTGCTATTCCATGAGACATCATTCGAGGATATTGACACTACCACCCGTATCTACCTTATTGTAACACGGCAAAAAGACACTCAATTGAAGATAGGACAGTACATGCACGCTAAAACGGTCGACAGAGCTTTGGAAAGTTATACTCTTGCGATGTTCACGCGATATGGGGACTGGAAGCCCGCAGAGGTTGAACAATAAGATGCATCTTTATACAAAGTGGTTTGTCCCTTTATAGCCTGTTATATTTAAACTCACTAACATACTTAATCAGCCAGTTTATCACCGCACGCAAGCCTATCAATTGGTGTCAGACTTGAAGTCAAAGAAACAGAATTTTGCTCCTGACTATTATGTTTATTATAAAGCTAATGCTAAATGGAAAAATTAGATGTTCAGATAATCTAGATTACACATATACACGTTGCATATTTTCAAGAACTAACTAGTTATTCAGGTTGTTGATTTAACTAGCAATACAATCTCAGGCATCATTTTAATGCCTTAGGCTACTATCAAGCTCGGGCCAATTACCATTCTTGCCACCCCTGAAAATAAACAGATGGGCCGGGTATTCCTTGAGGATCATGTAGAAGATGTCATCTGGATATTTAAGCCCAAGTTATCCGCCAGATTCATTTCGCGTCAGGCGGAAGCCCGTGTCAAACCCGAATTTGCGAGCTACGGCGCATGCCGATCAGCGGGAAGCAACAGCCTATGCTGCCAGCACCCCGTCTCTTATGCTGCCATCGTCACAGCCCCCATCGTATACGGACCTTTATGGACCGCCACCTCCCAGGCCTGTAAGTCGAGGCTCGCTGCCGCGACCAAGGACAGCAGGGCCAACTTCATCTCCGACTCCTCCACCAACGCCTGTTCAAAAGGCATACAGCGAAGCTCGGCATTTCCTCACTGGTCTAATCAATCGTCCAACAGAATCAAACAAGCATGTCACCATTTTGCGACATTCCCATGGACTGGTCTTCTACCGTGGACCCACTACATCTGTCGCTATATCAATCTTCTCTGATGCCCCCTTACCACCTGAACACACCTTGTGGTTGCAGAGCAAAGGTTGGACCGGGAAGACCGGGATGCAATTCAAGTCGTTCCTCCGTCTTCGAGATAGCTGGCTGGATGTGACCCCGGGTATGCCGTTGAGGGCCGACCAGGTGACTCCGGATGATGAACGAGCTTGGCAACGCGACATCAAGAAATTTCGAAAGAAGGCCCCGCCCCGTCCGCGCGATACACATCAGCTTCGTGAGACTGCTGTTGTGCGGATTCCCGCAGAGGCAGGCGATGGTTATTTCCAGCTAGTTCTCTGCCAAGGACTCAAGAAGAAGGTGCTTGGCAATAGCCCTGTGTTCCGGGTGCTCTCTACATCCACTGCCCCCAGTTCTATCCGTGGCGCGAGTTTGAGCACACTGCCCCTAGAGGTTGGTGCTATGGTTGTGAGCCTTTACGCCCAAACTGCAGCGCGAACCGCGGCAGGTCCGGCCGCCATGGCCATTCAAGCCAAAGCTGCTGCGGTTCGTCCATCGTGGGTGACAAAGACTGCGGTCCAAAAGGCTTACACGAGTAGTGGTATCGAGAACCGCGTGGGCGGTATTATCAATGGCCCTAAAGGTCCTATTGGGCGATCTCAGATCAGTCTAGCAGCGCCAGAAATAGCTGGAAGCAGCCCGGTTTCTATCGATGTCGGTCCTCAGCTACCATTTCCTATGACTTTCAAAGCTCGTTGTCAAACTGATCAAATCCCCTACCCCAACAACCCGGATGATATACCGAAGTTGAGCTTAATTAGAATGCCCGACTGGGTGACGGAGCAGTTAAGGGGTTACTTCTTTGGTTGGGCTCGATTCGACATTGGGTCGAGCAAAGGTCCCTCAACTGATGAATGGTGCCCAGCTATCTTGTCTGTGCGGGCATTGGATCCTCTCCAGGCGGTGAGAGTAAATCTGGCTCAAATATCAAAACGCGTCGTCGCAATTCGCCTCCTCGAGGATGTCCCTCTCCAAACAAGCAAAATCGAGATTCGTGTTTTGGGATACCTCCGCGCTGAGATCCCACCACCCACCGGGACCACGAGCAAAGAACTCGCTGAGGCGCAAGCGGCAGCTGCAGAGGCAGCTCTGCTCGCTGATGTATACGACGCATCTGTTGTACAGGATACTCTGGCTCATCCCGCGTGGGCCGCGGAACATCCGGCGATCTCAGACCTTCAACAAAACTCGACTTGGATTGATCGCACGGTGGAGGGGTATACCAATATCATCACCCGTGGACAGAAGTTGGTAGAGCAAGTTCCATTGCACCTGATTGGTGTTCGCTCTATCACCGATGAGCTCAGAGAGAGCCAAGTTGCTGTAAATGGGTTTTATATTGTCCGCTAATCCTTGTCAATACGCCCATAGACCTTTTTGTAGATGCGTATGTATAACATACGATATATATTATTTCATTACCTGAGATTGATCCGTGAAGTTATCAGTTACAAAAAAAATTCCCAGACAGGCTATAAACCCTGTTGAATAAAGACCCAATATTTACAAATACATGATCAATCAAACTAATAAAAAAACACTCATGCTCCAACCGGAGGCTCCGAAGCCGCCAAGTTGCATTGACGAAACAATCGCACCTCGTCAGGTTTGAATGCGCCAACCACGGAATGCAGCACGCCACGGTTGTTGAATAACACCAGGTCATTATCCTCCCAGTCATGCGGATAGACATACTGAGGACTGATAGCCGGCCGCTGCAACTTATAGACAATATCCCGCACGCGGGCCAAGTCGTCGATCGTGGTTCCATCGGCGCAGTGGATACGGCGCACAGCAGAGGGATGGATCTGCAGAGCCAACTTGCCCGTTACTGGGTTTTTCCAGGTCATCGGGAAAACCATGATCTTACTAGGGTCGATAGGTGGCAGTTCTGAATCAGGCAACTCTAGGCCTTCTGAGTGCATACCGAGCCCTGTGGATCGGGAATGCGCTTGGCTCATCCAAATGTACCTGTAATGATGGTTAGCTCGAAGCCTTATGCATATCACAGGACGTCTTACGGATGAGGGGCATATTCCATTTTGCTCGTCTTCACAAACTCCTTATCCTCGGGCGAAAGAAGTTCAAACATCCGCTCGCCACTAACAAATGCCGTTGTGCCAAGTGGCACATCCATTGTTTCTCCGGTCCCATCATCATACAATAATGTTTGTCGGCGGCCTTTTGGCACACTCACAGCCATAAGCGTTGTGACCTGGGGCGGGTATAGCTCGTAAAGTGCGGCATCGATGTGCCAGCGATAAAACCGGGTGAAGTCATAGTCCTTCTCGTCCGGGACGTGATCTTGGTGGAATGTCCGGTGGTGAGGGTGTCGTAATGTGATATCTTTAAGACCCTCGTACGAATCAACGTGTCCATTTCCAATCACCTGCACTTGTGGCTGGTGAGGGACCGTCTTCAGATCTGGATGGAGAATGCTTCGCTTCGCATCGATGGTCTTGCCATGTCCATAGTTATTGGAGACTGGGTCGAAGCGCTTGGTCAGCTCATACTGGGCTTTAGGTGATAGCCCTTTCTGGTGTTTGAACACCACGACGTGGTACTCATAGAGGGCCTTCCGAATCGTCCCAAACTGCTCCTCTATAAGATCATTAGCTTGTGCTCTTGCAATTGGCAGTAAACCACGAACCAGTTAAGTTTTCCAAATCAACCCCTTGAATCTCAGCACCGAAATCAATGCTTGAGCCGGGAGGAGGTTGAAGCGGACGCACGGTAAGTGGTAGCACGGCCATAGTTTCGGATCCTTCAAATTTTCGGGTTCACAGCTCGAGATAGGGTGTTCATATGACAGTCTTTATAGTTATTGGCCGATACTAAGTTGTTCAGTTCTCCAAACCAGATTGTGAACGGTCAATGGCGTACACCGAATCTCTAACGAATAGAAAGGAGAATACGTGGGACTCTGGGAATGATAAAGATGTTGTCACCGGCTATCTCCCTAGGGAAATATTTTGATAAGTCAAGCTCCGAATTACGGAGCGATAATTAATATGATGAGGTATTAGTTGTTATTGGATGTTATCCATAGACGGGATATTAGTATGGTGATAAGGCGGGTGAGTAATAACAACACACCCGCTCCGATATTTTATACGTCATAACACTACAAGCATGACAAACTTGACAAACTTGACAAACATAACACATATGCCCAGATGGCAAACATGGCAAACATAGGTTCTCCACTTACCCAGCTATTACTTCCAAGGTACCCAAGGTCACCAAAACTTCCACCAAGGCCCCCGTGGTTTTGGTGGTTGCTCAGCAGCAATAATCTCATCCAAACCGGTGTGCATATCAACTTCCTCCGGGCGCCATGCCCATGGATCACTCCAATACAGTGCCCGATGTCCGAAGTAAAGAATCAAGAAAGCAGGAATACCGATGTATGCGGTGAAAAAGTTGCTCACAGACCACTCCGATGGGAAAAATACTGTGAACCCATTTATAAGCACCATGAGAGTGGCACCCGCGAGGCCAAAATAAATCCCATATGGCTGCAGCTTTGATTTGTACGGTTGTTCAATACCCTGTGCTTTGATGGCTTTGCGGAAACGGAAAAACACCACGGAACAGCAGATCCATGAGATGAAGCCAGAAGTGTTTGTGAAGTTGACGAACCAGTTGAACACAATCGAACTGGAGTTGCCAACAGCAAGATAAGCCAATGCCGAGAAGCATGCCGAGGCCGAAACAGCCCAGTATGGGACACCCCATCGATTACATGTCTTGAACACATGCGGCGCGTTGCCTGACATGGCCAATGAATAGAGCGACCGAGAAGACATGTACAGGAAGGAATTTCCTGCGGACCAGGCGGATGTCAAGACGGCAGCGTTCACGATGTGGTCCAAAACGGGAATGCCGGCGTTTTGGATGCCGATCACGAATGGAGATGAGCTTACCGTACCGTCGCCCTTGGTCAGACGACTAGCATCGGATGGGCAAATAACACCAATGGCTAGCACACCAAAGATGTAAAAGAAGACCAATCGGTAAATGTATCTCCGGGCAGCCCGGGGTATATTGCGCCGAGGGGACTCCATCTCACCCCCACTAATCACAATGAGCTCTGGGGCGAAGATGAACGCAATGGCGCTGGATACTGTGCATTTCAACAAGGCCACGAACCGGCCCGAATCCCCCGTCGTGAGATACGCGTTGAATGGGCGCGGATTATTCCAATAATGAAAGCCCAGTCGCTGACGATTGGGTCCACCACCCCAGAAGAGGATGAAGGATACCATCAACAAGCCGATCAGAGTGATGATCTTCACCCCGGCGAACCAGAACTCCGACTCGCCATATACTCGCACGGGCATAAAGTTGAGCGCGATAATGATGATCATCATGATTGTGATCCACACAGCAATGTTGATCGATCCACTCTGGTCCCAGTATCCGATAACCAGTCCAGCAGCAGTGATCTCGTACGGTACTAAGATTCCAAGAGAGTACCAGTATAGATATCCCATGGCGAAACCCATACTCCGCGACACATAGCGGAATCCATGATAACTCATTGTTCCACCATGTACTGGAAGATAGGCACCAACCTCAGCGATGGCTGTGACCAAGCCATAAACCATGGCCGAGATGAAGATATAACCTAAAAGAAGCGATGCGGGGCCTCCAATGGCCAGTGCTTGGCCGGAACCCACGAAAAGTCCTGACTTGCATTAGTAATCTTTTTGTTTTTTTTTGTTTTTTTTCAAACCTGCAGACTTACCAGTTCCGATCGTGCCTCCGAGGGCCATTAGCTGAACATGGCGATTCTTCAAACCACGTTTGGTGGTTGTTGCATAACGATCATCATGCAAATCGGCTTCGACCAGATTTCTAAGTGCTTTGCCCTTCTCGCTGATTGGATGTTGATCAACCCCATAGTTGTGGGGTTCGGTCTCTATTGCCGCCATCTTATGCGACAACGAAAGGGGGAAATACTGGATAAAAGTGAAACGATCGACAGGAATATGTGCTATATTTAAATGTTTTTTTCCACAGGGCAGTTTCATCCCGTCGTACAGAGACCCCCAGCCACGCGATATTAAACCGCTATACCTCTGGTCAATGACTGGTCAGTGGAGGGGTCCGTGGCCGCCTAATGGTAGTTAGGCCCGGACAAAGATACAATCCTGGGGTAACCCACTAGGCTTCAACTTGAAGATAAGACTGCAAAATTATGCGAGATCGTGTCAACGCTGGTTCTGGTGATATTCATTATTGCAGCGACTGATATCCCGAGTTTCCTAGTATCCATACCTAGCGCATAATCGACAGGAAAGCCAGTTGACAGTCTAGAGGGATCAGATAAGGCAAAATCTACTAAGCTACGATTGTTTTGTTCATTACATTCCATAATAAGTGCCACCTGCGCACCCGTGAACGGCATCACGGTAGAAAAATGCTCTCTCAAACATTATAATAGAAAACATGAGCAAAAAATGGCCCCTAAATGACAGCAGGACCGGTCCGGTGACCGGTCCGGGGAACCCTATTGACCCTAAAACAAGTGAAAAGAAAAGAAAAACCTAGGACAAATAGGTACATAAAGATTAATAATAGAATCTCGTATCAGAGAGTGATGGGAAAAGTTGATACTACACCAGAATAGGAAATACAGTTAAGGTCCAACCAATCAGAGTCCATTATTTCCCTACCAGGCATTCCAAGGTTAGCCTGAGTAGGTCAAAGGAGCATACTAAGCTCAAACAAGATATGCCGGGAATACATCCAGGCACATGGCATCTTCCAAGGCTTCCCGAGGTCGCATTATTTGCATGACATTCATCTCGCCTCTTTTGCAATCTGCTCAACCTTGAAACATCCATGCAGTATCACCATGTGATCAGAATCCAACCTCAAAATTATGCAAGAGCAATCACTCGATCCGTCCATCCTCTCATTCTCACTCCGGTTCACCAATCGAATATACCTCCGTAAAGGAAATGACCCTCTTATGGGCTTGTCGACCAGCAACTCGTTTGTGTTAGATGCCAAACTTTTAATTGAATACCACACTTGAGGAAGAGTATCCGCGGTGGCGGGTGCAGCATCCACAACTTCCTGTGCAGTGCATATATCTAACCTTTCCAGACGGGTCCCGAATCGTGTGCCAAGATCGTTCACAGCAACCACACCCACGAGCACAGCAGCGGCCACGAAGCTGGCAGTAGGTCCGTTCGGTATTCCAGAGCTGTTTGGGATTGTGCCGCAGACTTTTTGTATACCGATGGACGAGGTTTCCTGGTGGCTTGCGCTTCATGAGTTCTGCCAGGTGTTGGAAGTATTCAATGTTGAGTAGCTTGAGCTCGACATCGCACTCCCGAAGCTTCTTCAGTCGAAGGCTCTGGCGGGCTTTCACCCTGAACTTGGTTTTCATAGTGGCGAAACACCGCACCAATATGTATTTCCCGTTGAATGATACTGTTAGCCCGTCTTATCTCCTGGCGATGCTTATATATCCAGTCGCGTTGTATCTTGGCATTTTCTGCTTCTTGGTGCTCTTGTAAGAGCAGTTTGAATCTGTTAGTTCGGACACGGCGATGATAATTCGCTTTGAGATGGTTGATGGCAGTGGTCGTGGAGGAAAATATATTATTGATTGCCATAGCGAGGTATGCAGCTAAATGTTGATGGAACAATTTTGGAGGTTGGATAGCCATTCTGTATAAGGGTGTGATGGAAGAGAACAAGGGGAGGGATCACTTTGAATAACTCTGGTCTACTGGTAGTTGTCCTCAAGTGAACTTTCGTGACTCGAGTTTTCTTTTGTGAGGCTTTTCCAGGGCCGCTGCTCAATTAGGAAACCGACGTCATTTTTATATAAGAAAATGAAGATATCATAGCTATACAGCTAGACAATGCAGCTATACAATGATAGATTTACAAAATGTAGGTTTAACACTATCAGGATCTGGACGTAGAAGATCAACATGGCGAGTGACCTTGTAGAGGGTAAGATGGTATTTTTCTTTGGGGGATGAGACGAGATCGCTCTGTATCTTGATAATGCCAAGGTGACGACTTGTCCTTGCAACCCATGTCGTGCAAAGAGAGTCTATGTACATCATTCAAGCTCCCCCACAAATTTCCAATCCTGGAAAGGCCCCTCATGTCATCGAAGACCCCCACATCCCCCACCACGGACCGAGACGAAATCTTCGGCATTCCGTGGATATCATATTTCGAGGTTCTAGTATTCTACATAAATGACTCATTTGGAATTTACAACCCAGGCTATGTCGTTGGTATAAGTCTCTTATCTGTACTTGATTGCCCATCCAAGGCCATGAGCATGAAAGCACTCGTCTCCACCAGACCGGAGACCGCGGGGGACTTGGAGCGCCCCAAAAGCCGACCGTCCAGATAGCGCCGGCCCCAGGCGAGATTCCTAGCGCATATCCAGGGCTGGTGTTGTGACAGGAAGGAGTCGGAGTCGTTGAGGAGTTGGACTCTACTGTAATCCCGGGCACACATAGATTAGCGACCACCAGTTAGGACCCTGTATGGCTTTGTGCGGTCTGTACAAATTCTGCCAACGAGGCATCTCTGCACACGGCACGCAAGTTGGATACTTTGTATGTCCGTGTTCCTGATGCCACCCTTTCGCTACAACCCCTCATATGTTTTATTTCATCCGTGCACTGCGATCGCTATGTTGGATACGAGCTCCACGGGCGAATGTGGTGTCCTGAGCGCAAATTGTCAACCAGGATCTCTCACGACGCGCCTATACACCCCGCTTTAATTGTGAGGGTCGACAGAGACGAGACCTGGCCACAGCCTGTAACTTGGGGTGCATGTCACGTTCAGCGGCAACTAATGTCCCTAGCGGGCACAAAGGGTCTAACTCAGTGATTGGAGTGGATGGAATTCCTGAGACTACCTTCGCATTGTGTCGGTAAGTGTGGGAATTTGGATCGCGAATATTGGTATGCACGGTATTAAGGCCAGGTGTACGGAGTACTGGCGCCCGAAGAGGTTGGAGCGAAATATCAGTTGAGACAACCAACCTTGGAAGGCCCGACACCTCAGGCATCCACATGTCGCTAGTCCCACCCGTTTGTTGCGACTATGGATCCGTATGGAGTATGTATGATGTATGATGTTGGACATTTCGCGGACCCATATATGCTGTGATTTTCATTGGAAGGGATTTAGAGAGAGCGCACTTTCATTTCTGCCTAGACTGTGAGAAGGAAACCTCTCAGCACCAGACGCTCAAAGTTGCCATCTGATATTTGACAATTGAAAGACTACTCCGCACGGAGTACGGAGACGCCGTAGGAATTGACTAAAAAATTGCAGCCAAGATAGCTGTGACCAATGAAACATTTGCGCGGAGAGCCTGTGCCCCCTTTTAATTGAGGCTATCTCTATACTTGCGGGATGGCCTGTCGAAACACGGCTGATATCGGAACCTGGCAAAGTCAGGGGGATCTTTTAACTGCATAGGTATTGGGGCCGTCAATTTCTGGTTGTTATCCGGACTTGGTCCAATAATTTACCTCTATTGTTGAATACAAAACAAACATATAATATTTACAATCATCAGGTTTTCATTTGCCCGGGGACCATTTCCCAAGACTGGGATTTCGGCCCCAGCAGAAGTTGGCGCCTCCAACGCTTTGTATAGAGTTAAAGATAAGACCAACCCTATGTTGTACCTTGGTAGGTTAGGGAATGTCAGATTTACAAAATATCCTGATAAACCGTTAACCCCAGCCCTATGTTGTACATGTACCTAGGTATATTTGTACAACGTAGCACGCCGAAACCCCGTGTTCCTTCTCGAAAAGCTTCGAAACAAGGACCACACTAGTCAGGTTTTGGATTGTAGAAGCAGTCTGATTGGCCGTGCCAACAATATCCCTGTTCCTCCACACATGTTGACTGGCTCAAAGTTAATCGCGCTCGTGTCCAGTGGGTAAAGGTGGATAAAGGTGGATTCATGTGGATCCATGCGTATTTCATTCGCTTGCATTTTAATCTTCTTTTCATATTTTTTGGGTTTTCTTTTCCATATTTTTGCCGTTAAGTGGCGTTTTTCTTTTTTTTCTTTTTTTCTTTTCTTTTTTTCTTTTCTTTTTTTCTATTTTACTATTTTACTATCTTTTGTTTTTGTATTTCTTATTTCTCCATCTCTTTTTCACACTCTCTACTACTAATCCTAGTACATATAACAATCTGCACCGTATGCAGATCGGAAACATCACGCAATAACTTCATTCTTTATGGCTGCTGATGCTGGGTTCCGTCGCCCCTCCGAGGTGACGGTCGAACAGGGTGTGAGCACCTCCAATGCGGATCGCACCCTGGAGGATATGGGATACAAGCCTGAATTGTCTCGCAATCGATCAATCTGGCAAGTTACCTTCATGTGCTTCATTCTCTCTTCGGTTCCCTACGGCTTGTCGACCACTCTATACTACCCACTCGCCGCAGGTGGGCCGGCCAATATCATCTGGGGTTGGGTGATCATCTCTTTCTTGATTCTATGTGTGGCTATTTCATTGGCGGAAATCACTTCGGTCTACCCAACTGCAGGTGGTGTCTACTATCAAACATTCGTCTTGTCGCCCTTGTGGTGTCGTCGCGTTGCATCATGGATCTGTGGCTGGTCCTACGTTGCAGGAAACATCACCATTACCCTCGCTGTCAATTTTGGAACTGCCCTGCTCTTTGTCGCCTGTCTGAATGTCTTTGAAAAATCGCCAGGTGTCGGAATCACCGATGATTTCCAGGCTTATCATTCATACCTTATCTTCTTGGCTATCACCCTTCTGACGCACTCCATCTCGGCGTTTGGCAACAAATGGTTGCCTTGGTTGGAGGTATGTTGTCGCACGTGCCCCTTTGCCTTATCGGGTAATAGTACTGATTATCGTTTTCTAGACATTCGCCATTTTCTGGACCATGGCCGGTCTACTCGCCATTATCGTTTGCCTGTTGGCTATCGCCAAGCAAGGTCGTCACGATGCCGCATGGGTCTTTGGTCACTTTGAAACTCAGGCTGGGTGGCCCGCAGGGTGGTCGTTCTTCATTGGTCTCTTGCAGGCCGCCTACGCCACATCGGCGACCGGCATGATTATCTCGTGAGTCTGACCCTCAATTAATTTTCCCAGCGAGCCGTTCCACATGCTAACAGATGATACGTTAGACTTTGCGAGGAGGTCCAAGAGCCCGCCATCATGGTTCCGAAAGCCATGGTCGGAACCATCATTATCAACTTTATCGCCGGTCTTCTCTTCTTGATCCCCGTCTGTTTCGTCCTTCCCGATCTCACATACCTGGTCAATCTGGCTTCGGGTCAGCCCACTCCTGCCATCTTCAAGGCCGCCATCGGCAACTCGGCTGGTACATTCTGTCTGCTGATTCCTCTGCTCGTGTTGGGTATCATTTGCGGTGTCGGTTGTGTTACCGCCACCTCTCGCTGTACTTGGGCCTTTGCCCGTGACGGCGGCATTCCCGGCTCGAGCTGGTGGAGCACCGTCAACAAGTCCCTCGATATTCCTTTCAATGCTTTGGTATTGAGTATGGTTGTGGAAATTATTCTCGGTGTCATCTACTTTGGCTCCACTGCTGCCTACAATGCCTTCTCGGGTGTTGGTGTTATTTTCTTGACCACGAGCTATGCCTGCCCGATCGCCGTTTCCCTGATCTTCCGTGGTCGGGAGGATATCAAGAACGGTAGCTTCAACTTCGGAGTCTTTGGTCTGATCGCTAACGTTATTGCTCTTTGTAAGTTGCCTCTGAAAATTATGTTCGGACGGCTTGGCTAACCGTTACCCATTCTAGGCTGGAGTCTTCTTGCAATTCCTCTTTTCTGCATGCCCACACTTAAATCTGTCACCAAGGAGAGCATGAACTATGCCTCTGTAGTGTTCGCTGGCTTCATTGCTATTGCTGCCGTCTGGTATGGTGTCTGGGGCTACCACAATTACCGTGGACCGCCAACTGACGCTGTGGAGCGGGATGAAACCTCCCCTGAACCTTCAGCCTACGATGAAGTCCCCAAGAAAGCACCAAGTCATTGAACTTTGAACTTCTCTTGCCATCGCGACACCAAACCCTTCTTGCCTTCGCAAATCCCCAAGGAGGCACCGAGCCATTGAACTTTGAACTTCTCTTGCCATCGCGACACCAAACCCTTCCTGCCTTCGCAAATCCCCAAGGAGGCACCGAGCCATTGAACTTTGAACTTCTCTTGCCATCGCGACACCAAACCCTTCCTGCCATTGCAAATCCCCAAGGAGGCACCGAGTCATTGAACTTTGAACTTCTCTTGCCATCGCGACACCAAACCCTTCTTTCCATTGCGATACCAAACTCTCTATACCCTCTTGAGGCTAGCCCAATCTAATCAATTCTAGAAAAGAACCGAGTTGCATGTACATAGGTATGAATACCCCATCAAAATATAAATATAGTTATTTCTGTGTGACTTATCATACCCTGCGTAGCTAATTCAAAAGTCTTGGCAAAGAGCATACAGTCCATGAATTTATGGTCCTTGCTTAGTAGATACAGTATATTGAGGCCGTTTGAAACAGCCGCATTTTAACCATCTGCTGATGACATGGATCTGTATCCCCCCCCCCCCCCCCCCCCCCCCCACAAGTCCTGAGGTCTATGAATCAATGGCTGCGATGTGGTCCGTCACCAGACAGGTAAATTCGCTAGTTCCATAGTAGAAGGTGTTTCCATCATCGGCTGATTTTCCCGTGCTCAGTGTGTCTCCATACTGCCAGTAGAGATCAGCTGCAATGCCAGTAGTGTCCAATGCCGTCTTCTGCCATGGTGCCTCGATGTTACAGTGATCAGAAGTGGCACCGTACTCTTCAAAGAGACAGGGCTTGCCAGCTGCTGCACAGACAGCTCCGTGGGATGTGACCCATCCGTTGCCCCAATCATTGGGGGTTCCCCCTGGCATTATATTAGCAAGGTCTAGTCAAAGCCCTAAAAGGATATACATACAGCTCGTGGGGTAGAGATGGAATGTAGCAAAGTCGATGGTATCAATCCCTAGATTCATCGTAAAGTTCAGACCCTCGCCGTAGCTGTAGGGATAACTGCCATCAGACCCGGTGTCTAGTCCGAAGCCCTCTAGAAGATGAGTTAGACAATTGACCACGTGGCAGAGAATCTCAAGGGCCTAAATACCATCACCAATGGCAACCATATGCTTTGAGTCCAAAGACTTGATATAGGCACTGGTAGACTGGATCCAGTTGTAAAGAACCGAAGTGTCACAGCCATTGCAGCGGGGCTCATTGGCCAACTCCCATGCAAAGACGGCAGGCGAGTCAATATACCGGGAAACAACAGCTTTAATGTAAGCACGGTAGGCCGACTGAGCTGCAGTATTTGTATACCAGCTTGTCTGGCTGCCACCAAAAGCGGTGACGTAGGCCGCCATACCCCCATAATCCGACCAGTTATTGACAAAGTTAATGATAAGTTTCACATTCCGTGCCTCGGCGGAGGCAACCACATAGTCCAGGCGCTGTAGGCCATCTGCGCCGGTGTTGATAGTGGCCGTTCCATCTTTGAGTAGTTGGTAATAGACAGTTCCAGAAGATGGAACAGTGTTGACATCGTTGAATCCCCAAACTCGGAGGATTCGGAGCCCAGATTCGTCCATGTGGTCGAACACAAGATCCACATCGTCATTGTTAGTGAGGAAGCCAATCCAGTAGGAATTGGAACCGGCAAAGTAGCTTGTCTTTCCATCAATTTCAAATTCCAGTCCATTTGTAGTGGGGAACCCTGTCCCACTGGGACTAGTGGTGGTTGCCTTTGTAGTAGTGGTCGTTTGAGTTGTGGTTGTCGAAGAGACTGAGACCTTTGTCGATAGAGTGGTGGTACTACCGACAGCAGCTGGAGCGTTCCGTGTTAGTCGATTGAACATCATTACAGCATATCTGAGCACGCTTACATGCGACACACTGGCTAAACCAGTCATTCTGATATTGGCAAGTCCAGCCAGAGACGCATGTTGTAGAGCCAGAATAACCGCTTCCGCCACACTGAGCATACGGAGCAGCTTGCGCAGAGACCAGGCTGGTCAGGGATAAAATTGCTAGTGTTTTCATAATGATCCTAGATTTCGTAGTGCACCTGTTGTTTGGCTTTGCATACCTATATATGTAGACATATATATATCTTGGGATCCGGGAGAATATACAAATACGGGGAACAACTTCCGCCCCGAACTAGGAAATCGAAATTATTCCATCGACTGAAGGATATATATCAGGCCATGGCATGTTCCCATCGAGCTTATGCCGCAAGCCCCCCGTGTTGTTTGCGGAATAATCGAGGCGGTAGTCCGCTTGCGAGACACCAATAATTCGGCCTTTGGGGGGACCAAAGTCCATAAGCCAAACCACACTTGCATTAGTATGCGGGGTATCTAAGAAATCTATGACTGCGTGGAGCAACTGCAATTGCGGGGGTAAGTCCTGCAGAAATTGAAACGCGGAGGAATTGATACGCTTGTCTCAGTTGGTCAAGGCGTTTCAGCCGCTATACTTGGGAGATGAGGAAAAGTCATTGACACTCAGGAATAAAACACATGGATAATCGGCTAGCTAGGCCGACAATTGTAATAATTGCTACAACGTCGCAACATATATCCGTTTTATATGACACCTTCTACCTTCTTTCTCACAACCTTTTCCGAGTTCATGATTGCAAAGAATGAAGCATGCCTCGTTCTTCACAGCCCTCAAGGTCGACTCCATCTGCGACCTAGGATTTTGTACATATTCATATCCACCGTTACGATATCAGAGCTCCCGACTTTTCCTTGAATGACTCAGCGGAACGGGTTTCCAAGTCTAGAATGTTCCTGGCCGAAAATTGCACCGACTTGGAACGGTCAATACATATCTCAGAAGCGATGCCGGATCAACCGGCATATGGAGTCGAGCTATTCTGCGATTGGGGAAACTACGGGGAACTACGGAGAGAATTACGCACTACACGATATTTACCCCATGGGTGTTGCCTAACTACTATTGGATATGCCTGGCTTCAAGGGGATTTCTCAGTACGTGGATTGGTAGAGGAACTCGTTACAGTGGTTGTCTAAGAGATGGAGCAAGGAAATAGGTCTTGAGATTACGAACAGGTATGAATACGATTTCAAATAAGCCCTGGAGAAATTAAATGTAAATTACATTTGAAATTACATACGATATTACATACTAAATTACAAAAGAAATTTGGAATTGAAAATTCTTCAATGACGTAGGGCAACGGGTGTGGCGCGCCCTAGATTCCCGCCACTGACGACCTCGGAATTCGGCATTCGGGATATATCAACATGAGGATGCCGATGTTTTGCGGGATTATAACGGGGATTGGGCTTTGTATAAGCTTTACACGGACTATCCGCAAGTTCATTTGTAAGGAATGTGTTCCGAGTGAAAGTAATATCTTAGGTTAGTACTCCGTAGTATATCCCCCCCCCCAGACTCCGCATTTCCCCTCGAAAACCCTCCTTCCATGTCTGGAGATGACAATCCACGGGGATGTTTCACCGGGATACCGATCGGGTAATGAATTTCTCCTGGATCCGGAGAGAACCCGGAGAGAACCCGGAGAGAACCCGAAGGGCCTGGGGAATGCCCGGGTTTTCTCTTTGGCCCACTGTGCTTTCTCCAGATTCAAAATTCATCCCATTATCCTAGCACTGATATTCTACAAAATAAATCAATATGGTCAAAACAAAACGACATCGATCTCTTTCTCGGCCCCGACTAAAATATCTGATCCCGAATCAGTTCGGCACGGCCTTGGCCTATGAGCTTGAATTCGCCACTCCCGACCCCTGCGCCGAACAAGTCGGCTATCCACTTGAAAACGGCGAACCAGAGCCAATGATCACTTGGAACCTGCCCTGTATGGCCTTTCCTCCTGGTGGGGTGGCTGTGCAAGTCGGCTGGCGCCGGATTGTTGACTGTTGTCATCCTACTTTGTACAGTAGCCATGAGCATCGTCATCTCGCGCATCTCGCCTCTCCACAATTCTATCCCCACTTCGACTCTGGGTTTTATAATTTTTTTCTACCCTTTGATTGCTGGATTACAAAAAGGCCCCTATTCCCCCATGTTCCCCGAGGTTTCTTATTCCCCACGGGCTTTTTTCCCTCTATTCTTCTTTCATTCCCACATTTCTTTTGAGCTGGCCCTTAGTCCCTCTATATCTCTTAAATACAACTTGAAACATCAACAGTCCGGACAGCCAGAAACATATCTCCTTCCTCAACCTACACCATGGGTGCCGAAGCGCCTTCCCGCCATGGGGAGTCCATCACCCCGGCTGAACAGCCGAGCGGCGAGTCATCCTTCCAAAATAGTCCTACTGAGAAGCCCATGCAACCTGTGGGCATCGATACCCCAATCCCTTGGATAACCATGCGGTCCTTGGTGATGGCCCTCTTTGTCTCCATGGGTGGTCTGCTGTTTGGATATGACACGGGTCAGATTTCCGGCTTCCAAGAAATGAGCAACTACAAGGAGCGGTATGGTGAACTCAACACAGAAGGTTCCTACGAATTCAGCACCGTGCGCTCCGGTCTTATTGTCGCCTTGCTATCCATCGGTACCATGATCGGTGCCCTCGTTGGAGCCCCCGTCGCTGATATGTTGGGCCGGAAGTGGTCAATCACTCTCTGGTGTATGATCCTCAACGTTGGTTTGATTGTTCAAATTGCCTCTCCCGCGGGTCACTGGTACCAGATGGTCGTTGGCCGTTGGGTCACTGGTCTCGGTGTTGGTGGCTGCTCACTGCTCGTGCCCATGTACCAGAGTGAAAGTGCCCCCCGTCATATCCGTGGTGCCATGATCAGTTGCTACCAGCTTTTCGTCACCCTCGGTATCTTCTTGGCCTACTGTATCAACCTGGGTACTCACACCATGGATGGTACTGCTCAGTGGCGCATCACTCTCGGCATCACCTTCATCTTCGCTCTGGTCCTCGGCGGCGGTATGGTTTTCTTTCCCGAAAGCCCACGTTATGAGTTCCGCCACGGAAAGGCCGAGAGTGCCCAAAGCACCCTGGCCAAGCTCTACGGCATCCCGGAGAACCATGTCCGCATCTTGGAAGAAATGGGCGAGATTCGTGAGCAGTTTGAAGCGGAGTCTGATGGCCAGAAGTGGCATGAATTCCTCACTGCCCCCTGCATGTTCTACCGTATTGCCCTTGGCATGGTCCTGCAGTCACTGCAGCAGCTCAGTGGTGCTAACTACTTCTTCTACTATGTAAGTCCCTACTTCTTTTACTATGTATGATTTTAGGGGGGAAAATCGCTGACAGGAATATTCTTCATAGGGTACTACTATCTTCGAAGGGGCTGGTCTCTCGGACAGCTTCGTGACCCAGTGCATCCTCGGCGCTGTGAACTTCGCCACTACATTTGGAGGCTTGTATGTCGTGGAAAACTTCGGTCGTCGCAAGTCCCTGATATACGGAGCGATCTGGATGTTTGTCATGTTCATGATCTTCTCGTCCATCGGCCATTTCGTTCTGGATGTGGAAACACCCACCAACACCCCCAACGCCGGTAAGGGTATGATTGTCGTCGCCTGCCTATTTATTGCGGCATATGCTATGACCTGGGGTCCCATGGTCTGGGCTATTGTCGCAGAGCTCTTCCCCTCAAAGTATCGTGCCAAGGGTATGGCCCTGGCTACCGCAACCAACTGGCTGTGGAACTTCCTCATCAGCTTCTTCACAACTTTCATCACCAAGGAGATTGATTTTGCCTACGGATACGTCTTCGCTGGTTGCCTTTTCCTAGCTATTGGCGTCGTCTACTTCTTCGTCATTGAAGGAAAGGGTCGCACACTTGAGGAGCTTGACTGGATGTATGTCAACAAGGTTGTCCCCTGGAAGAGCAGCAGCTTCGAGATTCCCGAACGCCACCAGGACTGGATCGCGGAAGAGAATCCGTACGGTCGCAAGTCACGGGGAACCATTCACGCGGAGAACGCGTGAGTGAAAAGGCCTCTTCGGAAAAAAAAAAACCAGAATCTTTTCTCTTTTCATTTTTACTAGTGTTGCATTCTAGATTTGCATTTTTCATGATGCATGATGACACGATATCATCTTGGGCCTGGAGTACTGAGTTGCATTATTGTGCACAATTATTTTCTTTGTATATATATATAGGATCAACCATATCCCTATCGCATTTATAGAATACAAGACGTCTGTCTTATTTACCTTCACCTGAATTCCACCTAAACTACGAGCATGAAGGATTGGAGCATATGTAATCCAGAGGCTTCAAATTGGGGGATATTGAATAGGAATCGGCGACATTGGACAAGACGTTACCTCCTGGGGTTGGCTGTCTATTTTGATCTGATTCAACCCCGTACATACCTCAAACCAGATCACAACTCCCAGCTTGGCATGCGGTGAATTTGGATTGCTTTAAATAATTTGTCACATCTTTTTGAAATTTAGGAAAGTGAGCATGTTTAAGAGAGATAGACCTTTTCAATGTCAACACTGCAACTAGAGATTGTCCACAATTTACTCCCATTCATCTCCCTCATTGATCCGTTGATTTACCATTCAGCAAGTTTGTAGAGTGCTCAATCTCATTGTGTGAGAAACAGATATTCATGATTTTTACCATGTCCGCAGCTATCACTGTCAGCTTGAATATATTCCAGGGCTATAAATCAAACATACCTGATATTCTATCGCCGGCTGCATCATTTTCATCCCGTCCATTCATCCGAGTGTAGTGGAGGACAAGGTCGACCCGTGGCTGACGACCCGTTCGATACATTTCAAGTCGCATGGGGATATCGTGCGGTGTGCTGCCATAAGGAAGCAAGGTGGCAATGCTCACGGCATCTTCAATTGCCATAGCTGCTCCCTGTCCCATATCTATCAAGTTGTCAGCATATGTCACGCATTCAGTTTGTTCATTTGAAGCCATTCGGTTGCTTACATGGCTGGAACGGATGTGCTGCGTCTCCCAGAAGAGCAGCGTGACCTCGAGTCCACGTCGGCAGTGGCTCCATATCGTACAAATCCCATACTTTGAGGTTTTTGTCCGCGCTTGCGATGATTTGCTGAACACCAAGTGAAAATTTAGAAAAGGCCGTGGCAATTGTAGTCTTGTCTCCAGTTGCCTGCCAGCCTATCGAGGCCAGTTTGTCAGTGTCTTTCTATGTCAAACTCCAAGAAATGCCCTTACTGTCGCCTTGGTTATCTACCTGGGCCTCATTCAAAGGGACAAAGGCGCAAAGATTGAAGATTTTGCTATCAGAGCAAGGGTACGCCACGAGCCGCCGGTCATCAGACGCCCACTCAATAAACACACCGGGGTCTCGCACAAAATCCACAGTGCTTGCATGTTGCCTTAATTGATCTGTAGGTAGAAGCCAACGAAAGCATGACTTGCCGACGGGGTATGGAAAGGGAGATCCCGGGGCGATACTCTGGCGAATTTGAGACTATAAAACAGTCAGAACAGGGACGAGAGTCAGATAAACACCGGTGCTGATAATCAGATAAGCATACATGCAGTCCATCTGCACCAAGCAGCAGGTCGGTTTTGAACGTGCGACCATCATCGAGAGTGACCGACGGGCAAGCCCCTTCCAGATTGACCTCAGTGATTCTACACCGTGTATGTAGCGTTGCGGTTTCAAGAGCTCGTTGCTTGAGGTGATTGTGCAGCTCAACCCTATGCACGAGGTACCACTCCTGCGTTAGAATTAGAACATTGTCCGGGCTGGGTCCGCTTCATTCGCCTACTGCTTGCCAATGATGACGAGTGTCGGCGAACTCTCTCTTGTACGTCAACTGCCCGTCAAATCCATAGCGGTGTATCTGGAGAAAGCAAAAAAAAAAGATCAATTTACATCACTCTTCATGTCAAGAGACAAATCTGACCTCATGAAGCAACGTGCCCCCGAAATCAGCCGGGTCAATGCCCATCCAGCGTAGCAAGGCAGTGCAATTCGGTGGCAAATGGACTGCGGCACCTGTCTCCTTCAAAAAAGCCGATTTTTCCAGAATCTAAGCTGAGTGAGAGACTGATTTTACAGCAAGCTTGATGGTTGTTTTCAGGGGCATACCACAACGCGATGCCCCTGTTTTCCAAGGGCAATAGCTGTCGAGAGACCAGCAATGCCGGCGCCGATGACGAGAACGTCAAGAGGCTGATTTGAGGCTGTCATGGTGAAGAGCCTCGGGGGCTTTTCAAATATATTGGCTTCCTGTTACGAATCTCTGACGCGATATTTATAACGGTATGCTCTCTCATCCGGGTTCCTAATTTGGAAATCCCCGACACTTATCCCGTGTCGCCTAGGGGAAGTGGATGCTTAAATAGCTGCTAGATCATCCTTGCAATCTTGAATTGCAGTACTTTTAGGCTAAAACGGAAGCCATCGGATGCACAAAAAGTGTTGAATATTGTTGGGTGTGATGGACACTGCATGGGCACATTTTCCGCGTTCTTCACATGTTTCCCCTCAAATATAACCAGGCCAGGTTGAAGTAATATGATGTTGACCAGCTTGATCATACAAATTCACAACCCATGAAAACCGTCCTATGAATTGGAGTCTCATAATACGGTGCAATATCCACAAATCCATATTTCCGATATAACCGTTGTGCCGCTGCCATTTCAGGTAGTGTATCTAGGCGCATCCCGCGGTAGCCCAGATTTTTGGCTTGTGCGAGGATTGCTTGGACGAGTTTTTCACCCAGGCGTTCTCCGCGAGCTTCCTTAAGAACATACAAACGCTTCATCTCGCACCAGCCATCAGAGCTTCGTCGGAGTGCCACACATCCGAGGGCAGAGGGGAACTGCGGGGGGATGATCGAGTCGACTAGTCCGTCCGTATGATATTCTCGAACACCCGTGCCTGCCCGTGCGATCAAGAGAGATCCTCCTTGAGATGGGCCATATTTCCCAGGGAGAGAATCAAGTTCCTCTTGAAATGATTGAAAGGTGAGGTCGATGCCGAGGGCTGTGGCATAGCCAGAAAACAGCGACAGCACGGAACCGGCGTCTTCGGGGAATTGCGCCGGCTCTATTTGAATTTCCATGACAAAGAGGAAGATGAAGATGAAATTGAGACGTTCAAAGGTCAACAGATCTTAAAATTTGAGGTCGACAGGCAAGATGACTCATAATTTGCCGAAAGGAAAGCAAAGTCCACGGGTGCGATTCACCATCTCTCGTCAAACATCTACAATAAGCGATAAGACAGTGACCTCATCTCACGAGAGTAAATACGCTGTCATCGACCTTGGAATTATTTGAATTATTTGATAAATTGAAGTAAATTGAAGTAAATTGAAGTTAAAGAAGCATACCTCCCAGTTTATTGATAGCAAATGTCCCCTTGTCTCGACTGAGATATATCATGAATGTCACCGATTGTACAAAACGCCAAACTCATCAACTCCTAAATCAAAAAGCCTCCATGCATATGATATCAAATTACTGGTATGTAACGGAGAACTCAGTGTCACTCCGGATTTCCACATGGGCCTTCACGTCCCCATTCTGCTGGATATCCAGAACGGCAGCGTTTTCGACACCATACTTCGCACCACCGGCCTCGGCCTGGGCGCCGGTAAAGTCGATTTGGTTGAAGTTGGCCAAGGGAACCATGCTGTCACCGGTGTTGAAGTCCTCAACTATCCATTCGGCATTTTGGCCAGCAAGGGTGGCAGAGGTCGAGGGTGCAGACAGAGTCTTGGTAACACTCTGGCCGGTTGACTTATTCTCGATGATGGCAGCACCATTGCTGGGCGAATATGACTCGATCTTCGCGACGATAACGTCGCCTGCGGACAATGCAAGGTCAAAGTTCTCCGCACCTAATGGATACCACTCGTACCAGGCATCAAATGTCTGTTGGCCATCCTGGATATAGGCATCGATACCAGTCTGCAGAATGGCCTTGGTGTAAGTGTCGCCATCAATACCGACCCAGGCGGACACAGCCTGCATATCCCCAGAGTCATCGGTGGCCGTTGGCTCGGGGACGGTGAATGTTGCAGACACAGCAGTGTAGGTAGCACTGGCGGGTGGCTTCTCGCGCACCACCCCAGCCCAGTTCTTGCTGTATTGAACATTGACTCCCTCGGTTCCTTCCTTAAGCAGAACGCCCTTCTTTTCGGCGGGTAGTGACTGGCGTGACAGAGCGCCACGGGCCTGCAGGCGGTCAACCAAGCCGCTGCGAGGAGCAGCGAGAGAGCTGCCTGCTAATATAGCGGTGGCCAGGATCGTGGTGGTTGTGAATTTCATATTGGCGGTGACGGGCGCGAGTTTGGGCAGATCTTGGAACGGTGTATATAGCAAGGAGATGAAGGTATAACTTGACTAGCCTAATATCTCTTGGGCTTGGTCTTAATGGTACTTATATCCTGCATCTCATGTAAGTTGCATGCGGCACGACATCATGCCCAATCCGCATGGGGAAATAGAGCTCGTGGCGTGGTACTGATGACCCCAAACACAAGATGAGACATATTTATGGATCCGCTGGAGCGGAGATATGGAAAGGGAAGAAAAGCAGGTCATTCCCGGGCATCTGAGTAGCGTGGATGACCTGCAATTAAGCTGCAGTTGTGTTAATCTTCTCTCTTTCCTGCTGATTTTCCATGATCCAGGCAAGGTTTCCTTTCCGTTATCGTCATGATGTGAGACCTAGAGGAAATGAGCAGGTCAGCCGAGCTTGCGCGGTTCTGTGACAGGCACATTCCTGAAGACAGAAATATCTGACAGCGGAGCCTCGACGGATCAGACGAAGATCGGCGATCCCGATATCTACCACGAGATTCACCAACTTGAAGGGATACGCATCTCATTGAAGATTAACAATGCATATTGTATGTAGGGTTGATATTCCCAGGCTTTGCGGTTGTTCCATATTTGTGGGTTGTATGTGACCACTTCGTACCGTTGACCCTGGCATTCTCACTACATCTATCGATGCATCGATGAAACCGAGAGTACTTGTTTCGGGAGACGTCATCGCCAATAGAACAAAACACATCCAAACTGGGTCGAGTGTTAAGAGGGGTGTTTTTTTGAAAAAGCAGAACTCGTGAGAGCATGCTTGCAATGTGACCTGGGTGCGGTTAGTATACATACCAAACAAGGGATGACAACGTGTTCACATTCCTGAGTCCGCCATGGTCGAGCCTCCGGGAACAGTACACCCTGTTAGCAGTGGTCGCTTGACTCGAAGCCAACTATTTTCGTGCAGTGGATGCGGTGGATGTCAGTTCACATTGCACGACTCTCCCGTGGGATGGTTATTGACCAAGCAAAACCTGATCCCTCGGGAACAAAACACAACTGTCTTTTGAAGAGTAAATAGGAAGTAAGAAGGTTCAAATTAATTCAAATCGACACACATATATGTATAGTCTTCAGGGAATGGTTTTAAATGTGTTTCTAAAGTAAAATAGTCAAAACTTGCCTACAACTGCAAGTCCTTGCCTCCGTTGTTCAGCATCACATAGGAAGCTGACGCATCTCGGCAAGAGACCAGAACTTGCGCATATTAGCAGCTCCAAGAGTTTGAACTTCTTGGTCCAAGTGTGTCCACAGAACCTTGCCAAACCCTTCCATCAACCGTTTCACCTCTTCGCGGCGCATATCTTCCTCGCCGGACCGACACTGCTCAAGATACCTCTCGAGTTTCTCAAGTCCCGCATGGATCTGTCTGTGCTGACTCAATAGTTCGAGTTCCTTTCGAAACTCAGGCATCTTTTTCGCTAATACGGGAAAGATGTGTTGCTCCTCGATGGAGTGATGGAAATCCAATTGCGAGCAGAATTGAAGGCCCATCATAATCATCTGGCGGGCTGAGAGTCCCCGTTTTCCAGAGCTTTCACATGCCTCCCAAAGCTGGTTCCATGTTAAACGGAAATGGCTATGCTGTATGAGAATTAATGGAATTGTGCGAATGAGAGTGCTCGGGGTACACAAATGTGCCCAGGTGTGATGGTAAAAGCTTACAAATCCTTCCATTTGCTCCGACATGCGATTATATGTCCGGAAATCACTCGCGGACAATGGAGAGTCACCCGAGTCCGCAGAAGAAGAGGCCATCCTTTTGGAACCCATTGGATTGAGGAGGCTTCGAAGAAGAAAACTTGACCGAGAGAAAGATGTCAAGAGTAATGGACGAGGAAAGCGAAAATACATGGGACGGCAGTTGGAAGCGATTTATTGCCGAGAAATAAAATGTATAAAAGATACTACTAACACACATGTGCAGAGAGGCTATCTGGGTTGATGTGAAAGCAGAAACTTCTAATTAGGGGCCTGTTCTCCAGTTCCGTCTATTTTTAGTTATGGAAAAGTTCAGGACAAGAGTCAACCTCCAAAGGTTGAGAGTTTCATTTCCTATAGACATAGAAATTTACATATACGGGATATTCCAGATCTTCAATGGATGTTTGCCACCTCGGGCGAACCGTTGGACAAAAATCTAGTACTCACTGGCTAGGGAGATAAATCTCCATTTCGATATAAGCACTTCTTCGGCGCGACCGCGGCCATGAAAGGGCCGGATCGCAATTTGACATCCGTGCTAGAGAGGTTGGTGGGTTGGAAATGGAAGGTTAGTAAATGTGTTAGGCAAAGAAAAGAAAAAGTTATGTTATTATCAATACACATCGGGGGCACCGGGGACGGGCGAGAAAATAGTAAGACAATATGCCGCCGGGAGGGGGAATCGAAAATATTAGACAGTAAAAGGTCGTAACGCCGTGGATGTGAGAATAATAAGACAATCAAAGCTCCGGGTGTTCAAGCTGGTTCTTAGCCGGCGGCCGGAAGTGACCGGACGTGATTTCCTTGAAGGCAAGGTCGAACCGGGCGCCCATCATCCAGGCGGCGAAGATCATGAGACTAGCGATAATAACAACGATAACTCCCATGAGAGCCATCATGAAGTAGACATCATTCTTGTTCTCGTCGTCTTCTTTCTTCTTTTGTAGTTCGGCCGCAGTGAGCTCGCCAGAGACCTTACGGTTGGCGGCCTCGGCGGATTGCGTCGGGAAGATGGTCTCAATGAACTTCTCGATCTGTCCGCAGACAATGCTGATCTTCAGGAAGTTGGGATCCTTGGGGGTATTCTTCTTGTGAATCTTGCGCGTGTATTCGCGGAAGCTGTCGCACAGAACAGACAAGTTCTGTGTAGACTTGTGCATGAGTTCACATGCATCTCCCTTGGTGATCTTAATGTTGCGCTTGAAGATATCGGGGTTGCGGAAACACAACTCCATTGTGGCAATGGCCATGGACTGCGGGATTGCACAGAAGTTGAAAACACTCTGCTCTCGCAGACCGGCCAGGTAGAACAGGCACTCCTCAGCGTGCTCCAACGCATTCAGGACCATCTCCGAGCTGCAGTTAAGGGCTGCGTCGAGGTGCTCTGGCTTGAAGAGATCCTCAAAGTTGTCGACATGCTTGGACCAAATTTCCTGGGGCCAGAATCGTCGGTTATCATCGAAATCTTCGCGGATGTCACGGATGATATTGGTCTTCTGGAGGAAAAGACCCATCGACTTATGCAACTTGGGGCGCTGCAAAAGAGCCGGGTTACCAAACCCGGCCTCGACAAAGAGGCGAGTGAGGCCCTCGCCAACCAATCCAGCGACATAGTAGCAGTACAGATCATACTCCTCCTTGGTCTTCACACTGGCATCGTCATTCTCTGCCTTCACGGCGTAGTCAGCCATGCCATTGCCCATCTTTTCGGTGATGTCCTTGATGATAGCCTGGTATTCAGGCTTCATGTTGATGAACTCAGTGACAACGTGGTTGAACTGAACCAGCAGCTCACGGTCCTTCTCCTCCGGCCGGTTCCCAGTGAAATTCCAGCCATCTTGTGTCAGGATATCCTTGAAGTCCCGGAGCAGAGGCTCCTTGGTGGCCAAGGGAATGGAAGTGTCATCCTCGATGGTATCCAGACCACGGAGGACCAAGTAGAAAACGCAAATAGGGATCAACAGTTCGGGATGTAACTCCTTGATCACAGCGCTAAAGCTGCGGCTGGTTTTGTCCAAAAACTTGAAACAGGTCTTCTGATTCTCGGTCTCGTTCTTCTCGTTACGCTCATGGGGTGGGTTGTGCCAGACTTTCCTATGCGACGTGGATGATTAGCTTCGGATGTGGGAGATGACTTTCGCGAACTTCAGGACATACCATTGGAGAATTGACCTCAGCTGCATGGGGTGAAAGGAGTAGTAGAGAGCATTGCCGATGAGACCCATGATGGGCGGGGGAGAGGCGCGTAAACTGGATGTTCAAGGAATTGTGTAGCCTAATCTTCAACAAGTGAAGCAAACTGGAAACAATGTCTGGAAGAAAAGGAATTGAAGCCGGGAATTAATCAAAAAAACATAAAAACATCAGAACCTGGGGGAACGGCAGATGGGGAGGGAAAAGGGGAAAAGGCCAGAGCAGATTAAATGCAGAGTTAGCTGGCACGTGACTGGAGCAAACCATGCATACAACCCCACATGATATCAGCGCGAACTCCCGAAAAATATCTTGAGGTTCTGCCTAAACAACAGTCTACTGTTTATTTTTTTTCTTCTTCAGACCTTTGACTCTTTTGAGCTTATATCTTCCCTGAACCCACTCTGTTCTCAAGTTAGGCTCGGTCGCTGCGATGGTTGCCGATTCCGCCTACTATGACGCCCTAGGTGTGCCACCTACGGCCACCGAACTGGAAATCAAGAAGGCCTACCGGAAGCTGGCTATTGTCACTCACCCGGGTATGACCACTCTTTGACCTTTTTATTTCTTTGTCAATCTTTCTAATCCGTTATCGCAGACAAGAACCCTGGAGATGAAACCGCACACGAACGCTTCCAGGCGGTATGATTGCGCAACCTCAGGGATGATGCACATTACACGAGGCTGATATCCTGCTACTATAGATTGGTGAGGCGTACCAAGTCCTGAGCAACGAAGATCTCCGAAAGCGATATGACAAGTTTGGCAAGGAGGAGTCGGTGCCTGGTGGTGGTTTCGGTATGTCTATCACATGCGTGCTAATGTCCCAGCGCAACTTTTCTGATTTGTCTTGTACAGAGGACCCGTCCGAATTCTTCAGCATGATCTTCGGTGGCGAGGCCTTTGTTGATCTTATCGGCGAAATTTCCCTTATGAAGGACCTGACCGCGACTATGGACATCACGATGCAGGAAATGGAGGAGGAAGAACTGGCCCAGTCTGCGGAAGAGAAACTCAACATCCACGACGAGGAGGTGAAGGCTGCAGCTGGCGAACCGGCTCCTGCTTACGAGACCCACGATCCCGCGGCAGGGGCCGCACCTGCAGCTGCAGCTGCAGCTACCGGCCCCTCCGAGAAGCCAACCTCCGACCAGAGCTCTGGCACCAGCACTCCTCGACGAAACTTCGGCCAACAGGCCCTCATGGACAAATCCGAAGAAGAAGCTCGCATGGAGGCAGCCGGTCTGTCTCAGGAGGAGAAGGAGCTGCGCAAGAAGGAGAAGAAGAAGGGTCTGTCCAAGGAGCAGCAGGAACGCCTTACCGCCTTCGAAGATGAACGCAGAAAGGCTCGCGAAGACCGTGTCAACACACTGGCAAATAAGCTGATTGATCGTTTGAGCGTCTGGACTGAGACGGACAAGGGCAAAGATGTGTCCCATGCTTTCGAGGAGAAGATCCGACTTGAAGTCGAGAACTTGAAGATGGAATCTTTTGGTCTGGAAATTCTTCACGCTGTCGGTCAAACCTACGTTCAGAAGGGTACTTCCTTCCTCAAGTCACAGAAGTTCCTAGGTATCTCTGGCTTCTTCTCCCGCTTGAAGGATAAGGGCACCCTTGCGAAGGAGACATGGACCACCATCTCTACAGCCATCGATGCGCAGATGACTATGGAAGAGATGGCCAAGATGGAGGAACGTGGTGGTGAAGATTGGACTGACGAGAAGAAGGCTGAATACGAGAAGAGAGTTACTGGCAAGATTCTCGCTGCGGCGTGGCGTGGCAGCAAGTTCGAGATCCAGAGTGTCTTGCGTGATGTCTGTGACCAGATTCTGAGCGACAAGCGGACCCGACTTGAGAAACGCGTTGAGCGTGCGCATGCGCTGGTGATTGCCGGCAATATCTACGCGAAGGTATCTACACGTCTTCTCCATCTATTAGTATCATGCTAACCACTTGCCTTTAGGCCGCACGCGACCCCGAGGAAGAAGGCGATTACATGGCCTTCGAGCAGCTTATGGCCGAAGCCATGAGCAAAAAGGGCAAAGATGAGAAGGAGAAGGACAAGAAGAAAAAGAAGTCCAAGCACGACCATGAGGAGACCCACGGTGGAAAGGAGCCCGTGGAAGAGACCACTGTCTGATTGCCTCATTATCCATCTTCATTTTTCTTTTCTTTTTCTTTTTTGTTGCTTGAGTTCTATCTCGTACCTGGTCTTTCTTGATAGCCGGTTCATTATATCCTGGACATACATGTTGGGTTTGCTTTTTACCTTCTCACCTTTTTCTCGTCCTTAACGATTCTGCTTTTTACAGCGACTGGAAGCTTGCGGGTTGCGGCGCGCAGTCTGTTCAGGCGATAGATTGGACTATATACCTCCCATGCCCCTTGATTAGTCGCAACAGCACGGCAGCGGTTTGGTGCGGATTGTATGGACATAGATGCTCTTAATAATCACATGGAAACAAATATCGACATGACATTATTAGTACTGTAGGTGATATAAGATTGTCGAAAACATCCAGGAGATGTAACCCATTCCCGATGGAAAACTATTGCCACAGTGAGAGACCAAACTAAACTGCGGCGATTATGCTAAACTGATTTCATGCAGACCTGTGTGCTGCTCAGTTCCACACGGTGGGCGAGGGCGAGGAAGGGCTAAGCGATTGGCTGTTCGGCTGTTCATGAAGATCATTAGCATCGCAACATCACAGCTTCCATGGACCTCAAGGATACATACTCATCGGGACTTCGTGAGCAGGGCCAGCACTAGTCTGGTGCGCACCAACTCTGTCCTCCTTCCTGAGAGACTGGTACCCAGCCCAGTCAGACACCAAAACACCACACATAGCAAGAATGGTGAATACGACGAGGGCAACAAAGAGTAGCCTAGACATGAGTTGAGCATCAGGTTAGGTCCTTGTACTGCGTGTGTGTATTGACTGGAGACTAGGCGAGGAACCTACCAAAGGAGCACGCCAAAGGCAAGCACGGCATTGTAGTAGGAGCTTGTACTAGTACCACCACCAAGGAGAGAGGCAAGGTCAGCAAAGCATGCCAGCCAAAATACCATAGTGACGAAGTAAATGGCCACGAAGATAGCGGCGAGGACAGTGTTGAGCTTTGCGGTCACGAAGCCCTTGCGAGCATAGTACCAGGGCAGTATTAGGGCGGCGACTGTCACAAGAATAGTCCAGACTGAAGAGAAGACAAGGAAGACGAGTATAGCCGGAGGGTTCACATTGACTTGATTGTACGAATATCCCGAATATGCGCTCCAGGTCGTGACTTCTTGCGTGCCAGAATATGCGGCAGTAATGAAACCCGAGAGGCCCAGCTCGATGATGGCAAAGGCCAAGGAGGTGCCCAATAGGGCATACAAGACAATACTGAGGGCCAGCATAGTGAAGTCAATATAGCTAGTATATAGCTACTGTGGAAGTGTCTGCAGGCACAAAAGTATCAAAATAAAGAAGCAAAACTGCTCGAAAGGGCCCCAAGGGGCAGGATCCCTTGCGCTTTATGAGTTCTTCCACATGCTTATGATGGAGCTCGTAAACGGAAACAATGCAGGATGAGCCTTATTTGGAGCTTGTGAGCCAGTTGATATGGAGCTCAGCCCCACCAAGAAGTGTGAACTCCAATGACTCGTGTCCGATACGAGCAGCCGCATCGACATGGCGTCTGCGCTCACCCCAATTGGTACAAGGTAAGCGAATGGGTGTTTCGGGGGATTCGTATAGAGTTGAAGTTTTCTTATCTCAAAGCCCAGGTGTTGGCAAAGAGTTGAGAGATGTCATGTGCTGAGATGTGATGTGTTCTCCCAAGCCTTCTTTCACCTTTTCTCTTTTCTTTGACGCATCACCAGGTTTATACGAATCCAAGGAAAGCCTATTTAATGACCACAGCCTGTCGGCATTTTTTTCCCCAGTCAAAAAAGAAAAGTCGTATTTCTCTGGCTTTGGTGATCTGCGGCTTATACAACTTAGGGCTTTTCCAAGGATGAATTTCACCGGGCCAAGCATTTCCCTGGCCTTGGCTATATGGAATCTTGGGGATCACCGCAACTCAAGGTCGATCTTGTCCATAAAATACAAATTATGAGCATCTTAAGGTCACATCGTGCCGGATAGAACGGCGAAAAGGAGCCTACGCCATTCCACGCAAGGAAAGAGATTTGGTCGATCCCCTTTTTCCCCTCTCCATAGGGCAGATAACATGTCTCATAAGAAGTCGATTTCTCGCAGGAATTGTTTTCGGAAATTTGTCGCGTGCCCATAGACGACAATAGCATCAATATGGCGTCTCTACACTCATCTGCCATGGTCCTTCTGGCCCTTGCGGGCAGCACTGCTGCAATAGCCTCAAGCTCCTCGGCAGCCGCTCCCACCGGTCTCTCATATCCGTCCGGGTTTGATATGAAAACAAGCTGGGCCAACCTCAGCCCCTATGCCGATGCATCAGGTTTCAATGTCTCCAAGGGTTTTCCATCGGAGTGTGAACTGTCGCAGGTGCATGTGCTACACCGCCATGCCCAGCGGTATCCGACACAATGGCCTCTCGATGGAGAGAGCATGGAGAACTTCGCCCAAAAGCTGGTCAACTACACCAAGAAACATCCAAACAAGAAGATTGGCTCTGGATCTCTGGCTTTCTTAGACGATTGGGAGTATATGCTTGGTTTGAACACTCTCCTCCCCACTGGCGCCGCCACCGAAGCCACTTCCGGCGCTCAATTCTGGAGTCAGTACGGCCGATTGCTCTATCGCGCAGAAGGTGGTGATGCGGCCTGGGATGCATCGTTAAATTTGTATCCCAATGGTACCGCGCGCCCAAAGCCGACTTTCCGCACGACCTCGTACCCTCGAATTTTGGAGAGTGCTCGCTGGTGGCTGAGTGGCTTCTTTGGAAACACAGGAGGCAACAGTTCATACTCGGAGTACAATCTGACTATTATCCCCGAGGTCGAAGATTTCAACAACACCCTATCGTCGACCGATTCCTGTCCCAATGGCATGGAGCCGGGTGACAACGCTGCCCGCGTATTCGCTTCGTCTTTTGTCAAAAATGCCCGGAAGCGCCTTGCTGCACACCTTCCCGGAGACCTGAAGCTCGATACCCTCGACATCCTGGCGATGTTTAATATGTGCCCCTACGAGTATGCGACTCTGGGCCAATCTTCTTTCTGCGCGCTGTTCACCGAGCAGGAATGGCGCGACTTTGAATATTACATCGATCTCCAATTCTACGGTGACTACGGGCTCGGTTCCCCAAGTGGCCGCGCCCAGGGAATTGGATATGTTCAGGAGCTGGCAGCGCGCCTGCAATCCAAACTTATCACAAGCAGTGATAGTAGCATCAACTACACGTACGATGACAACATCAAGACTTTCCCTCTCGACCAGCCACTATATATGGACATGTCCCACGACGATATAATCGTGTCTGTACTGGCTGCTTTGGGTCTGGATTACTTCAAGTACGGTCCTCACGGCCTGCCTGTCTCGGTTGCGCACGCCCCGCCCCGCAACTTCAACCTGAACCAAATGACTCCCTTTGGCGCTCGTCTGTTCTCTGAGGTTTGGACCTGCCCCAAGGATATCACGTTCAAGAATCTCCAGGTGCAGAAGTACAAGAACCCGGATCTGTCATCCAAGTCTGATACTACCAAGTACATCCGGTTTGTGTTGAACAATGCGCCCGTGCCTCTGGATGGTCTGAAGGTCTGCGATGGTTCTGTGAATGGATTCTGCAAGGTTGAAAAATTCCTTCGCGCTATTCCCGATCTCAACAAAGAGGCCATGTACCAGGAAGCTTGCTATGGTGACTATAACATCACCAGCCAAGTGGGCAATGGGCAGCCGAAAAAGCCTTAAATGGGGATGTGAAATTTGATCTATATCTTTTTTATACACTCTGGTGGTACTACATAGACTGCCGTACCTAGATGGCTGGCTTTCGTAGGCATGTGATGGAATCCTGACATATAAACACGTTTGACACTTTCTCCTTCCCTCCTCTCCCGTCTGCCACGTCCCCAGAATCAATTGACTTGGGCAATATCATGTTGTCCACGAGTAGAAATCTCAGAACGCAGGCCACAAAGCCGGCCCGGACACTAAAATTCTCCACACCTTATAGGAAATCCAGCAGCAACACTGCTGATCGCCTTTAGAAAGCTCTGAACAAGGCTGGCTTCCGAACTTGGGGCTTTCTTATTTATCGATGCACATATCAGAGTGATTCTGACTAGGCAGAATTCTTGCGTCGCTACCGATAGCATATCGCTAACTCGCTGGAGCACGACAACGGTCTATATCTCCTTAACAGTTTTAAGACCACTATCTTTGAGAATCTACTATTCGAAGGTGCGAGCACAACGACGACCGGGGAACATTTCCAGCAGTGGGCAACGGCTACCATTTTAGGAAGAGTAGGGCGTTTTGCCTTATATGCTCAGGTTCTCTAACGTTAAAGCGGCGTGCTATCCGTTCTGTCTTTTTGCTGATAAAGAGTCGCTGCAAAGCGCTCTTCAAGCTCCTATTAACTCTATTGAGAAAAATGCTTTCCTGAATATGCTGAACGGGTGGTGGAAACTAGAGTCGCTTGAAGACTGCGACGTAGAAGATTTGGAAGAGTGTGAGCCGGAGGACTTGATTGATAATGGTTACGATCCCGTCGAAGGATGTACTGTGAAGGACGTTGGGTGGATGAAGGTTGCTTTTCGTGACACTGGACTGTCCGGCTTCTTTACGATGGGCCAGCATGGTGAGTGGGAGGCACTATACGAGCGGCCTTCTGAAATTTGTTACCACCTCTAGACGTATTATGCTCGGCGATAGAGCCACGCATTGAGGACTCCCTTCTTGCGACCACTTACGGGTTATAGCGGCCCATGTGGAATTTAAGTGACGTCAGGGCTAATTTCCCGTATAGGTCAGAGATCAGACGTTGTAAAATGTACATATATATGTATGCCCATCGCGTGCCGAAGTGAAAATCCTTGGCTAAGACTAGCCTGATACGGAGGGGAGAGAGAAGAGACAGGATGTATATATCATACGTTGTCGGCTCTAATCCCTCCGACCGAGATATCGAGTATGTTGTCGATCAGGCTGATCCATGAAAATCTGATTGGATCATAAATCCCACCAAAATTTGGCATCGAGGGCTTGGATGGTCGAATGATTCGGAGTTGATTGCAAACCTCGGTATACTGGACCACACGACCCCCCTGTACAGTTGAATACAGCTTATAGGTGTTTTATCTACCTTTCATTTAGCACAATATTCAATGATATACACACGTATACACAAATTTATGCATTTGCAATGTGAGATTTCCCCGCGCGAGCCTAGTATATTCCTCGGTCCGCTCGTTTTAACATGAGATCTATAATATTGTACTTCACCACTTGACGGATATTCATCGTCATAAATGCTATGTATTTATAGAAGAATGAATGTATATAAGCTCGAGTGCAGTGATTTGATCTTAGTAGAGACTACTTCCATCTGAAGATCACCCAGATCTATACCTACAGAGTTATTCTCATCACCTTACTATAGAGATGGCATCACTCCCTATGTCCAGTATCAAGGATGCCCCGCTATTCAGCTCCTTGTTACAAGCCTCGCCGTATCAGCAGATATTATGTGTGCTGCTAGGACTAGCAACATATCTAGCGTTGGTATCTTCACTGCGTTTCCAACGACGGCAGACACTCCACAAAAGATATAGCTACTATGGAACGAGGCAATCCATGCGCAGCATGACCGATCAAGATGCCTGGGCAATTCAAAAGACAATCATGCAGACTGAATTTCCCTTTATTGTGCTCAAGTCACTGCAGTTTGCCCTCTTCCGTGTATGCGAAGCTCATCCAAGTATATGACTGGAAGTTAACATGGGCAGACATATGGCATCCCTACAATATCCACCCTGCTCCTGAAGACATCGCAGTTATCAGACTCTACAACATCATTCAAACGATATGCCGATACGGGCACACTGATCGGCGAATTCATGGCCTTTGACCCACGCTCCGAGCGAGCGCAGACAGCAATAGCCCGAACCAACTTCCTGCACAAGGGCTACCGAGCCAGCGGCAAGATCCTTGAGGCTGACATGTTATACACACTAAGCCTGTTCGCTGTCGAGCCAATCCGGTTCGTGGAACAATTCGAGTGGCGCGAGATGACTGAAATGGAACGTTGTGCTGTCGGGACATACTGGAAGAGTCTGGGCGATGCGCTGGGGATAAGCTTTGACGCCTTGCCGTCTGGAAAGACTGGCTTCCAAGATGGGCTTCACTGGTTGGGGGAGATTGGTGTATGGAGCGAGCAGTACGAAGTCCAGCACATGAAGCCACACCCTCGCAACAAAGAGATTGCGCAAAAGACGATCGATGTGCTGGTGTATAACGTGCCAAACTTCTTGAAGCCGTTGGGTGGGTATTTCGTGTCATATCTGATGGGAGATCGACTGCGAACCGCGATGATGTATGTATCTTAATTCATCACCACAGACAGCGAGTCTAATCGGTTCGCTTTCTAGGATGGAAGAACCACCAGCATGGTTCAGCGGCATACTCGCCTTGTCATTCAAGCTCCGTCAACTATACCTGCGATACCTATCACTCCCACGCCCAAACTTCATGCGTTTGGACGTGTTTACCGATAAACTGAACAAACACGGCCGCAACTGGGTGTTGATATATGAAGGAGCCCCGTTCTATGTGCAGCCCACAATCTGGAATCGCTGGGGGCCGATGGCGTGGTTTAAGTGGGCGCTCGGACAACCTTTGCCTGGTGATGACGGCGACAAGTATTACCCACAGGGCTATCACACCCATGATCTGGGACCGAAGTATTTCGAGGGCAAGGGATACAAGGAATTGGAGGGTTTCAAGGAGACTCTTCGTCAACAGCGGATGGGACAGTGTCCATTTCCATGATGTGCGACTCTGGTGGACCCTGTTGATTATGTTGATTATGTTGATGATGTTGACCAGGATATAATGATATTTGTGTTTTTGAAGTTGCAGACTGTGAGAGTAACCATAGTCAATTCTGGTCTGTCGTTTCTAGAAGAATCATGACATGAGATGATGAAGAGCACAACATTAAGCCAACATAATCAGAAGTCTAGCATTGTCAAGCGTTCAGGTCAATTAGGGCGCATGGAAACAGAAAACGCAGGACAATAATTGCACATCGGGTATCTTTCAAAATAGCCAAGAAAAAGCGTTCGAGATGGATGAAATTATCGGGTATAGAGGTCTGTCATTTACCACCCTGTGATGGAAATCGTGAACGCAATGGAAGAAAGGTATGAAGCCCAGAGTCTCATAGTACAAGTCGCTAAGCCCAAAAGAATGAAATAATAGCCTGTATCAACCGAAGAAATGAAGGGACGAATTCAGAATGAAAGGCATCAAAAAGGGGTATTGTGCAAATGTATGAGCAAGAAAGAGAAAAAAATTCAATCGTCCCGCCGGGAGACGAGGGCAATAAATGGATCATATAGTCGGATCAGCAGAAACAGAGGGCGTAGGAGATAGTGTTCCAATAGATGGTGATTCAACAAATGACAATTCGGAGGCCTCCATAGGAGAAAAGACGGCGTTATATTCGGTTGAAGGGCTCAAAAGACCACGGCCACTCTCACCAATTTCGCCTAACTCTTCAGGTGCTAGGACTCGGCCACCCAACTCAACGTCTTGAACGTGGACATTGTACTCAAGGGCTCGCTGCCCTTCCTTGATGAGTTCTTCGGTCCACCCTAGACAGCGCTTGAGGCTTTGATTCATCCTCTGGCTGTCCACCAGCACCTCCTGATGTCGCGCCAAGTCAAGCATGACCCGTTTCTCGTCATTGACACGGTGCTTGGCATCATGCTCGGCCAGCGAGCCCGGACTCAGGATGCTTTCATCTGCAATCGAATCCTCGTCGCTGATGTCGGACATATCATCTTGTGACCGGTTGGAAATCTCACTTTCGCCTTCATCCAGCTCACTAGTTATTGATAGTGCCGCTCCGGAGAATGAACGGGTGGAAGGTGCCATGGATATCCGCCCCGAGCGGCTCAGTCGCCGGAACCGCCGAAGCTCCGCCTTCTGTTGCCGCATTTCGCGCTCCAGGGTACGATTGATGGCTAGTAGTGAAGAGTTGCTAATTTCCAAGTCCATGATCTTGCGCTCGGTGCGCGCATTGAGAGCTGCCTCGCTCGGACCGTCAGATTTTCCGGGACTGAGCGGTACAGGAGGATATGTATCAGTTGAGGCGGTGGATCCATTGCTGAAGATACGAGGGCGAAGGGTGGGTATCTGCTCCGACATCACGGGCGCTGCCCCTTCACCAAAATAGCTCCCGGATACGATGACTGGGCTTGCTCGCAAGCTATCTTGTGGATGATTCCCATGGCGGCCCGAGTCGACACTTGAGGACTTGGTATGGAGGATCGGTTGCGGTCGTGGTTTCTCGCCGATTGTGCTAGACGACGGCGAGCCAAAACGCGGGATAATTCCCAGTCCATTCTCAGCGCTAGCGATGTATGGTAATCTGATCTCTTCAGGAAGGTGCGAAGCCACATCCGAAAGACCGGGAGAACTCAAGCGCGAGGAGGAAGGTGTTGGTTTGCCGGCGGGCAGGGGGCGGGGAAGACCACCCGATCGACGTTTGGCAGAAGTAGATGTAACATTCGATTGTTCCCCTAGTGATTTTTGCTCTTGGTCTCCGTTCGCATATATGAAGCTCGAGGCTGGGGATGTTTTCCCTTGGGGCCTCGGACGAGGGGCATCTGGCGGCTCACAAGGATGTGATGATCGTGCATCGGACGCATGAAAGAATAGCGGAGTTCCCGATGTCATATCCGAGAAAGAATTCGGACGTGATATAGGCTGATTCTCTGCCGTCAACGTCTTCGCCCTCAGACTTCGGGATTGTTCCAGCTTGACCCCGCGAGCCGGGCTGCGGTCTCGACGGCCATAACCGATTGTTGACTGGGAGTAAGTTGTATGTGGAGAGGGAGACGGGGCAGGTGATGTATTTGTGGGGGAGTAGATAGCGCCATCTCGCCGGGTGGTTCGAGGACCAGATCGTGGAGTGACATTGGCGCTTAGAAAGGTCGGGACCGCGGGGGAGTCGTCTTTGGAGGGGGTGGAATAGGGGTGGTCGGGTTGTGCGAGGCGGCGTGGAAATCCTGGGCCTGGACCTGGGCCTGAACCTGGACCTGGACTCGCAAGCTTCGGTGTCAGGGGAGCCTTGTTACCCCTATGGAATGCAGCACTGAGGGTGGGCGTGAACGGTTTGGCGAGACTGCCATTGTTTTGTTTATCGAAGGTCATAGTTGCGGGGGGTGCAAATCATGGCATTGCGAGGTGCCACAGGACATGAGCATGGTGGCACCAATAGAAAGAATCACCTGTCTATTTTTCTCGTTTCAACAGGGGATTTGTGGCCTGATGGAAGGAAAAGTCAAGAAAGTCGAGGAGAAAGTCGAGTGACGAAAACAATGCCACCCGATTGGGTTTAGGGTGCCGCTTCACCGCAACGTGGAATTCCTTACTTCAACGAACAAGGGCGTCGAACTATTGATATTGTGATCTTGGGGGAACTTGTGAGACTATTATTTGTGGGAATTAATTCTAGGCCCTCGATTGACATGTCATTGCCAATACGTCCCTTGAAAGAAAACCCCCTGTATCCTTCTCCTAGATATCCCGCTTCTATCCCGAATCTGGCGGCTGTCAAGTGGAGACTTGAAAAACGGTGAGCCTGCAATAAAACAATAATTGCTGCATTCCGTACTAAGTCTGGGCCTGTGGAGAGCAGGAGCTCGGTGCTGTTTCGATGCTGTTTCGTCGGACTGGCATTGCATGCCATTAGGACACTTCAGTGAGTTCAGATCTCGCCAAAGTTCACGCTGGATCGACGAAGAGATCTGGGAAAGAAAAGTCACTGGAAAAAAAGCCGCATCTGTTTTGGGTCCATTTCAGGAATACCAGCCTGTGATGGCGTCTTCCTTTTTCTGGAATTATGGGGTATCGAACATGTTTCTTCCGAGGTGTCCTGTACCACTTCGCGGATTGTCTGTTTAGAGAGACAGAAGTCCACATGCTCATTGAATGTGCGATCATCCGCAATCTGTGGACGTGCACATATGGGACAATCCCACATCGGGAGTGCTTCAACCACCTCTGGGGCTGCAGAGGCCTCTGGCCCGCGAGCGACAGAAACATCCGGGGTTTCTTGACTCAGCTGCTCTAGATCATTCATCTCGTCCTGGATTTCTTGGCGAGCCGCCGCCTCGAAAGCCTCCTCGGCACAAATCTCGTGATCTGTATTTACGTCAGAGGCTGATACAAAAGTGGACTCAGAAGTAGGCTCAGTGGCGGATTTTGGTTGTGTCGCTACGCCGAAAAAGTTAATCCCAACTTTTTGAGTGCTGACCAGATTCGAGCAGCGAAGACCGAGAAGCCGTAGCTTTAAGTTCGGAATATCCTTCTCAAGCTTGGCGAGCATCGGCAAAGCAAAGGAGTACAAATCTTTTGCCAAGGAGACGGCACGAGACGGAGCTGTCTGGCGCGTGAGCACTTCGAAAGTATGCAGTTTGACTTTCAAGGCAAGCGTGCGGCCTTTGAACTGAGTCCGCGCCAGATCTTTTTCAAGCTCCTGCGCAGCCCACCAGAGCTTCGCTCGAAGTTCCTCCTTGTCTCCAATGTCATGGAACGTAGTCTCTGTACTGACGCTTTTACGTTCGTGGGTCTCGACAGGTTCAATTTTGGTCCGCCCAAGACCGAGGTAGCACTGGGCGAGAAATTGGAAAGCCTTCTCTCCAAACAGCTTGGTCAATAAAGCACGATGTGGGAAGATATCACCACACTTTTTAACGCCTATTGATTCCAGCTCTCGCTCAAATACTCGGCCAATTCCATTGACTTTGCGAACCGAGAGGTCACGCATGAATTCCATGATCGCCTCGCGTTCGTTGGAGACTTGAAATTGCCCATTAGGCTTGTTGAGATTGGAGGCAATCTTTGCGATCTTCGCATTAGCAGCAATTCCGGCTGAAACAGACACCTTGGTTGTTTCCAATATCTTTGCACGCATCCGTTGAACAACCTCATCAGGTTCCATGTGATTTTCATTGCAATATGCTGTGATATTCAAATAGGCTTCGTCTATACTGGCACTCTCAAAAAGAGGGTCATATTCGGCCATGATAGCGCGGATTTCCTTGGCCTTTGCGGTGTATTTGTCGTAGTTCTGCGGCAAAAGCACCAGCTGCGGGCAGAGCTTTTTCGCGACAAATGAAGCCATACCACTTCTGACGCCAAATTTCCTCGCCAGATAATTGCAGGTGGTCAGGACTCCTTTACCCACCGCCATAGGCACTGTCTTCAATTCGGGCCGATCAAGCTCCTCGACGGCGGCAAAGAACGCGTCACAATCCACATGAATGACATGTTGAGAAAGATCACGGCTCAATTCTAGCTCAGCGAGGTATTCATCGGCACGTCGTAGCTCACTGTTCAAGTCTAGACGTTCTAGCCGTGCCTTTTCTTTTAAGATTCGCTCGATTTTCAATGTGAGGTTCCGATCCCGATCTTGTTCGTGATTAAAGAACTTAGAGCCCTTGGATGCATTGTAGATAATCTCTGATACCTGGAAACTCAAGTTCAGCTATAGCTCAATATAGATATAATATAGATACAATCATCAAGCGCACCTTTTGCTGATTGACTGAGTCTTGGCCCGCTTTGGTTAAAGAGGGACCGAGTAGCTGATATTTCAGAGTGCCAAAATCCTCATCAGGAGCCGACTCGGGCTGTGGATCACTGGCAGGATTCTCACCTGATGACTCCATGTTTTCCAGCGTCCCATCGATGGCTGGTTGGATGATCATGGAAGAGGCAAGAGCGCGGAATTCAATTTGACGCGGAGTCACGTGGACACGCGTTTCAATTTGCGCGAGCCTCAGCTACGTAGCCTAACGCTGAACAATAATCTCCGACTCGTCGTCATGTGGATTCTTGATTCGACCGGTGATTTTCTAGAAGGTGGGATATTTCATTTAGAAGGATCGATCGGTTGCTAAATCCTCATAGGGAAACGCGTGTGGCTGCGCCCTGGAAAGAAGTATCTATTCGGTCGATTCTATCGAGACGGAGGTATGGCCTACATATCAGTTGGAGGATTACACAGTTTAACTGACCTGCTATTGAATAGTCCGCCATGCTGTCAACCACAATTCGATATCCCGCAAGCATATGACCATTGAAATCTCACCGGTCAATCCGAGAGATGGGGTACGGTTGATTTTCCCGCGATGATACGCCTCTGGCTAATTCCAGTCCAGTTATCACCACGAGCGCGATCCAATATCACTATAACCGATTTGGACTCGAAGAAAGGAACAGTCGTTGACGAAAGGAGAATCCAAGGAGAATACAAGTTGGAGAAGAGCGATGAGCATGTCATCCAGCTCGCGAAATACCAGCATGCGCTCCGGTGCGTATTTCTGCTTATGATAGGCTTGAACCCCCAACTGATGATCTTGATAGGATCAAATGGGAGCCCGTGGTTCTAACCTTGTCAGCCTCCTCAAAGCAGGTGCGAGGTGAAGATCCTCTAGCCCATGTTCGCTCACGTCTAGAAGACCTCGACATCAAGACCACCATGGATTATATTGTCGATCACACAACACATGTGGTACAGCGCAAACGGAATACAGCCAAGGGTCTTCAAGCACTCGTCAACGGGAAATACATTGTAGATGATTCATATATTGATGCACTCGTCTACGCGGCTACCCCCGGTGATCTTGAGAACGATGAGTCACTCTGTCCTCTCGAAACGGACTTCGAATCGGCGTGGCCCGATCCAAATGAACACCTCCCGCCTCCCGGGAAAGAGCCAACCGAGCGTCCTGCCACTGCTTTCGCTCCGAATTCCGGACGTCTTAATGTTTTCGAGGGATATACATTTATCTTCGGTGATCTAGCCCAGTTTGAGAATCTACAAGGTCCAATCAACAATGGCCAAGGAAAGGCGCTTTTCTACCAGGTTGAAGATGGGGTCACAACTGCCGCAGATATCGTTCGGTTCATGAAAAAAGCAGCAGGACGGAAAGGCGTGGGCAGCGAGCGGCACAGTTCCGGTGGTGTCGTTCTTGTTCGCTTTCGATCTAAAGGAGACCTCGAACAATGGTCCATCGAGGTCGGCAATGAAGTTGCTCTAATGACGGACCAGCGCGTGATAGAGCAACGAGAGTTCCTTGACGCTATCCTAGGAAATGATGCATCACCCCTCTGTCGTACCTTGCCCACAGAGGAGGGCTCTAGTCAGATCTCCGCATCCACACCAGCGATCGAGGCTGAACAAACAAACCAGCGAGCAATTTCCGTCGTGTCAGAATCGGCATCGCCCCCTGATCCTCAGCCTAGCCAGCCCTCGACTGCTCGGGCCAAGAACCCCCGTGTGCGTGCATACATCAGTAAAATGAAAACCTTCGATGACGGATTTGACATGGAATCTGTCCCAGTGTATGCGCCTGAAGAAGAGGACACCAATATCAACTCCACTCAGACCATGGATATCGAAACTCAAGCGCCGTCCCAAGCAACGCAGCCCCTGGATACAGTAAAGGAAGAGCCGGAGGAGGATTCTGTCGCTGATCTTCTTCCGGGCGCCCGTGCAATGAAGCGTCGTCGTGCAGAGATGACTCGCCATCACCCAGAGGGTGAGGCCGTAGCCCCCGAATCCGAGGCCCCGAAACGCAAGCGACCTAAACTCGACGTGCTCGAAGCCGCGCGGAAGCACCGAGAAGATGAAGAGCAACAACGCAAGGCCGAGGACGACTCACATCCAGCCGACGTAAGTGGGGTGGATGTGGACCAATTGAAGAACCTAGCCATTGTGGAAGAAATGGAGCTTCCCGTCCGGAACGCACCAGCACGCGAGGAAGAAACCTTGGACCGATGGGACGATCAATGGAATGGGCGCAAGAACTTCAAGAAATTCCGGCGAAAAGGAGAGCCGCGTAGTCGAGCTCGCATCCAGACGGTAATCGTTCCTCTAGAAGAAGTGACCCGCAAAGACTATGGAATCGGCGATCACTATTGGGGCGGCAATTCCGCCGAGACAAACACTCGAATTGAGCCTGAAGGTCCTGACTCTGAGGATCATCGCGATGAAGTTGCCCCATCACGGTCTGAACTGTCAGCGACTGCACGCACTTCGCCTGAACCGACTCCAGACTCAACTCCGGCTCGGCGCCCAAAGAGGGTTCGCGAGGAACGTGATTCGGATAGCGATGATGGACTTCGTTTCCGTTTCAGGCGTAAGCGTTAGCTTCCACTTTTTTTTACTTCTTTGCAATGGTTTTGTAGCGTCTATTCTGCATCGATACCCTCGCATCCCTTTGCTGATCTGTGCGTTATGTCTGTAAGTAAATAATAACCAAGTTAAATCACAATAGCTATTGTTATCTCTGTCATACTTCTCATTGCCTAGAAGCCTGCATCTCTGCATAGTTAATGGGTTCAAGGCAACTATCACAGCCCACGTACCCGATCTACTACAACATGATATAACTAGTCGTAAATCAATAATGACATGTATCATGCAAGGTCCGATCTATTCTGATTATGTTCATGTTATTTTATCCCTCAAAATCCTCGTTCCTGTACTATAAAGTCCCAATATCAAGTATTCCAACAGTAAAAGTCCGTGTTGCGCAACGGCTCTCCTCTTTACTTTCTAACCTCCTCCCCCAATACATCGTCACTTTCTTCTTCTACCTATGTACTTTGCATTTCTTCTCTTACTTAGTAGGTTCTCTGTTTCCTTTCATATTTTTCTCATCTCTTCTCTTCCGGCCGGGCTTATCTCTCTCCCCGCCAACCCCTCCCAATCCGCCTCATCAAGCTGCCCAACAGCCTGATCGGCGAGCCCCTCCCTTTCTGTAATTTGTTTCTTTCTTTCATGGATGTGATTCTCTGAGGCCTTCCGTCTGTAGCGAGACCGAATATCGGGCCGGTGCGGCTTTGATATTAGTGATTAACCACAGCCGTGAGGTGAGTACGATGTATATGCATAACCCCGACATGACCTGTTTGCTCACTGATGTATGTCAAATTCTGGCTAGTCATGCTGCAGTTTCTCTTCTGAACAAGAGCAAGTCGCATCAATGACCTCTAACTCTCCCAATCATCTCTCATCCTCATCCCTACCGCCCCTCATGACCTCCGCAGTTCCTCCTCCCCGGCCGGTGTCAGTCAATTCGATAGCCAGTGTACCCGTTGCAGTTCCTACAAGCACAGGGAAGCCAAACTGTAGCATCAGTGCAAATATTCCTTACCGAGATGTCTGTGAAAACCGCACCTCCAGCCCTATCCCTGCCAGTGAGGACCAATCTCATCTCCCCGCAGAAGTCCTCGCATCCACTATCTCAGCCCCTGCCCAGTCGGGAATCCAATTCGTGAACCTCCCAGTTGAGATCCATGAGATTATTCTTGATCATATCTTTGGCAAAAAAGCCTCAGCTGGTAACCATACAGCATATGGTGAATCTTCTGCTCAAAACTGGACCAAGGCTCTCCATCATCCGCGGCGGAAGGCCCTTTCCAACCTGGCCTTGACTTGCCGGGTGTGGACTGGACTTGTTCAAACCCGAATTTACCGCCATAGTGAGTTTCATCTGACTGTGGATCTAAATTTCAAAGAGATTGTACTGACAGCTGACTTTCTATGTAGTCAGAATCAAGGGCAGCAGAGATGAATTGGCCAACTGTGCACGGTGGTTCAAGAGAAACCCCCATTTGATTCCTTATGTCTGCCACATTGAGATTTGGATGCCTATCTGGGGAGACCGGGCCCTTTGGTCTAACGTTCCTCGCTCGAATGCAGAGCAACATGCCGCTCAGGCAGCTGCAGGACAGGCTGTACCCATGCAGTGGAATCATAACCATAATGAAGGAGATAATATTTTTTATTATCACCGTGCAACCAACAACGCTTCACTGGAGGAAATTTTTGGGCTTGTTCGGCGCTTTTTCCCCGCTGCCCGAGTTCTCACGCTGGAGGGTGGCCATTGCAAGAACCCGCCTATGGCCCGACATTTCCGCCATAGTCGTGGCATGTACAGTCTGCAGGGTCTCAACCAACGACGTCTACCTGTCCTTGAACACATACAGACATTTATCATGCGTGGTGCCTGGAACCTGATGCGACAACTTGACGACTGGCACAATATTTCACGGGCGTTGCCAGCTTTGAGTGAATGGCATTGTGCTTGGGCCCAACCCCATCTGAATGCCTACTTCATCATGATACACATCTTTACTGACCTTCCATCTACAATCAAACATATCAATCTCAGCCTAGAGGGATTTTACAATAACAGTGATGGTTTGTTGGCTGGGCTTTCTGGACCTCGAACCTCGCTTCCTCCAATCTGCAGTCTGCTTGGCGAGACAGCTCCACGTTTAGAGTCATTTACCTACACTGGTCGTGTTTGCTGGTACTTCTTTGAGACATTGAAGCAGGGGGCAACGGCAATGGATTCTCGTTCTCGGCTCAGGTCACTGGATCTTGTAGTCAAGGCGTGCTGTCACAATAAGCAGGTAGACAGATCGCATCACTGGTCGCAGATGAGCCAGGGGATAGGCGGAATTACCAGCATTGCGTTCATTCGCGCGTTCGAGGCAATGGTGGTCAAAGCAATCGAGTGTCTATCCGTACTCCCTGCCCTGGAGTACTTGCGGATGCGTTTCATCGACCTCGACTCAAGCTGTCCGCCTCTGAACCCTTATTTCCAACTTGTCAATAACGAGTGCACAGGCCTGTGGAGTGAAGACATCCTCGAAGCTTTGCGCATAAACCGACCATCGGCCTCATTTATCGCTCTTACAGATGGAATAGCTGCGGAGTACGATGACCACCAAATTGTGGGCGCCTTGATGCCCCGAGTTCGTCCCCTGGGTATCCAAGTGAACACGTACAGCCTTCTTGCCGACGCCTCCAACCCTTACTAGGCTCACAGTTTGCCTTGACCTTTTCTGAGCATTTCGACTGAACTTTCATCTTTTTCTCTTGTCATTCAGCAAAATACCCCGTCTTCGTTTCCGTCATCCCAGCGAATGTCTTGTTCGAATTGTGATATCAAGTCGGCGGATGTCTTTTAGGACATATGTGGGCTGCTACGTGCCGTTTGACCATGATCATACTCATACTTCTTTTGTTTTTTCTTTTGTTCTTTCTGTTAACCTGTCAGAGTGCGCAATCGCCTGAGGAGCTGCGAACTTCTTCGATTCGGAGAAGTGAAACACAACCCGTCCTCAGTGCCCACTTTCTTGTCGCCCTAGATTTCTGTTTCGGCTTACCGTCTTTAAGAGGGCAAGCTGTTGTTTGAGTACAAGAACACTGTCTTCATGCGACGCCATGGGTCGATTGGAGTAGTTAATCGGACAATCCGAGAAATCGGAGAATCATGTTCTTGGGTTTTCGCCGGTTGGCTTGGTTCGCTTAGCCATACCGGCCCATCGGACATGTCTGATGGGTTTGCTTGTATGTATTGTGTGTAGTTCAATGTCATTCTGATCAATCATTGTTGCTTTTATCTAAGATCCGTAACTATGTACACGTCTCTATCAAATACATTTAGCTCCGCTTTCATTTTAGTGCAACTGTGATCTCGCCAGCACCATCACCTCCATCCAGAACGATGATACCTAGAATCCAGACGTTCACGGCGAAGAAGAAGAGCCCTGCGAGGAACAGCCCAGGTACAAAGGATGACAGCCCCAGGAATTCGAGGTTGTAACCTTGGTGCAGCCAGAGGGCCTATATAATTTGTCAGAGTTGAAGTCTCAAGTGAAGATTGTGGATTAGTAGACAATACATACCTGTCCAGCAATCCATAGTATGGCTGCTGATACGCCCAGGGTCGGTTTGCGGATGAGCGAGGAAGAGGGTAGGTAAAACGGAAGTAAGATGAGGTACCAGAGAAAATACTAGGCATGTTAGCTGCGAGTATGAGCATTTTCGGATGAGATCACATACCTGACTGGTACACACTTTGTTGAAAGCAACGAAAGCAAAGGTCTGCGCGAGCATCGCAGTAGTCAAGCTCTTCTTTGCCAAAACTATAGGCAAAGCAACAACCACAAGGATTAGCTGTGGGAGGAAGGCCAGTGCCTCAAAACGAGTTTCGGCCCCACCGGCAGCAGACAGATATAGCAGTGTACTATAGGGAGAGAAATTGTGGCGGTGGTCGATGCGAGTAAGATGGTGGAAGAATGTGTGATGGAGGAATGGCTGGCCGTACTGAAGGTACATGACGAGATTCAATGCCACGAAACTGGCCAGCGCTGCGACAGTAAACTTCACCCGGGACGGGGTAATGAATCCCAGAGCCTTTGAGAGCCCACCTGAGCCAGCCGTTGCAGACCCATCGCGCTCAGCATCCCACCACCAGAGAATGGAGACACCATAGATGAACGGATAAATTTTGAAATGCACAGAAAGACCCAGGATAAGCCCAGCAAGGATAGGCTTCTTCGTCAGAGTTGCCCACAAAAGCGCCGCAACAAGCACGCCGAGCAGTCCTTCCGAACTACCACGGGTGCTGATATTGGCAACCATGGGATTCCACAGCCAAACAGCGGCAACATACCGCAGCGCGCGCTCGGCAGGAAAGCGATAGCATCGAACAAGCAGCTGGACAACCAGCCAACCGGCAAGGACATCAGACAATGCAAAAAGAGCCTTTCCAAAGGCGAAAGTCAGTGTTGACCAAGGCGCAGCACCCTCCCACGCAGTCGGGAGAAGCATCCACGCCAAGAGCGGCGTGTAGCGGTAAGTATCACGAGCATAGGGCGACTCGCCCTTTGCAACATAGCGGGCAGCATCAGTGAACACCATGTAGTCGATGTCGGTGTATTTCACGGCGGAGTGCGCGTCCTGCCAGCCTCCATAGACGAGGAGGATAAGGCGGAGCGCCGTTGCGGCAAGGAAGACTCGCGCCGGAGAGTTGAAGAGAGCCATTCTCTGATCTTGGACTTTTTTTTTTTTCTTTATTTTGTCCTTTGATAACAACCAAATGAAGAAATTAAAGGTTGCTAGATTGTCTGTTGCGGCTAGCTCGCATAATTGGGCGGATTGATGAACCCCCTGGCGGATGTCGTGGGGGCACGTAAGGAGCTGCACATCCAACCAATTTTCTTTTTGGCCTTGAAATCTGTAGTGACCGTGAGTGTGAATTAGTTCACTTCAATCCTATTCCCTGCAATTCGTGCCTGGTAAATTGGCGGATGTTTACGTGGAAGATGTCGATGCCGCCCCAGGCCTGAAACCCTGCTGACTCAGCATGGTCCGTGTCCGGGTCCGTGTCCACGGGTCTCGAGATTGCCTAATTGGGACGAGAAGTATACCTCCGGCAGGTGTTGAAGCACCCTTAAGACTGGAAGGCTGCTATGGACTGATTGGCTACTTTAGATGCCCTCTTTCGGGCTTAAAAGTTGGATATAGTATATCTCTTGTTGGTTTTATGGAGTCTCCCACAGTTGTACACTGGCCCTTGCATTGTTATATAGTGAGGTTAGGTATTCAGGCTGACATAAGGCGTATCTGTACATAGTTATCGTACATTTACAGTACTATGTAATGCTCTACCCGAGGTTTAACCCCACAAAAACAAGGAATATCCACTGATCCACGTTGGAACTGGAAAATGCGGGGAAATTGGTCTTGGAATTGCGGGGATTACAACGTCCTTGCACTACATATGTACTTCGCACTCTATACTATATACGTCCAACACGAAATACTGTGATGTCACGATGCTTGACCAGCCAGAGACTTGAAGATGATCCAAGCCAGTCATATCGGATGTTTTGATGTCTTGGCTAATGTATATCGATGTAGGTGGTACGCCACTAAGAGGGGTTACTGGATAAGTTCAGGAAGACCCTGAGACCTTCCTTCAGGCCCCAACTCCTTTAAATTGGTTGACAGAAATGCCGACAGAAGGGTTCATGTGAAAAGGTAGGCAGCCCGAGGGATCTTCATGCTTTTAGTACGGAAATGTACGTTTATACCCAGGTCCATGTCTCGATGTTTCAACCATTAGCCATCGGCTAAATGCCTCAAAATTGACACTTCTTAATCGTAACTATCCACGCTATTATTGTAGCGATAGAAACAAGAAGTTTGAGTACATCTCGATAAACGCTCAAGTTCGTGATACTTGGAGGCCGTTTTTCGTTATTTTCGTGATCATATCTCCCGGGGGCTGCATCTATGAATGCATGGGTTAATTCAACTACGATGGTCGAAGCTTCTGTTTGAAACCGAAAGAATTCAGAAGCAAGTTTATTTACACTGTGTAAGCTAGCCATAAACCACACCAACACTCTCAGAACAAGGCCATTAATAAAAAGCATGTGCAGCGTAAGCAAGACGTTAGGCACACTCCCTGTCAAGTGAGACACATTATCACAGGCTCGGACCTGTATCACTTAAACCGCTTGCGTAAGAAGCCATCGTCCGCCTTTGGAATTTGGCCGGCCAAATGGGGACAACTGGATCTGATACCTCGGATGCTGTCAGATAATGTGGTCTACTTTTATACTAAAAGCAATATGACAGACAGTTATGAATCTAGTTTAAACCTGGCTAGTTCTAACAGAGATCATCCAATTGATTAACCAGAGACGTACCACAGATTCGTTCATGTTATCTATGCACTTTATATACCACCGTATAATAGCACAAGAAAATGGCGATCCCCCGCAAGGGAAACGAAGCTATATTACAAACTTAATTGTCTCCCCGGTCCGCGGTATCTTTTCATAGACATATGATAATTTCATGAAGGTTTGGCGGGTATATAGATAGATCTCCTTGTGCATCCTTCCCTCCATTGAGAGACCTCATCATGGCGCTGGGCATGGGAAAGTATATCATCGGGGGCAATCGAGGGCTTCTCAGCCCAGAGTCCGATGAGTCTGGAAAGCTCGAGAAGGTCGGGTCCTCGGTGAGCTCGAACTCGAAAAGGAATAGATTCCGCCGGCATTGCAGGCGATTCTGGTGCGTCTACCTCATCGCCAATGTGATCTTCTTGGCTATTTTATTACCCGTTTTGTAAGTCAGAATACTCTTTTGTCTAAGTCCTGTTTATTATCAAACTAACATTGCCAAACAAGCTTTCTGGTCGCAATTCCTGCCATCGCGCAACTTGTTGTCAACAAATCGGATCTACGAATCGTGAATGCCGAAGTGATGCACCCAACAGCAGATACAGTACGAATGACACTCGAAGCAAAGGTAAACTTGAAGATTGCACTGGGCGTTCGACTCGATCCAGTCGTCTTCTACATCTTTGTGCGCTCCATCGGCCATGAGAATGCATATGCAGGAATTGAGATCCCCGGGCAAACTATCAAGGGGAATTATTCACTCGGAGTCACCGACCAGTTGACACCAATCCTCAATATGACATCCTGGGAAACATTTGTGAACCAAACTGTTTTCCAAAAAGAAACAGCATTATCGCTATATGGAGTGACCACTGGATATCTCGGGGTCCTAAAAAACCACATTACATTGGATAAAGATGTGGCGATGCCAAGTGAGTTCTTCACTACAGTCGTCTTCCACGGTTTGCTAACCTCTGAAATAGCTTTGAACAAGTTCGAAGGCTTCTCCATCGCAAACAGCACATTTCTCTTGCCGGCAGAGGACGACGGGTCTAACCTCATTGCCAATATTACACTTCCAAATCCCTCTGCCCTCAGCTTTGAAGTTGGCACTATCAAACTTGACCTCAAAAGCGGCAATACAGACCTAGTCATCGGCGAAGCAACGGTCAAGGACGTCACTCTTAGACCAGGCAACAACACATTCCCGTTGAGAGGTGTGGTCGATATCGGTACGACGATCGGTAACCTCAGCGAAGTTCTTACCTCACAGGGCCCTGCCATCAGGAGAGGCGCACTGAGCCTGACAGCTGTGACTAGATCAATTGTATCCAATGGCACTCTAATCCCGTACTATACAAAGGTCCTCGGGTCACTCCCCCTGGTAGCAAACGTGAGTATTGGCGATGTTCTCAGAAACTCGCTCGCTCACCTGGGCTCGAGTGGAACATTGTCAGACTCCGATGACAACCGCAGGAGAGGCCCTGTGCAGTTGGACGGCCCAGTTGGATACGGTGACGCGTATAGCCAGGTCGCAGGTCTGAAACACAACAGACACGTTCAAAAGATCTTTGAGGGTGAAGATCCCGAACGACGAGACGCAATGATAGATTCGCTGGCTCAATATTATGCATCACTATGAATGAATGTATGACTTGATTTGAATTGAATTGAATTTAACGATACCTCCATGACGGTTTTCTCCCTGAATTAAATCTTGACATCTGGTCTGCTAGGGGTTCATCGACCATTGAAGCGAATGAGGTGGATAGTCTATAATTATCATCGCCCCAATTTCCAGGGATGAAGAAAATTAGTATGGAGTAGGACCCCCATTTCTGTGTCAATCGTTATATCATGAAAATGTGAGAAATATAAGAAATCTTACAGTACATTGATATACTTGAAGCATTGAAATGAAAAGGTAAGTCTGTCGTACATTCATTTCCCACATATGCCCTATGCTAACATGCTGCATCGAAAAATTCCAAAGGAACAAAATAATAGAGTAGAAAAGAGGAGACGAGAGAAGAGAACAAGTGTTCAGTAATAAAGTCCGCCGTTTGCAAAGTATCCAGGATCCGGCATGGGATCAAAATATGCAGGTTGTTCTCCGAATTTGGGGCCTTTCTCATGATTCGGGGTCAACAAAGTCATTGCGTCGTTCCTTCCATCAACATCAGTGACAATCCCCGGCCACAAGTTGTTGTCACTCCAACTCAGATACTCCCAGAGATACTGGCCCCCTGAATCATCTGTGAATGGGGTGGTAGCGAGGGGGTCAAGGAACCCATTCTCGCCCATAGCCGTGTTACCGCGACCCAGTTCAGGCGCCGGGAACATGAGTGACATATCCCGACCAGCAGGATAAGAGCCACTAAGAATACTAGCGGAAGAGTCATGGTCTGTGAGGTCCTGCCCCCGCTTGCTAGCCTCATAGATACGCGAGATAGCATCCAGCGACCGCTTCGCCGTATGGCCAAAGGACTGCATACGGGCCAGGGTCATCATGGCCATTTCCACCTGCGCCTGACAGGACTCAATGGAAGCGCGGGGGTCATTTACCGTTGGATCGTTGAGGAACAATCCTACCAATGGAACTAGAGAGGCCTGGAAGGTCCACCAGACAGCATTCCATCCGCACAGCTGGTTAAGCTGCGCCGTAGCAGCGATATTCCGAATAGATTCCTCTGCAACTTCGCGACATTTTTCAATCGCGGTGCGCTCCTCGGACCGCAGTGCGATATACGGCACACGGCGCATGGCGTAGCTGAGTAGTGTTGGTCGGTACAGGAGGATCCGTTGGTTGTAGTAGCGCCAGCGCATGACTGTGCGGACAGTGTTTATTGACTCTGAGCAGGGCTCGTGGTCTTTCAGGACGGAGGGGAGGTTGTCCCACCACTCCAGGAGCTGCACATCCGCGTGGGCCATTTCTTGGTGCTTGACCAGCGGTGCTGCGGCGAGGGACTCTTGAACTTGGGTTGCGATCTTGGCAAAGCGGATGTTTTCCACTAAGGGGAGGATCTCGAGGACGTTTCCCTATTAGAATGATATTAGTCAAACGATAATTCTTCTCTGAAGAGGAAAAAGACATACCTTGTCTCGACAGAGAGGAGGTTTGACTGTAATGTTTGAACCTATCCGACCCATACTAGGCCGGCCTAGTGTCATGCCAGCCCAGGTATCCATACAGAACAAAGACCACCAGACGCGGCGCTTAAGATCCATGGAGGCTAGCTTTGCCGGGCTCGGTATTTGACGAGTCTCTGCAAACTCCTTGTGTAGTCCTAGGGCAGCCGCCATACGCAACGCAGCACCCATAAGGGAGTATGCCAGATTCGGCTGGCTGATATAGTGGCAGTACCAGCCGCCCATCAGACCCAGCGCCTGGATAGTCTCAATGTGGGAGCTTCCCAAGGAACTCAGATTTAGGTGGCCCTTGCATCGCAAGAAGTATGTCTGGTGTGTTACATCATCGGGTCCTGTAGCCGCAATGCAACCGAGAGCAAGAACGATGTTCAGCAAAGCAAGCCAATGGTCATCTCTCCGACGACCGGCGCAGTAAGCCTCGCGGAAGGAGCGCTCATCGATCATAGGAGCGAAGGCTTGGAAATAAAGGAAATATGCATCAAGCATTTGCATCTCAGATGGTGGAATGAGGGGTTGTGGGGGTGTGGCAGGCGCACGATGCGGCCATCCCATCGCGTTCTCCTGTTCGTTCACGGGAGTTCGCGAAAAGTACGAGGCACAGCCTGGATCCAACCAGACAATGACCTTGATCACCGCCTGGATAGATGATACACCCAGGTAAGATGAAGGCTGGCGAGCCGACAGCGACAAGCCATTAACATCATCCGAGACGCCTTCTACTAGATCCGAAGAGCTCGTATTACGGCTATCCGGTAGTTCCTCGGGCATAGTTTGCAGAGCCTCGAGGTTGTCGTCGTCATTTGACAAAGGTGAGACGTGGGCTTCCAGCGAAGCCGATGTCGATGGTGAATCGGCATGATGTGACTGTACTTGCATGTGAGAGCCTGACGGAGCCGTTGTGAGCTCGAGCAGTTTCTCACGTGGTAAATTTGCCAATGACTCTGGAGAGTAGTTAGGGAATAACTTTCCCAGGATACTTCGATACTCTTCCAAAGTTGTAGATAGTTTTTCTACATGTCTGTATATATTAAACTGGTTAGATTGTTGGGCATGGAAGAAAATGGCTGAGTGACTCACCTCCGCGACGGCCGCGGGTCTGAATAGTGGCACTGGTCTGACTTCTTATACCACCGACATGCCTCACATGGCTTCTCGCCATCACACTTGATCTTGCGATGGCGGCAAGATGTACAAGCGCGCAAGGTTGTCACACGGCGACTAATAGATTCACGTCTTTCACTAGTAGACCGGTTGCGGGCAGGAGTTGCTGCCGTAGGGTTCTCAAAACCCTCGAATGTATGGAACATTGTTGATAGTTATAAATTCACGACCACCGCGTGTGGTCACTGAGTGGGCAACATGTGTAGAATAATAGTGTGGTATGATGTTTCTGTTGAATTGTGACAGTTCTTCACATTGCGGAAGAGTGGCAAGTCATATGTCTAAGGAGATAGAGAAAGAGAAGATTAAAAGGGAAAAAGGAGACTAAAACCAAAAAGAACTAAACCGAACGAAAAAATAGGCTGATCCGCTTAATATCCCCGCATTTTCGTGATCGATTTCAACTGTGCAAGTCTTTTTTCCCAGTCCGGGCTCACGCGGGTCATAGTGATTGGTCGAGCATATTAGGAGTAATATAGGCTAGTGATCTCCGTGACTCCGGACTAATCCTTGGAAGGCGTGGGAAGACGAACACACTCTCTTTCTCAGATCTGGTAGGGAAAAAGAAAACAAAAAGCCCTTCAGCCTCTGGTTTGACGTGGAGATTCCCGCATCAGTAACTCCCGGCATATAAGACCAACAGGGACTTTATGCGGTCACTGGGGTTTCGAGTCCCGAGCTGCCTAATATTCCGGGAATTGCCACGCCAGCATGAACAGGGGTGGTAAGGGGTGGCAGATGTGTGCCATTCACGGGAAATTTCCAATTTCGCTTCCAGTGTTCACACGCCACAGAACCTGCATAACAAGGTACTCGGTACTCTATAGTGTGGCATGGATTCCCCAAAGTGAGGGGCAATTCCCCAGACTCACTTTGGGAAAATCATCCTGAGCCCTGCAGGATAAAACTGGACGATCGTATGGGGAAGATCTCTAGCTGTACATGTCCGTTCTTGCATGAGGAGATTAGGTCCGATGGTCCAGTACCAGCAAATTTCCCTTTGACCGGACAGTTCAACCTGGTTCGCCCAATCAATGTGTCAAACCTTCTCATTTCATCGCAAGTCTTGGCGCTGCACTCCGTGTGCTCCGTACGGAGTATACCATAATAGCTCTAAGACCGGCGCCTGACGCCTCGAATGAGGGATTTTCATGAATCAAGGGGCTGGTGCTCATGTCCACTTATGCTTACCCCGTGTATCAGGAGGGGCAGTGTGCCTATCACCTTGCCACTGGGGGTCCGGTGCCGAGATACCTTTGCACCATGTCTGTTTCGAGTCAAGGGCCCGAAATGGGGACAAATGGGGACACCAGCGGTTAGGAGTCCTCGCCTTATTTTCTCTTGTTCTCGAGACAAAGAGGCCAAGAGAGTCAGACTCAAAACTCGAAGTAAATTTAAAGCCAGCACTCTGCAGAGCTCCACGCTCTGATCATTGATCTCCAGGGAAGTTATCGGGCATGCCAAGCCTGGATGAAAGGGAAACCGAAGGGGTGCCAGACGCCCGCTGCCAATGTTCAACGGTGATTGGCTCGGTTGTAACTTGTGACGGTCCATGCATAATAACGGTAATTGGTGCAATAATAATAAATTAAGTGTATAGGCCATCAACCGAAAGAAGCTGCCTGCGCACGAGGGGAAAGCAGATGATATATGTTGTACAGGTCCATCAGTCCAGGAAGTCTCCAAATTTATGATAGCAGGAAAAAAAACTCATGGAAGAGAAACCCGAACACCAACAATGCATGGCATTTTGAGCTTGACGGGATCTTTTCCGTGGCCAACAAAGCTCTTGGGTGGATATAACAACCCCGGATGGTGGGGAGACATGGTTGAAATTTTGGAGATTTGCAAATTCTCCTCATTTTACTGTATTTGAAGAATACAAATTGCAAATATACAAGTCATGTGTCACACTAGGCCCTTTTTAACACGGCCAGTTTTGTCTTTCCCAAAGGGGAAAGGGAGTCTCCGGGCTTATCGATAAGGACAAGTTGGTTTCCAACTATGTATAAATCCGGGGGAGACGAAGTTACCTTCTTCATATTGCCAATTGCTTTTCAAAATGGCTAAGATCGTGCACTCTCTGTCTTCTGGCTGGTCCTTCAAGGACCGGGACACCGACGAGTGGTTGCCAGTAGCTTCAGTCCCATCCGTGGTACAACAGGATCTCATTGCTAACAACAAGTGAGCTGTTTTTTTTCTCACACCAAACGTTTCAAATCTAACAGTATTCTTCTAATAGGCTTGATGATCCCTATGTTGGATTCAAAGAGTTGGACGCCCGCTGGGTTAACGAGAAGTCATGGGTCTACCGAAATGTGGTGGAGAAGCCATCCGCCCCCGCCGGCTCTTCAATTGTCCTGGTCTTCGACGGTCTTGATACCTTTGCCAAGGTCAAGCTGGACGGACAAGTGATCCTAGAGAGTGATAATATGTTCCTGGGTCACCGGGTAGACGTAACCAAAGCATTCGAAGCAGAGGGCGAACACACGCTCGAGATTGAGTTCGACTGTGCACTGATCAAGGCACGCGAGCTCCGAATCCAGGACACCACGCATAAATGGGTCGGATTCAACGGCGATCCATCGCGCATGGCTGTGCGGAAAGCCCAGTACCACTGGGGCTGGGACTGGGGTCCAGTGTTGATGACCGCGGGCATCTGGCGTGCCGTGCGATTCGAGATGTATCAGGCCCGCGTGGCCAATCTGTGGCCCCAAACACAGCTTTCTGCAGACCACCAGACAGCTGAGGTGACGGCCGTTATCGATGTGGAGAGCGTCGGCGATGGGGAATATACGGCCCAGTTTAGCTTAGGCTTAAAAGGGAACGAGATTGCAAGCAAGACTATCCCAGTGTCTGGGAAGACCACTCAAGTAACATTCCCAGTCGACAAGCCGGCTCTGTGGTGGCCCCATGGATATGGCGAGCAGACTCTGTACGACGTATCGGTGTCGCTACTTCGCAATGGTGAACAGGTTGACCAGACATCTAAGAAGTTTGGTATCCGGACCGCCGAGATAATCCAACAGCCGGACAAGCATGGCAAATCCTTTTTCTTCCGAATTAATGGTATGGACATTTTCTGCGGCGGTTCGTGTTGGATTCCGGCAGACAGTCTGCTCCCTGCCGTTAGCGCGGAGCGATACCGCAAGTGGATTGAACTTATGGTCGCAGGCAGACAAGTCATGATTCGGTAAGTTCCGGTTTTCTGTATGGTCTACGACCTGCGTGGATTTAACTAACGTTGAACAAGTGTCTGGGGCGGTGGTATATATGAAGACGACTCGTTCTATGAGGCCTGCGACGAATTGGGAGTGCTAGTCTGGCAAGACTTCATGTTCGGATGTGGTAATTATCCCACATGGCCCGAAATGCTCGAGTCTGTCCGTCAAGAGACAATCTACAATCTGGAGCGTATGCGTCACCATCCTTCGATTGTGCTTTATGCGGGTAACAACGAGGATTACCAAGTTGCAGAGTCAGAAGGCTTGACCTATAACTACGAAGACAAAGATCCGCAGAGCTGGTTGAAAACAGATTTCCCGGCACGATACATTTATGAGAAGCTGCTCCCAGATGTGGTGGCTGAATACTCACCTGGCACATTCTACCACCCTGGAAGTCCATGGGGAGATGGCAAGATATCGTCAGATGCCACTGTTGGTGATATGCACCAGTGGAACGGTCAGTATTCCCCAACAGACTTCGAGTTCTTACGCTAATCACCAGAATAGTGTGGCATGGAACGCAGGAGAAGTACCAAATCTTCGATACTCTCGGCGGCCGGTTCAACAGCGAGTTTGGAATGGAGGCATTCCCCCACATCTCTACCATTGACTACTTTGTCGAAAATCCGGAGGACAAATTCCCCCAATCCCATGTTATCGACTTCCACAACAAGGCCGACGGTCATGAACGAAGACTGGCGACGTACCTTGTAGAGAACCTGCGGACCGCTACCGACCTTGAGGTATGCCTACCACCATAATTACCGTTGATGCAAGCTAACATCTTTAGACCTATATTTATCTCACTCAAGTCGTACAAGCAGAGACCATGATGTTCGGCTACCGAGGCTGGCGCCGGCAATGGGGTGACGAGCGACACTGCGGCGGCGCACTGCTCTGGCAGCTGAACGACTGCTGGCCGACAATCTCATGGGCCATCGTGGACTACTTCCTCAAGCCGAAGCCAGCATACTACGCCGTTAAGCGGGTCTTGAACCCGATCGCCGTTGGGGTCCGACGTGAGCACCACGACTGGAGCGTGGCACACGCCCAGCCACCCAAGACCAGCAAGTACGAACTTTGGATCGCCAGCAATCAACCAAAGACCATCCAAGGCAGTGTCGAGCTGCGGTTCCTATCTGTCAACTCAGGCCGCGATATTCGGGCTCCGATCGTGCACGAAAACATCACCATTGCTGCCAATGGCACCACGGATATCATCACTGATGGTGTTCTCGACCACATCGCTGAGCCAGAACCACATGTCCTCGCCGCCCGGTTGTGGGTGGACAACCAGGTTGTAGCACGGGATGTCGACTGGCCACAGCCATTGAAGTATCTCAATCTGTCCGAGCCACAGGTAGAGGTTAAGAAGCAGACAGGGAAATCTGGTGAGACGGTGTTGGTGATCAGTGCCCGCAAGCCGGTCAAGTGTCTCGTTTTCGAGGAGCAAGAGGGTGTACAGCTTGAGGACAACGCTATTGACATTGTCCCTGGTGATGAGCAAACAGTCATAGTTACTGGCCTTGGGGGTGAGCCTCTGAAGTACCGGTACTTGGGACAACCATCCTGCGAAGTCGTTGTATGAGTGGCTACTACATACATATGTATGTACCTACGCTGTATAGCAGTAAACAACATGATTTCGATGAGCATAAGCACTTAAAATACCAGACATAACTCTTGTAAAGATCAATAGATATACGATGTAGTAGACAAACCTTCCGAGGTTGGAAATAAGAGAAGATCATCTCATATCTTATCGGCCCTGGGGAGATCTGAACTTAACAACCTCACAACTTTTTGCCAATGGGTACCAAACGCGACTGGGAAGGCCAGCCACTCGAGCTCAATCCTAAAGATACAATCATGGTAGAAGCAGAAGCAGAGTCAGCTCCTTCAATCCTCTCAATCTTTGAGAACTTCCGCGACGAGCTGGACGAGCACCATGACCGCCGCGAGCGTATCATCAAGAAAAGCCGCGACATTACCGCCCTGAGCAAGAAAATGTATGCCTTCACCTCCAGCGATAAAGAATAGCATCACTAACTAAGGAATCCCTTTAGTATCTTCGCCCTTCAACGAGTCCGCGCAACGAACCAACCTCTCCCACCCAAAATCGCCCAAGAAAACCAAACCCGCTTCGATCAAATCCACGCACTGTTCGAAGATGTCGTCCCCGAACTACTAGGTATCAACGGCTGGCGATACCAGCGCCAAATCAGCGCCGGAATCCAAGAATTCATCGAAGCCGTCTCCTTCGACCACTACCTACGCACACAAACGCTAATCACCCACGCCGAGTGCTCCGCCCGCGTCCCACCACAAATCCTCGTTTCAGAAGACGACTACCTAATGGGCCTGTACGATCTCACAGGAGAGATGATGCGTTTTGCGGTTCTATCGCTGAGCTCTGGGAACGCAACTGTTAAGGCGACCGAGAACACAGCCAGCGAAAGCGAGAAATCAGCGGTCGCTTCGTCGCAGGGCGGCATTGTGGTTGATCTACGTGCTATGCGTGCGGGCTTTGAGGCGCTCAGTGTGCCACAGCGGCATTACATGTTCCGGGATATGGCGAAGAAGCTGGACGTGATGCAGAACAGTGTGGAGAAGGTTGAGCGGGCGGCGTATGGGATTGTCGTTCGTGGGAGTGAGAGGCCGAGTGGATGGATGCCCGATCTGTCGGGCGCAGCGGAGGTGGCATCCTATTAAGAAACTACATATCATGAAGTATCCAGCAATGATCAATGGGCTTGTTTTGAACGACAGCTGTACATCGATGTAGTCTGTTGTAGTTCGGGGGTCTGCATAGCTTTCCATATGCCAGTAACTATATATAATTGAGAATTAAGTCTTTCTCTGTCTTCAATGCCCCAATATCCCCCATTAGAGACTTAGTTCTACATTTTATAGAAATCGCATATTCCGTATTTGACATTGCTATACCGGCAGGTGCGTCACGGTGACATCATCAGTTCAGAACGGTAAAGACAGTACAAAGCTGTTGTAGAAACAACTTGAGTGTAGGAAAGGAAAAGACAAAGCATTTCCAATAGAAAAAAAAAATCAAAGGAAAGAAAAGGAAAAACGCCCTCGTAAAACGATCGTGTCACCCATATCGCATAGCACCAAGAGCTGACTCTATAAAAGGCCAAAATCAGACGGGCGAGCGTGGGTTCTCATCCTCGGAGAGAATACCCTGGGAAATTAGCTCTTCGGGCTGTGGCCGGTTCTGAATCTTATGCTCGAGGTTATCGGCCAACATGTGCTTCTCGAGTTCACGGGCGTGGGCCTGCAGCGCTGGGGCGGCGGAGGTTGCGGGGAGGATATTACCTTGGCGGGTTGTTAGTATATTAAGAGGAATCACAGGTACCAATCTCAGGTACAAAATGAAATAGAAAATGAGAAATGACATTTCAAAGCAGAATAGAAGGGGAAAATAAAGGGAAACAAACGCTCAACCAGCTCGTCCTTCTCAGGCCTCTTCTCCAGGTTCTTCTTCAGACTGTCTGTAGCACGCTGGCGATCGAGCTCCTGGCGGGCAGATTGAAGAGCTCTGTCAGTGTGTTAACGATCATATCTGACCAAGAGAATGGGAAATATTCCCGGGAGCACCCACGGAGCTACATTGGTGTCCAGCAGGATGTGGCGGTTCTTGAGGTCCTGCATTTCCGGGCGGGTTTGGAGGTGTTTCTCCAGCGAGTTGCGACGCTCGTGGGTTGGGGGAAGAGACTGTTCGATGGAGGACATTATAACGAGTAATGATAGTCAACGTGTTGTTAAAAGGTGAGATCAGTAGAGGAATGAAGTAGTTAAAAGAGTTCTGGAGAAGGCGAAAGTCAAGTGATGTCCCACGGGACAAATCACGCGGGGAAAGCGGCGGTCTATACATCGACATCATACAACGACTACCTAACTACATAAAAAGGGGAAAACATCAAGAATAATGGAATTCACTGGGATAATCTGGGATAATCTGGAATAACTGGGATGGTAGTAGATCATAAAACAAAAAAAATACAATCCACTATCATACCAACTCCCAGCGCAAAAAAAAAAGCAAAATAGCAACCGTCTCAACGTCTCCGCAATTTGACGATCTCCCATCTCCGTCTCCTAAGGAAAGGGTGAAAGGGGAAAAAGGGGGGGGCACAGGTTTTCCGAAGTAGACATATCCAAGCAGCGCATCACAGCCGCGGGTCGAATCCACCATGGGATTCATGTCCTTTCGTGTCCGAGATTCGAATCAGGCCGGGGTTCTGGGATCGTTTATGCCGGGGGAAGAGGGAAAAACACACTCTGCAGGCAATCACAGCAAGACAGATTCAGATCCAGATCCCTGTAGTTGGGGGGTTATTTCAGTCCAGCAAAGAGAAAAGAGACACCCCTGTCCGGTTCTGGATGCATTGGTTCACAAAACATTCCAGTCTACTGTCATCAATGAGATGATTTGGAGTAGACCGTTCTGCTCGTGTTAATCAAGGAACCCAGAGCTTACCACGGCCACGACCATTGCCTCGCGCGCCGCGCGAAGATCCACCACGGCGACCATTGGATGAGCGGCGAGAGGCTCCAGCATTACCGCGAGAGCCACCGATGGCACCGGCGGCACCCTTTTGGTTGCTCAAGTCTACAGTGGGTGTCTTGGTTGCTCCGCCCAGAGACCGGCTGAAAGAGTCCGGGTCGATGGGCTTGGTAGGAACTTCCACGGTGGCAGTAGGCTCAGCAGGGGGTGGCGCAGCCTTAGGAGCAGCCTTGCGCTGACCCCCACCACGCGAAGCACCTCGGGGAGTTCCTTTTCCACGACCGCGAGGGACGAACACTAGCTCATCTTCGTCGCTCTCTTCCTCGTAGGACAACAATGTCTTCGGCTCGGCGGGTTGGGTCTGAGTTTTCTCGACGTATTTGCAGCGGTTTTTGTACTCGCGCTCCTCGTACTGGATAGCGGTACGTAGCTGCAGAATGTTCTTGACACCAATGCCAAACTTCTGAGCCCAAACCTGGGTCGCGCGGTCATTGGAAATGAGAATGCAGGTCTTAGCAGAGTTCTCGGCATCGGGGCCAGTATGCAACCGCCAGAGCAGGGCGCTCAGCAATGGGCGCAGAGCGGGCGGTGCGGTCGGGATGACGGATCCGGAGATGGTGCGCTGATGGTTAGAAGACTTGTTCTTCTTCTCGTTCTTTGTTGTTCCATTGCTGGACTCATGCTGGGCACACTCTGGGCTGGTGCGGGAGCTGCGAGAGGATGTGCGCGATCCAGGTCCACTGGGGGTGCCGACGGAGGTGATAGACACAGCCTCCGGGTCCTTCTTGAAGTTCAGCTTGGACAAGAGCATCTGCGACAGATCATCCGACTCGTTCTTGGCCAAAGTATCATCGGTGCTGGGCTCGATCTCTGGCTCGTCATCGGTAACTGCCTCGTCAATTACCTCGGGCTCCTCTTCGAATTCCGGCAGGAAGAATTTCTCGGCCTCTTCCCAGCGCTCATATTGCTCCATGGGGCCCTGGAGGAGAACTCGGTCGGCGGCGATGTGATCTTTGCCGGAAGTGACCCGGTCAAGAAAGCGGACTGCTTCGCGGGCGTTGATGGCGACCTGTGATCCCGCTCGCTTCAGCGCATGGAGTCGTTCAAGTGCTAATCGGAGGATAATGGTTAGACCAGCAAGCGCTACAGTGAGGCAATCAAAGTCTCTTCGACACTCAGATACTTACTGTAAAGAGGAACCACGAGATCGATAGCACCATTAGTAGTCCATTTCTTGATTTCGCTAATATTGGTGGACAGGGCCGTCTCGTCCACGGCACAGCGGAAGACCTTGCGTCCGGTCGTCATGGCGGATATTTAACGGGTGTGTTCGTGCGCTCGTAGTGAGTGAGAGATACAGGGCAAAGATCACCCTATATCGGAAGACTAGAATTGTAGACAACCGCGACTGAATCGGGGCCGGTCAGCACGGGCCTAGAGCTGAGGAAGGAGGTTTGATGATGGGAGGGACCTGGGAATGTGGGGGGGAAGAGGGAGTGGTGGGATGTCGGTTGATGGAGCCGTGATTTTTCACTCACGATGAGAATCCAGTTGACAGGATGTTTCCATCTGCAGCATCTTTGTAACAATATAGTCTGCTTGGGGCCAAAGAACGCACCTTGAGAAATGATGCGATGGGCAGAGATGGAAATATGCTGACTAAGCGTGCTTCAGGAACAACCTTGGAAGACCGAATTTAAAGAGAGAAGTGAGGGTTTCTATATATCGAAGAGGGATACAGTCTAAGAGTAGAGAGAGAGAACAGAAAAAAAAAAGCTCATGTTCGTGAAGAAAAGGGTTCCAGCGCCATCATGCTGGCCTATGACTTCACCTTTTTGATGAGGCCATCCGATTCCTTGACTCGTTGCGCCCACTCACTGGTTTCGATGTTCATATTAGTACTAGTCAACATTTGAATTACAAGGGAAACTTTGTTATACTTACGTCCAGCTGCCGTCATATACCCGACGCAGGTTTGGGTCGCCATATTCGGCCTCACTCAGGGCTGTCTCAATGATGGAGGCAGTCACGCCAGTACCACACGAGCTGATAATTGTTTGATTTGGATCTACCTTGTGGTCCTCAAAGACCTTTCGCAGGTCTTCAGTAGGGAGATAGGCTTTTGTTTCAGGGTCCAACAGTTCTTGGAAGGGCATGCTCTTGGAGCCAGGAATATGGCCAGATGACAGACCAGGGCGCGGCTCCGGATCGGTTCCAGCCCAGCGACCATAGGATCGTGCATCTAGGATCTCTATTTCCTCTGCACCTTCTTTGCCATAGTCCAATGCCAACTCCTTCATCTCCCGGAAGGAGATCACTAGTCGCGAGTCGTATGTCGGAACAGAGTACTTGGACTTCTCCACCGCCGCTGGCTCACCGCTCTCAGTCGGAAGACCTTCTTTGGTCCAGAGACGATAGTTGTTGAGGATGTGCACGTTAGGATGGCCGAAGACGCGCAGTGTCCAGCCTACTCGGGGCGCACTGAATATGCCCAGGTCGGCAGTGTCGTAGACCACCACCGAGTCGTCGCGACGGATCCCCAACTCGCTCATGGCCTCGGCAAAAGTCTCGCAAGTGGGAAGCATGTGTGGATAGGGTGAATCTTGATCTTTGATAGCGTCAAGGTCAAAGAATCGGGCCTGGGGGATGCGCGAGTTACGGAACGAGTCAATTCCCTTGCGACCCTCTGGATCGTTAGGCATGAACCATGCTGCACAGAGGGGAATCACGCGCGGGGAAGTTGAGATTTTTGTCCGGGGATTCTTCTTGAGTGCTTCATTCAGCTGCTTTGGTGTCACTAGATACGAAGAAAAAGAGACATTGCGCTGAGTATGGAGCCCTGTGGAGATAGACATGTTGGGGCGGAAGAGACGAGCAGGAGCAAAGGGTCTGGCTGCAAAAGCCATGGTGGAGAGGAAAGGCTTTTAAAGACCAATTTACATAACGAGGTAGTAAAGCCTGAGGGAGTATCAAAATGCAAGTCAGACCAACCACGAGTAAGAAGAAGCGGAAAAGCAGGGAAGAGCAATAAGAGGAGTACTATTGCGTGTTATGGCGGCATATGTGGAGGTGCGGAGAACATGTGATAAGGGCCCGATAAGAGATAAGTGTCGGATGTTGACCGATGGTTTTCCCTCTTCACCTCTTCAGCTTGGTTCTCCACTATCCCACTCCACAATGAAGGTCGCCATTAAAGAATGGAATGCCGTTGCTACTTGGCACTGGAATATTCCAGAAGATGAAGTGTGTGGCATCTGTCGTGTTCAGTTCGATGGCACTTGCCCAACCTGCAAATTCCCCGGCGACGACTGCGCGCTCGGTGAGTGACCTTTCTACTCCCAATTCCATGCTGAATACTGACTTATGATGACTATTATAGTGCAAGGAAGATGCAACCACGCGTTTCATATGGTAAGACTGCGGAGTGGGCATTTAAGCTTGGACTGAACTAATCAACACTTTTGAAACAGCATTGCTTAATGACCTGGATTGACCTGGAGTCTTCCAAGGGACTATGTCCAATGTGCCGACAAAGTATGCTTTCTCTGCATTGTCTGTGTGATATCGAGCTAACTGTCTCCAGAATTCGAATGGAAGGACAAGGAATAACGGCCTAATTTGTGTTTTTTGGTTCTCATCAATGGTTATCAAGGCGTTGTCGGACGAGTTCTAGATACCCCTTTGTGTTTTAATTGGGCATGCAAACTTGGATTGGAAGATTTGTTGAGTGCTCAGTGTCAACTGAGCATCAAATTAATGCCATGCTTGGAGCGACTTTTCAATCAACAAGATTGGATCCCCGTTTATACTTCATTTTTACAAGTCAAGGTTATTCCTACTGGAACAATTGTTGTTTATGCGTAATTCGCTTGCTTGATGTATATTGCAGTGATTATAATTGCCTTGGCACATGATTTCCATGGTGTTCGATCATCGACATGTCGATATATATATTTGCAGATCGGGCCATAGATAGGTAGGTCAACTTATATCATACCTAGCCAAGCAGCCTACCGACTATCATACCACTATCTCCCAAAAAAAAAAAAAAAAAAACAGCTACATCTGAAGGAGTAATACATTTACCAATATAAAATGTCACTTGATCACTTGATACGAGGTCAACTACATGTACACCCAGCCGCCGTCACTTTTCATCCGATCGTCACGTGGCGCTATCGATAAGAAGCTCTCCGCACGGGATACAGAACCTCATCCTACCCCAAGCTCTTCTCTAGAATGATGTAGCCTCGGCTTATGGAGATGTCTCTGAACAACTCTCCCTATCATCCTCCCCTATCCTCTTCCTCATCCCGGCAGTCCCTGCACAAAGAAACACCCTCTCGTCCAGGCACCGCCTCTTCGCGGCCGAGTGATCGACACTCAAGAGGGCAGCTGCCACCTGAGAGCCGCCCATCAACAGACGAAACCCATCAACTTCTAGGAACAATTTCATCACCCCGCCAAGATGCAGTTCTGGATGAAACCGAAGACCACCCCGAGGAAGGCCAAGAACAACCTCTATCTCACCCCGCCTTCCAGCCGTTCTTCACCTTGATTGAAGACGCCCATACCTCAGACTACTACCACCCAACGGTCCACTACATATTCTCCGACGATGACACCGGCATCGTGACAGAGGCAGCCTTACGTAGCTTGGCCGTGCAGCAAGAAGCCCTCTCCGATTCCAAGAAAGACCAGATCGCGCAGACCCAAGCATCCAATCTTCAGGACGAGATCAAAGACCCCTCCGACCCAGACCTAGCCAAGACCGCCTTACTCCCACCGCCCGTTCCAGGTGTTTGTGAAAACTATGTAATCCTGGACGTAGAGCCATCACCACACACACCCGGGGCAGCACAAACCAGTCCGATAACCGAACAACTAGCACCAGGGAAAGGCGGGGGTGGCACGAGGTCCATATCCTCGTCACCGGCGAACACTTCCGCCCTCCCACAGGATCAGGGGCAGCTACACCCGCAGTATCGCGTTACCGCGGCACAAAGCTTCTCGTCAACTTGGCAGGTCCTCAACACGGAGGTGGTACCGGCGCCAACCTTTGAGAATAGTAATCCTGGCGAGTTACCAGGACATGGGTTGATGTTGAAGATACGTGGCACAGGTGGGCTGCCGATTAAGGTGGGTGGAAAAGATAAGGAGGGTACACTTGAGGAGATGATGGACCAGTTTGCGAAGCGGATGAGCGAGTTGCAAGTTGTTATCGATGCTGCAGAGGTTGCGGACTCAAAGGGAGAACACGATGAGGAAGAACTCGTGCAGCATCCTTTCTCTCCAGACACAGCTGAAGAGACTACTCAGGGCGAGGGGGATAGTGCGGCATATGCTGCAGATGGTGAAGGGGAACATTCTTGATGATTTGTTATTGCTATTTTTGTCGCATCGCGGGAAAAGCATCGGCGTCTGTATTAAGTCTAGTTTACCAACAGGCTAGTGCCGGGTGAATCTCATGAACATAATTTGAATACAAGATGAACCAATCCAAATCGGGATATCAAGTATGGTATTAAGATCGGATTTGACATTCCTATAGGAATATCAATATAGCCAAACCAGAAACGCCAAGTACAATCGCCTTTCTATGGCACTCAGACAAAAGAAGAGATACAAGAGAATGTTCAACCCAACACTGTTTTTTCAGCCAAAAACTCCAACCCAGAGTGAAAGCCCAGCGACTATCGGGTATCAAAAATTGTCAGAAAAGAAGAACAAAAAAAGAGCAGAAAATAACATGGAATCCACCTAATCAGAGGTGCGGTTTCTAAATCTTCGGCCACTGGCGATGGCTGGGGGAGGCATATTTTCGCGACCCTCCTTCATGCCAGCCATCCTCTTTGAGAGCATGGTTTTGGGGAGCTTAGTCTCGGTATTATTGTTTGAGTTCGATCGGCGCCGTTTACGAGAAGGTTCTGGCTCTTCCTTTTCTGGCGTCTCGTCCAGGTCCATGGATGTGGCCAACGCGGGGGTTTCCGGCTTGGTGGGAGGTAGTTCGTCGTTGCCATCAGACACGGCCGGTCTGGCGACGTTTAAGTCGACTTCTCTAAGGCCAGTGTTGGAAGGTGCGGCTGCGGAGGATGGAAGAGAGTGGCCTACCTCTTCCGGAGTATCATTATACACGAATTTCTTGGACGGCGAAGGCTGGGGCGAAGTGGGAGCAGGGGAATCCTGTTCTTCCTCCTCACTGAATGGCAGAGCATTAAACTGCTTGGATGTCCGGTGTCGAGTGCGAAGACCGTCGTGAGCTTCCGTTTGAGGCATTTCCGAAGGGTATTCGTATCGTCGTTTCTGAGGGGTTATACCAGTTGGAACATACTCTTTCAGGGGGTGGCTCTGGATGTTTGACCGCATTTCTAAAAGTGGCTGGCGGACTTCAGCGTGTAGAGGTGCAGTAGTTTGTTCCAGGTTCTCGGTATGCATATCGACATCCTCCTGGAGTTGCTCGACACGTCCGGTGAACCCATCGAGTTGCCCATAGACGTTTGAGCGGGACTCTCGGGCGTTCTTAGCCATGGAATTCAAACTGCCTAGGTGTGATTCATGGAAGCGGCCATTCTGGGACCGTGCTTTGGCAACGAAGTCATCTAAGGCCTCCATTTGTGTGCCCATGTCGCTCATTTGAGCATCAACAATCCGCACAGTCTCTTGGTGCACAGACTCCGTTGCTCGATGAATTGAGGCATTGCGCTGGTCGAAAGTCTACTGTCGTTAGTTTTATTTCGTAACTCAAAGATGTCAGTTCGTCTTACCTCCCAATCATTCTGCATCCTGGTTTTGAGTTCATCCTTGGATGCAGTAATGTCTTTGGCAAATTGTTCCTCCTTGAAAATCCATTCATCAATGTGTCTGTCGTGCTGCGCAGTCGCTTGCTCGAGAGAGTCGCCTGATGCCGAGATGTCGATGCGAAGGGTATCAAATTTGCCTTTAAGGCGGTTGTTCTGTTTATGACTTGAGTCCTCAAGGAGTCCCCGGATGTGAGACATAAGAGTTTCACGCTCGGCCTGTGCACTCGCATGTTCCTCTTCCAGAACCTGTGCTAAATTGGATGAAGCCTTTCTATTGGCCTCCACCGTCTGGCGGTTAGCTGCCTGCAGCTCGAGACGAAGTTTGTGGACTTCGGATTTCTGTTCATCGAGGTGCTTTGCCATGTCCTCAAACATGGTCTTGAAGTCTTTGCCGAGTGTGCTGTATGATGAGTGAAGTTGGGAGTGGAACTCCGAGAACTCCCCAATTACCTCTTCGGAGATCCGAGCAGCAGCAACTGACAAGCCATTCAGGCCTTCGCCAACTTTGGACTTAACTTCTTCTCGAAGGACTTTGATCTCCTCGAGAACTTCATTCATCTCGTTGTGGGCAGTGGAGGTGTTGTTCTTGGCCTCGGCCTCGGCCTTGTCAAATGATGCATCAAGATCCTTGAGGTGGGAGCGGGTAGACTGCGCAGTGTCGAGTTCATGGTCTACAAATTGGTGGATTTTGCCAGACATCTCCTCTAGCAGCTTCGCATGCTGCGTCTGGAAGATCTGCATGCGAGCATCGACTCGCTCTGTGACATGTGATACCTCACCGGTTGAGGTCTGCCAGGTTTGCCGGTTATCAGTTTCCAAGTTATCTTTGCGAACCAATTTCGCGTGCAGTCCATTCACGTCTTGAATGGTACCGTTTAAAGTGGTCACCAGGCCGGCACCGATGTGACGAAGTTGCTTTTCCGTATTTTGATGGGCCTTCCGCACAATCTTCTCCTCGTCCAGCTTCTCCTGGGTATCCTTCCAAAACCTTTCTGTTTCGTTGAGAACATCGCGCGTTTCTTTGAGTTTAGACTGAGTTTCCTCATTGTCATGCTTTAATGAGTTGAAGTTGCCCGTGATAGAAAGGAGCTCTTGGACCTTGTGGCGAAGACTTGCCTCCATCGACTCGATCTTGGCACGCTGTTCTTCGTTAACGATTCGCCGCGATTCACTTTCCATCGTCATTTCTTCGTACGCATCAGGCGTCATATAGACACCATTGCGATGCCGGGTGGCAATGAGCTCGCTCTTGAGCTTCTCAATTTCCATCCCGATATCTCGGAGAAGCTTGGTTTTGGAGATGATGGAATTAATCTGGGGTTTGTTGCGGATGTTCTTGGCTCGGAAGGCATAATCCAGGGTAGAGATGGTCTCCTCTAGGTTGTTGCGGGCAGGCGAAACAGTGGCAATGATACATGTTTTTGTTCGTCCTCCAAGTGAATCTTGCAGCAGTCTCGTGAGTTTTGACTCCCGGTAAGGAATGTGCGAGCTCTTGTCCACTAGAGCGTTGATCACTCTCCCAAGAGTGAGTAGACTCTTGTTGATGAGACCTGCTTCCGTTGCCCGTTTATTTTCCGCACCGCTCCGTCCGATGTTTTCGCTACCCGCGAGATCGACCAGGTTCAACTTGCCCGAGCTAACATAGTCCTCGCCAGATTCGGTCGTGCGCTTTGTGAGAACGGTGATGGTGAAAACTGTATGACTTCGGGAACTCAGGTCATTGCATTTTGTCGCTGCCACTTGGCGTTTGTGGCTGCCCGTTTGAAGTAGTCTGATTCCGGTGGACGCAGAGTCGATGTAAGTCTCCTCCATGCCTTGAACCATTGTGCTGTGTCCTCCCTTCTTCTCATTTTCGAAAATCTTGAGCTTGGTGCTATCGTCGTATGAAAGAAGGTCACGGAGTTCCTCGTTATAAAGTTCGATGAAGGAGCACTTCACTGTGCTTTCTGTGTCCTCAAGCTTGTGAAATAGGGCGTAGAGGGTACGTGGAATAATTCCCGCATCATCGGACAGGATGCCCAAAGTGTCGGTCATGTCTCCTGACATGGTGTATGTCTTTCCCGTTCCAGTCTGCCCGTATGCGAAGATTGTGCAATTGTAACCTGCCAACATCTGTAAGAAATTAGCGCGGTCCTTTGGTTTCGCACGCGGTGACTATACTAACCTCGTCGAGGACCGGAACAACAACATCCTCGTAGACAGTGGTTTGATCGGCGGCCGGGGAGAAGACCTTGTCGAAAGCATATGTCTTGTTCGAAACTGCGTTCGGTCCCATCGAGAGATCGAGGGTCTTGCCCTTCACACCTTCTGGCGTTGACAAGACTACACCGTTGTTCTCTTTGATCTCGCGATCGCTGCGTCCGCGACAGCGGACCACCACATGAATGCTTGTGTCCTCGTTGATTTCCCGTTCAAAATCTTTCTCCTTCCTCTTGCTTGCAGCGCCCGGTTTTTCGGGGCTCCTCGCCGCACGCGCTGCGCTCATGGCAGAGGACCTCACCGACGGTGTAGACACTCCAGGCGGTGCATGGCGTTCTGGGACTGCCGAACCCGCTCGTCGAACCGGTTGGCGCAAACCCGACCTCCTCGTGGTGGGGAGGGTGGACGGGGGCCTTGGTGGGCCAGCCATGTTGACAATGCGACAATCGGAGTGTAATTGTGGTATTCTTTAGCAGTAATATTCGAGACTTGGTTTGAAAGTCGATTTGATCTTTTCACGAGCTGTCTCGGAGTCTTTCACTGTTGTGTATATCAGTGGAGCTTCGTCTCAAACGGGAAAACATAAACAAAGCTTACATAATCCAGTCATTTCCCCCTCTCACATGACTCGGTCTGCTGCGCTATCGTCATCGCCCTCTTATCGCTATCGTTCCCCTCATATCATGTTGACTTCCAAGGCTCCCCTACGACATACGTCCCCAGAACCCCCCCCCCCCCCCCCCCCCCACACCTTTTAACTAATAAGTATAGCTCGACTATCGCATGGAATTTCGTCCGCCCATACTCGCCGGGCCATTAAAGCGGACAGATCACTATGACTACTTCTACTTCCCCAACGCAGGCGCAAATCTTCCCCGGTAAAGGACTGGGGTTTATCAGTATGCTTTATCTAGCCTCACAACCTTTTCAGCGGCTCTCGCTAATAATTTGCAAGCTCTGGGCGCTTCACTCCATAATGTCCTCACCCGCGTCAAGTCCTATCCTCAAACATATCCCGCCATCGACCTAGCCTACTCCTCCGCAGATCCGCTTCGCAAACCGGTGATATTGCAGTTACCTTCAAATGGCCTGCGCCTTCGATTTGACGGTCCTGACCAGAGGCTCCGTTTGATCGAAGTTCTTGACTTCTCTCGAGTGAATCTGGTATACAAAAACCAGGACGTGCTTAAAGGTGGGAAGTCAGCAGAACAGCCCTTGTCGTCGCACGGCCCCAGCTTCCGGCACGTCTACAATCGCTTGTTTGGTCCTTCATACCCAGGAGAATACGTACCGCCGGCAGATCCTCAGTCGCCATACGGCACCTACGTGCTCTCGTATCCCGGGGTTGCATTCTCGTTCCCCCTTCAGCACTCTGCCTGGTCCGACCAGTGTGATTTTGTAGCGTTGTTATCTTCCTCAGCTGCCCTTCCGGCCACATCCATGTCAATCTTCCAGGGGTCATCATGGCCCGAGGTCCGAGCCAAGTTGTTCACGCAACAGGCACAGTACCCACGCTCGTCGGCTTTGATTGGCAAATCCAGAGAATCGCTGGCGGACGAAGTCGAGGAGTGGCATGTCCTCGGTGCCGGGAAACTTGAAGTGGTTCGCAGGACGGGCTCTCCATTATACATAACACTCGGAGAGACGACACCCCAGGACTTGATTGCAGACTTCGGCCCACCCGACGCAATCTATCGTAAGAACGACCGCCGAATTTCGATTCATCGTGCAACTGGGGGCGGGGACCTGCACCTGAGTCCCTCTCCAGGCAGAGGAATCGAGATTCCAGACGGCGATCACTCATCCACTAACAGCGTAACTGATGATTCTGACGAAGAGATGGCTACTTTCAATATTGGAGACTCCACCTCACTGCCCGCAGAATGCTTTTTGAACTACTTCCACCATGGGTTCGATGCCTTCATCTCGTATCCAACAACACCTGGGCCTGCTTTCCCCGCCTCAGGCCTTCCAGATCCATCGCCTCAGCTACCGTCTTCCCAGTTGACAGTGACAAAGATTATTCTTCATGGGAACGTCCCAGGTTCTTATCCATTTAATCGTCACCGCCGAAGTCGCTGGTTAATTCCATTGGATGAATCTGGCGACTGTCTGACTTCAGAATCGCCCTATGATGAAGTCTCAGAGCGGCTGCGCGCTACTTGGAAAGGATCTTACGCCAGCCCCGCCGAGGAGCGTGCTCTGCAGCGGCCAATGGTGCTAAACCGTGGCTGGGGGGACAGCCCTGAGAGCAGTGTTGAGTTCCTTGGTGGGTGGGAGGAGAGCACGGCCAAAGGTCCTCGGAGTGGTGCCGATGGGCAGGATGGAGGATTAGGCAACACCGAGCTTTTTGGGTTCCCGGGGCTTTTATTTGAAGTTCTTAAGAATGGCGCCGTGAGTTGTTTGACAGTGTACTGATTTGAGACTATTGCACCCAGCGCTTTTTAACCCAATTTCAATGCATTATGAATCATGATAATCCTGGCTAGGTATTTTCTAAACCTGAAACTATACATGACTATTGAACACACAGATTGGAAGTGTTAATTGTGGATTTGATACCTAAGAAAAGCTTATGGCGATGTTATTTAGTGGAGGATTACTCCGTATATGAAGGTGCGATGTCTGCGATGGACTAATAACAGCCCTGGAGGTGGAGAATCTGAAAATGGCCCCTTTGCTGATCGGAATACGGACTTCAGACTTCATGATGGGTGTCGGTATGGGTATGCTTGGATTCGTATCTAGACTGTTTTTGTATATAGGAGGACTGGATGTAGTTTGTTTAGTGCTTGAGATGTGACTATTTGATTATTGGGCGTTTGCTACTACTACTAGTAGTATGTGTGATGTGTTTGAGAATGCGTCGTCGGTACTATTTTATAGCCCTCTCGATGCATTAGTGATGTGTCCTTCATTGTCTCGTCCGGCAAGCCAATGCGGAGCACCTTGGACCAACTCCAAAAGATGCGATAGATCTGCCTCGTTTCCATTAATTCCTCCTTTGGACTTCATAAATACAATGTCCTTATCAATGCCAAACGTAGTACTTTTGGAATTTGAGTCACTCCACGCTGCAGCTGTATTAGATATTTGACACATTGATGCGTTGAGTTGTTGAGTTTGGTTTATATTGATGCGAGAAAAGTCCATTCAACCCATTCTTTACCAATGGTTGATAATTATCGGTACACTTCCCGAGAACTTCGACCCCCCTGAAATGATAACACGAAGCTCTTCAGGGAGATGTGAGGTTTGCGGGGACATGCGGGGACCTATATGGAAATGAAAAGAGTAATAGAATCCGCATTGGCTCTCATTGGTGTCGAGAATGTACAATAATACTTTTCCAGCGGGTTATAAAAGGGGATATAAAGGGACTTCCCGAAAGAACCTGCAATTATACTTACACAGCTTTATCAGTGGGTCAAATATCTGCCCCTACAATGGTGTATATGCAATTGCTGCTACCTGCCCCAGGTGGCCCGTTGACCTGAAGGACCTTCGGCAGGGAACCCGGGGGAGGATGTCATTTTATATCGAGAGACTCGAATTGGCTAGCTTGGTGAATAGTTCGGGCCCTCAGGCCGCTCTATACTCCGTTTATCTTGGAGTAATGCCATATCTACCCCACGTTCCCCTCACGGCGAAGGTGACGACATTGAATATCTCGGATCTCAACGGAATAACACATATCAGATCTATGTAGTGAGGTGAGCAATCAATCTGTGTTGATATACAAGGACTTGCAACCTTCTAGATAATGGAACCACGATGCCCTTTATTAGGGCACGAGACTAAGCGCTATAGAGCTATAGAGCTATGGGAGACTGAATATGGGCAAATATTCGCATGGCCGTGAATATGTATTCGCTTCAATTTAATTACATGGGTGATCTATCTTCGCTAATCTATTAATTACAAGTCCCACCATTGCCTTTGTAAAAAGGCACAGAAGAGATGCTTCCCCTGATCAGGTGCCTAGGTTCTGAGCCTCACACATCTTCGAATAAAGTTGGCCTCTCGCCAGTAACTCCTCATGAGTTCCAGACTCTGCGATCTTACCCCCATCAAATACGCAAATCATATCCGCATGGCGAATAGTCGACAAGCGATGGGCAACCGCGATCGTGATTCTATCCCCCTGGGAAGCCGCCTCATTCAGCGCATCTTGGACAATTCTCTCGGACTGTGTGTCCAACGCGCTTGTTGCTTCATCTAGGAGGAGTAGACGGGGATTCCGGAGTAACGCTCTGGCAATGGCGATGCGTTGACGTTGCCCACCAGAGAGCTGTGTACCATTGGTTCCGCAGAGAGTCATAAGGCCGTCTGGCAAAGATGAGATAAATTCCCACGCGTTAGCCGCCCGACAGGCACCCTCAATGTCGCTGTCAGGAACCGTTGACGGGTCATCGGTCGGGGCCCCCATGGAGATGTTTTCGCGAATGGTGCCGGGATAGAGAGTTGGCTCCTGCTGTACAAGTGCCACTTGAGCTCGGTACAGCCACGGATTTAAGCGGTCCAATGTATCGGCGTCGATTCTGATATGACCAGATACCGGATCATAAAAGCGTTCGAGCATGCCAATCATGGTACTTTTTCCACAGCCAGATGCGCCAACGAATGCGACAAATTGACCTTGTTTGATCTATATGATATGTTAGCAGTGAACAAGGACAGGTTTGCGCCAATTCGGCAGAACAGAGGACAGAATTGAAAAGGGCACGAGTTGGGTTGGCATACATGAAGGTCAATGCCACGTAGTACGCGAGCGTGAGGTCTCATTGGGTAGGAGAATTGCAGGTTTTCCAAGTCCAGAGACTTGAAGTCGCCAGGGCCAATATCGCGGTTTTCGTCGGTCTCACGAATGGTAGGATGAAGCTCTTCAAGCCAAAATATGTAGTTGGCAGCACTTGTTGCCTTTGTCATGCCTGGATAGCTGTTAGCAACCCGTTTTTACCTCCCACACAGCCTTGGAGTGCATCTTACTGCTTGAAAAGCCAAAAAGAATTGAAGCTTGCTGGCCAGAAAAGAACACACTTAGAAAACTGATAAAGAAGTTGACCATGCTCAGATCCCCAAATGAGACAAGCCGACACCCATACCTATGTCGAGATGATCCGATAGTTAGCATCCTGTCACAAAACCGAGAACAAGGCACTTGAGCATGTGAAAGAAACATACCAGAAACCCAGAGCCAAGAAAGAATATTCAACAGTCTGAGTGAATGCGAAAGGAAGCATGATAAGAAGCACTGGCCTCGTGGACGTGGCAACCGCCCGGTCAAGCTCCTGGGTGTATCGCTCCAAAACCGAGGTCTCAATCGCCAAGGAAGACACCGTCCGGATGGCAGTCACGGCCTCTGAGGCAATGGATGCACTCATGGAAAACAACTTTGAAATCTTGTGGTCCATTGCACCCTCCATTCTGATGCGAGCGTAACCGGAAACTAGCATGGGTGGAAGTCCCGCTAAGACAATAACAAGGCCAAGCTTCCATGCATATACTATTGCCATGATGGAACATGACAATACACCAACCGTTGCAATCAACATCAGAGCAACATTGAATCCCATAAGCTCAAACACGGCCTGTGGATAAGAGTCGGCACGGCTGGTCAATGCCCCTGTAGTGTTCTCGGTGCGATCAAAGAATTGCAGGTCTTGCTTCATCATGTCGTTGACGACTTGCTTCCGGTATTTGTGGTTCATTGTCTTGATGGGTTAGTCAAGCCAATTATATACTTATATATTCTTGAAGGAGACTTACCTGTGCCACAATGTTTGATGTCCACCCGACAACAAAGTAGACAACGAACGAGCCAAGTCCGAGAACGAAAAACATGAGAGCGAAAAAGTTCCCTTTCTTCCGCATAGTTGCACCCGTAAACTGGAATACTTCGATGAATCTGGACATCAAAATAGCTTGGCCAGGATATGAAGCAGCTAAGAGTTGGTCAGTTTCAGTCTGCGAAAATTGGGCTTCAAAATGCAGCCTACCTCCAGCCAAACAAGCCAAAATAAGAACCGCGAAAGTCCAATTGAGCTCAGGGGTCGTTTTCAGCAATCTCCAAACTGTTTGGAGAAGCCCCAATCTTTTCCAATTGTCAAAATCATCCCGACTCAACTGCTTCTCCAAAGCTGATCTTGTCATAGTTGAGTACCGGGTTAATTCACCAGTCAGTGCAATATGGTCTACCTTGTCTGTTTCATCCCAGCTATCTGACATATCATCGGGGTTCTGGGCAGCCACAGACAAATCCTGAGCCTGCACCAGTCGTGCATAGGCGCCATTCGACTCCAAAAGGGAGTTATGCGTGCCTTGCTCGAGAATACGGCCATGTTCCATGACGACAATATTATCAGCATCTCTTATAGTGGCTAGTTTGTGTGCAATGGTGATTGTTGTGCGTCCCTTCGAGACATTGTTCAGTGCCTGTTGAACGACTTCCTCGGCATGAGGATCAAGTGCACTCGTTGCCTCATCAAGAAGAAGAATTCGTGGCTGGGAAACAATGCTGCGAGCAATTGCAACCCGTTGCTTTTGACCACCGGATAATAGCCCACCTCTCTCCCCAATGACGGTATCATACCCGTCGGGAAGTTCGGTGATGAAATCATGGGCAAAGGCAACTTTAGCAGCGTCCTGTATCCGGGCCAGCTTCTCGATTGGGGGTTCATTCTCCCACGGCGTACCCACAAGGCCATTGGCGATGTTTTCAGCGACTGTGCCGGCAAACAAAACGGGCTCCTGTTGAACAAGCCTAACCTGCTGACGCAGCCATTTGAGGTTGAACAGCTCGACAGGCTGGCCATCAAGCTTGATCGTTCCCGATAAAGGGTCGTACCATCGTTCAATTAGGCCAACTATAGTGCTCTTGCCAGACCCGCTTGCTCCGACGAGCGCAGTTGTCTTGCCGGCAGGAATATGCAGTGAGAAGTCATTCAACACTTTGACGTCAGGGCGCGTAGGGTAAGCGAACGAAACGTCACCAAAATCGAGATATCCCATCACTTCCGTTGGTCTTTCTCCGGACTCATTGAACGGATCGATTCTCGACTCTCGGTCCATGAGCCGGAATAGCTCTGTAGCCGCGGAGGCAGCGCGGACAAAACTAATCAAATGAGGCATGATAGCCGTCAAGCTTGTAGCTGCCACAATCACAGACATGAGGACACTGCAATTATTATGGTTAGCATTTCTAGATGATGTGAAAGGATAAAGACTGAACAAACATGAAGACATCTCCAGACTGCTCCACCTCCCCAGTGGATATCATTCTTACACCCTGCCAAAAGCACAAGCCAAAACCTGCAAAGATGATAGTGTACTCCGTGGCAAATAGGCAGCCAAAAAGAGGGGATTTCTTATTTCCGAGCTTTCTCGAAGCTCGCAAGAACTTGTCAAAGTCGCGTAGCAGTTGGTTTCGAAGCCCGAACGCCTGTACCGTCCGAGAGCTTGACAAAATACTTTCTGCAAAAGCTCCAGCCTGGGCCTGAACTTTGAGGACTTTTGTTTCGATCGAGGCTTCAATGGTGGAGCTGATCCCCATGGCCAGAAGCATTGTTGGGGCAATACAGCAGCAAATTAGTGTCAGTTTCCATTGAGTGACAAATGCTAGCACGAAGGCCGATATAAAAGCGGACAGGCCCTGGACAACAAGCCCCAGTTTTTCTGATATTCCAGCCTGGATCAGTCGCCCGTTCGAGGTAGCTTGCATGGCAATCGATCCACTAGTGCCAGCATCAAAGAAGGCAATTTCCTGCCTCAGTCCTGCTTTCAGGTACCGACAGCGAATGTTTCGTGTGATCCGGTATGCGGCAAATGTATACAGTGTGCTGTATCCATAAGTCAGGAAGAATCTGCAAAGGCCGATGACGAAGAAGAAGAGACTATTTCTATATTAGTCCTTTTTGTCAATCTACATCGAACACATTGCACATACCTAAGTCTCCCGGCTTCACTTCTGAACCTCGAGGCATCTGAATCACCCGATGTGTAGTTGGTGATGAGTGTAATAAACTGGCCAAACACCAGGTTGACAAGGGCCATGCCAACACCGGAGCCCAGTGCGCAGGCAGTGGCGATGGCTTGCAAGGTATAGTCCTTGGATGAGCCATATTGAAAGATCCTCTGCTTGCTCTTAGACTCTGAGCTTGCAATGGGAGGGGAATATTCTTACCAGGTAACCACCAAATGCACCTGTTACTTCCTCAGAGTCCTGGTCCTCAGTTCTATCTTTCTCGGGTTCTTTCTCCATTGTGGATATTCATGCGAAACACCTCAGGCGAGCATAGAGTCAATCAGCCTTTCTTTAATTCGACGATTTTCGGTTGAAATACTGTGATGGGAAATGAAAGAAAGACAACTATGAGCCATATATCGAGATCTGTTGCTCTTTTAGGCTTCCAATGGTGATCCTTTTGCAGTGTTTCAGCCAAGCATTGTATAGAATCCTCACGGGTTCCGCGGGCCCCACGGGCCCCGGTGGCCCCGATTCCCTTCAACACAGTGTTGACGACATTATTTTATTTTGTGTTTTCTATTCTCAGGAAATGATAAAGGCAGACCCAAACTCCTTTCACTTATGACTCGTGAACAGATCTATAGTGCAGAGAGGTAACGACTTGATAGGCCGAGACGTCCTTCTAACACAGACTCAACAGGCAGCCAGGTCATCGGTGCCCCCATTCTCGGTGAATACCGCTACTTCTTCAATCGACCTCCCTGAGCTTTATATCCCGAGCCTTCTTGATGTCGCCGTTAGGGAATACAGTGCCTGGCAGCAGTCACGTTTGAGTGATGAGACGTTGAAGGCCGAGGTCAGAAAAGCGTGCGATATAGCTCTAGATTATGGACTAGACTTGGTGTAGATGTAGATTGACGAAGAAAAAAATCCTGATTTAGAGGAAAATACACTCATTCTTCCTAATACCAACAGCGATGGCCTTATCCTCCTATTCCCGGGAGAACTACCGTGGTACTTTGGTTGCTTCTGCCGCTCTCGACCCGTCTGCCTTACCGGACTGCCATCGAGCTTCCCCCCAATTTCAACATATAGAATAACCAATCTCTCTTCATCCTGATTCATCATCCGATGGCCATATCACGGGAAACCCTTGGGCCTCCCTTCTCAGCAATGTCTCTTTTTTCCATTTCCAAAGTCCAGACTCGGTAAAACGTAGGCGAGCTAACCAAGCTGCAAGATCAAATTCACCATATGATTGTCCATCAACAAGCATCCGGATCGTCCCAATACGCTCATAGATAGGCTTCCCGAATTCGGAAGTATGATAACCCATATAAAGAAGACCGCTTACCCAGGTCTCCAGATATTCACAGAGCCACTCCGGGCGCGTTTTATATGATGACAATGTCTCTGAGGTCTCGCTCTGGTCTCCCCGATCACGACCCCAATGCCGCCCCGACCAATGCTTGTATGTGACATCTTCTGGTGGGAAGAAAAGTTCTAGTTCCGCAGACTGGAAGTCGAGAACAAGTGTATCGATCAGAATTCCCCGGTCCTCGAATTCCTTCGTGTCTCGAGGATATTGAGAAGACTCGGCTTCCTCTTTGCCCTTTTTTACTCCCACGGGACCATAGCGGAGGAATCGCTCTAATGCCGCATAGAAGGACCAGTGGAAGCCTCGCCGGCCGCCATCGCCGAGTTGGTTACGGATGGTGCGCATCTCGATGATGTGACCAAAAAGACGCACATTCGCGTACAGGGTCGATATGTGGGTTGTGAGACATGGTACCGACAGCCATGTCAGAAAGAGGAGCAAGTCATCCTTGACTGATATGTCAAGAATATAGTCGACCTTCATGCGTCCAATGATCACCCGAGTCTCGGTCAAAATTTGATGATTTGTGAGGAGAAGAGACAGACAGTTTGAAGGGCTGGGTTTGCTCTGTTGGTTATAATAAACATTGGTATGTCTCGAAACCCATGCCTTACATCCAAGGTCATTGTATTCGATTCCATCCGATTCAAGAGGAGTCCGAGGCGGGCTGAGCGGGGTGTAGAGCACATGCTCAATGATGAGCATTCGGAGCTCAAACGGGATATTAAGAAACATACACATGGATAGGTTTCCAAGGACTTTGGGGGTACCTTGGAGAAATATAGTCAACCCCCAAAGAGGTTGAAGCTGACGATCTGCTCCCGCGGAGACGAGGCTGGAATCCACGTCTCGATTGCCCGAAGACTACTGCAGTGAAAGTCTTGACACAATAATCGAATAGAAAGAAAATATGTGGCAGAGGACCATTCCTATGCCCGTTTACCGTCCTTAAATTAATATATCGGAAGTACCTCGGACGTTCATTTGGCCCCATTAACTTGGGGGCGTTCGGCTAGGCAACTATCGTTCATTGCCTCTGCGGGGCGTAAGTCTCCTATGTATTTATTCTCTTCGCCATGCAGATCTTTTAAGAACCAGCCACTACCATCGGTTTTTATCCTGCATGGGTTTCCATGAGCATCCACGGGATATTCTTGTACGCACTTTATAATATTACATAGGTAGCCAGGTAATATACCATACAAGGTGTAATTTAGTAATGGTCATCGCTGCATTTAGCTCTAAAAGTAGGTATTCGTATAGTACCTAGCATAATGACTTGTTATTTCTATAGCTATACGCATTTCCCCGCGTAGTTCGTGTAGCAATAGGCACTCTATTAGTATATACTCCGGGGTGTGATTCCCTGAATCGCGCCTATAGCGAGCTATTTCGCTATTAATATTGGTTAAGTAGGCTAATAGTCCAATCTTAATAGTGCGAAGCTGCATTAAAACACGCGGGCGGAGTCTAAACCCTTTTTGGAAAAGGCCATGTTTTGTAAAACGCCAAGACTCTTCTCTTCTTCACCTTCCACTTATCACTTTCTAGGATATGCTGGACAATGCCGGAACTGGCGCGGTCAATCCCTCGCTCATGGACCTCGACATTGAAACTTCCTAAATCATCATTCCCTCCACGCGTATCGCCTGTCGATCGGACGAAATACCTAAAACGATGCACCGATGATCTCTACGCCTGGCAACGCCGCGAAAGGCCCGCCGACCAACCATTCGTCCTGCACGATGGTCCACCATATGCGAACGGCGACCTCCATGTTGGACATGCGCTCAACAAAATCTTGAAGGATATCATCTGTCGCGTACAATTGGGTCGCGGGAAGAGGGTGCGGTACGTGCCGGGCTGGGACTGCCATGGACTGCCGATCGAGCTCAAAGCACTCCAAGGGCTGCGCAACGAGGACATTGCAAGCGGATCTGTCAGCGCGGCGGTTATTCGCACGTCCGCGCGGAAATTGGCTAGACAAACTGTGAAGGAGCAGATGAAAGTGTTCCGTGGCTGCGCGGTCATGGCCGACTGGGAGAACCACTGGAAGACCATGGACAAACAATTCGAGATGCGACAGTTGGGTATCTTCCGGGGGATGGTGGATCGAGGTCTCATCTACCGAAAGTTCAAGCCGGTTTACTGGTCGCCTTCAACGGGTACCGCTCTTGCGGAAGCAGAACTGGAATACAAGGATGATCATATCTCAACCGCCGCCCTGGTCAAGTTCCCTCTTGTCGATATCCCCACATATCTCTCTGAGAATCCTCTTCTTCGTGGAAAGGATCTGAGTGCTGTGATTTGGACCACTACCCCCTGGACGCTGCCTGCCAATGCTGCCATTGCAGTCAGCGAGTCTTTGGAATACACTATTGTCTTGTCGGAAAAACATGGCCATCTTCTTATCGCTCAATCACGGTTCGAGTACCTCCAGCACATGCTGAAAGAAGATCTCTCTGTCATTGTGCCGTCTATCATGGGATCCGAACTGGCAGAGCAAACTACGTATCGACCTCTATTCAAAGGACCTGAAGCTCAGCCGCAGCCCATCTTCGCCGCGGAATTTGTTACTGCTGATTCTGGCTCTGGCATGGTTCACTGCGCGCCTGGTCACGGAATGGATGACTACGAAGCATGTCTTGCGCGTGGCATTCCTGTTTTCGCTCCCGTCAACGATGAGGGCAAATTCACAGATAAGGCCATGCCCCTCGATCCTACACGTTTAGCCGGTAAGCCTGTCTTGGGAGAAGGTAACACCGCAGTGTTGGAATGGGTCGAATCGTGTGATCAGTTGCTTGCCCAACATACGTACGAGCACAAGTACCCTTACGACTGGCGCTCAAAGCTTCCGATCATTGTTCGGGCAACTGAGCAGTGGTTTGCCGATGTGGCTGATATCCGTAGCAGTGCTCTTCGAGCCTTGCAAGATGTCCGCTTCGTTCCCGAGACTGGGAAGCAACGACTCGAGAACTTTGTGAAAAACCGGAGCGAATGGTGTATCTCGCGTCAGCGCGCGTGGGGTGTTCCGATTCCTGCAATCTATCACCGGACCACTGGAGAGGCCGTTTTGACTAAAGATAGTGTTTCACATATCATGGCCACAATCGAAGAGCGGGGAATTGATGCTTGGTGGACCGACAGTGCGGATGAAGCTGCATGGATTCCTCTGTCCTTGCGGGACGAGGCTGGGGCGGGGTATCGACGTGGAACAGATACCATGGACGTTTGGTTTGACAGTGGTACCAGCTGGGCAGAGATCGATGTTCCTATGGAAGGTCGGAGTCATCCTGCGGACGTGTATCTCGAAGGTACTGATCAACACCGTGGTTGGTTCCAGTCCGGACTTCTCACGTATATCTCACACCAGCTCGGCTCGGGTCAATCCACGCCTCGTGCACCATTCAAGAACCTCATCACCCACGGTTTCACTCTGGATGAACATGGCCGGAAAATGAGCAAGTCGATTGGCAACGTGATGTACCCTCAGACTATCATGGATGGAACTCTGCTGCCTCCTCTCAAACCCCGCAAGGGGAAAGGAAAGAAGCAACCCGAGAACCAAGAACCCGTGTACGACGCTCTTGGCCCCGATGCGCTTCGCATGTGGGCAGCGAGCAGCGACTACACACGTGACGTGGTGATTGGAAAACAGGTACTCCAGACCGTCAACACCAGTCTCCACAAGTTCCGTGTCACCTTCAAGTTGCTGCTAGGTGCCCTTGCCGATTTCCGTCCAGAGAATGTTGTCCCATACAGGCAGCTGCAGCTGGTCGATCGAATTGCACTCAAACACCTCTCGGACATGGTACTCACCTCGCAGAAGGCATGTGACAACTTCGAGTTCTACAAGGGCGTGAGCACGATGAACCGGTGGGCCAACCTCGAGTTTTCAGCATTCTACATGGAGGCGATCAAGGACCGACTCTACACTCTTGGTGCGGACAGCACGAGTCGCCGGGCCGCGCAAACGACCTTATTCTACATCTACAATTATCTTCAAGAGACGCTGGCTCCGATCACACCAATGCTCGTGGAAGAAACATGGGAACATACTCCCGAGTCTATCCGCACCCAATCTGAGCACCCCCTGCAGCGTATTATTTCCGCCCCAGCCCCGGAGTGGCAGGATTTAGCCCTGGACACCAGCTACCAGGAGCTGACGGTAGTCCACTCCGCCATCAAGAACTTGCAGGAGCAGGCCCGTAGTAAAAAACAGCTTGGCTCCTCCCTACAGTCCTTTGTCCACATTGTGCTCCCCAGCAACTCTGGATTGTTCCAGCAGTATCTGTCAGAACTCCCTGATCTCTTCGTTGTGTCTTCCATCACCCTGGGATCCCACAGTGAAGCTCTCCCGACCGACATCAAGGATGCTGAATGGCAATACGAGGAGACCTTCGAGCTGAATGGCCAGCCAGGCAAAGTATATGTGTACGCGCCACAGGCCTCCAAGTGTCCACGGTGCTGGCGGTACGCCATTCCGGATCCGGTGGCGATCGAAAATACGATCTGCGACCGGTGTGATACAGTGGTGCATGAGGCAAACGCCTAGAGCACTGTACAAGTTTGTATACTTATTTTCATGTATTTATATCGATCATCTCCAGGCATGATTAGACATAGCAGCCAACTTAGCAACTGCAGTGCAACCAATAATCTAGAACATCAAACATTCAAATTAAAAACCAAGCTGACAGAAATAATATCCATGTATGTAATTAGTCTATTAATCTACGACTATTAAATCCATGTAGTGAATGTTACCTAGGTATTATTGGCTATGACGACAGTATCCAGTCAATGACGGTTGTACCAATCATCCCCAAATCCTGCTTTGATGCAACATTCAATCGTCATGCCATTTATATAGTCTTGCTTTTCTCCTCTTTTCTCCTTCTTCTACTACTACTCATCTTTAATTCAGTATGATTCAACCTCCATTTGATCAGTTTGCTACTCTAATGGCGCCCGCCACCACATCCTCGGTGGCGCCTATTCCCACTGTCGTTCCGGGATCTGAGGTCTACCAGGGACTTCATGATGTGGGCAAGCGGACTCTATGGTATGTTTATATATTATAATATATATTGAAATGCTGATTCTAACATCTATAGGGTTGTCACTGTGTTGATGGGCATCTCCTCGCTGGTGTTCTATACTCTGGCCGCTCGTGCTCCTCTGGTGAGTTCATCTCTCTTCTATATCTTATATCCTCTCTATAATCTACACATATCTAATGTCTATCCAGTCCAAACGAATCTTCCACATTCTAACCTCCCTAATAACCACCATCTCCTTCATAATCTACCTAGCCCTTTCAACAGGCCAAGGCATAACAACCAAACACATCACAGTCCACGAGTCCCACAAACATGTCCCAGACACACACACAGACTACATTCGCCAGGTCCTCTGGCTGCGTTTTGTAAACTGGGCACTAACAACACCCTTGCTATTCATCAACTTCGCCCTTCTATCCGGCCTACCAGGCGCAAACCTACTCATCGCCATCGTCGCCCACCTGATTATGCTTGCAACAGCTCTATTCGGCATATTTGCAGGCCACGGCCCTGAGCGCTGGGTTTGGCTGACCCTCACGTGTATTTCCTACCTGGTCGTGATCCACCATGTAGGCTTCCACGCACAGAAAGCGGCAAAGGGCAAGGATACCCAGGCCAGACGGTTCTTCGGGTCTGTTTCCGGGTCTGCGATTGCCATGCTAGCACTGTTCCCTATGTGAGTTATATATCCAGAAGAGTATTCTTGATTCGGCTCAGGACGGATGCTAATGTTGGATAGTTCCCTTGCGGCTGGTGCTCTTGCGCTTAAAGTGAGTGTTGATACGGAGACCATCCTCTTCGCTATACAGGATATCTTTACGCAAGGTATCCTTGGATACTGGCTTCTGTTGGCTCATGAGAGCGTGCCCGGAATGTGAGTCTCAAAACTGAACCTCTGTATGTGATGACATGCTAATTGTTGCAGTGCGCTCTACATGGAAGGATTCTGGTCCCATGGTATCGGCAATGAGGGAGCTATTCGTATCCCCGATGAAGAGGGTGCGTAAGGAAATGACTTTTCACTTACTTTCAGATTGGAATTGAGGTGATAGGATATTTTTTCTCTCTCTTTCCTTTCAGTTCACTATAATGTTTCTCTCACTTACCTAGTTTCGCCTTTCTCTTGGTTTCATTTGAAGTTTGATGTGAGGTGTGAGTTATGAGATATGAGCTTGATGATATTGATACTTTGACTTGGCCCTACTGTTTTACATCTATTCTATCTATTCTGTACTCTACATAAGAAGCAAGAATGACTTGAACAATTGGTTTTTTCTTCTTTTTTCTTTTTTCGTACTTGTACACAGCCGCATGATATTTCCTCGGCGGCACGCTCACCAGAAGCGTGCCGCCGCCGATGGACACGGACACCGTCCGTTCACATCCTCGAGGCCCCCAGGCCTCTCACCGCAGCGGTGAGCTCGGCGACCATCTCCTCACCAAGCTCCACGATGGAGCTGGCCCCGGAGGGCCCGTCCGCGCCCCGGGCCACTCCGAACTCGTCCGAGTGACGAACTCGGACGTCTCGCTGGGCGCGAGACAGCCAGAAACCGCAGTCGATGCAGTCCTTCTTGAAGTGAACCTCTTCGAGGTTCCGGAACCACATCACGAAGGCGTCCCCGTCCACGGCGAAGCCGGTCAAGGTGAGATGCTTGACCGGCAGGTAGGCGGGGGCGGGGAAACCGGTGCTGAGGGCAAGCACCTTTGCCTTCTCAATGCAGTACTTGTCAAGGTACTCGCCGTACCCAATACTACCGTTGATCTCTCCGTCGCCTCGGCCACTATAAATCAGTCAGGTTAGCATATGTCATATCTCTTGGTCTCAGATAACTCTCAGTTCAGTTCGGTACAACTTACTAGTAAACGGGCGAGGCAGACGACTTCACATTCATCACCCATCCCTTCGTGATGGGCTTCCAGCCACTTGGACCAATTGGGTGCTCAATGTCCAAGCCAACTGCCATCTCCAGCTCGAGAGTGGTGAGCTGGGGGTTCAACCATACCGCCTGCCAGATGATACGCTGGTAGGACTTCATCATACCAGTCAGCTTCAGCACACGCAGGTTGCGGAACTCGGTCAAGGGCCGCATCTGCTCCAGGGAGAGAATGGTGATTCTGATCCCATCTTCTGGCTTCTCGGCGGGTTGGTGGGCTCCCTGGTCGTCGGTGGCAGTCTCATTCAAGGTAGGAACACTGGCCTCAATGGCAGCATCAGACTCCAGGTTAACATCGGTCTTTGCGGTGGCCTCGTCAGTGGCATGGTCAGACGGCAGGTGCTCACCGGTGGTCAGGTCGTTGGTAGCACACTCCATGCTGACATTAGTCTCGGCAATGCCCTCGTCAGTGGGCAGGTTGTCGGTGGCAGAACCCTCAATGTCGAGTTCAGCCATGGTGGCCTTGTCGGTAGCAGAGCTCTCAATGTCGAAGTCTGTCATGGTAGCCTTGTCGACCATGGTGGTGTTGTTGATGGGAGATTCGAGTTCAGGGTCGGTCATAATAGCTTTGTCGACCATGGTACCTTTATCAATAGTCTGGTCATCATCGAGATCAACAAGGCTTTCGGGGGAGGCCTTGCGAGCATCGAAAAACATGTTTAGTTCTAGGACCGACTGGGTGCGAGGGATATCATCCCAAGTGCCACCGTCATTGAGGTGAGCCATCAAGCTGATGCGAGGAATGCGAGCTGGGTGAGGAGTAGTCATAGGTTCAGGGCGAGGATCACTTCGCCGCTCAAGCCACTCTTGAAAACTGAGGATGCTGGGATGGTCAGGAGCCATTGTGGCAAGAGGATGAGAGTCCTCAGGGGCTGTGGGGGGTGCAATATCCATGTTGGTAGCAGAAGGTCCTCTGTAGAGAGACCGAAATGCAGGACGGGGAGCATTGGGGATGAGAGGAATAGTAGATTCAAAAGGGCGGAAAGTAGGAGATTCAGGCGGAACGAAAGTAGAAGGAGACAGGATTGAAGGACGGGTAGGCTTCTGTAGTTCAACGATTCCTTCGGTGGACGCGAGGATAGGGCCTCGGCGCTTGAGACTGAGAGTCTTAAAAGAAGGCAGTTTTGGAAGACGGAAACTACCTGTCTTTGAACTCTTCTGACTCTTTGCGGGACTTTTCTCGGGTGAGTTTGTGGCATCAGTCGCTGCGGGGGAGGGATGAATGGTGCTTTGGTGTCGTAAACTATTGGAGGAAGCAAGCTGAGAGAGCTGGAAGCGACTCTTCTTCTTTGGACTCTTCTCATGAGAGCTCGTGGCTGTAGTCTGAACAGTGTTCTTAGAAGGCGACTGAGTAGGGCTCTGATGAGGCGACTGGGCAGTTAGGGCTAATTGGTGATGAGGGTATTAGCACGAAGTATATATCAACGGTCACGCTTGTGTGTATGGCATTCAATGTAGTAATGATGCAGCACAAGTAAAAACATACCTTGTCTCTTACTTCTAGCAAGCTGCTCGGCATGTCTCGCCGCATCTTCCCAGAACTGGACTCCCAGGAGGCTGTTCTCCCAGTGCTCGCGCATAGCACGCTCGTTCATGTTGTCCATGATGATTTTGAGTTGATTATAACAAAGAATGGATGAAAATAACAATCAGAAGGATGATGAAAGGGTAGGAGGCTAGGAGGATGGAGGAACGAGGAGGAGAATTATGAGGAAAAGGTACTTCGCATGAGATCTCTTCAAGCGTGCTCTCGCCGCATTAACGAGCACGCGAGGTAGGTACCATCCGCGCAAGCCTAGCTGTGCTCCGAGATCGAGGGCTCCGGTTCAACTATGCGCGTTCGCTCTTATATTTTCCTCGGCGCCGTTAGTATGTATACCTTGCCTACAAAACGCTACACTAAATGAGTTGGCATGGCTTGCTTTGCTGCCATCTTATATCCTCATTGGTAAGTTCGAGTTCGAGAATACCATACCTAGGTATTCCCCAGTCTAGTAGTTAGCGGCAGTACGAGCAGTTAGCTATGTTGAAGTATTTTGCTTCATATCTATAGCACATGCCAATCCAGAAACATCATTATAAATACCAACAACAGCACTAGCTAGCCCAATATCAGTTTCTAAACAGGTAGAATGCTTCAACGTCAACTTGGAATGCTTCATGCCCGCCGGTCCACTTATCTTTTAGGTTTAGGCTAGTGACGGGCCGCGACGGACATCCGGCGGTCCACCCCCAGAATCTCACCTGGGCAGTCTCCGATGTCGGGGCTTCATACCTCCTGGTAACATCTGAGATAGCCTTATATCCCCGCTGGATCTCTAGTCTAGATATGTTCTGTAAGACTAAAAAAGAAAGAAAGAAAGGACAACAACATGGTGTAGCAGCAAGAGAAGAAAGGCATCTGGTCAGCCGACCTTTACGGCAAAAAGGTTGCCCCATTCGTTGCAACTTCGACTGAGAAGGTTCTCGCCTGGCTGGACCCCAAGTCAACTGGCAAGTCTTGAGATAAAATTTCCCAGGCTTAACTAACAAGATAGATGAAATCCTTGATATCGGCTCCGGAAAGGCCCCTTGACAGCCCGCATGGCTCCCCATGTCAAACGGATCGTGGGAATCGACAGCTCACTCAACATTATCGAGCACTTCAAAAAGGCCTACACACACATTGAGTCGCGTGTTGTCGATTGCCGACAACTAGATCAAGAGTCCGACCTCACAACCGGGAGTTCCGACAAGCTCTTTTTGAACGCTGCCGTGCATTGGATTCTGAGAGACCCTGAAACCAGGTCCAATACGATCAAGGGCTGTTTTTAGGCGCTCAAGCCGGGCGGTCTTCTGGTCAATGAGTCTGGTGCGCTAGGAAATGTGGCCGGAGTGCATTCCGGAATTATCGGTGGTCTATTCACTCGGTATTCCTGTTGAGCAGGCACAAGGAGCACTGCCTTGGTGGTTCCCATTGCAGGAGGCTATGAAGGAAATTGTTGAAGGGGTGGGCTTACCTGGGTCAAGGGCGAGGTCCAACTCAGACAGACAACGTTGACGGAGAATGAGAAGGGTGGTGTTGAAGGATGGTAGGTCTGACGCTGATAAGCTCTTGACTTCATAACTGAAGGCGTATAGGATTGGTCTCTTTAGTGAGCCCTTTCTTGAACTCCCCCCGACGACTGAAGCACGCGACGCAGCCGTCAAACACGCCGTTGATGTTCTTGAAGCTGTTGGAAGAAAGCAGCATGATGGTTCCTTGACTGCCAATTACACTTGCCTTCGCTTCGTTGCTCAAAAGCCAGAGTAACACCCCCTTAGCTCTAGGAAATCCAGTATCAAAATATGGTCGATGATATTTCTCGCTCCAAAATCATGGTATCTACCTATTCCTCTCAATGACCCTAGTAGATATAGCCATCCTTTAGCCTATAGGTCAACCAATTACTAAGGACCCTTGGGAGATAAAAATTAAATGGAGGAAATAGAGACCAAAGGGTTGCACTGCGTATACAGCTAAACTAACAGCTTCCTATGAGAGGGAGCAGCCACATATGTAGCGAAGTTCTGCTTGTCGACGTTGGCGGTGCGAGCCACAACATGGCTGCTTTTGCCCCGCTGAATATGCCTATCGGAAAAATCGTCCTCCAGGATCGAGAGTTATCGCAGGCGTGGTAGCTAATGGAGCGGAGCTCGCATTCAAAGTCCAGGCACACGACTTCTTTATACCGCAGCCTCTTAAGCGTGCACGAGCATACCCCTTCCATTCTAATCTTTAGAACTAAAATGATAAGCATGGCATTATAACTCACTCATACCCGTCGGTCCAGTTGCATTTAATGATGACACAGTTAGGAGGCTGAATCCCAAGCTAATTATCGTATAGGAAAGGGACAGTAGAACAACAATGGACTGGGTACAAAGATACAAAGACTGTAAGTGGCCAAGGTCCCAGATTTTTTTCCGCGAATCCAAATGGAATGGCTCATCTTGAGATCTCCCGTGCCATTGTTTCGGTCTCTGAATAAAACGGCACTATTACCACCAATAGGTTCAGGTTGCTGGGTAGGAATTCAACACTGGCAAGGGCAGGAGAGATATGGGATGCGACCTAATGTCCGATATGAGCACGAATTTGAAACCATATTGATTTTCTTATCGGCTCATCAAAAACAACAACAGCCGGTCATGCTGAGTGTGAATCACGGCCAACGTTGAACGGACAAAGGTGGTGTTGCCAATCTTCCCATCATCCGTCACAAAAGAAAGATAGCGGGCAGGGCCATGGCGGCGGTCGGCCACACCATCAGCGTTAGTAGCACCAGTTCAGTGTGTTATCCGTACTCAAAGCACGTATTTCGAGGATGTATGGCTCTCACGGCGGGGAATTTGTCGCAGGGCTTCTCTACCACGATATGGCGATGTGAAGAGAGGTACTTTAGGAATCTTCTCGGTCCGGCTTGCCTGCGGTATGAATCGTGTGGTTCGATGGAAAAGAGTGGCCTCGGTTGTACCACTTTCGAATTTCACAGACCTGAATCACATAGCGTTTCGCTGAGTTGGACTAGTAGTGAAGCGCAGCATGGCCCTTTTCTTGCCCTTCTGCAGTTGCTCGCTGGCCCAACCTTCTCTTTTTTCACGGGACATATAGACCTTCTAGTAGTTTCTGTATTTCTTCACACATGACAACCTTGCTGAGAATTTCCTGACGCAAAGGTCACTGGTGATCGTGGAGGTGATCAAGCACTCCAGGCCAGATTGGGCAGGGGTTTGCTCGGATCCATGTTGAAACGCTACCCTCACAATCAAGATTTGCAAACAAGCCAAGAGACATGATTGAACTCCTGAGATGAAATGAGATGAGATGAGATAAAGATGAAAGAAGTCGCATAAGGAGCGAAACTTAATTCGGTGACCCGCTCATTATATGCATCTAGGTGTATGAAATATATAAATATAAGAGAATATATATAAGAGATCACTATAATTTCTTCTTGATCTCTTCATAATGTCTTCTTGGATGTCTTTCTAGACGTCTTTCGGGATGTCTTTCTGAATATATTTTTGGATGGAGGATCATGACGATATAATCAGTGTTCAAAGTGGGCTCGAGATGTAGAAACCTTCACTTGGATCTATATCAACAACATAGTATAGTGCATAACTGTGATAGTTCCGATGTGCCCCAGTATGAATACATCAAACATCCATATTGGGCTCCTGATAGACCTGGGCTGTGAGCTGTCTATATAAAGGTTTTTTTAGAGATACGTACGATGGTATCCTTTGGTCTCATGTGAGACATCACAGCCTGGATCCCAGACTAGTGTTCATTTGCACATTGAGCTGCCGGCGCGATCCGTAGACCTATCCGTGCATGTTTGTCGTAACAATATTGTAGGGCTGCATGCCAAAGATGAAAGCTTGAACCATAGATCGGCTCACTCCAAAATCGGTATCTATCAGGTCAAAAAGCCTACTGCCCTACTGCATACAACTACTGCTTAAAGAACAATCTGGCTGGCAAATGGCCCGTGGACTTCGCTATTTTGTGTCCCTCCCCATGATAAATACATCCAGAGCGGTGCGGAGATGTCTCTCGCACACACGAACCATCTTTTAATCGCCAAGCACAGAGGGAGAAGTTTTAAAAGAAACCCATTGGAATTGTCGAACAAAAATCATGCATCATCCATAACCTAGTACTTCTTGCCCTGGCGGAGGACATCACCGAACTCCTCCAGAGGGCTGCGGATGAGCTTGTTGTCGGCCCACAGGTTGGGGGTAAGGAAACCGTAGGTGTTGACGACAGCGACGAAGGTGGCCTTGAGGGTGTTCTCGAGGGTCTTGGTGGAGCCGGAAGAGGAGGTGTAAGCGTCCTGGACACCGGCGAGCTGGAGCAGACGCTTGACAGCGGGGGAAGCGACAAGGCCGGTACCGCGGGGAGCGGGAATGAGCTATAGTCAGTTAGAAACCATTTCTTCGGATCACTGGCTCCAAAAAAAAGGACCAAGATCAGATATAAACGACTGTAGAAACTTACACGGACGGAGACGGAACCACACTTTCCACTCTGCTTGACGGGCAGAGAGTGAGGCTCACCAAGGTTGGTACCCCAGTAACCGCGACGGACGGGGAGGACAGCGAGCTTGGCGATGGTGATAGCGGCACGGATGGCGGTGGCGACTTCCTTAGAGGTCTTGATTCCGAGACCGATGTGGCCCTCGGAGTCACCGATGAGGACGATAGCCTTGAAACGGGTACGCTGACCGGCACGGGTCTGCTTCTGGACGGGCTTGATCTGTAGGTTGAAATTGACGTTAGTTTCTGGTCTGATTCCGATGTATTCGTTTTCCGCTTGAGCTTCCACTGCGCAATTGCATGCAATTGTCGCATTCCAGTCGATTTCCCGCTCAATCCTCCAATTTCAAAAAAGTGTGTCGATCCGTACCTTCATAACCTCATCCTTGAGCTTGGGCAGGAAGAAGTCGACAATCTGGTACTCCTTGACGGGCAAAGAGTGGAGGTAGATCTGCTCCATGGAAGTGATCTTGCCGGCCTTGACGAGACGGCCGAGCTTGGTGACGGGCTGCCACTCCTTCTCCTCCTGCTTGGGGCCACGACGGCCGCGACGGCCACCACGGCCACGTCCACGCTCACCACCACGGTCGCCGCGCGAACCGAAACCACCACGTCCACGGGGAGCAGCGTCAGCCATATTGATGTTGTTATGGGAAGCGACGGGGAGGGTTGTCGGGATTGAGTTGGTCGTCGAGTTTCACGGCGCTGAGCACTGTTTGCCCGAAATTTGCGCGGGTGGGCTAAGCGAGCGGGCAGCCCTAGTGGAGACCCTATGCCCTAAATTCCCGATTGGGATGGTGGCACGTGCACTTAAGGTTTCCAGGGCGGTGTCACCTGACGGGGCCCAGAAGTAGATCGATTGATCGTCGTTGATTAGAGGGGCATTGCCGCTGTGAAGGAAGGAATAGATCTATTTTACGGTAATGTTGAGGTCATTAGCTATTGCAGTATTGCACAATATAATGTCTTTTTATAAAAAAATCGAGTCCTCGTTATGGTTGTTATTCTACCCACTACGTCACTCAAAACCTGCATTAGGCGGATGCACTTCCTATTTCGGCAACGCGACAGCGCAATCTCGACTCCGCAGTTTCAAGATCGTTCCCCCAGTTGCCCCCAGTTCAATAGTATTTCAGCGTCTCTCCTCTACTTTTTTATTCACACTTTACATTCTTCTCTGCTTGTTTCATCCCTTATAGCAACTCAATCGCAGTTATGTTGCGCTGGTAAGTCTCCCTTGCTACTCAGCTCCTCGAATCGAAGCTCAAAATCCTCTTCAACCAGGTACCAGTCCAAGTTGGCAAAGAGGCCCATCCTCACCGCAAGTGTCACCAGTGCTGTACGGTCATCTCCTTTTCTCTTTCCCTAGACCAGCTCCTGATTCTTATCACAACAGTTCCTATTCGGCAGCGGTGATGTTCTAGCACAGCAAGCTGTTGACCGGAAAGGTCTCCAAAAGCATGACTTTGCCCGCACTGGGCGCATGGCTCTATATGGTGGAGGTATGTTTATAAGTCTCAAGTCTCTTGTACATTTCTGATCTGTCTCTTTTCCTTTCAGCCGTCTTCGGTCCAGCCGCCACTACCTGGTTCGGCATCCTCCAGCGTCATGTCGTTCTCAAGGGCACCGTGTCCACCACTGCTGCTCGTGTTGCCGCCGATCAAATCTTCTTTGCCCCGGTCCAGCTCACCTGTTTCCTATCCTCGATGGCTATAATGGAAGGCGTTGATCCTGTGGAAAGGTGGAAGGCTGCCTTTGTTCCCGCCTACAAGGCCAACCTGATGGTCTGGCCGTTTGTACAGGGCGTCAACTTCACATTTGTCCCCTTAGAGCTGCGCCTGCTGTTTGTCAACGTTATCAGTTTGGGTGAGTACTTTGCTTCCAAGTGTTGCTGGCTATACTCCATACTTCAGTCACTAACAACTAAATAGGGTGGAACTGCTTCCTTAGCTTGATGAACAGCGGCGAGGAAGTAGAGTTACAAGCCATGGTTTGAGATACCCTTGAAGTTTTAATTGTCAGGAAGTTTTAATTGTCAGCTATTCTGTGCTTTTCACATTGGCGCTCCATTATATAGGTTTTTTTTGGTTGTTGGGTTATTTGGTCCTCAGGCATCATATTCGGGAAGATTTTTATTCTGCATTTTTCGGCTATGTAGAATTCTGGATAGTATAAATCTGAATCAAAATATTCAAATCCAATAACAGATAAATGAAATGATGCAAGTAGAAATAAGAGTAAAGTGAAGATCGGATATATCCATAGTACCTATGTATGTAGGAGGGATATTGATTATGTTTCGGAAGAACCCAAAGAGGCAAGGCAAGTTTTTGTGGCTCGAACTTCAAAACTTCCACTCTTTGCAGTCAATTGTCGCCCACCTCCACTCTCATCTCACACTGCCTGGAGCAGACTATTACTGCTAACTCGATCCAGGCTCGGATCCCTCTTACCTTCTTTGTGTGAAAAGCCCCGATTTGCGCTTTCCCTGAAATTCTCGCCCCTCCGACTTTCCGAACTTCGATTGTCTCCCCTCCCCTCCACATCCATTCACTATGGCTGCCGTCGCAGAGAATGGTACTCCGGCTGTTGCCGATGAGAACTCCGCCCCCGTCACCGAGACTCAGACTGGTGATGCTGTCACTGTCTTCCACAACTCCGATGACTTCAACGTGAAGCACCCTCTTATGCACGAATGGACTCTGTGGTTCACCAAGCCCCCCAGTGGCAAGGTAGGAGAACCCCGGTTAGAAATATCGACATCAATGTGCTTACCAATGGAACTTAGGGCGATAACTGGAACGACCTACTCAAGGAGGTGGTCACCTTCAGCTCCGTTGAAGAATTCTGGGGCATTTATGTATGTCCAATCCGAAGTCTCCCCCGATCAAAGATCACACTAACCTCGATCGCTATTAGAACAACATCACGCCGACATCCGAACTTGGCCTCAAGGCCGACTACCACCTCTTCAAGAAGGGCGTACGACCCGAGTGGGAGGACCCCCAAAACAAGCACGGTGGAAAGTGGTCATACCAGTTCAAGGACAAGCGCTCCGTCCCCATCGACGAACTCTGGCTGCACGCGCAGCTGGCCGCGATCGGCGAGACCCTCGAGAACGACGACGACAACGAAGTTATGGGAGTGGTTGTGAATGTGCGCAAGGGCTTCTACCGTGTCGGTCTATGGACACGCACAGTCGGCAAGAGCATCCAGGGCGATAAGCACACCCGCACACAGGCGCAGGGCAAGGAGATCCTCGAGGCAATTGGCCAACGGTTCAAGGACGTTCTGCGACTCAACTTGGCGGATGTGGTGGAGTTCTCCGGCCACACCGACAGTGCACACAGTGGCAGCACGCGCGCCAAGGCCAAGTACACCGTTTAAGGTGGTTGGCTGAGACGGTGATATGCAGACGAGGACGGAAAAAAAAACGAAAAACAGGGGACGGATGGCGATGCGCAGATTTCACAATTACGGACGACACAAATTGAGGGGAATTTGACTCGACTCGATGTGCGGTGCTGGAAACTGGGGGTGATTCACATAGGGACCGAGGTCCCCCCTTTATGCCCGCCCCGCTGCATAGTTCTGCAGGGACGACCTGATTGCTTGCGACTTGTATCTTACTCTACCAAACACATTTTACGAGGTTTATGCCGTGGTTGAGGTCGAGGTCCTGCCAGTATGATGGTATTTCCTTACATTATTCTATACAAATATGACCTGTTCATGGATGCATTCAAATTTTGGTGTTGGTGTGCTAGGTCGGTTTTGGCGAGATCAAGCACCTGAGTAGAACTGCTGGTCTTGGGACGGCGCTTATGCTGGGAGGTCTCAGTATATTAGGTGTCGTTCAGCAGCAGCCTAAATGTCTAAGCTCTGTCTTATAGGCCTTTGTTTCTTGTGTCATCTGATCAGCGTCGCAAGTTAGAAGGCTTTTAGGGCTTCTAATGGCACTTCCCGGAATACACAGCCACAAACACTTTAGTAGTATGTTGCAGGGATGATGTTTCGAGTAAGCGCTCTGGGGTTCACGGCTTCAAACACGTTCTACGGATTTACATCACATTTACACTGCATTCACATGATCCCTTGGGGATATCAACCCCCTTCGCAGGACACGCGATGTACCACTAGCACACGAGTATCAAATCAATTCATTGGGATTTCCATCATGATTAAGCCCGAAGACAGGTTCTGCTCAAAGGGCCAGGGCTATTTTGGCTCAAGGGAAAACCCCAAAACCGAAACCCACTGCAGCGTCTGGGACTGGGATCAGCTACGATTGATGAAAGTTAAAGGAACTGTCAAACTTTTTCCACCTGATGAAGGTGTTGAGATCCCACATGCAGTTCTTGCACAATTCGCCGATTACCTTTCGCCAGAAGTTCGTGCAATCACAGTTGACAATGACGAGCTTCTTACTGGAGTCTCGACAGATCCGGAAGAGGACGATACATTCTTTGTTGGATATATTCCCTTCCCAGAACTAGGGATCATGCATCAAGATATTGCACCTCGAAATTTGCTTGTCGATCCCGAAACAGAGAAAATACTTCTCTTCGATTTTGACTGGGCCGCTAATGGAAAGCAATACCTACTATATGGTCGAGACGACGTGTCTAGTGTTGTTTCACACTATACGAGATCATCACAAACAACACACATTTTACGAGCATTCCTTACTTGGATCGAAACATAGATATGGTACAGACAATCGAATGGACTTGTCACCGATAACTAGACTCCGACATGTCAAACTTCCGCGAGTTTTTTGAATGAATAGATAGCAACGAGGATCAATAGAGCCATGGAGCGATATCTCAATGCGCCTAGGCGGCTTACTTGGCCGGCCTTCTAATCCCTCCCGACTATAGTGTGCCCTATGAGATGGTTGGACGAAGAAGGGGAAACTATTTGGCAAACGGGTGCGCTTACGAGAAGCATTGCACTAGAGAAGGGACAATACTGCTTTCAGTGGCAAAGGCCACCACAAAGCAGGCTGTTGAAGAAAGCCGAAACAAGCATGAGTAGCTGATGGCTGAAAGATTGCTCGGTCAGCTCGAATTTGGATCAACTATTTGTCAGATAGCAGAAAGCAGAAAGTACAAGATAAAACACATTAAAGCCTTGTATATATCCAATACTTCCCTTAAAGTAATTGTCACTTTTGGGGTGATAGGGCTGTATACTTGTGACATCCAAGATAGGCAATTGGCTCTCCACAGGGACTGATCAATCACCTATCAGATATCTCGATTCGATTTCTACATGTTATTTGTGTATTTTGTTCTGAAAGGGCTACGGGTTTGCATCGGACAATATGTTATGGGGAAGCACATGAGATAGATGCAGTGTGGCATTGTCACTCCTGTGATGTTATGGATACCATAGAAAGCACTTGCCTATCTATTTTGGCCATTAGAACCCACAACTACTAAGACTTTGGACCCATGCCTGATTCTTCAATGTTTAATTGATGGTTTTAGGGTATCTTTATACTATGTATGACTTGTAGGGTCTCTGATATATATTCACTGCGCGGAAGCTTGAAACAAACCCGAGTTGCTTGTGAAGACGCCCGATGAACAAAGCCCTCTATTATTCTTTCATTACTAATGGGCATACACGGAGAGAAACTGTTGCTAAGGAAGAAAGTGGAATACATATTTCTAAAAAGAAGCACACACACGACCTTGAAGGCAAGCATTAACCAAAGATTCTCTCCACACTTTATTTTCACAATATGACACTGCAGTATTAAACATGCTTTGGAAAGACCTCGGGGTCCACGGGTAGACTGGCCGATGACTTATCAACCGAGAAACTAGCTCTCTGTCTCGCTAGGGCTGTTAGCGAGGGGACAAATAACTTGCACCTTCTGTCCAAGAGGTTACTCACCAAGCGCTAGTAAGTACTCCGTACAGAGTATCGCAACCCTCTTATTTTTTCCTAAATGCACCCATTACATGATGTTCCCGTACTTAAAGAAGCCACAATGGCAGTAGAGAGAAGACAAAACCAGATGGACTATTGATGGGCTTCTTGAGATAGTTATATTAGGGAATGTGAGTATGTATATGAGGTGTGTGGAGAAGATAAATTACCAGATTAATAGGCTTGACTAGTGCCAGTGCATCTGCAATGGGAACCAATAGTGCAAATTACAACTAAAAGCGCCATGATTGAGTCTAGAGTATGGGAAATGACAGCGGTGAAAAAACCGGAGCAGCTGGACTCGTTGGGATGTGTCTGTCCTCATGACTCAGTGTCTCAAAAAGGCCTCTGGGGCCAAAAAAGAGAGACAAAGAGTGCCTCAAAGTCATTAACCTTCATTATTATGCTCATATAATCAAATTTATGGCCGTGGATCCAGATAATGAAAGACAAGGCGTTGACCTCACGCCCACGGAGATGTTCTGTCCATTGACACTATAAATTCGCAATATTGTCGGCCATTTAAGGGCGACAGTGAATTTCATCCTTCCAAAACTCTGGATTTAGTAGCCTTACAATAATCCTATCGAACGCATATGCAAGATTTGGTGCCCTATACCTCTTTTATCTTGATAACACGCATTTGGAGATCCCAACGCATGCTTTATCTGTCAAGTTTAAGAAGTCATAAACATGCTAGTAGGTTGTCTGCTTTGTTTCCTCTAAACAAACTACTTTAACCCGAACTTAGAGTCTAGCCGAACACCAGGAGAAAAGGGCCGAGAACAAAGGCGTCAAATTGCCTTGCATTCGAAGGCTATCTCGTATAGGTTAGCCATTCTCAACATAAATACGGAGTACTCCGTACAGCGGTAGCATTCATTCCAGGTCAGCACTACTTTGTATATGGATAGTCATCCACGGAGATCCACCGAGCTGCTCTAAGTGGCTGCTCATGTCGCAATATCAGAGTTCCTACTCCGTAGAGCCTCCATAATGGTGTTGGGGGCCGACATCGCAAGATATCGGGATGGTGTTCTCATATTGGCTCAACTGCAGAGAGTGGTCCTAGCTAGTTCAGTCGGAAAGTCGCAACGGTATCACATGGGTTGGAGATTGAGATAAAGAGAGCACTCTTACAAACTGTGCTTGGCAAGCAGGCCCAAGCCAATGGGAAGTGCACGCAATTCAAATGGGTGGCCATGTCAAGACGATATAGACCCAAGCAACCCTATAGAATTTTCCAAGGTCGGTTCTAACAGATTGTACTCATCCAGAAAGCTGGGAACTTGACGTGTATCTGATATATTTCGGGCTCCCGCCGGTGTCGGGGATTGCCAATATCTTGGAGAAGTCTTGGTCAAACTCTCTCCTAAGGTGTTGGTCGCTTGGCGGCTGACGGGCTGAGGCCCCAAGGTTTGGAAGGTTACGCCATTTGAGGGTGAACGTTGGTGATAAGCCCTCCTGTTGGTGGACCTGAAGCTCATCCTTGCTCCCAAGCGAAGTCGGAGCCCAAAGGGCGTGTGCTATGAGTCTTGGTATTTTTTTTGGTGTTATATTTATGGCGGTGTCCCTGCTGTTGTGATCTTCAATCTTTGATCTTCTCTTTTTTTTTTTTTCTTCCCCCTTTCACACACCAAAAATTGTTGATATTATCATAATATTATGAGATGACTTATGATGTCCTTCAGGGCTACACATACTAATGACCAACACTAACAGAAATCTCCCCTTATCTTCTATGGCTTGGCAGACCGGGCACACACCAGATCCACCTCCCTTCCACCCTCTACCGAGCACACTGTTACGAGAGAATAATTACCCCGGAACCCAGAACCAGACCAGACCATGATAGGAATGGAAATGGTTTCTCTCAGGTCATCACTCCGCATGGTATTGGATGGCATTGGCTATTGCTGTGTCGTTACGGGGACACCAAAAAACAAGCTGCCGGGGTAAAGCGGGTGCGAAGCTTTTGAGACATGCGCAATTCAACGGAAAAGGAGGGGAAAATGCCCCAACGTTGCATTCGGAAAGGAAGATCGGGGGGAATCTGGACAATCATATGGTGATTAATGGGGATTATTGACCTTGCAATCAGGAATTCTCCAATATCCAATACCCGAAAACGGATTTCCTCCCCCGGTCCAAACCCCTGCCGCCCCAGCCGAAGGCGTCCAGTCCACCCATCAAAGTCCAACGCCTCGCCAGTCTACTGTTGTATATAGGATCTCGGTCAATCAGATTGCCGAACATTATCCGATATGATTGCGAAGGGCGGAGTATCGACTGGACTCCGGACATATTGAAAGGAAGAAAAAAACACGATAATTTGCCCTCGTGGCAAATTCCACCGGAAACGTTCTCAATTGGGAAATTTTCAGAGCTCACCGGCAATCTCCGACTGGAAGTCTCAATGTGATTCGATGGGAAAAACATAAAGTGGACTCGGACTGGCCCTTCCAGAAATCCCCAGATACCGGAATGCAAGACAAGCTCATTCGCTGCTCTGATTGACCCAAACCTGAGTCAGTCCACTACATGCTCGGCCTTTTATTGCTTGACTGTTCGCTTCCGTGTGCCGTGTGGTTGCATTCGTGGGTCAACTCATCTCCAGTTCAGCCATTCGCCGTTGGACGATAGACACTGCCGATCGCATCCACGGTCGAGCTGCGAACAATGGCCCATATGCGACCTTCTCAGATGAGCCTTAGTGGCATGGGGGCATGGGGAATGGGGGGATATGGCGTGCAATTTGGTATTTTTTTTTTTAATTCTCTTTTCTTTTTTTTTTCTCAAGATAAGACGCTCCTCCGGTCCCACTTGGCCTCGGTTGTTGGGTAAATGAAAAATTGCATATATAGTATTAATCACGCACCTTCTTTTGGTCTCTTTCTCTATTCTGATTGTGATTTTTTTCCCTTGCCCTCTTGAAAGAGAAGGCATCATCTGGTCTCGTAGCCATGTCATCCACAGACCGTGAGATGGAGACTCCTGCTGCGTATGTATCTTTCCGTCTGGAAAGTTCATGACTGGAACTAACCCTATCTTCAGAGCTCCGTCCTATGATAACGAGGAGGTCACCCAGCATGTCGTCCTGAACGAAAAGGCTATGGACGCCGATTTGGACAAGGAGAACCAGATCACTCCGGATGGCGGCGAGCCCACCCTCTCGGAGAAGGTTTCCCTGCGCCATGTCGCAGAGAACCTGCCCCTCTCCGCCTGGCTGGTGGCCGTCGTCGAGCTGTGCGAGCGTTTCACATACTACGGCATGTCCGGTCTGTTCCAGAACTACGTCCAGCGACCTCGGGATGGTAGCCAGGGACGTGGTGCGCTCGGTATGGATCACCAGGGTGCCACCGGTCTCACTACCTTCTTCCAGTTCTGGTGTTATGTTACCCCCATCATCGGTGCCATCATCGCCGATCAGTATCTCGGCAAGTACAAGACCATTGTGCTGTTCTGTATCGTCTACATGGTCGGTCTGCTCATCCTGGTCTGTACCTCCATTCCCACTGCCCTGGAACACGGCTCGGGTATCGGCGGTTTCATTGTCGCCATCTTGATCATCGGTCTGGGTACCGGTGGTATCAAGAGTAACGTGGCTCCTTTGATTGCGGATCAGTACAAGCGCAAGAAGATGGCTATTACCACGACCAAGAAGGGCGAGCGCGTCGTCATCGACCCCGCCCTGACCATTCAGCGTATCTACATGATCTTCTATGGATGCATCAACGTCGGTTCGCTGTCCCTTCTCGCCACTCCCTACATGGAGCTGTACATCGACTTCTGGCCCGCCTACCTTCTCTGTCTCTGTATGTTCATGGTCGGTACCCTGGTGATTGTTCTCGGCCGCAAGTTCTACGTCGTTCGCCCACCCCAGGGTTCCGTCATCACGGACGCTTTCCGCGCGCTCTGGATCATGACGAAGAACCGCAACATGGACGCCCCCAAGCCCTCATGGCAGAACGAGCACAATGGCGTGTCGGCTGTCAACTGGGACGACCACTTCATCGACGAGCTGAAGCGTGCCCTGGTCGCCTGCCGCGTGTTCGCCTTCTACCCGATCTACTGGGTTGTCTACGGACAATTCTCGGGCAACTTCGTCACCCAAGCCGGCCAAATGCAAGGCCACGGCATCCCTAACGATCTGATGCAGAACTTTGACCCCATCTCAGTCATCGTTTTCATCCCCCTTCTCGAGACCTGCGTTTACCCCCTGATGCGCCGCATGAAGATCCCCTTCCCCCCGATCACCCGTATCTCCCTTGGCTTCATCGTCGCCTCGCTTGCCATGATGTACGCCGCTATCGTGCAGCACCTGATCTACTCCGCCGGACCCTGCTATGGTAATCCTCTGTGCGCGGCCTCTGAGGTCGACGGCGCTGCTCAAGGCAACAGGGTTCACATTGCCATCCAAACCCCAGCCTACGTGTTCATCGGTGTGTCTGAGATTTTCGCCTCTGTCTCTGGTCTCGAGTACGCATACACCAAGGCCCCGCCCAGTATGAAGTCCTTCGTTCAGTCGATGTACCTCCTCACGAACGCGTTCGGATCCGCTATCGCCGAAGCGCTCACCCCCGCCGCCTTCGATCCCGCCATCATGTGGATGTTCACCGGTCTTGCCTGTGCATCCTTCGCGTGTGGTATCATCTTCTTTACCATCTTCCACCACCTCAACGCGAAGGAAGATGATATGAACGCCCTCGATGCCGAGGACGAGATGCCCGAGCGTCCGATTGACGTGGAACGGCGCCAGTCCAAGGCGGAGTAAGCATTGAGCTGGTGTTTTGTAATATTTTGTTTCTCTTGTTCTTTTGGCATTGGCATTCGCATTGCAAGTATCTCTTGTCTCTTACGCTGGGATCGTACTTTTTTTTCATCGTTTGCATCATCGGAGCAGGACCCTCTGTGTGTTCTATAACTGCTGTGCAGATCGTGAGACGTGGTATGATATGACGCTTTAATTTAGTATATATAACTCATAAATTTAAATGAAAATAATCAATATATACGAAAGAAATCCCTTCAATGTATACATTCCATAACTATGTACTACCACCATTCTATCTTCTTGGGTATGATAATCCTAAACTCCAAACACCTCCATCGCCGCCTCGGCCACCTCACGCCAGTGTGCAACTCGGTCTTGAGCCTGGCCGCGAGGACAGACCTCCACAATGGCACGAATATGATTCACTACAGTCTGCATGGACTCTTGAAGTGGACTCAACTCCATCTCTTCGAGGATCTTCCCTGCTCCCTTTTCGCGACAGACGGATTCAAAAAGCTTTTCCATACGGGTCTGCTCCTCTTTATTCTTGGGGGACCATTTCATATTCCATAAAAAGGCACGAGGCGGGTTCCAACGAGGTGCAGGCACAACACCGCTGAACTCCCAGTCCAGAACAGCAGTAATAGGACAGTCAGGGTGGTCTGGGTCACACATGATATTTGCAAAATGGAGATCCTTATGTGCGAGGACATAGACGACCTGATTAAGCTGTTCAGCATGATCCTGAATAGCAGCAGCGAAGGCGCGAATTCTCGGAATAAGATCTCTACAAGATTCAAGCGATGAATGCTTTTCAATAGCGTAGATGTAGCGATCGAGGCAGTCGACAGTGAAGGCCACGAAGCTAGCGAAACCCTGAGAAGGAATCGGGTTCAACGACTCGAGAGACTCGGATCCCGCCCAATACTTCTCTAGATCGGGCAATTGCCAGAAGTTCTCATCAATTGGAGGGCCGTGAGTGATTTCTCCATTGGTGAGTGTCAAACCCCCAACATAACCGTCCCAGGGGTGAGAATGTAGCTCGATCAGATAGTCCGTCAGTTGGTGGACTATTTTAGTGCGGACCTCTATTGACAGGGTATGGTAAATCTGATCGATACTCTTCCCAGGAGCCTTTTCCAGGAGAGTGAATTCATGACCGATGAGATTATCATTGGTGGAGTCGTAGCGAATGATGGCGGGGATGGGAATGGTAGTATTCCGACGGACCCATGTCATGACTCCGACTTCATTACGAGTTTTGATGGTGGGTAGTTGACGGCCTGAGACGCGTAGGACTAGAGTCATTGAGCCATCAGTATTGACTGGAAGCACAGAGCCATCCGATGTATGAATCGGAGTGCTTGCTACAAAATGGATCAAGTAGATAGAATGAAAGGCCGCTGTGACTTGGAGAGGTTCAATTGAGGTTGGAGTGGGGAGATCCAGGGACACGATCAGTTGACTGATAGTGTCGGCGCTCAGCGCTGGAGGAAGATAGCTGTCTGGGGTGCCCATTGTAAGGGACAAAGTCACAAACTCTTGATAAGGGACCTCGGGCGGGGATCTGTAGCTCTTCTGAAATTTTTAATTTGGCTCAAATGTTACGATTGTGATGGGGTTTGAAGATCAAACGCTAGTGTGGTGTAAGGTGACATCGTGGCCTCAACCCTTGTAGATTGAGATTAATTTGATAAAGACCGTATACAGTATAATACAGTATACTATAACCTGTTGCATGCGATACGGCAAAGATAAAATCCAATGTAGTTGAACTGTTTGAGGCAACACGACCCCGATATGGTTGAACTGATTCTGGTAGTCACCCATCTAAACAAAAACCATAGCTTGTCCACGGGTTCCCACCCGAATCGGAAGTCCAAGCTCCTGCCATATTTCTTATGTTGTCGGCATCAACGGACCGGAGGTTGAAGCCATTGTTTCTTCAGAGGACGCAAATGTGATAGGTGGAGTAGAAATCTCGACATACTCCTCATACTCCTGCTCTTTGGTCCAACGTTCATCGCGTCCGCGGTATATCTCGAGTACGGATTCCACATTAGGCTCGGCTAGTTGCCCCGTACGAAATGCAACAAGCAGGATAAGCTTTGGGACATATAACAGATTCCACTCCATCCTGTCCAATGCCCCAAGCTTCGTGCCCTTTGCGTAACGTATACTCATCACACATTCAAGATCGTTAACATTAAGGGGCGTTTCCGCAGGCTGACGCAGCCGAATGTCAACATCTTTCCACGCCACGTACTCGGCGCCAATGTAACTTCGATCGTACAATATCCCCAACACGGCATCCCGTGGCCGCTTGGACTATAAGACCCATGAAACCGATTAAATGGGCCCATTCCCATCGGGATTTCAAAGCTGCGTTTATCCAGCCCAACGCCATAACGTTAATGGTTTGAACCCAATCCACCTCATATCGAAAGCCAGGGAAGTTGAAACGTAGGCCCTGCAAATCGCAGCATGATCCTCCCTTTTCGTGCTCATAGTTGCGCAACGGGTTCCATTTGGTTTGCAGGTGTGATGTTCCTGAGCCAAAAAGACAAGACATCAGATGTGCAAGGCTGAGATAAACCTCAAGGATTGGCCTTGAGTGTCAGCCATGGGGATGGCTTTCATCATTGTTCTCAGAGAATTTTGAGGTTTCTGAAGCATTTTAGAGATGTGGGTCGTTTGGAGACAGTGATTTGCTCTTTGCCGCTTTAGAGCCGATCCAAGCTTCATATGCCCACCTTGGCACAAGGCTAGATGACCAATGGCCTCATATTCCCGTCCCTTGGTCATTACTCGAATTCCACGTTGTTTTCCCCAAATGCAAACGGTCCTGGAGAATTCCGAGGAGGCTTCACCATGTCAACACGGTAGAGATGGTTTAGCTCTCAATCGAATATAAGGCCGCAGAAAGAGGTCCTTCACTTGGGGTTCAGGGTTGGCCGAACATCTTGGGAGCAAAGTCTAGGTACTCGGCAATTTTCGAGGACGTATGGCTTAGACCGGCTGTTCCAAGAATCGTTTGATATCATGGCCGATATGTCGCGAGATTCCCAATAAGAATGTCGCGCTTTATATTTGGTACAGGCGACGAGACCGAATTCTGAGCTGGGATGTTGAGGAAAGTGAGTGTGTTGAGGAGGTGAAAGGGGTATTTATCCATAGATGGATATCCAGGGGGAGTTTCCTAAGCAGAAAGATGGAAGGAACGAAAAAAAGGAAAGAACGATCGGTTTACCGCTTTGGGTAAAATTATAGCCTTAATAGACATTATAGCTTCTACCTATGTAGATGATATATATAAACTTGACAAGGCTGGCAATGCTAGACTATACTCTTTATAATATTGCATCATCTGGATCAGGCAGCCACACTTCATTGACATTATTTGACTAAAAGGCATCGGTATTATAGATCTGACATCCTAGTTAGTTATATATACATTGTCCTACTAAACAAATATTTAGTCGGATGAGGCTCATGGAACCTTCCAAATGTTCTGATTGGCCAAGTTTTACCAACTTTCAGCTTTCTTCCAACCATGGAAGGTTTCCTTGCGCATGCTTTTTCCGACTGTTGCCTGACAGGTAGCAGCATTTCATGTCTACCTTGCTGGATTGTATTCCTATTGGAGTAGTCTACAGTTACATACCTATGTCTTTCATAAGTCGATACATCATAATCATGACGTGCAGACTTACCTTGCCACATAACCGTTAGTTAGATAGGTACTGGGTACATGTCACAAAGTGGATATTACTATCAAAGCCAAGGTATTTAGTACCTTGGAAAATATATCCCGCCGATCTTACCTCGGAACTCTTAAATAGAACAGCCTCAGCCACACAAGGGTGAATGGCCAATCTCGGAGGACTCCACTGTAAAATCGCAGGCCGTATCCGTACTAATGTAGGAACAACGGTGCACTGTCCACTCTGTAAGAAATTGTTAAAAATAGGGGGACCCCTAAAAAATCACCGTAATTTGGAAGACGCCTATGTTATATGAAACTTATGAAATGAACCCCGTTCAACCCATTAAGCCCATTTAATTTCAACCCAAATTAATGCTTAATTCTGCTATTCAGCGCGACTAACACCCGGACCTTATTGGCTTTGCTGTCCTGACACCGCCAGCGCTTCTGCCGTAACCTCCACTTCTCCCGTCTCACCCTTCCCTCCTTCATCTCCCCCCCCTACTATTATTGTCTTGTTCCACAGTTTTGAGAACCTGAGAATCTGTACATCATGAGTGTGAGTGAACCAATGTGAACCTCCTTGATTACCTGAATTTGCTTTCTGACGTGGCTTTCCCTAGTACCAGAGCTTAGGGGATTCCAACACAGGCGGCTACGGCCAGTACAACCCGTACGGAAGTCAGCAGCAGAGCAATCCCTATGGGGGCCAAGAACAACAGCAGCAGAGCTATGGCTATGGTGCTGGTTATAACCAGGCTGGTGCCGCAGAGCAGGGAAATGGTGGCTATGGTATGCTGACCCCGATACTCGCGCACCTTGAAACGACTCTAATTCCTCGACAGAGATGTCCAACATCAACCAAGCCTCGTCTGGTGGCCCAACTGGGATTCTAAACAAGTGCAAGGAGTTGAACGAGGGTATCGCCGAGCTGACCAAGAAGCGCGAGACCCAATTGGTCGCCGCCCAAAAGGCCCTTTTGGACTCAAGCACCGGCAAGGAAGACCAGGCTTCGCGCCAAACACTCGACTACATTGAGGATGAGATCAATACTGCGCTGCGCTACCTGCGCGATCAGTTCAAGCGCATCAAGGAGACCCCGGGATCCGGCGACTCGCGCGTGCAGGGCCAGGTCGAGAACGTCAGCCGCAACCTGCGTCGTGAGATTGAGCAGTACCAGCGCACACAGAGCGACTTCCAGAAGCGCCTGGAGGAGCAAGTGCGCCGCCGATACGAGATTGCCAACCCCGAGGCTACCCCCGAGGAGTTGGAGCAGGGTGTGCAGAATGTCCTGATGGGACAGGAGCAGAGCTTTGTTGTATGTTTTGCCCGAGTCGAATCTTTTTTAGTGGTCAGTTGCTAATATCTGAGGAATAGGTTCCCGGTACTCGCACTCGCCAGGCCAACGATGCCCGCCAGGCTACTCTGCAGCGTTCCGCCGCTATCCGCAAGATCGAGAAGGATTTGATCGAACTTAGCCACCTGTACAATGAGGTCGCAGAGCTGGTGCACCAGCAGGAGCCTGCAGTCCAGCAGATTCAACAGGGAGCCGAGGAGACACACCGCAACGTTGAGCAGGCCAACACCAAGCTTACCACCGCTATTCAGAGCGCAAAGAACGCTCGGCGCTGGAAGTGGTGGGCGCTGCTTATCGTCCGTAAGTATTTACCTGTCTGCACAGCAATATATGGCCGACCCGCTAACCTATTTATCCAGTCATTATTATTGGTGTTGTCGTCGGTGTGGCTGTCGCTGTCACCAACAACAACAAGAAGTAGTCATCTTTCTGTTGCACTACATCCCCTTCCTACCTCCTCCATGTACGACCTTTCCCGGGGATCGACACATCTCCGCATCTTCCCATTTGTCTTTGTCCCCTCGTTATACCACCCCTTCGCATTTCCTTCTTGTGTAAAAGCATATGTCTTTCAAACCCTCTTTTCTTTGTGTCTTTGCCTCCTAGCTGTACCTGCGTGTTCGTGTACGGCTGTTCCGTGCCTAACACGCGATGGCCCTTGATGATTGTCGCTTCGGGGCTCGTGATGTCGCGGCGCATGCATGTATATACTAGATTGTTGCTTTCTTCGGCCCCCTGTTTGGCGCTAGAACCTATGTAATACCGTCTAATAATTGATTCCTTTGTGTATGAAAGTCTGATGTATACCGTAGCTGAGTCCCGGAATCGTAGGTTATATGTGCAGTGTAATGTAATACATTTCGAGTCATCGTCTGGGGGTATCCGACTCGACAGACTCTTTCCGAATAACGAGCACCTGAACGCCCAGTCAACCCGCTATCTATGCCTTATCCTTCCTCTCCTTATCCTTTCTCTCCATCTCGCGCTGCTCCTCAGCCGGTGTCTTCGTCTTCAACTGCAGTGCATGCAGTCCGCCCTCGCGAGCCATCTCTTCTTTGAGCAATGCGTAGACCATACGGTGCCGAGCGGGCTGCATCTTCGACTCGAAGGAATCGGAGACAATTGTCACACTGCGAGAGATTAGATATTCACTCGTGCATTGTGGTCGGATGTGGGGAAACGAACTGGAAATGCGTCTCCTTTGACACTGACCCTTCCATTGCAGCGTGGTGCGCATGGAGGTGAGAGTCATTCCGGATCTCGAGTTTCGAAGGTGTGAATGCGTGAGCGATCTATAAAAAAAAGAGAGGATATGTTAGCAATGGCAGTTAACAACACAGAGGCGTGGCTCACCTTATCGCGCATGACATCCTCCAACGGGGTATTGGAAGCCATCCTAGCAGAAACAGAGAAGAGACGGCGAGGGAGCAGACCCGGAAGGCTGCGAGGAAGCATTTAGAAGAAAAGAAGAAAAGAAGCGATCAAAGGGAGGAACGAGGAGGAGAGAAACGTCCGCAATTGAAGCCAATCGGATGTTTTCGATTTCGGAACTTCACTCTTATGACATTAACCTGTCTTTTGCTCGACACCTCAATTGCTCCTCTTCTATGAATTGGGTGCTGTGAGATGAATTCCTAATATTAAAGATCTGAAATTCAAAATGTCTGGCCGTTTACTCTCTCTGCTTTCGCGTTCGAATGGGCGCGTTTGCTTCACTCCGCGGCGAACGCCTCTCAGCGCAAGACTCTTGTCGACTCTCCCCAACACACATATATTCCGCGCACTCCAAAACCATGACCCTGAAAGCCTGGCTGTTGTGCATAGCGTCTCTTCCCGATCATTCACCTACGGTAGTCTAATTGCCGACATCGTCCGCGCTAGGGACGACCTGGAACAAAATGCCTCGAAAGCGCAGGGCCAATTGGCTGGCGAGCGGGTTGCCTTCCTCGCGGAGAACAGCTATGATTACGTAGGTACTGTTGTCTTGAATCCCGTTGAAGAATATATCTAAAATACTAATAGGCATATAGTGATGCTGTTGGCGATCTTTGCTAGTGATGCCATTGCGCTCCCACTCTCGCCGTCTTTCCCGAATGGGGAGCTCAAGTATATCCTGGATAATTCACAGGCTAGGATGCTACTGACAACTGAGAAGTATGCCGATAAAGGCATGGAGCTCCTGCGAAAGGGATTGGAGCATGAGCCTATGTTTGCTATCCGCAATAAGCTCACAGAGGGCGCATCGAGCGGCGAGAGCGTCTCCTTGCATGATCTGAAGCAGCCTTCTTCCGGTGGGATGATGTTGTATACATCTGGGACCACGAATCGACCGGTGGGTTCAGTTAGTTCGTTACAGTCAAAGAGCTATTACTAACTCGAAACAGAAAGGTGTTCTCATCCCCCAATCGGCACTGGCAGCGCAAGCATCTTCGCTACTAGAAGCATGGAGGTACACACCGGATGACCGACTTCTTCACCTGCTCCCACTCCACCATATCCACGGCGTGGTAAATGCAATCGTGGCGCCAATAGTAGCAGGCTCCTCAATCGAGTTCATGTACCCCTTCAACCCGGACAAAGTCTGGAAACGACTAGCAGCACCCTTCCTCCCATCCAACACCTCAAAATCAGCCATCACATTCCTCACTGCTGTTCCAACAATCTACAACAGCCTTATGACCACCTTCCCCAAACTAACCCCAGAGCTCCAAAAAGCCGCAAAAGAAGGAATCTCCCCACGGAACCTCCGTTTGAACATCTGCGGCTCCGCCGCCCTCCCAACCCCAACAAAAACTGCCTGGACAAACCTCAGCAACGGAAACGTCCTCCTCGAACGCTTCGGCATGACGGAAGTCGGTATGGCGCTTAGCTGCGGCCTCGACACCGCAGACCGCGTCGACGGCAGCGTCGGCTGGCCGCTCCCAGGCGTCGAAGCCCGACTCGTCGACATCGAGACGGGTGCTGTGATCCCAATCGAAGAAAAGAGTCCCAGTGGCCGCGAACACGAAGGCGAGATCCAGCTCCGAGGTGAAACAATATTCGACCATTACTGGGGAAACGAGAAAGCCACACGCGAGAGTTTCGTGCAGAGCGATGATGGAGGCCAGCCTTGGTTCTGTACAGGTGATGTAGCTACCCGTCGCGTAGTTGATGGAGCTGGTAGTGGGGCGAGCGGAGCTTGGGCTCAGGGACCGATGTATTTCATCCAGGGGCGGAAGAGTGTTGATATCATCAAGACTGGTGCTGAGAAGGTTAGCGCGTTGGAGGTTGAGAGGGAGTTGCTTTCTCTGTATGTTGTTTCTTTCGGATATTCACTTGAAATGTCTATACTGACGATGGTTGTAGTCCCCAAATCACCGAAGCTGCGGTTGTTGGTCTCCCATCTGAACAGTGGGGTCAGAAGATCGCTGCTGTGATTGTTCTTGCTCCTGGTGCGGCTGCTTCGGGTCGGAGTGGTCGGTCTTGGGGTCCGATGGATATGCGGCGCGCGCTGAAGGGTTCTCTTGCTTCTTTTAAGATTCCGCAGGAGATGAAAGTTTTGGAGGCTATTCCGAGGAATGCGATGGGTAAGGTCAATAAGAAGGCACTTATAAAAGAGGTCTTTGGTGTTTGAAGATTGAAACAACCACACTGTACAATATTGAAAATCTACTTGGGTCTAGAGTTAGGTGAGTGATGGAGATCTGTGGGCTTATTATTCTCTACTCGATGTACAACACTATCCAGTAAAAAAACATTGAAAGAATTAAATCATCTGTTGTATTGAAAAACCAAATTGCTTGCTCTTAATTTCAAATTCATAGCGTCATTCCAAAGCCGGTCCAAAATCGAAACCAAACTCTAGTTCCAAATGTCCACCTAGATCTGACGGTGAAGACCCTCGTTCTGAGCACGGGTAGCATCGGAGTCGACACGGGGATCAAGCTTGTTGGCAATGCTTGAACCGTGAGGGCCGGTGGTGCCAGTGGTGCCAGTGGTACCAGTAGCACCAGAAGCAGTTCCAGTAGCAGGAGTGTTGTAGCTACTACCCGCAAGAGCATCACGATGACCAGCAGAATCAAGACCGGAGCGACCGATCGCCGAGCCAGTGGGAGCAGCAGTAGCATCACGAGTGTGTGTACCGTGGGTGGTAGTACCGGCGCCAGTACTAGCGAGAGGGGACCGGGGCTGAGCATGGCTGTCACGGTCCGAGTCAACGCGGGGGTCGAGCTTGTTGGCGATGTCGGAGCTGTGGGGACCGGCATTTGTGCTGCTGCTGCCGGGGGTAACAATGGGGGTGCTGTGAGGCGCGCCAGTTCCGGAGCCCAGAGTCGAGCCGTGAGTAGATCCAAGACCGGCGCCAGTGCCAGTGACACCAGAGGTGCCGTGGGTAGTGCCAGAGCCCAGGGTCGAGCCGTGGGTGCCTGTAGCGGCGGTGTTGTGGGTAGATCCAAGACTGGCACCGGTTCCAGTGATACCAGAGGTGCCGTGGGTAGTGCCAGAGCCCAGGGTCGAGCCGTGGGTGCCTGTAGCGGCGGTGTTGTGGGTAGATCCAAGACCGGCACCGGCTCCAGTGATACCAGAGGTGCCGTGGGTAGTGCCAGAGCCCAGGGTCGAGCCGTGGGTGCCTGTAGCGGCGGTGTTGTGGGTAGATCCAAGACCGGTACCGGTTCCAGCACCAGCAAGACCCTCGTGGCGAGCACGGTTATCGCGGTCAGAGTCAACACGGGGATCGGCCTTGTTGGCGATCTTGGAGCTGTGAGGGCCCACGTTGGAGCTGTGGGTAGTGCCGTGGGTAGATCCAAGACCGGCGCCGGTGCCAGTTACAGCTGAAGTGCCGTGGGTGGCGCCAGTTCCAGAGCCCAGGGCCGAACCGTGAGTGGTTGTAGCGGGGGTGTTGTGGGTAGATCCAAGACCGGCACCGGTTCCAGCACCAGTAAGACCCTCGTGGCGAGCCCGGTTATCGCGGTCAGAGTCAACACGGGGATCGGCCTTGTTGGTGATGTTGGAGCTGTGAGGACCGGCATTTGTGCTGGTAGTGTGGCCGTGGGTAGTGCCAGAGCCCAGAGTAGAGCTGTGAGTGCCTGTAGCGGCGGTTGAGCCATGGGTTGTTCCAGGACCAGCACCAGTCACATCGGTGTGGGCAGCACGGTTGTCTGAGGCAGTCAGTATCGTTGAATATCCTTGAGGGATGTAAGATATGAGGTGAAGTGAAATGACTAACCTCTATCACTGTCGACGCGGGGGTCAAGCTTGTTGGCCAAGTTGGATGAGTGAGGTCCATGGTTGGAAGACTTGGTCGACTCGTGCGACTCATCCTTCTTGCCAGTCAGGGCCTCTTCGGCCTTGCGTACAAACTGCATGTTGATATTGATATTGATAGAAGTTGGTTGAAGTTGGTTGAGTTGAAGTTGATTGAAGTTGATATCAAGTAGATGTGGGATATGGTTGATGGAGAAGGTATGAATTGATTTCCCCAGACTGGGGGAAGAAGAGGGTATTTATATCAATTTGTACATAGACAGACTCAGGCAAACATTATAATTCATGACGTTCATGTTTTCAATATGATGGTGTACAAGCATTCACAAATAGCAAACGCCTTCAGGTGCCACGATCTATTGGGTATGATGTAAATTGGTGGATATCCTGTTAGCTATGGTGCTACCATAACCAGCCACTTGAATCAGGGCATTGTCATAAAAACGCTAAACTGGCCATCATCCTTGATCTCAACGCCAAATATCAAAATCCAAAACAATTGCGTCATGGTTCAAGCCCTGCCAAGAAACATATGCCAACTATATGCACCCGGGCAAGGTTGTACTAAGCACATCCTAGTCCATTCTCTAGCCAACCAGCATAGAATGGAATGAGATCACTGTGACTAAAAGCATGTATTTATCTTGTTCTTACATAGTAGTCTCAACCTTGTTGTACATTGCAACCTTTGTTCTCCAGACTTGTGATAGGACGTGGAAGTAGAAAGAACATTGAAGTACTAGTTACTTTATTTGTTTATTAGTGGATTTAGTAACCAGCCAACGGCTTAAGAGATATGAAAACATATATCCATATGATGTTTTCACACCTTCTTGTTCAAAGAATAATCTCAGAGGTGTTCCAGGTACACATTAGTTGCGTGTCTACGTCATCGAAATCTATAGATAGTTCCCAGTCACATGACTGGGATATACTTTCTTCATCCAAGTGACGTTGACCATGATATCCTGAAAATATGAAATTCCATACATCCTTCATCTGTGACAGTCGCTCGACATGGAGCACGTGGCCTGAATGTCTTGAATGTCTTGAATCTCTTGGTGCCTTGATACTAAGGCCTGCAAAGACCAAGTCCCGAAGCCCGATTTAGTGAGACCAATAGGAGGCCTACGACTTGGTTATCCGGACTACTGGTAGTATACAACTAACTAAGCAATTCATATTTTGACTGATGAGCGGCTAATTGGGACCCTCTGGCGGTCAGTCAAGCAGACCTCTAAAGGCCGTTGATGGCAAGGTTGCCCAGGTGCTATCTCTCACCTATCCAATGAGGCCCCTGAAATACATCATCAGGGCTGAAAGCCCCAGTCATTGCAGTGCAAAGCTAAGATATATGAGGCCTTGCTAGGCAATATTACTTTCCAGGCCAATATCACTGAGAATATATCGATCCAGAATGTTCTCAAAATTTGCCACCCAACAACTGCTCAAATATCTTGAGCTAACTCATCGATATGACCAATTCACAGAATCACTGGACGCATTTTCAGAGCTTCTCGGTGCAGAGTCTTTGAAGAAGCACCATGTGCCGATGCTAAGCTCGAGGATCTTACCGAGTCACATCTTCTTCACGCTGCTCGCTTGAACAAGCAGCAAGACTCGATGAAAGTCTCGACGGGAGTCTGTACCCTGGAGAGTCCTGTTTCCCGACCAAAGTATTACACCACCCTCCAATTCAGGAGTGCAGTTGAAGTCATTGCGAACGAGATCGCCTCAGTCGCCTTGAAATTTCCTGCGCCAGCTATGAGCAGCGATGATGAACTTTATTGTAACCAAATATATTAAAGGCTTCTCAGTTGAAAATAATTTGGACAATACAGACTTACTTCCAAGTCATAGTTGTTCACCCTGATCACACCCCGGTCAATCGAAAATGAGGTTGAAAAAGGCTCCACCAAAACCTGCTGATGTCAGCATCCGGTCGATCCGGTCCGGGTGGATGCGTCCGAGATTACAAGCTGTCCGCCATGAAGTTACATGGACAATCTGAATTCAGTAATTCTGATCCGTGGGGTTGCATTTCGAGGCTCTGAGGGATCTTTGCTGCCAGGCGTGGTGGATCCGGCATTTTCTCCCTTGCTTGCGACCCCTGACTTTTCACAATCATAGTTTGGCACGACATATACATTGAAACTGTTGAAAGGAGTATCCCTTGCATCAAATCAAAAAAATACAAGCTCTTCCCAGTCAACACGGTCCTTCGAGCTGAAGATTCCGGCACCCCACGGGTCGCATAACAAGCCATGTGGATTCTCTCGTTCTGGATTTTCCCCGTGATATCCGGGTGCATGTGGATAGGTAAGGGTTGAAACACACGAGGGATTAAGCTAGCTTAACTAACGGCCTTGTAGCTACGTTAGTAGCCCTGCTGTCAGCCTGGGCGGCGGATGGAAAGCCAAGATATACCACCTTGAGCGATGGGCAAAGCATTCCGTGAGTCTAACCAATGAACCTACCCTCCGGCAACATAGACTAAACAAATTGAACGACCAGTTACATTTCCCATATCGGAGCCGAGGGACTCAAACCACTGTTCATTGCAGGCAGTGTAGTAACAGTCGTATTCATTGATCTCTCTCTCCTCTCTGAGCGTTGGCTTCGCCATGCCGGCCAACTCGCCCGAAACAAGGGGAGGTTCGACAAGGCCTGTGCTGTTGGATCGATTTTTTTCTCGATTTCTGGGGCTTTAGGTCTTATTCTTCTGTCCATCTTCGACACAAAGCACCACCACAAACTCCACAACGGGTTTTTGGGTATGTTTATAGCGAGCTATGTGATCTGCGCCCTCCTCGTGTGTCTGGAATACATCCAAATCGGCCGATTCTACCATCCACAAGCCCGGATCTTAATAGTCAGCTTCGCCATCAAAGCTCTTTTCGTTGTCTGCGAACTCGCTGTCGTGATTGCATTTGGCGTATGCATGAAATCTGGAAATAAGAACGCAGCAGCTATTTTGGAATGGGGTAAGTTTTCAGGACTGTGTGATTGTGCAAGAACAAGCTAACTTGAGCAGTTGCCGCCCTTATATTCGCATTCTTTGTCTTTTCTTTTGTCATTGATCTCCTGCCGTCTGTTCGTACTAAGCGACGCGTTCCTCAGGGCGAAAAGTATACTTGGCCAGGGGTGCAGGATCGACGAATTGACTTTTAGGTCAAGAGTACAGTTTGATCATAGCATGTAATCATTAATCTATTTATACCCGTGGACGTTAGAATAGCTTTTGCCAATAAGAGACCGGTCTCTTGACTTTGGCCACATGTGGTGATATCATCTATTTTTGGGGGAAAAGAAAGAAAACCCCGAACTTTTCGGAAAAAGAAATCTGAACATTTCACTAATCTCAATCAATAAATCAATACCTGATTATCAGCATGAGCCTCTTCGGACACCCTTGTGGTGTAATCTCGATTATCGCCCATGTCATCCAATGCGCCAGTTCATTCATCGTCCTCGGGATCACAGCCTGGGCAGTCCGCGACACCAAAACCCTTACAGTGATTTTCTGCCTAGTGGTGGTACATCTCTCTCATCAGGTCTTAATATATAGAAATTCTAAAATCATTATAGGCGGTCCTCACTCCAGTCTTCTACGGCATAACAGTCAGCACCAGCTGCATTACCAGAGGCCACAGATGGCACGTTTTCCCTCTGCTTGTGACTGACGCAGTAATGTCTTACCTGTAAGCATGCAATATCAAGTACCCCCACGTTTATAGGAGTAAATGCTTATCTCCCATCTAGCTGGCTCACTGCATTCATCTTCCTGGCTCTGGATTTCAACCACGTCAGTTGCAGTGTCCACCCCTGGAACGGCCAGAGGGTATGTAGCCGGAAGTATTCGGCCGAGGCATTCAGTTTCATTGCATTGTAAGTGACCTTATTTTGAATACGGTGAATCCACTGGCTAATTGCATGGCAGCTTTACTACACTCGTGGCTATGGCATTCGAGATTTTGTATACTTACCTACCGAAGAAGGAGACCACCCCAACGCAGGAGAGGACAAACGGGGTGACGAACTTGGAGAATAATCTCCGGGATGCCGGGGTGATGAGTGGTTGAGCAGAAAGTGCCTGCGAATGCTTGATAGCAATGTCCTCCAAGGCGTAAAATCCTTCAATTATATAAAGATTGGCGATGCCTATTGGATATGCATATAATACAGTATTGTACAAGTAGTGACCCGAACTCAAGCCCACTCACCCTTCCTCTCAAACGGCTTCACAAACCCAGTCGCCTCCATAGTCACTTGCAGAGACGCCATGTCAATGGCAGTGATATGTGCTTCGACCGTGCAGAAGATATCCAGCTTATCTTTATCTGGGAAATCCTGGGGGATGGTGATCGAGCAGTTCACGCCAAGATTTGTGATGACTCCGGAATACTCCTCGTCCAGATGTCTAGGCTTGGTGCGCGGGGTGCGTAGCAGACATGGGAATGTGACGGGGAGATTGCACTCGGAGAAGTAGAATGCACGGAAGAGGAGCATACAAGCCCAATGCTGTGTTGAGTATTTGTCAAGATTTCTGAGGCGTCTGCGCAGGGGCTGGGAGTAGATGAGGTGGGCGTCGATGTCGGATTTGGCGAAGGGGAGGAGAGAGGTGGGAGTGGTTTTTGTGTCATTGGTGGTGATTGCAGTGGCTGTTTCTGCTAGATCTGTCTCTGCTGGGTCCGTCTCCACTAGATCGATCTCAGCAGGATCGGGACTATCAACAAGAGCGTCAAACTGACGGCCGTGTTCATGCTCGAAACGCAACGCTGCCTCGATCTGGTAATGGGCAATAACATCTGTGTATCGGCGCAACGGACTGGTGCTCTTGACATACGTATCTAAGCCCAGGGTGTGGTGCTTAGTTGGGACTGTGGAAGAATAGGCCAGGGGAACGCTGAGCTCGTAGAAACCCTCACCGCCGAAATTGGCCAGGTTTTTGTTGGTGACGCGTCCGTACTCCGGGTCGTACCAGGTGCCGTCGTAGACAACGGGGATGTTGCGTGCGGCACAGAATTGGCCGGAGATGTGCCCGGCCAGATTCATGATAAGGGAGACCAAATTGTCCCGGGATTGGTCGCGAACGTCGTATGGATCATAGGACTGCATATTGAGCCGGATGACTGGGTCACCGAGATAGTGGCGCCCGGTTGTGGATTGTAAATCGTATGGCGGCATCGGGGCGTCGCCTGACTGGACTGAGACAGAAAGATCTGGGCTAAGAGGGGTGAGGTCCATGGCGCCGTTCTTTCTACGGGTGTGACGGAATGCGAGCATGAGTTGACGCATGATGTGGAATCTATCTTTGTCCTCGGGCCGTAGGCCATCTTGGATTGTTTTACCAAGTGGTATTGGTGGTTCGGTGAAATCGCCACCTATGGTGAAGGATTCCAACTGTTCTTCGGAATCGGGGTCGAAGAAGTCGCGCAGTGTCTTGTGAGTGAGATTGATGACGTTGTGAATTGTGCCGTTTTTGATCTCACTATCCAAAATTTCTCCTCGAAGATTCATCTTCGCACTAAATGTGAGTACCGGCCGACCAGCCGCCAAACTGAAGTGGGGCTCGGTAAGAGCTTTGGGAAGCATGGGATAGGTGCGTTCCGGGATGTAGGTGGTGAAGAGTCGTGAGGCTGCATACTGGATGATAGGGTTGTCATGCTTAATAAACGCTGTTGGGTTGGCAACGTGGATATGCACCCAGAATGTATTATGAGATCCTGGGATGGGCTCCAGCGATATACCGTCATCAATTTCTTGCGCCGTCACATCATCCACACAGTAGACTGGCAGATCTCCCCAATCCTTTCTCAGGTATTGCATAGAATCTTGCAACTGATCGGCAGTGAGCTTAGTGCAAGAGTCCTCAATCTCTTCCAACTCCATGTCCTTTGCGAGGGATATGCCATGCCCAGGAAGCATCAGATATTGGTCAAGCGGTAGAAGGTTCTCCCAAGGCGCTATGATGCCGATCTCCTGCAACAAAAGACGTGTTGAAGCCTCACTCAAACCAAGAGTGTTGTACATCCCCGTGGCACGCATGATATGTGTCGCTGTTGATCTCAAAGTGCCCGACGGCATGACAATGGCAGGGACGGAGTACAGCTGCAGATATTCAATTATCATTTGGTCATCTGCACTGAACTTTTCGGTCGGCAGTTCACGGAACACCAGTGGGTTTCCATCCTGACCAGGCGAATATCTGTTGGAGGATGGTCCCACGCTGGACATAATAGTCGGAGAGCGGAGCCTTCTGCTAAGGCGAATCAACCGCTGTGCTTTGGTGATAAATCGGTGCATAGGGTGGTCTTTGTGCCCCTGGGTGTCTTTTCGCATTGTGGCACGAACACAATGTTCTTGGTGTTCATGAGTCCAGTCAACAACCTGTTTGACAATCTTGGCGATCCGTTTTGGCTGCACGATATACATCCGGCTGAACAAGGAGCTGCCATCTTTTTCGATGAGGAAAGCATGTCGGCGAACAGCTTGATGAACAGCAAACATGTTGACGCTAGTCAGCTCAGATTCTTCAATGCCAAGAGCAGTTGTTGTCAAATTTTCAAGGCTCAAGCAGAGAACTTCGGTATCGTCTGCCACCTTATCATGAAGATTATCTAGTATCTGGGAGTTTTCTCTATAGAATTTCAAGATATGAGTCTTGAAGTTGCTCATCATCCTCAGAAGAGGAGCACCCAGTGGCCTCGGAAGACCTCCCTCGGGGGTCAGCTGAATATCTTGGCTTGCGATAGCCTCGTTATCCGGGAACCATGGCGTGAGAGGTTCGACAAGTTCCGTAGGTGCAAATCCTTTGATAACATAGTCGAGCTCCGTGTTGGAGCAAATGCGCCAATTCCCGTTGCCATTGTAGAACTGCTTCTGCTTGTGAACAGACCGCACGTAGATTCCGTAATTAAACACCCCGTCTGCATTTAAGCGGGCGATTAAATCACCCTGCTCGAGGTGTTCACCTTCAAATTCATCTTTGTCCATAGACTCTTGGTTCAACCTGTTCGGGTCACCCCAAGCATCGATTGCGTCGCGGCCGTTAGGCATTGTGCCAATCGATTTACCCGGTACTTCCAATGGCCGATGCTTGGAGTCGGATCGGCGCACCGGGTCCAAATCATTGGGGTTGGTATCCTGCCATTTCTGTAGGTATGTTCGAATGTCTCCATGCAATTCGAGTTGGGACCTAAGGAGGATATTGGCATCGATGGGAACTCTTGGGGGCTCGTCTGCCTCGGATGTTTTCTGCTGAGATGGAACAAAAGTTAGCTGGGAATAGCAGCCTCTTCTTCGGTATAACACACCTCACTATCGGCTGGAACGGCTTCAGCTGACCCCAATGTCTTCGTGGTAGACAAAAGGCGTCGCCCCCCAGATAACACCGGAAGGTGAGTGGCGGACGCAGTCGATGTACACCCTGTGCGGTTCTGTCGCCATGTGCAGAGCACAGGTGACCAATTCGCACCACTCAGCTTCTGCAAAGCCCTTATTCTTGTAAGTGCCATTGCCAGAGCTTGCGCAGAATGAATGCGCTGGTGGCTCGAAAACTAAGTGTATTCTGCCTGCAATTGCCATACCGCCCTCGGCGGTATAAAAATTGTCCCGTGATTTCGGACGTTGTTTCGACCAATCACATTGCAACACAGGAGTATAGAGTCCTATTTCATTTCTTTTATGAACATTGGATGAAGAGTCTCATATCCTCATATTTAGAAAGAGTTTTAGCTAATAGGTTTTCTCCATTACACTATGCGTCACCAAAGAGTCATAAAGTTATAACACATCGATATTGATCGATGTCACGTAGTCCATCTAGGTCATGAAATACAAGCATGTAAATTTAAGTACGCCATGGCATGTTCCATAGTCACCGAGGACAACTAGTGTCCTTATTTTAACTTTTCTTGCCAGTCCTACTCTGTGATAGAAACCCCTACCTGGTTCCTGTCTCAATACAAAAGACTCACAAAAACAATGCCAACTAGTAGAATGTTGTGGGTATACCCAGTACATCTTCAAACCACTGGTCATCTCCCAAATCCATTGACTGCATCCAGATTATCTGATCTAGATCTGGAATATGGTGATTGTGAGAGGTTGTGTCAGAGTTGGCACTCCGGCACGGCCTGGTTTCCATATCTTGTAACTGAGAGGCCATGGTCAATCGAGCTTCAGCCCACAGCCGACATTTGTTCAAGAGCTTGGATAAAAGCTTGAGCAAATGGTCATTGCACTGAAGTTCTGGCTCCTTGCTGCCTAGATCGAGCTTCTGCAGCATACAGTCCATCGTTGATGTTAGGTCGACTGTGTTCCGCACCGCTTGACAATCCCATTCTGGATCTTTAAGTGTTGACAAATATTTCAAAAGCGTGATGGTCAGAATCATCTGTGACCAAAAATGAAACGGTTGGCCGACAATTTTGGAGCAAGGAATTCTGTAGAACTCGTCCAGCCATGACTTGATATTCTCAACCGACTGCCACAAACACTCGAGCCGTTGGAATTCCAGTAACATCCCACCGTCACCAATTCGTCCAGATTGATCTACAGCAAGCGAGTCTCGACTTATTGAATAGCCTAGCTGGTTTATGTATAATCCGACGTATTGAGCGTGTGTATTGAGGATGTCTGCATGTAAAGCCTGGGTTTCCCCCAGGTGAAAGTATCAGCAACCGCAGCTGATATAATCTGCCGGGTTCTTCGCCCGAGGAACCACTTACCTATATGGTAGAGATCCGGGGGAAATGAAGATCTTAGCTCATGTAGCTGATTTCGTAAAGTCTTGAGATACAAGAACCGAGGAGTTGAGGCCGCGGCATGAGCTGTTCCTATACGAGCGTAATCTGTCCCGTCCTGTTGTCGAACGTAATCCGCCCTTTGCTTTAACAGCTGCAGGCGTACTTGAAAGACAAATAACTCGTCCGCAGGGCATGACTTGCTTAGTGCGATGACTCGAAGCGCGTCTTCCATCTGAGGCGTCCATCGTATAGCGTCTTGACGCCCAAGGTGTGACGAAACACTAGGGATAGCCACAGTATGTTAGTATACGTTGGTCCTAAGAGAATCACGAAGGCTATGCGCACTTGGAGCTCAAAATAAAACAAGCTAGTAATGCCCTCTGTCTTTCCAAAAAGCCATCGGGCATTTGATCGTTAGGCCTCTGAATAGTTTCTTCAGCCTGCCCCTGGGTAATAGACATCATGGCTTGCACGTCTGGTGAGGATGATTTGAACAACCTCAGATCATATACTAGTGAAATGGCGAGCATCATCAGGCGAGAGACAAGGTCTGCTCTACCAAGAAAAGCGTCGGTACTCCATGCTAGGTAAGTTAGTAATCCAAGTAGCAAGTCGATATTTGACTGGACCTCGAGTAAAGCAGACGTGAATAGGACACGCTTTAGCTCCTCAACTTGAGTCAGTCTTTCCTGCGTCGAGAATATGGTAACAGTGTGGATGGCCTGAAACAAAAAAGGCCTGTTTTGCCGCAGATACGTGCTTGTCATATCTGGGGTAAGATCGATGAAAGGGAAATATGGCAGCATTCGGGATCGGAAGAACTCGAGCCGTTCCTCTGATTGATATGAATTCGGTGATGCTATGGCGATCGAGTCCGTCGCAAATGGCGGCCCGTCACTGATTCCCAGCCCAGTGCCGGTGTTTACCAGGGTGCCATTCGAATAAGACGTGGATGATGAAATGCTGTTTCCGTCGAGGGAGTGAACTGGTTGAAGTGGCTGAAGGACATTGACGGAATTCCCCAAAGCTCCCTGTGGAATGAATGACTGCATTGTAGATAATAATATCTCCATCTTGTCTTCTAGCCGAGCGATGCGCGTATCAGACTCTTCGGCAATCTGAGCATTACGCCTGCGAACCGACTCTGATGGCTGACACCTTTTCTTGAGACGGAGACATCTGAGAAAATAATTAGCCGAATGTCATCAGATTAACAGGCCGGTTGTCATTTTGACCTTTCACACTTATCGCCATTTGGGGTACGCACACATCGGCTCTTTGCCTTGTAGCAATGCGTGCAAGCTTGGCCATAGTTGCTGGATTGGCTGAGGGCCGGTTTTGATCTCTCCATATTTACTGGACGAGCTATGCTAAAAGACAAGTAGGTGGACAGGATTCCGAGATACTTTGTTGTTGGAAGGGAACTCCGCCGGTAACGCCGGGGTTATATCCGGATCAGACGGATTTGGCCCCCGAAGTCCGCAACCTGTGCTTTGAACTTGTATAGTAATAAGCCTTCTTCTTATTAAACAGTGCTAAAAAGCAGCGGTGGTCAAAGTGAGTCAACGTAAATTTACCAACCGACGTCTACCAGCGAGTCGAACTGGGAGGTAATGGCTGGGGTGGCTGTGGAAATGACGGCAAGGCCAAGAAGTATAAAGTAGGGGCAAATTCCGGTCCCCGGTCTGGATGCAACTCCATGCATGTCGAAATCATCGTTTGAGCAGAATGGAACTGAATTTTCAATTGATTCGTTGTGTTGTGTCTCACTCTGATACGGAGTCTCGGGGCTAGGGAGGTCTTGTTCAGCAGCCGTAACGGCGACAACATGATGATGCGCGTATGAAGCTGACACACCTTTGAGCACAAGCTCTCCAAGCGTAGGCATTGAGAGTCGGCCGCTATGAATCCCTAGAGCCGCATTATTCTCCAGACAATTTACTAGGCCTTCGAGCAGTCGGGCCACTTTGCGCCACTCCTTATACGCCAGGTAGGCGTGGCAAGGCGCACGCTCGCGTCTATCTGTGTTTGTGCGGCGTTTACTACGAAAGCATCACTTGCCACAAGCCTAAGGGGGGCACAGGAGCCCTCAAAACTTCATCACGGGCCGAGTGTTGCACCACTTTGGCCGGCCCGGCCCGGCGCATGGCTAGTGTAAGCCATTTGACGATAGTGCGGACAAATACTGTCGCGCGGAAGACTCTGTCTTTTTCTTCCTTAAGAGCCTGTCGGAAATAGTGCGAGATAGTAGCCCCATTCTCGCCACCATTGCTAGCATTGCCGTCTATCGGGACTCGACCTGCACCCCCTTATTCGTGCCCAACTCGACATCCATGTCAGACCCTTTCAAGGACGTGATGTGCCAGGCCAAGATGATTGCCAAGTACACGTTGCCAGTCGAGGCACATGTCACCGGAACGCCTGTCGGAGAACCTCCCGAGTACTCCGTACGAGAGTAATTATCCTCGTAGGTCCTGTCCGTGAGAGGCTGCTACCTATCGGATCAGCAGAAAGGCGACATTGGCCCCACCGAAGGCGCATCCGGTGATAATGCGCTCATCAATACCATCATGATTAGTGGAACAACGCGGAGATGACCAACCAGCATCAGCGAAGGCAACTCTGTCTGCAATTCAAGTTTGAATCATATCGTCCTGCACAGTCCCGCTGAGCCATACTCTTTCCCACTTAAGCCTAGTTTAGGACAACCCCGGAGAATATGATTGCCTAGTCTCACTTAAACAGAAATCATAACCGAGTTATCTCTATCATCGGTGTATAGTCCTTTCCGTGCCCCAATTAAAATAACCCTTTTCGGATTTTGGCTTGACCTAGGTGAAGTCCTAGAGCTAAGAAGGGTAAGAATGATTAAAGCCTCGCGGAGATGACCAACTAGGGTAAGCGAAGATAGTTCTGTCTATATCGTCAAGGAGTACAGAGTATGTTGTACACAGATAAAGCAAGCATTTTCTGAAATGCTATGAGAGCCCTTTTTTGTGCAAACAAGGCTGTAGCGGCTGATCCCAGCATGTTTTCCCCTGTTCTGTTTTTCACGAATTACGAGCTATAGATGTTGACAAGCTCACTTTGATAGACCAGAGGGCATGCAGTGCAGGAAGAGGGGGACACCCTAGATTCATCAACAAAAGTCCTGAAATGGGCAAATATTGAACAGAACCCTGAGCATTTTATTAGCCAGACTCAATTCGTTTATACTGTCCACGGGCATCTCTAAGCTACTTGTATCTGCCAGTTATGCAGCTTCATGGATGCGCTGGCGACGTACGATGTACAGTTGTACAGTCTTTCGGTTGTATGATTAGTTAGACCCGCAACGAGCTGGCCAAAATCCCTAGTGTTGTCAGGCTGGATCTCTGTGGATCAGCCAAACTGCTATATGATTGTATGAGGGATGTGTCATTAATAACGCGTTTCTATAAAAAGCGTGCATAATCGTGGTCTCGGCCAGCATACTCCATATTATGTATTCTATAGTATGCTATTCTCCGCATAACGGCATACGATCCAACATTCCAGACTAGTCTACTCCGTACCCGAGAGATCAACAGTCTTATTTCTCCTATATTGCATGTCGTAGAAACATTGTCAACAGACTGCCAAGATACAATAGTCCCCGAGACCCGAGCTCTGAACTATTGCGATCCCGGTGAACTCCTCCGAAGCTACGTCGGCACTTTTCAAGACAGGGGTGTGCGGATACGTCGGTGGTTTGACTCGTGCGTTGACCCATCCTTTTGGTTTAACCTATCGGACTGGCTAATTCGCGCAGGGTTCTGACATAAATCCACAGTCATGGCGCTATACCTCCATACCCTGCTCTCTCGCTCCGAAAGTACCAATGCCCAACCTATCCAACCTCGTAAAGAAACGACTTTGAAGACTCTGTTGATCCAAGTTCCCCACGGTCTCCAATTCTTTTTCCTCTAACCGAAAAGATTGACAAAGATCATCGCGAATTAGCGGGGGGAAACGTATTCATTATCGTATATCCGTACTCCGTGCTCCGTGTCTCCTTAGAATGGACTCACCTCGGCCCCCTGTTCGGAGCGAACGCATACTTCATATGAAGTAAAATGGGATATTGACAGAGATTGTCGATCTACTCTGTAGCTAAAGTACACACGAAAATCCAAAAAAAAAACTTGACAGGTCGCGAGTATCATTTCCTAATTCGTTTAAGCGAGACCGACGCAGCATCGAAATTTCAGCATGTCAGGGGCAATCCCCCGCAAGTTTTGGAGGGCTACGGAGTACTGAATACTCCGTAGAGCCGGAGGAGTTCCACTTGCTGATCTTTTTTTTTGTCTCACTTGATTTAAGCAGTGGGTACTCCGTACTGTGCTTCTTGACTTGTGTGAAGAATACCAACCAATTATGTACTTGGTACTTTGTCTCATCTGTTGTGGCTGATTGAGTTAGTGCCACTAACTTCTAACTAGTGAAGCCGCGTTCGTTATCCAGGAAAAGCGATTAATATTAACTCTAGTGGCACGCCAACTCCGTACCTGTTCGGACAAAGCCAAACTCTCAGAGGTGATCTGTCGATCACTGGGGCCGAGAGTTGGACAAGGTTATTGCCCTCCCTACCACTCCATACAGATTCCGCAAGTTTAGCCGATTAACCAGGAAATTGCCCGATTTGGACCCGCTTCTACAGTTTCTGGCCCTATCAGGCGTGGAAATTAGGTGCCCAAATATCCGATGCTTGTATGTGTCGAGATCGGCACAAGATAGGCATTCGGCTACGCGAAGTTCGATCCAGGCGCAGACACAATCGACTCCGACGACCCGTCCAAAATAGGCATGCACAGAGTATCCGAGGTTTTCTGTATGCCCATTCCGCTGCCATGTGCTTTCGTTCACTCCGCAGCGCCTCCGAGCATGGTGACGAACTCGTCACAAATTGACGTTCAACTTGTGAGCTCTTCAGGAGTCGATAAGCAGGAGGACCTGCCCAAACGAGACTCGCGTGACCCGACCTGGATGGAATGGAATCCCTGGACAGTGCTTCTGCAGAGGATTTTTCTCTTAGCTCTTGTGGCTTGGTTTCCGTTCCTGCCGGGCCCACCATTCAAGAGGGGTGCGGTCAGTGGCTTGAGAATATCCTCCGATTATGGAGTCTCCCAAACCGAAGCTATCGAAGAGTTATATAAGATAAATCCATGGGTCCGCACCATGGAACTGATTTTGAGCTCGTGTATCTGTTGGGGCATATATTCTGACCCTGGATCATCCGTTCCAGTCCCTCATTCGGAATACATTCCTTTCTTTTGCATATTTTGGAATACTATATTTATTATATTATCTGCTTTCCTTTCACAACATGCTCCCAAGCAACGGATGGCGCGCTTTTGCGCTGTCTCTAGCTCTTGTTCCTCGGGCAATGGCAGATATCTGCGCGACACTCAAGGCCGGCGGCATTGGTATCGAAAACCGTATTTCATTGGCCTACAAGACCGATCTGACCGAGTATTGGTCCACGGCATGCGGTGATCTCAAGCCAACATGCATTGCAGCTCCGTCCAGTGCAGCGGAGATGGCACAGGTTATCAAGAACCTGCATAACGTGGATACTCTCTTGTTCGTTCTCTCCTTATACCAACAGCAATGATGTCGGCTAACCCTAAACAGTGCCATCAAGAGCGGAGGACATAACCCCAACAATGGATTTGCTAGTATCCAAGACGGCTTGCTGGTTTCAACTAAGAATCTGGATCAAGTTGACTATAACCCCGAGGATCATACTGCTATTATCGGTCCTGGACTTTCATGGGAAGAGGCCCAGAAAGGGCTTGCAGGAACTGGTCGGACCATTGTTGGAGGTCGAATGGGAGGAGTTGGAGTTGGTGGATATATGCTCGGAGGCATGTAGTCCTCCAAAAAACATCGCCGAGTTCATGTCTAATCATTTATAACTAGGTGGTATGAGTTTCCTGAGCACCCAGTACGGCTGGGCTGCGAACAATGTGTTGGACTTTGAGGTTGTCCTTGCCAATGGCACTATTGTCCACGCAACTGAAACCGAAAACAGAGGTGAGTGATACTATACCGACCTTGGGATTGTCGAAACACTAACACTTGACAGACCTCTTCGAAAGCTTGAAGGGAGGCGGCAACAACTTCGGGGTTGTTACTGCATACACCATGCAGACACATCCTCAAGACCACAAGGTCTGGGGTGGCAACTACGTTTACACAGCCGACAAAGCGGCCGAAATTCTCACGGCAGTGCGCAACTTCACCGACGAATATCCCGACGACAAGGCCGCAATAATCGTAACGTTCGAGCGCAGTCTCTTGCTTGACCTCTGTATTTTGTTCCTCTTCTACGACGGACCCAAGCCTCCCTCTGGAGTCTTCGACGAGTTCACTGCTATTAAACACACGTCAACTGCCAAGACCTGGGACAGCTACTACGACCTGCTCAAGCACAACGACTTCTTCATTCTTAAGTAAGACGAGCAATTCTTAATATTTGGATCGCTTGCTAACTAGATGCTAGGGGACAACGCTACAACATCGCCACCGAGACCACACCCCTTCCCAACAAGACCGTGGGAGCGGCCCCACTCCAAGACTACTATGAGCATTTCCGCGACGTGACCGGGTCCGTACTAGGAGTGGCCGGGATACTGGGCTCAATTGCCTTCCAGCCCATGCCCAAGACGTTCTCCCAAAAGGCCAAGGACCGCGGTGGAGTAAGAATTCCATTTCCAATGAACAAAAAGGGAGATCATGTTACTAACAACCCCTCAGGATCTCCTTGACATTCCCTCCGATCAACCATACATTATTATTGAGCTCAACTTCTCCTACGGGCTATCTGTCGACGACAGCAAGGTCGACGCAGCCACCGTCGAAATGTACCAGGGAATAGACAACCTAGTCCAGAAGAACATTGACAAGGGTCTTATTCCTGACGTGTATCGACCATTGTTTATGAACGATGCATACTACCGCCAGGACTACTGGGGACGTATTAGCCCAGACTCCAAAGCGCTTGCTCTGAAGACGAGAAAGGCGTATGATCCCCAAGGGTTCTTCCAGAAGCGGACCAGTGGAGGCTGGAGGCTGAAAGACTAAAGGTCCAGTCGGTCTAGGTATTGGATATATTTATCTCGATCTATAATTGTATTTACGAAAACTTAATCAATTGGTTTTAATTATATGACTCAAGAGAAAAGTGTTGGGGAGTAGATGCGTGAGCGATCCGCTTGTGATATATTCTGAGGTATGACTTCCCATTACCAAAATCCCCGCCAAGCAGCTCCAAGCGGAAAAATAAACATCCTTGCTGATTATTGAGGCTAGATGCAATGCCCTGAAACTTGATCTACTTTGCATTTCCCATCCTAGTGAATAATTAGATCAAAAGTAGGCGCCTGCTTCAGATTTGCAGACGCCCAGGGAACGAGTGGCTGAGAGCGACCCGCGGCGAGTTAGGGTTTTCATCCAAGCGCCAGGGTGGATTCGTCAATCGGACCTATATTGTATATTGTTATATTATTGCAAGTATTCTTCCAATGGAATTCTCTTTAGCAAAGAGCTATGAGCTCTCATACTATCTTAAGCTACTATTCATGCCGATCGTTGTATGCGGCAGAGAGCTCAATGAAAGCCAGGTCATCCAATTAAGTACGGCGCTTCTCCAATCTGTAACACACAAAGACATAGCCCGGCTTGGAGAGAGTCTAGATTCTAGATCTGATGCTAATTTAACATGGTCTAGATTTCGGACAATTGATGTCATGGAGAGACCTTTGTTGATGTCTATATAAAGAGCCGCAGCCAGCCTGGTCTTCAATCTAACAATCAGCTTCACTTTCTTTCGGAACACACTCCCTTTGTTCTTGGACTTTTTCTGCTTTCTTCTACTCTCTCAAAGCCTTTCATTCCACATATATCTACCGCATCGTTGCTTGCTTGAATACTACCTCCGACTCATCCCCTCCACTCTCGATACATCGTCATATACACAACCAGTCCGACTCTCCAAACACATTCATTACTCCAATTCAGCACATTCCAATCCATTTCAAATCCTCAAAATGTCTCCTCGCTACGGCGCCCTCGGCGCAACCTTCCAACTATCCCGCCTCTTCCAAGCCTGCTCCCTAATCGCCATAATCGGCATGACAGCCAAATTCATCAGCGTAATAATAAACAACAACGCCACACCGCCAAACATCCTAATCGGAACAATCAGCGTGGTAAGTACAAGTCCCCTCCTATCCAACCCTCACATACACAACTACTTTCTTCCCAGTCCCAACCCATCCCCTAGAGATCTCAAACTCACTAACAACCCCAACCCACAGACCTGCATCGCAGCAATCTACTGCATAATCACCGCAATCTTGTACACAGACGACATTCTCCCCTTCCTAGCCTGCGCCGTGCTCGACACGCTGCTACTAATCGCGCTGATTGTCGTCGCCATCATCGTCGGCAAGCCACTCTCGTACTTGAAGTGTACGACGCTGGCGGAGCTGGGAGATAAGGACGCTACGTCCTATGCATTTGCGTCGAGGCTTTCTAGTTATATTGCCAGCGTCAGTGGGAAGATTGATTATGTTTCGTGGATTGGGGCTTCGAAAGCGATTTGTATTGAGACGAAGGCTATTTGGGGGTTAAGTATTGGTCTTTGGTGAGTTCTAATTTTGATTTTGATTTTTGGTTTTACTATTGGGGTTTTTACTGACTTTTGGATTGGCTTTTTTAGTATTCTCTTTTTCTTCTCTGTTATTTGCAATGTCTGCTTGTGGCTGCAGAAGAAGAAGGCTCTTGCAGGTAAGAGTTTGGAGTAATGGATCAAGTGGTTTATGGGATTATATGATTGGAAAAGGATATATAGGGATCTGGGAGGGTACAAGATGGACGAGGTGGATCAATTGCTTTTTATGTCTTTCTTTATGATGATTCTTATAGCGCATGCATTAATAACCCATCTCCGACGAAAGCGAAATCAAATCAAATGAAGCCATTGATAATTCAAGAGAATAAATCAAGATGGATAAAGATTTGTAAAGTACATCCAACATAAATAGAGGTATTCAATGGAAACCCTCTATCCGGAACTCACAGGCGGAATAATAGCCACCTCACCCCCAGCCTGGATAACAACCTCCCCATCCTCCTCGACATCAACATACTCCCCATTCAGACTAACACCACAAGTAGACAGGATCTTGTGAACAATGCCAGGATATCGCTGCTCCAGTTGGCCAAACAGAGCGGATAGTTTCAGGGGCGCGGGGAGGGATTCTGTGTTTTTGGAGGTGTATTGGGATGCTGTTGCGAAGTAGTGGATTGTGAATGTGCCCGACATGGTTTGGGTGTAATTGAGGATCAATTGAGGATTGGAGAGAATTAAGGCTAAAGGAAAAAGGAGGGATTATAAAGGGTATAAGGAAGAAGTTAAGAGCGGGCAGATTAGAGGATGACCAATAGAATTGTCCAATGCGGGGTAATATTGTACCTACATATAGGTATACTTCGATCTATTATGGGCACATGTATGCATTCAATGTAGTTCATCTCGAAACGAATTTACTTTGCAAGCTCACGAAATGCCCTCGCCAAATCGGCCTTCAAATCCTCCCAATTCTCCAACCCAATACTAATTCTCAACAACCTCCGATCAACCGTCGCATCCGTCATAGTCCTCCACTCAATAAGCGTCTCAATACCACCCAGACTAGTAGCATGCTGGAAGAAATGCAGTTTACTCGGTAATTCACGAGCAAAGCGCATCTCTTTCATAATAATAGAGAAAACAGGCCCGAACCCATTAGGCATCTGCTTCTTCAACCAGTCACCCTCGACCTTCTGCAGACTAGCATGAAGGACCTCACCGAGAACAGCCTGCACAGCTGCCTCGTCGCTGTCAGGCGGGGGGTTAGGCGCATGCAAAGCAGCATCAAGCCAGGAGATAAGACGGGTAGCATTCTCGCTCTGGCGCTGGACGCGGATCTCCAATGTGCGCAGACTGCGGACGCCGAGCCAGCCCTCCATGCTACCCATGACGGTTCCGATAAAGACACGGTCGGATTTGAGCTGTGCGGCCCAGTCGTCGCGGTTCGTAGCGAGGACACCGCACAACATATCACTGTGGCCGCCGAAGTACTTGGTACCTGAGTGCATGATAATATCTGCGCCGAACTGGAATGGCTCTTGCAGGCCTGGTGGGGCGAAGGTGCTGTCGACAATAAGGTATGCGCCGCGGGCGTGGGCTTTAGCGGCGTACGAGGCGATGTCAAAGGCGGTGCCTTGGGGGTTGACGGGTGTTTCGAGGAGGATTACGTCGCCTTCTTCGAGTTGGTCGGGTTGGCAGTCCAGGGGGAGCTTTTGGAGGCCTGTTAGGCGGGTGAAGAGGGCGATGACGCCGTGGCAGCCGTGGTAGCCATCGCCGACGGAGATGTGGCGGGGGTTGAGAAGGGTGAGAGCGCCGTGCAGGGCTGATAGGCCGGAGGAGTAGCTTATAACTTGGCCGTGTAGGAGGGAGGAGAGTATTGTTTCGAAGCGGGTAGAATTTGGTGAGGACATGCGCGAGTAGATGTGGGAGGTTGGATCAAAGTCGGACTACAATGGATACGTGTTAGGCGATGAGATATACAATAGTGAGTCAAGGTGCATACAGGGGTGGCATCAGCAGCCGGTACTAGCTGGGTTGGATCATTGGAATAACGAAATGTAGTAGAGAGATGCATAGGAGGAGCGACATCAGTAACGAGGTTCAAGGCATCATCGGCATGTAGGGAGCGCGTGGAAGCACCGATAGCTTCGCTAGAATGCGACATGATAAAAGATGCTATGTTTGGTTCTTGAATTGTATGCACAGAAAAAGGGCCCGTCAAGTAAAGTTATAATACACCGGGAAATGCGGGATCCGATCTCGGGAGAGGGGGAAGAGGGGGAAAGTCACGTAATGAGTCACGTGAATCACGGGGAGGAAGAGACGGAGAACAAATGGATTATCGGCGGATAGAGCCCATGCGGGATGGTTCTCGCACTGATCCAGGAAGAGCTGCCTTGAAGCTTGCGCGTGCTATCGAACAAAGTTAGCGAAAGAACAGTACAAGACAGAGATATAACTCACAAGCCTCTGTATCGAATGTAACGGTGAGATCGTCATGTTCGATGGGATACTCGGGCATGTCAAGGCACACAAAGTTGGAGGCTGGATTATCGTCCTTCTTGGGCAGTGCGAACTTGGCATCTACCATACGAATGCCGAACTTGCCGGACCGGCCAAAGGACTCCATGATATCAGTACCCTTAAGAACGAAGTTCATACATGTACCATGCTGGAAGTCTCCGAAGAAAGCAAGCATTTGAACTACTTTCTCTTGTCGAACGATCTGGACTCGTGCAAGCGCAGCTTCCCATTTCTTGTAAATGGGAACCATACTCCGTCGGCGGGAGATGGTGAATGATGTAGCCATACTAGTTTGGTCAGCAAGATCTTGACCAAAGGGCTAGATGGATATGATAGACTCACCCATCATAGAGCACCTGGAAGCCAGTAACAGCTGCCTCGAAGGCATGAAGATCTAGAATGGAATTAGCAAAGCAAACAAAATGTCAGAAGCAGACATACCCTGCATGGTGGGGAATTCTAGCCGGCGGATCATAGGCTTCGTCGCAATCTTCTCAAGGAAGCCGGTTAATTGCCCTGGCAGTTCAGGGCGAATGAGATTATCCGCAAGCGAAAGGGTCAGATCCTGCTGCGCGGAGCGAAACAAGCTCATGCTCGTCTTACTCTGGACGTCCAAGCCAATTTTCAATTCACCAGGTCCTGGACAAAATTAGCAAGCCATTTCGAGGCGAGAAGGGGATAGAGAAAACCCACCTAAGTTGATCCGATCCGTGACAGAGCCCCATTCAGTAGCGATAAAGGCCCTCAAATGTTCCGATAGAATCGTCGGACCATAACCATGTTCAACGTAAGCATGCTCCTGATCAATAACGGAAACGCTTCCGGCGGGGAACTGGAGGTGTTTGACCGCGGGCTGGCCGGTGAATGGATCTTCGGGCTGCTCAATGCAATAAGATTGGATGGCGAATTCGGGCGACTTGATCTCTCCGTCCCGTGGAATCATGCCGAGCAGCACGGAGTGGATTTTCGTACGCTCAGCCACCTCGTGGAAAGTCATCAACATGGATCTCGTACGGCCATCCTCGGTTACTTTGAGGAGAAGAGCGGGAGCACCGTCCTCTCCTCGCAAGAGACCGAACACTATTGGTGAGCCATTGCCTAAAGTATGGCGAATGCTGCTCAAAGTCTTGACCTTCGGGCTGGTCAGGACAGCTAGTCGGAATCCCCGATGCGCATTGCGAGTACCAGTGCCTTCTGTCACGGTGACAGATCGCTCGAACAAACGGACTCGACATCTTTCTGTGGGGTCTGGAGGGAACGCCTTTGGTGTGCCCGGATCCATATATTGGAAAACCTTGAGAGTATTCTCAAATACCACAGTCTCGCCTGCCTCCGGATGGAGACTGTTCTCCGACTTCTGCGTGTATTTGACAATATTCCAAAGTGTCTTAAAATCGTCTTCCTTAAACATGACGTCCAACTCGAATCCTCGAGGAAGCTTGACTCGCATAGAATGGGACCGGACTTGCCAATCCACATCCTCCCAAGTCGGTCCCTGCTTGCGATCGGACTGAATCAAAATGTTGACAAGTTGACTTTGGCTAGTGATTGCCGCAAATACATACCAATCCGCTCGTTCGCGGACGATGGTCAATGCGCAGGGCATGGCATATTGCTGTTGCCCATCATCATCACTGGAGCTGACGCAGACCTGCACGAACATGCTACCATAGCTGAAGTATCGACTTGTGTCACCCAAAGGCATCATATGGACCAAACTTGGAGTCCTGCCCGCGTTATCTACTAACATTGATCGCGTTGCCGCACCAGATAAGACTGCTGAGACGTCGGGCGCATAGAAAGGGTAACGCAGCCAGATACTAGTATCAAGCTGGCTGGGAGAGCCTTCGTCCGAGACAACCACGGAGAGGATGTTGTTTCGTTTGATGGACATAGACAGCGACCGGAGGTGATTGATGAGAGTGTGATGTATACTCAGAATATCAGCCAACTCCTTGTCGCCGGTGGTACTCGCAACGGCCAGTAGGGCGTCAACGCCCATGGCACCGTATCGAGAGAGTTCATGATGACTGGGCACAACGTTTTCATTTATCCATAATGCCTTTCCAAGATCGATCACAGCTTGCTTGGCGTAAGTAGGTGGCAGTGTCGAACGGGAACGGGCATATGCTTCCAATCGTGTCTTTCCTCGCAAAAACCACCAAACCGCAGCCCGAATCCATTCTGCTAGCGATGTTTCTATCAATGGCTTAACATCCTCTGCTGCGAGTTTAATAGAACTCTCATATTGTGCATTGTACTCTTTGAATTCAGAAAATGCGGTATCGCCAACTTGGTTGGCAATATTTCGAAGTGAGAACTTGGGGGGTTGGGCGCTGCGTGGCGGCTCTTGACCTTCGCGACTCGGAGATTTCTGGTTTGATGCAGGCAGGTCCTGGAGTGGCGGTTTGGCCAGTGTTGGTGAAACCTTGCCGGGGCTACCTGGGATGAGATTTGCGGGCATTCGTGGGTCAATGGGACTGAGATTCGATGGTGCACGTTGCGTTGAGGGGCTTGGGGGGTTCCGGATCGAATCGACAATAGACCTCATTGACAGAGAGATTGACGGCGCAAGCGGAAGTCCCGGCGTTTGGGCTATTTCGTGGACCGATTCAGGATTGTAAGCTTTGATGGGCGGTTCCGGGCTAGAAGGGCTGGGAGGGCTGGGGGGAGTTGAGAAACCATCGTCTTCGGCTCCAGGAGACAATGGATCTTCCTCATAGCGATGGTGCAATGCGCGACCTTCCTCCGCTTGCATCTTGTCGCGGACGCGTTGTGCGAACGAGCTCGCCTCGGTATCGCCACGGAACGACAATCGAGAGCTGCTGTCGCTCAAAGGCAATGTACTCAGGAAGTCTGCATCCTGAGGATTTTGCATCAGCGGGGGTTTCCAGTCCGATTTATCACGCTGAGGCGAATAAGCCGCCTGTCGGGATCGCCCATTGCCATCGCCCAGCGATGTGTCAAGTCGCAGATTTGGCAGATGCGATCGCGAAGGGTCTGAGGGGGACGCAGGGATATTGCCAGACTGGGTTCCCCTGCTGTCCGACCTTTCACGAGCCCGCGAAATCTCAATAGTTGGCGACTCCGTCTCATCGCCTCCCTCGCCAATCACTTCTGGGGTTTGCGGGCTGAAACCCACCCGCAGCCCTTTGCCTTTGCGCCCACCGGGCTTGGCAGAGGCAGGAGCGGGGGCGGGCACGCTAGGAGATAGGTCTGAGAAATTGAAAGGGACATAGTTCTCGTGAGGCAAAGCTGGCGCTGACGCTGGCGCTGGCGCCGGCACAGGCACTGGCTTGGAGGGAGGGTATCCAGAGATATCTTGTGAGGAAGGAAAGCGGTGGGCAACGTTTTGCGGAGGAATGTATCTTGCGTCGATAGGCGGGGGAGCTGGAGTTGATTCCGGGGTGCGAGAGCTCAGGAAGTCTGCGATTTCTTGATGTTGATGCGACGCAGCCTTATTCTTATCCTTGGAGAACAGTTTATTTTTCCAATGGGGTTTCTTCGCGGGTTTGGGCTGCTCCGCGGGCAGAAAGGAGAATGGGTCATCGGCAGACATGACAGGAAAGATTGCGAATAGACGCAATCCACATCGCACTCAAGCCAAGGATACTACCTAGATAGTGAAATATCCCCTCTCCCTGTGTGTTGAAGGATCGACAGGGGCTTTAGGCCTGATAAGAATTGAGATCGAATAGCGGGGAAGGGGAGAGGGGAGAGTAGGGGGGGGAATAAGAGGGAGAGGTGGAGGTGAAGTATGAAGAGTGAACCTTGGAAGTGCGAAGGATCAAGTGTTGGAGTGTCTCAAAATAGCCCCAAGTGTCCAAAGTGTCAAGTGTCAAGTGTCAAGAGGAAGGAGGGGTGGCTAATCGAAGCGCCCGTGCTCCAAAGACTATCAGGAATAAGATTAGCCCACAATTTCAAACAAAATAAAAAAGCAAGCACTTACTCCGTATAGAGATTAAATCGTTATTGTAGCTGGACCAGCAGCCTGAGACATGAGAGGTGGTAAGAACTAAAAGAAGCTGGAGGTACACACATCAGGGGGGAGAAGAAGAAGGCCCTGGAGATACTCCGCAGGTACCAATTGCCGCAGTGGAGTCGGGGCTTTTTCTGTGGATCTTGTATATAGCGAATATTAATAGGGACGTTAATAGGTTAATGGGGTATATTAATAGGCATATTAAGAGACATTTAATACCCTCTTTAATAAGGACATGTGCTACAATTCCATATCTATAAATCTATACCATCCCACATACCTCAAACACCTACAGAACGCCTTTCAAGCCACCAAAGGGCTATATATATCCAATCAGCATTGACAAGCCGCTCGTCTCATACTGAAACTCCACTAGGCCCAATCGGAGCGAGAGACCCACCGCTGACGAGTTTTGAGAGCTTTGAAGATCAAAGATATTCATAAAAATGACACCATTGTTACATACTTTGGATATATAATTTGATATTGCACATCCCTACCTACGATCGACTGCCTCTACAGTTTCTACCCCATAGTAAAAAGTCAAAATAATCCTAACCCATCTCACCTAATCTCATCTAGGGGCTTCTTAGCGCCCGAATTTTGAGACTAATCTAGGTAATGGGCTCTTGGATTAATTGGTTCACTTGGTAATATGCCCTAACCCTCGTGGCTTCTCTCCAGGTTGGAGGCTTGGCTGAAATGTCTCTTCCTCAATTTGGCATTTGATCAGATGCCCGTTTTGTCGGCTTCCCCGTTTCGTCCTCCCGTTACCGTAGAGTGGCATGCACGATCCCTACTTTCGAGTCTCTAATTCGTTACTCCGTACACTCATATGTAAATCCATGGATATGTATGATCTTAATGGCTGAAGATGTCTGCAAGCAACCTGCGAGTATAATGCCCTTTGCTTGTCACCGCTATATGTCTTGCTCTTATCAAGTAGGTTCTATGTTGTATATACCCTGGTTCCTTGACTAATCTTCAGAGTGGCTACCCTGACCGGGGATCATTCGACTGGAACCCACGCCATATGCAAGGAAAAAGAACAAAGAAATTTTATCAACAGCTGTTGTAGCTCGGACCACCCCGCATCTAAACAATTAATATCCGCTTGTGCCCAGCGTTCATACCTACATACACCCTGAAGTAGATCATCCCGGGGACCTCGGGAGATCACAGACCTGCTTACTCACTATGCAATCTTACCTAGGTAAAGTTAGTGGAGCTTCTAAGGTTGCAAGGACGGCCAATCTCATTTCTATGTACAAACTTATCAATTTAATGAACAGATGGTAGTGGCTTGGCATACTAGCCTTGGAAAATCCGGGGTCTATTATCTTGGGCTCTCAGAAGTGTGGGGGAGGACCTTGCAGCAAGCCACAGAAGGTGTCAAGTCCCAGCCCTATATGTTCCACATCGCACTGAGGTCTATATTAATGTATACAATTTTTGAAGAATAAGTTACTTGTACGCAAGCCTTGTGTACATAATCCCTGTTTGTTCAAGCCGATAATAAACATCTCCACTTGGCAAGATAGCAATATATTATCACGATAACATCACCAGAATCGAAAAAAAACCAAAAATTTTCAACTCTCAGATATTCGAGTACTACTGGCCAGTATATAATATTATAAAGCATGAGACATTACAACCGTATTGCAGAACTGTTAAGAACTATGGAAAAGGGGAGGAAAGGAAGACTGTAGGAGTCCAAATACGGTAGGAGATCATGTGACCGAGAGATATTCAAACACCAGAGTAATAATAGACCATTTGAAGCCCGTCTATACTAAGCCTAGAATAGAATATTAGTTACAATCTACTATAAGCTCTAATGGCAGTATTCACCGCCGTCATCTCGCAGTAGCGGTATAGAATCGCTGAGCTGTTACAGACAGACACATAGAGACAGTCAAATTTATATACTGCAAGGTCATGGGCAAGTACACAGCAGCCTGGCCAGACATAGAAACAAACAGCTACTAACACACACACACTAGCTAGGAACAATGTTAGATCCGGATTTAATGGTTGGACATGATGTTGATTTGTTCACAGCGGCAATGCCGAAGATTCAAGAGAAGAATGAAGGAATATGGTTTGGATTGGCACAGTTTGCTGAGGATACATATGTAGTTTGTTGAGGGATAGAGAGATAGTGAATGTACTGGATTAGGCGAGGATTTTGCGGCTTTCGGTTGACGGAGCTAGGTTGGTTCAGGCTTAGACTGGGTGAGAATGAAAGTGGAATGAGGAACTCAATGTGGCGTTAACCTTTTCGTTAGTATTCTCATGTCTCCTAGGAGGTGAAACATTGAGCTATGTTGTATAGCCCTACGGAGTACTCCGTACACGTCGGATATTCACGACCCAGTATGCTTCCAAATTTCTAGAAGTATTGTTTTAATCACCCCGAGATGGAGATATGACTACAGAGTCAACCGGGATTTGAACAATAAGTTTCCATACCGGGATCTATATACGAGCAAGGCCTGACGCCACCGTACTTGTCTCACCAGAAACCTCCATCGCTGAACCCCCCAGTGGAGTTGGACAGCTAACGCAGGGCGCTAGACCCTGAAAATTCTACCATTACATATCTGCACTATCGTTGTCTCTCAACTGATCCTGTCCGATTGGTTAGATGAAATATCGACCAGGCTCACCCCGGTTTAGGGCAATGTGGCACATCCCAACCTAGTCACCACCCGAGACAATATCACCACAGAGTAACCTTCCAATCTCATAGTTCCACGACATAGCCGACGCCAGGTCTTGCCGGAAACTGATCGGCACGAATAAAGCCTTGAGCCTCGGGCATGATGGGGTTCACCGATCAGTAAGTGAGACAATCCAGACAAAAATCCACCTTGAGCGACTATTTAGAGTCGACCGAGACATATGAGGAGGAATGATTCTAGAACACAACGATTATAAGATAAAGACATAAAGACATGTCTCCTCCCTCGTAATTGAAGACGATTTCTGTCCATGGATATGACAACAGGGCAGGAAACTGTTGTAGAGACGCAGGGTCTCGGTTATTTATTTCCGGGGGTTCGGCTCCAACCGACACAGTGGATATAATTATGGGATTGAAAATAGTCCTAAAAAAAAAAGAATTTTTATTGTATTTTATTTTGTATTTCATAATCTTACTCTTAAAAAGAAGAAAAGAGTACATAGATAGGTATAGCCGCCTATTATTAGCATAGTCGAGTAGTCAGCCGTCAAACTCCACCAGGGCCAGACTAAACAAGGCGCAGCAACAACAACAGACCAACCCACTGCGAAAATTGAGCCACTTTTTTCCACCTTGTGTTTTGTTCTTTGACTTCCGATCTTCCCCCGGGATATGCCGCGTTTGACGACTTAGCGGCCGACTTACAACGTACGCAGATTTACGTACCTCCAGGCACCGGCCTAACTTCGAAACCCCCAACTCCATCACGCGAGACTTCATCCTTGGTCCATTTCCTGCGGTAACATTTTTATCAATCTCAAGTGACTATCGACCCTGGGAAGGGGTGCGCGCGGTGGACGAGACCCCGACATCGACCCATTGTCAACACAACGTGGATTCGATCATCTACGCCGGGGGTTGACCTCCCCGAGGAGGTCATCCCGGATGCCTGAAACGGACATGTACGACGCGGCGGAGATCGAGCTGGAAAAATCCACATCCTCCTCTCGAAGGAAAGGAACCAGGGGGCCGCGACGCAGTGGATTACACATTTTGCAAGGTCGGCCATGGCGTGACACTTCGAAACGCCGAACACAACCATGGAGCCCTGTGTGGTGGATTGCACTGCTTTGCTTAGTGAGCTTTGCATCGCCAGCCGCTGCTGTTCTATTGGACTTTGAAAATTGTCTATCGGAAACCGTCCTCGAGTCCGACCCTCTACAACTTCAATTCGTTCCTACCAACGTGTCCGTCAAATTCAACCTTACCAACCCTCTACACCCGCTCGCTATCACGGTTTATGGCAATGTGTCGGGAACTGTGTCTCGAACTGCAAATTACCCGGCACTGGATTCCCCCGTCTGGACAAATCCCAATTGGACCGATGGGAAGATTGAGGATGTGAGCAGTACCAACAACAAGTACAGCACGCTGATGACGGATCTCAACGTGCTCAGCTTCACGCCCTTCCACAATGCCTCTCGTTTCCGTGACGCGGTAACGCAAGGCACCCTCCCGTTGGGTCCAGTCTTCAATTACAACCTGTAAGCTGTTCCCGGAACAAAAAGTCTGTGCTTTCTAACTGATCCCTTTCTTTTATGCAGGAGTGATTTGAACACATTACGAGCGTTCTCTGTTCAACATGATATGCTTTCAACTTACCGTTTCGGAACCATCACACCGTTATTGACGATTCGCTCTGGAGATGCATCCGCGGTTCAGCTCGCGTGTATTTCAGTGAGCGCCACGCCGGACTTCGGGACAGCCCTCAAAAATGCCATCGCCTATGTGCCTCTTGTAATTTTGATACTCGTGGGGATTGCGACCATCGCTGCCGCCATGTATAGCCCTTGGGGCACAACTGATCTGTTTCGGTGGACAAGCAACTACGGCCGAGATGAGGACGTTCTCCGGCTTGTCACTCCTGGATTTGCAGATTGCCTGCAATACCTTCAATTCGTGGTCTTGACGGGCTCGCTTTCTTTGGATTACCCAGGCTTCTTCCAGCCTGCAGTGAGCCAGGGAGCATGGTCGACTCTCATGTTCAATCAGAGTTTCGTGAGCACTGATATGGGCCGCGATCCCGTTGTCGATGGTGTATATGCCATCAATGGAACTTATGGCCTCGACCGATTGAACCACCTGGTTGGCATGGCCTCGTCCCAGGATATCTGGCCCGGTATGATGATATGGGTGCTGGTAATCCTGGCTTGTGTGACGGTGCTATTCCAGATCGCATTCGCGCTTCGATGGTTGTATCGTGAGTTGGCAAACAACACCGATCAGGATCTGCGTGCTAGAAACATGCCGTTTACCATGGGCAATCTCATTCGCATTGTCTTCAATTTCCTTCTCTTGCCAATCGTTTCCCTTTCCTTCTTCCAACTGGTTCTCGCTCGTCAATCGCCCGCTTATTGTGTTGCTTTGGCAGCCGTTGTGCTTGTTATTCTCGCTTGCTTCTCCATCTGGGTTATCCGAGTGATTCTTACCACCCGACCCAAGTCTCACCTTTTCGATGATCTGCCTACAGTGTTATTGTATGGGCCGCTATATAATACATACTGTGACGATGCAGCAGCCTTCGGCATCGTCCCGATTGTCTTGAACGTCGCTCGCGGGATAGCCATTGGTGCTTTGCAGCCATCTGGCATCGCCCAGGTGGTAATGCTAGCCATTTGCGAAGTTGTCTCCGTACTAACCCTGCTGGCTTTCCGACCTTTCTCAGGACCGACTCACATGAACCTGTACCACTGCCTCTTCTCTATCGTGCGTTTCTTGACAGTTATCTTGAGCGTCATCTTTGTGCCGTCATTGACAGTTTCGGATGTGGCACGAGGATGGATCGGATATTTGATCCTTGTGCTACACGCCATGGTTCTCATCTTCGGGTTCTTCCTTAACGCGATGCAAACATTGATCGAGGTTCTGGCAAGACTGGCTGGTGCGGGCGGTGCCACTCGTGGTGGCTTGACCAAGGTACTTGGTATGCGCCAGCTCTCTAGGCGCACTCCGCGGCGTGATCTTACTCGGCAGAGTATGGGCTCGGAGGCTGCTATGCTCGGCCATGGTGACGACCGTATGTCTTCTCAGTTTGATGGATCGCGTCCACGCAGTCTGTCTGGGAGCTCTGGTCTTCTTCTGAACCGTGCCACTGCTAGTGATGGCAGAGCCAGCGCTGTCTATGATTATCCCAGTTCGCAAGGGGGCACGCACAGTCGTGCCCCCAGTGGAGGATTTCCCACACCTACCTCAACTGCCTACCAAGGAGCCGGCTTCCCTAGCTCGCCTAGCAGTGGTACGATGATGGGAACAAACCCTCGTGATCCCTATTATCGACCACCCCGCCCCGGGAAAAGAACTCCCCCGGGAAGTGCTGCTCTCGAGAAAGGGAAGAGCCCATCAAGGGGCTTCTTGAAATCAAAATCAAGCCGCCGAGCAGTCAATACCGAAGACGACCTGGCAGATGGTACCATGTCTGGGCGGGCCACACCTGTTCCAGCATATCTAGCAGCACCCAAGGATGATATGGAGCTTGATACCCCACGCAAGCCAAAGGATTATGCTGTTCGCGAAGTTGATTTCTACTACGGTGTCCGAGGCCCACCGCTATCCCATAGCGGCACCCGAAAGTTGAAAACTGGCCCAGCCGACCCCACAGGCCCAGTCTCGTCTGCGACGGGCTGGTTCCGAGGCTTGCTCCAAGGGAAGACCAAGGACAACGCCAAAGGATTTGAGGTGGTCCGAAGTGCTCGTGCGCCTCCTCCGGGATTATTCCCGCGAGGAGGCGACTATAATGATCATTATCAGGATGATACAGGCACGCCATCCGCCAGCCATTCTCGGAATGTGTCTACTAGCAATGTTCCTTATCAGGATTCAGATAATGACCACGACCCCGAGCGATCAAGTGAGACACGCCCACCAGTGCTGCCACCACTTAATACGTCAGTTGGCGGTGGCATCGAGTTGCCCAGTCGAACGGGTTCTCGCCACACACAGGCGCCTAGTGAACAAGACGCGGGTGCAACTACAGCTGGCCTTCCAGTTGTGACCGAGACCCTGTCGCACAATTCTGGGGTAGGCCAGCACTCTGAGCACTCTGAGCACCTTCTCCAGCCAGAAGGCTCCACCACCGCGCGCCTGCCCTTCAGCGGGAGTAGCTCGCCATCTCGTGATCGAGGTCTGTCTATGACCTCAACTTCAAGGTCAAGGTCAAACGCCTCGAGCGGCCCTCGATCGGAACGGCCTTCGAGTATGGGCTATGTACCTCAACATCGCGCACACGACCACATCCACGAGGCGAGCCCCGATGAACCATCGTTTACAGGCAGCTCAGCAGAACTTGTCGACGAAGCTGCGCTGAGCGGACACGAACGCTAGAAATATGACAAAAGGCAGCCAGATGTATTCTGAACAAGTATATTCCTCTTCTTCGATATCTACCTCTATCTCTCTCTCTGCTCCTATCATGGATCTGCCCCCACTTATTTCCCATTCACCTCTATCGATATCGTCACCACGTCTTCTCCCCGAAATACTGGCGAATTGATGCCACCATCACGAATTTCCTTACTTTCTGTCCGTCCATCTCTTGCTTTGTTTGCCGACATAAAATTGCTGCGACGGCGTTTTATCTCTGATCCCGAGGTACACCTAATGGGGAGTGAGCGCATTGGCTTCTTTGTTATCTTTCTGGCTGTCGCTAAATCTAGGCCACATGCTGTTTTATTTTTGGAGGCTTTGCTTCTTTCTGTACCTGTGCCTTTTCGCTCTTCTTGTATCAATCTTCGGACACACTAGTACCGAGATCATAATTAATGAGGGTTGTTCATTAGTGCTCTTGCTCTTTTTTAGCGGTGACATTAAGGCCTAGATATGGCTTAAAAGATGGATTAAAGTAATAATTCGCCCATAGATAAGCAATATATGTATCTTGTTTGAATTATGAGACCCAGGTCAGAACATGGAGCGAGCAACAACAAGAAACAACCGAGGCCGATGATGTGCGGGCAGATCGGGCCGATACTGTCAATCGCCACCGCCTCACCGCCCCACGATAACAACCGTATCTGGGCCAAACATGCAATGCTCTGCCCCATTTCCTCTCTTTTCGCTGTGAGTCAAGTATTACTCTGCTGGTTTTCTTCTGTTCATCGTTTTCATATGCTGCTGGCATCGCTACTGCGTTGCTGGCACCTGAGAGTATAGTCACGCGACTCTCAGCCTCATCCATCTCCTAAATCCGATCCAATCAGCCTTGGCTCCATGATAAGCATCATCCTGTCTCTCCTTGATGCGATCTTCGGCAAAAAGCGTCAACGTCATTGAGGCTGAGCCAAAGATTGCACGAAAGGATTATCCATCCTCCACATCTATATTTTCGACTTCCCCGCCGTCCATTTCCCTCGCCACCGCCACCTAGTTCATGAAGACTGTCACCTCAACGGCCGAGATCGATCTCGTTGCCTGTGTTGAACAGAATCCCACGGAGGGTCCATATCATTCGACCCAGCAATAATAATGCCTGGATCAAGCACGGCGTCGTCCAGCCCGATTCCGTCCACCCCCCGCCGAGGATGCGGGCAGGTACGAGGCCGGTCGAAAGACCAGAGGGACATGGCACAGTCCAAGCTGGGAGCTACAGCGGCTATGAAGGAGGCAGCTCCAGGGCGAGAGTCTTTCCCATTCGCGCCGGGTCAGAGCGTAAGAGACGATTGACCAGTACCGGCGAGGATGCGAGGTTGCAATGGGGACGATCTGGAGGCACGGCTGGACCGGCCCGAGACAATGGGGGATCCTCCAGGAGTATCTTGCCGCATAGATCTGTTTCGATGGTACTGCCTTCGTCCCGCACTAGAAGTTCCATTTCCGCAGCATCTGGCTCGTCATTTGCAACAGCAATTGATATCTCTTCCTCTCCACCGGGGACGCCTCGTTCTTCTACTTCTGGCGAACAAGTGCCGGGTCTTTCTCGACAGGAGAATTCAACACCCTGGATTAATCAACCTCATTCCATTTCATCTGTTCACAATGATCTACATCCACCATTTACGGATATGGCTCTCCCGAGATGGCAGGCAGATTCAGATGTGTCAGAATGTCCGATTTGTGGGATAGTCTTCAACTTCTGGCACAGAAAGCACCACTGCCGAAAGTGTGGGAGAGTTGTATGTGCATCATGTTCCCCACATCGGATCACAATTCCCAGACAGTATATTGTCCGCCCTCCTGAGTTTGTTGACCTCCTTCCCGATTCCCCGCCAATGCCTTCCCATCCTCCACCGATCGTCGATCTCACAGGCGATGAACCTGTTCTATCATCATCAACATCAGCACCAACAACAGCAGTAACAACAGAAACAACAGAATCAACGACACTCAATCCTGCTCTTGGTGGAGGCGAAGAAGTACGACTTTGCAATCCATGTGTGCCAGATCCAAATCCGAATCCGCTTGGTTACAGTACTGTGCGGGCACATGGCCACCGATCCACTCATTCTCTTTCATCCACTATGGCCAACGCATATCATGCCTCATCGGTTAGTTTTCCCCTATCATTTTGCCTAATAAAATATGGACTGACATGAAAACGCGCAGGGTCCGAGCCAGATTCCCGAAGCTCGTCACGAGCGACGAACCGTAGGTGCAAATGACCGCCCACAGTTCTTAAATGAACTGAACTCGCAACCCCGCCGTGTTCCCTCGGCCACCGGCATAGCCCGACCACGTCGTTCCTTTTCCAGCCGCGAGGGTAACCCGCCCCGTGGACCTGCACCGGATGAGGGTGATTTCTGCCCCGTATGCAGACGCCAATTTCTTCCACTGAGTCCCGAGCAACCTCTCGAGGCACGCCAAGCCCACACCCGGGCGTGCATCGAGGCTTATTTGAGACCGACCCCCCGCCACGGACATCATCCGCGCAACAGAGTCCTCCGCTGCCACATCTTCCGTCGGCAGCCCGCATGCTTCCGTTTGTGGCCACGGAGAAGGACTGCCTCGGTGAGGATAGCCAGGTAGCGGAGTGCACGATCTGTATGGAAGACTACGAGGTTGGGCAGAATCTGGCCCGCCTTGAGTGCCTGTGCAAGTTCCACAAGCACTGCATTGTTGATTGGTTTGAGAGGAAGATGGAGTGCCCTGTCCACAAGCTTTCCTAAGAAGGTGCACATCTATCTAGCGTGAATTTCAACAAATCTTTTTGCTAGCTTATCTTTTTGCTTTTTTGCTTTTTAGTTTATGGCGTCTGGGACTTTTGTTTCTGATATCCCGTTCAGCGTATGGGTCTCAATTGGATCTAATGATCAATGAATCTAATATAATCCCAATTTAAAATCCAATCAGATGTAGATGCAGATGCCGAGGTGTATATAGTCTTCAAGGCTGGTTGGGCTCTGTCAGTCACGTGGCCCCTAAGATATTAGTTGGAACTCAAAAACCAAAAGCACTTCACTTCACTTTTGGCCCCAGAGTGACAAGCGAGTCAAACAGGACTAAGTGGTATTATAAGAGAAAGGTAAGCCTTATTTTATGTATTCCCCTTGCTTGACAGAACCCACTCCACTGTGGCATGTTGATCCTCCACATCGGTGGTCGGTGTTTGCGATCACCGTTCTCCGTGCGTCTCTTCCGTCGGAAAGCTACAGCTGTCGGCGATAACGACACCGAGATAATGGCAAACCCAATAATTACCTCTACCAATGGGGAATTGGAATTGGCGCTAATGTGTACCTATGTAACAGTGATCTGGTCCCCGAACCGGTATTATACGAATAACCCCGCACTGCATGGAAATCGATCCGCTGCTGCAACACGCGCGAGACGGGGACCCTCAACGGCCTTTTTACACGCCGACCCGACCGATAATGAGCTCAGGCCCAGAATACCCGGAGCCCCCATCCCACGCACCCATCAACCCCTATCAAAGCCGGGATACACATGGTGATGGACACGGGGACACACACCCGTCGTTCGGGATGGGCCCCGACAGCAATCAATCCCCAGAGCCGCACGACGCACTAGGCGACACCAAACGGTCGCGGGCATGCGAGCCATGCCGACAGCTCAAAGTGCGCTGCGACCCAGATCCGGCACACCCGGAAGGGTCATGCAAGCGGTGCGCGAAAGCGCGGCGGACGTGTGTTGTGACTGCGCCGACGCGCAAGCGGCAGAAAAAGACGGACAGTCGGGTAGCAGAGTTAGAGCGAAAGATCGATGCTCTGACGGCGACGCTGCAGGCGTCACATTCGCCTAGTGCGCTGTTATCTGGTAGGGCGGGACAGCAAGCATCGCCGCCTGGGCAGCGGGATGAGCAGCTGGCTGGTCGGAGGTGGATGGGTGGGGAGTCGATGATGGCTGGGAGCAAGCGGCAGCATACCGGCGAAATCAAGGATTCGTCTGTTGGGTTGCTGGCGCCGCGATATTCCCGACCGGGTAGTCCGTCTGCTGAACAGATTCCTAGCCATTCCTCGAAGCATTGGCGCAGACCTGTTGGTGGTGATTCTGCGCCGCCGCCGCCGCCGAGACCCGAGGCTGGGAATGAGTTTGCTGATATGATCGACCGGGGGATTATTGATTACAAGACTGCCAGCGCGGCGTTTGAGCGGTATATCCATCAGATGGCGCCAGAGCTGCCTTTTGTTGTTTTCCCGCCGGGGACTACGATGGGCGAGGTTCGGCGCAATAAACCTTATTTGTTCCTTGCGATCATCGCCGTCGCCGTTGCCGTCTTTAATTCCGACGCACAGCCGATCCTCGTGAATGAGACATATCGTCTGATCGCCGAGCATGTTATTGTCAAAGGCCAAAAGTCGCTTGAGCTGGTTCAGACTCTAATGGTCTGTTCTATTTGGTATCTGCCACCAGATAACTTCGACGAGATCAAGTTCTATACTTTGACCCATTTGGCTGCGGTCATGGCAATGGAACTTGGATTGAACCGTCGCATTTTCGATAATAGACGGAGCTTCAACATGATCCGCGAACTGATCATTAAAAAGCCGACGGGTCCAACATTTGATCCAGATGGACCGGAGGCAAGGAGGACTTGGGTTGGCTGTTATTACTTATCTGTCCAGTGAGTTTCAATCCGGTTTGCTCTGGTATGAGAATCCGCTGCTAACTTTCGATAGCATGGCGGCGGCTTTGAGGAGAGTAAACTTGATCACCTGGCAGCCGTACATGGACGAATGCCTTGAAATTCTAGAAACCCACCCGGATGCCCTACCCTCCGACCGGAAGTTGAAATGGTGGGTAAAGCTGGGATTGATCATGGAGGATGCCGGACATCACTTTTCTGAGGAGGATCCTCTATCCATTACCACCTTCGCCGACAGTAAGGTGTGGTATAATATAAAAGTGTTTGAGGACCGATTGGCACAGTGGAGAAAAGACGTCCCGCGGGATATTTACACTGGTAAGCGCTGGTCTTGAGAATAGTCTTGAATCTTCTGCTGACTTTCTCCTAGAGCCAATGATTCACACAGAACATGTCTTGAATCTCTTCGTGCATGGATCTGCAATGTGTGTGGACTACAACACTGGCAACAACTCTCCATCTCAGAATGAGTTGCAGAACTCATCAGCTGCGGCGGCCGTTGGTGCGTTGACCACGGCTATCCGCTGCATTCACGAGAGTCTGGATATCATTTGCGCCATTGAGATTGACCGACTTATATCCTTGCCTACAATGTCATTAGGGAGGACATCGTATCCCGTGGTCAGTTTGATAAAAATATACTCACTGTTCATGTCACCGGAAAGTGGAATCAGCAAGATTCTTGACGTGCAGAGTCTCAAACTTGATTACTATCTGGACAAGGTCATCGCACATTACCGCGCCGCCGCCGCGCGTGATGGTGGCCGTGCAGCAGCGAAATTTGGAAACATAATGGTCCTGTTGCGCAATTGGTTTATCAAAAAGCGTGACCAGGGAGATCATGGCCGGGAATTGAAGGAGGTCTTTGCGAATGATCAGAAACCCTCCGATCGCCGGCAGGCACATCGGAGCCATGATACCCCAACCGCGTCATCTGCCACTCCCAGAACGCAGATGGCACCGGGCATGACACCCCTCCATTTCCTCAGTGAAGTAGCGATGGGCGACCCAGCGCACCGAGCGAACAATCCCAACCCCCAACGCTCAATAGCCGGACAGTCTTATTCCTCAAACCACAGTCCAAGCTCAACAGTGAACCCAATGACAACGCCAGGCTCATCCAGTTTCGGGCCCGACCCACCCCAAACCAGCTGGTCATCTGGCGCATCATACCCAACCACTCTTCCGACCCCAGACTCGAACCAGATCGAGACAAGGGGTTACTACCAACCCTACTCATCCGAAATCACACAGAACTACCCAGATCTACCGTCGAGTGCGCAGACTCAAGGATACCCGGACATGTCCACCGTGGCTGGGATGCAGCTTGCTCCTCCGATGGGAATGGCACCTGAGGTAGGCATCGACCCGAATTTCAGTGATCCTTGGTATACGTTAGGGAATATGATGGATGAGGGACTGTCTACATTCCCGCTTTCTTTTGATCTGAATTTCGGATTGTTTTAGTCTGGCCTGTTGTGGTTTGGGGTGGTGTTCTGTATTCTCTATTGCTCAAATATACCCGTTGCTGTTTCGAATGTACATCAATTTCACTTACCATCTACCAAAATGTAGTATCGAAAAATAGAGCACTCGGGAGGGAGCTATGCCTTTTTACATTCAGCACTCTCATACCTAGTAGAGTCTGGGTACTAACCCTAGGTAGGATTAGTGGCCAGTTGACTTCATCTGGGCAATATCAGGCTCGTCATTGATTATCTCAAGCGCTGTTCGGTTTCCAGTGGGTCAGGACAATAACCAATGCATCTTGACAAGCAGATATTTGATATATGTTGTATCATCTTTGATCATCGTTGACTTTCCCCCCCCCCCGCATTTCCGGGGATTCTTTCCTTATTTCGAGATATTTCGAGATATTTCGAGAGGGGAAATTTTCCCCGTCCCCGCATGGGCAACTGATCTGGCCCACCCCACAAGATACTTGGGAAGGATTGAATCATTGGATGCTTGGATCTACCCTTTGAAGCTTGAGGGTGTCGATATGGGGAACTAGAGGAAGATGTCATGCCTTTCGGGTGGATTTGCTCCCAATCCACAAGGCAAGAGATGGAGGGTACGAAGACACATGGTAGAATGATATTTAAACCAGCACCATCCTGCAGTATCAACACCCCAAGCATTCCCACTTTTTCAAATCCCTTTCGCTCGAGACGAACCAATTCGGACAAGAACCTGTTGCTTCTAGAAGTGGCATTCCACTGCTTTGCACAGTTTATAATTCCAGTCCGACCTCCTATTATCTTCCACACAACATGATTACCGTATTGTCAGCCATCTCAGCTGCGCCCTATGCAGTTGGGCTAGGCTTGTTCCTTTTTGCTTATTTCCTCGTGCTCCCTTATGTTGAATATCTTCGGGACCCAAAAGGTATTTCCCCAAGAGACTAGTTTAATGCTTTGGTTGGACTTATCAGGGCAACTGCTGACTTTATTCAGGCCTGAGGAGATACCCAAATCTCACACCTTTCTCCGGATTTTCAGCAGTTCCATTCATGATCATGGCTTCGCGGGGCTTCCGGTCGATGGAATTGATTGAGTTGCACAAGAAGAACCCCGTCATTCGAACAGGACCGAATCAGCTGTCGTATGGCGATGTCAAGGCCATTAAGGACATCTATGGCCACAACACCAAGTGTATCAAGGACACCTCTTACGTGATCACCTCTGGAACCCACTACAATCTGGCAGATGTTGTGGATAAGCCCGACCATGCCCGAAAGCGCAAGAACCTCTCTGCCGCATATGCCCTCAAGAACCTGGAGACGTGGGAACACAAAGTGACCGACAAGGTCCAAAGAATGTTCAAGCATTTTGACCAAGTCTGCACCATGCCCGCCTCTGCGGAGGTGTCGTCTGGGAAAATCGCACCGGACCAGAAAGACCTCACGCTTGACCTCCGAGCCTGGACCAACTTCTTCACCCTCGATGCAATCGCCGACATAGGTCTCTCGGAGAAGTTAGGCTTCCTGGATTCGGGTACTGATGTCTGCATTGCCGAAAGGAAAGATGGCTCTACCTATGAGACCAACTTGCGCGAAGCCCTCTACCCCACTGCTCGAAAGCAATCCCTCATCGTCTGGAACTATGAGTGGTATCCAGTTGTCAACAAGCTAGTCAACATTATCCCATTCTTTGGTCGAATGCAAACCTCGGCCGACAACTGGGAAAACATCATGTGGCGGCGTGGCAGTGAAAGACTGCGACGTTATGAAGCCGGCGAGAAGCTCGAGGATTTCTTCCAGGCTCTCATGGAAGACAAGAATGGAAATGCCAAGAACCTCGAATGGGGCGAGGTCGTTGCCGAGTGCAACATCATGATGAACGCCGGCAGTGTGACTACGGCTGTTGCCATCGCCAACGTGATGTACCAGCTACTCCGCAACCCTCGAACCTTAGCCAAGCTGCGAGAGGAGCTTGACGCGATTCTAGACGAAGACGAGGTTGTGGCCGATTACGACAAAGTCAAGCATCTACCTTACCTCCGAGCATGCTTGGATGAATCCCTACGAATCTTCCCGCCTACTTCACACGGTCTTCCGCGCGAAACTCCCGCCGAAGGCACGAATATTCTCGGGGACTGGGTTGCTGGTAACACCACCGTGAGCATGTCTGCTCTCGTCGCACACCGTGACGAGAGTGTGTTCCCCAATGCGGACCAGTATATTCCCGAGAGGTGGCTTGGAGAAGAAGGGAAGGCGTTGCAGCCGTATTTGATTGCCTTCTCTGCTGGTGCTAGGTCCTGTATTGGTCGCAATATCTCGTACCTGGAGCAGACTAAGGCTGTTGCTTCTATGGTGCACCGGTATGAGTTTGCTCTGGCTCATCCTGGTTGGGAATTGAAGCGGTTGGAGACGATGAATTTGATTTTGGGTGATATGCCGGTGAAAATTTGGCGTCGTGATTTGGGTGCTGAGGCTTAGAGATATCATGTTGACAACGATTTTCTATTCTTAATTATATTTTTTTACTAGATGACTTTGATGAATACATTTCCGATATGAAGAGCTGTACAACATTGAACTGTATTGCCCTTTTTTAAACTGTTGAGTTTCGAATTTCACTTAAGTAGGATGTCTACATATGTAATTATCATGGACAAGAATAGTTGGCGGCTTATGCGGCCTTGGGATGTATTTTTTGGTAGTCTTGAAAGGTGGGCGGGAAGCATTCCTAATGCTCGAGGAAAGCCACGACGTCTTTGTTTAGGAAAAGACCCCTGAAGCCCCCTCAAAATTGAGATCTGCAACGGCAAGTCTTCGTGCACCGTGCTTCACGAGAGAGAGCGCAGTTGCCTTTGTAATTCCTGTGTCTTGATCCAGCGGGCTAGATAGGGGTGTTGGGCGGCCAGGTCCGAAGTATCACAGAAGTTTTATCCTCGTATTGAGGGTGACTTTTCACATCATCCAAGTCAAAATCCCACGCCTTTGCCACCCGACTATCTGGCCGATATGGGTGAAAACATTCCCATTTCAAGATAATCTGATCGGCCTTGTCCTTGTTCTGGAGAGAGAAGGTAAACTGGCGATGGCTATCCACCTCAATTTTCACGTTTTTTAAACGGGGCATGCGCTGGGCCGCATAGCCGAGCGATATGAGAAGTCGATGGAAATGTTCTTCAGTCGGTAATTCCGGCCAGCCCCATCCCGCTTCAACATCGCATATCACGTCTTCCCAATTTTCAATCTCGTCGATTTCGCTTTGGTCTTCTGGTGTGTTATGATAAGTTGGTTCTCCTGTTTGATTTTTTTGTTATTAGACGTCTTGGATATACTTCAACTTTTTCTTTGGTGCTTTCTTATTCTAGGAGGGACCGATTTCTTACCTGAAGGAAGCCAAGGTGGTATACCCTCAAGTTCTAATACCTCTAGGTAGGGCCAGTTCAACTGCAAAGAACCCGGTTTAGGCTGACCTTTTTCATCTAAAGGACACAAAAAGTCATATGCGATAGTAGTGTTCACTAACTTCAGTTGCTGAAGGTGAATGCTAAGATCTCGTAAATTAGAGCTCACACTATCAACACCAGAAGGGATGACATTAAGTGGGGACATGGCCGGTTTCCACGGGGCATCATCATGTCCTTGATAGAGTAGCACTCTTAGGCTCTTCGGAATAGAACCGACTAAAGAAGACAACGCTATATTCCTAGGGTTAATGAAAATTTATAACAAAAAGGGTATAGCTCACCTTCGCGACGTGCCTGTATATACTCTAGGTGGTCTGGACGGACAAACTCCTCAAGATCTAGCTCCAATTCAACGATTTGGGTACAACGTTGAATTATAGTCCGTATTGCACCAGTCCAGATTTGATTACGGTTTAGGAAAGAGAGCTTCTCAATACACCGAAGAAATGGTAGATCCGACATATCCTTGAGGAACCGCGCTCTGTATGGGGGAATTGATAATATACGCCCATCTCGATAATCCCAACGATAGTCAGCGGCGATTTCTGAGTGCTGAGTATGTGGTTCCGGTGCAAGACCTTGCCGACGACCTCGAATAGCCAGATTTAATCTCAGACGGGAATTTTGATCCCATGATTGAAGCTCTTGGAAAAGGCTAACCATAGCTGTCTGAAAAGCTAGATCGTTATCCTTTCGGATAGGGTTATCTGTACTATAATTTTCAGGACTCTTCCGGTGTTTGCGTGCGATCCAGTCTAAGACTTCGTAGGGGACGAGGATATTGTATTCAAGATTTCGGATATAGGTTTTCCGTATAGCATGATCACCGGATATGAGCTTTTGGAAATTTTGGAGAGAAATTCCACGTTGCCCCTCTTCTTTGTGTTCATCGTCACTATAGACAGCTAGGTTGGAGTAGATGAGGGGTTCAAAAGCCGCCTGCCATGAGCGACAAACACAAGTGCATGGAACTAGAGAATTTCCATCATTTTGCTTTTGCAGAAGAGTTGCGATCTGGAATAACAGTTCCGGGGGTAGTGTTGCCGTCATTATGCTGGTGAGGTATCTCAACGGAACATAAACCTGCGGAGCCAATTGGATTCTCTGGGAGCTACAGATAGGTAGCAAAAGGCAGAGAAAACTGCATGAATTGAGAACTCTGTAAAAAAAAAAAAAAAAAAAAAAACCGCCGAAGAGAGAGAGGGGGAGAAAGAGGAAGGGAGTGAGGCTAAGGCCAAACTAACTATCTGAACCTGTTTTTGGGGTCACCTGACCCCCCAATAGGTCCAGTCCACCGGGATATGAACTGAATTGATGTCGGAATCGAGTGGAGAAAAGAAAAAGGAAAAAGAAGGAAGTTCCAATCAAAAGAACGTGCTTATTGAACGCTTGGCGTTATAGTTACATAGTAGAATATATGTTGTAGTGAAACCGGCTTAAAATGTGCAAAACGACTTGTGTATAACCTTTGACATAACTGTGGAATGACCATTATTTGTACACAACAAGAAACAAGAAGTACTATCTACAGACAATTCTTTCAATATTTCTTCTCACTTCAACCTTGAGTGATGAAACAGGATATAATCCCCGCCCCCAGCTTGGGGCAAACCCCCGGGCAACATTTCCACTTCGGGATATTCTTATTTGGGCTATGATGTTCACCAATGCAGACCATTTAGACCATTTAGACCCCGCAATTTATATGCTTTCATGTTAGATAGATTACCCCGCGATATTCGCCCCAATCCCCCGCAATTTTGAGGCGTTATCATCCCAAAAAAGGTATTCTCGTCATCTGCTGGATTACCCCTTATTGGCTCTGGCCCATCCACGTGGATACCCCCGATGACCAGTTGCGGCGAATATAGCCCGATTCATTCAAAATATGTGATCTTCATCTAGATCCAATATGTGCATTTTTGTCCGTGTTCCATGTTCCACATTGAGGATAAGATATCTTTAAGTGGACATTATCATTGCCACTCAATACAAACTAAGTAGTCGAGGGTTTTAAAACGGAAACCTATTTCAAGGTCATGGTTCCCCGAGTCTACTCTAGTTGACTTGTTGCTTAGTACATCTACTATAAAGCCAGGTTTCCCTTTATGCATCAATTGTGATACTCTTATACTTGTATTTTGGACGAATTGATACCCCCAATAACAACAAGCCTGTCCGTTTCAACCATGGCGACCTTCCCACTCAATATCCCACCGGAGCTCTTGCAAGAGCTCTCAAAATACACCACACCAACAGGATTTGCCGATTATGCCGCCCTAGCCCTACTAGGTGGAATTGGAGCCACATACCTTTCAAAAGGACGGCTATGGGACAGACCAGACCCATTGCACCATCTCTGGTTCGAACAACCTCAGCTAAAGAATGGTGGCCAAGCTGGCTCAGCCAACAAGGAGACACGCAACATCGCACAGAAATTGGAAGAGGCAGGCAAGAATATCGTGGTATTCTGGGGATCTCAGTCCGGCACCGCAGAGGGTTTCGCCCACCGTCTTGCCAGGGAGATCTCCATCCGCTGGGGTCAGGAAACCATGACTGCCGACCTCTCGGATTATGACCCGATCACAATCAGTGAAATCCCCAACGCCAAGTTGGCTATTTTTGTTGTTTCCACATACGGCGAAGGAGACCCCAGCGACAATACAGCGGAATTTTGGAGCTGGATCTCCAAAGCCAGCGAGGTCTCGCTATCCAGCTTGCGATATGCTGCCTTCGGTTTGGGAAACACCAACTACAAGTTCTACAACCGGGTTGTCGATGTTGTAGTTGAAGGTCTGAATAAGTTCGGCGCTCAGGCTCTTATGCCTGTTGGAAAGGCAAATGATGCAGAGGGGGCAACCGAGGAAGACTTCATGTCATGGAAAGAGGATCTTTTCACGATCTTCAAAGATAAGTTGGGGTTCCAAGAGGCCGAAGCCAAATATATCCCAAACATAAAGGTCGAGGAAGATGAATCTCTTGAGCCTATCGATCTGCATCATGGCGAGCCTAACAACCGCGTTGAAGCCCCAAAGGCAGCGGCTCAATCCTCCGCCGTCCGCACTTTGAGCATTTCAGATTCTAGGGAGCTCTTCACTTCGTCTGACCGCCACTGTCTTCACATGGACATAGACCTGACCAGCCAGCCAGAGCTAGGCTACAAGACTGGAGACCACCTTGCTGTTTGGCCCGGAAACCCGGATGTTGAAGTTGAACGCCTACTCGATGTCCTCGGAATCTCCTCACGCCGCGATATTCCACTTAGTATCACGGCCCTCGACCCAGCAACCAAAATCACGATCCCAACCCCGACCAGCTCCATTGCCATTTTCCGTTACTACCTCGAGATCTGTGCACCCGTCAACCGCGACACCGTTGGCGACCTAGCACAATTCGCACCCACCCCGGAAGCAAAGGCGTATCTTCTCGGGCTTGGCCAAGACAAGGATGCATACGCGAGATTTATCGGTCACACACATATCAACCTCGGCCGACTGTTGCAACTGGCATGTCCCGACAGGCCATGGGATAATCTGCCACTCTCATACCTTGTCGAAACACTACCTCACATCCGACCCCGGTTCTATTCCATCTCATCCAGCAGCGTGGTCTCACCTCGCAAACCTTCCATCACAGCGATTGTATCAACTACTCCTCTCCCGGAAAACCCCAACGAGCTCATCCACGGTGTGACTTCCAATTACCTTCTCGCCATCTCTCAGCAAGCGCGCTCCCAATCCCATCCCAGTGGAATCACCTACCACCTAAACGGCCCCAGTGAGGCACTCCAAGGCGGAAAAATCTTCGCTCATATCCGCCGAAGCAAATTCAAACTCCCCGCACTGGGCAGGACGCCATTGGTGATGGTCGCAGCAGGAACGGGGATTGCGCCCTTCCGGGCGTTCTTATCTGAGCGGTGTCAACTTCTGAAGATCGGTAAGGAAGTTGGACAAATGATTCTCTTCTTTGGATGTCGGAACCCGAATGAAGATTACATCTATCGCGAGGAATTGGAAGACATGCAAGCGGCGTTGGGGGATCGGTTGCGTATTGTCACTGCTTTCTCTCGATTGGAGGGGACGCCTCGTCGGTATGTGCAGGACCGGCTTGGCGAGTTCGGGGACGATGTGATTGGAGTTATTGAGGAGGGTGGTAATATCTATGTCTGTGGGCGGGCTGGTATGGCTCGTGAAGTTGAGAAGGTTGTTGGGCAGAGTATGAAGGGGGCTAAGGGGTGGAGTGATGATGAGGTGAATGGCTGGAGTAAGACAATTAAGAAGAAGAATAAGTGGCAGGAGGATGTTTGGGGGTAGTTTAGTGAATGGTATAATGGCAATTATTTTCTCTAGTGATGTGTCTTCCTAGCTGACTATATAGTGTACTAGAATGAAAGGAGGATGTGATTAAACACCCCCCATGTATTCCGTGGGACTCGCCAAGTGACTATAGAACCCTAAAAGCTCAGTCACTTGTCAAAGAACTCGCACGAGAAAGCCCGGTTTGATTTCGGCGCGGACCTGTTCCTGGGCATGGACCTCAACAACGATGTTGATATCCATGTGGGTAGGCCGGGCACCATGTGCTACGGGACCCTCTACACTGGTCTCATGGGGGCTACGGTGAGATGGTGGTCGAGAGGGTTGGGGAGGAGAAGAAGAGAAGAAGAAGAGAAGAGAAGAGGAGGAAGGGTGGGAGAGGTCCTTTTATACCCTCAACCCACGTACCTTCCCAAAATGGACACTTGCCCTCCAACGCAACCTTCCCTGATAGTCCCATGTCACATGTCACCCAACACCACCTGGGCAGCCATTTTAAAGAGATAAATGATCTAGAAAGACTTTTAAGGTTATATCAACATCATTGAAATTCATATGATCGTCTCGGAGAATTCTATTCTCCGCAGCTCCGTACACTCCGACCAGCTTTGCGGCAATGCAGATCCACTATATATCTTACGTCCCAAACCAGCGCAATAATACCCGCGAAGATCATATCCCGCTAGTGGCCTGGAGTCATTAATTTGACCTGTCTCTAGTCAAAATGACGCCTCATGACCCCAACCGCGTCGCTAGCATCATGCTGTCATGGCACTCGCTCGAACTCGTCTCATGCACCAGGCTACAAACCCTATGGGCCGGCTACGGCCAAATATGCGCTATCACAGCGCGAGCCACTACCACCAAAGCAGCCGAACATGTCAGCAAGCTGTGCGGGGTAGAACCAGGCGTCGCAGGGACAGCGTATCCCCTCATCCTGAAGCTCATCTCACCGCCCCGAAAAAGCGGCAGCACTGCAGATGAGGGCCACCTACGAAAGATGCTGAGCTACGAGGTAGAGCAGTACTTCTATAGCCAAGTAGTACCGCAGCTGGGCTCCGACACAGCCATAGCCAGATGCGTTGCCTCGACGCGCGACATGGACGACGCGGCAGACTCATCGGAACTAAAAGGTCTTATGGCTACGATCATGGTCGATCTGCGTCCTGAATTCCCCGTCGCGGGGGAGAAGAGGGGTGCATTGAATCGCACACAGGTGCGCGCGGCGCTAGACTGGCTAGCTGGGTTCCACAGTCGCTCACGGGGATTGCTGCTAGCTAGTCTTGACGGATATGTCCTGCCACCGCTGGAAGAAAGCAGTAGAAGACAGAGTGCAGACAAGGATATTTGCAGCGGGCTGTGGCTGAATGGGGGATATACGTACCTCGCGACACGAGGTAAAGAGTACGCATCCCTTGCGCAGGACACGGACTCTGAGTGGTCAGATGCCCTATGCGGGGTTTCAGAAGGGTGCTCACTATCCGCGGCGGAGATGGTTGCGTTGTTCTTGACGCCGTGTGGAAGGGCGATTGAGTCATATATCCATGGCGATGTCAAGTCGGAAAATCTCTTCACGACAACTAACGGAGACAAGGTGGCATTCTTTGATTTCCAGTACGTCGGGCTTGGTCTGGGAGTCTGTGACCTTGCCAAATTGTTTACCTGCTCGGTTCCGCTGCATATGCTGGTTGATGGCAATGGGAGTTTGCCCGAAAAGCTGTCGATGTGTGATGGTGAGAGGGGACTGCTAGAGCGGTATCGTATGAGTCTTCTCCAGGATGAGGAGTCGGAGGAATCTGAGCTATACGAATGGGAAGCGTTCAAACGACACTGGGAGACAGCTTTGGTTGACTGGTGTCGATTCCAGGCTTCGTGGGGCTTTTGGGGAAATACGGAGTGGCTTGAGGCCCGTGTAAGATCAATCTTGAATGATCAGGAGTGGAGAGACTGGCTGTATCAGAATATCCGCAGTCGGATATAGGATCACTAGATATGGATTTTAAAAAAGAAATAGACTGTTAGTGTATCTTCAACTACAGATTCTGAATAGTGCAAAGATGCAAAGATGCTAGATCTATGCGTTTTAGTTGGGGATACCATTACAGAGGGCAACGTTAGGAACTTCGGAGTATGTATAACCTCGCTAACGCACATTATTGACAACTGATGTCTCTGTTGTCAAAACAAGATCAACGTCATCGCTATCTTGTTGGCGTTGTTTGACTTCTCGCATACATGTGCTTACCAGTTGTTTGTATACTTCATTTTTCGTTTGATGATGATTCTAGATAGGTCTTGCTGTTTGTTTTCTTTGTTCTTACAGTCTATCTACAGGTAGAGAAAGTATTTAAGCATGGGGTTTTCTCTAGCTCATTTCTTTTCCTCTTCTTCACCAGAATCGCTCATCTTTCAAAACCGCACCAGCCTCCCGCTGCCTTCTAGTAGTTGTGTTTAGTTGTTTAGCATTATTACATTTCATTTCGGAATGGTCTTTCCCTAACTAGATTCTCTTTTTCCTCCTCTGTCGTGTTGAAAGTATATAAAGGTGCTCAAAAACTGCAAACTACTTCTTAGATGGAGTAGGAAGTTGTTGCGAGTTTTATAGACTTTCAATATGACCGAAGAAGAGAAAGAGAAACTAGCTAGAGAAAGTTCCTGACTTGAATGCTTCTAGCCGATTGATACTTCTTTTTTCTCCATCTCTTCTTTACTATTCGCCTTGCTATAGTGAGTGAATGAACTATATACTTCTCTCCGATCATCTTTATATCGTATTCCCAGGCGACTTTACTGTCAGATCTACAAATAAGGCTCTGCATAGTATAGTCTGCTTGATTAATCTAAGCAAAAGTAATCACCAACAATATAAACTATAATTAAGGTGTTGTTTGTGGGGCTGTAGTATGATCAGATCTGTGGAGCTGCCTGAGCCTCACACGATCGGCGCCCAAGAAGGGCAATTCTAACTGGTCTATATCATGGTATATGCAAACAAACTGGGTATATAACTACATCGGCCTCCACGCTCGCACAACTTGGTTGTGCACATATCCCCACGGCCAGCCGTTTTCCCTTTCCGTTCGGCGAAGGAGATCAATTAGCAAACCCTGCACAACATGGTCTTCGACCCATGATCCGCCTGTGGCCGTATTAGTAAACTCTCAGCCCTCAAATTCGAAAAAAAAAAACCTACAAGCAAAAAGTGCATGGCAAGCCGTGATACGTAGCGAAGGATCATCATCGGCAGATATGGCGATTCCGAACATAAAATTAAGCGTTTCGGCGAGATCATTCTGTCGGGGTCAGTATAGAACGGGGTGCTTCGGATAAAAGAGACGGACCCTTAATTTGACAGGCTGCTCTAAATCCAACATGCTCCGATCATAAAATTCGAGTTCGCGAATTAGCATCAGCGATTTAGTGAGACAGATGTGCTGAATCGCAGTAGCTAGACCCCAAAATTAGCATATCACCCCCACACATGGGAATATGTCACATACCATGCCACAAGCTCGTATACCAAGCAACAGGGAAAGGTTTTCCACTCCCAGGATCCGGCGGCGAAACATGCAATGGCACAAACGTATCCGGTCGACCAAGCTCCCACTCAAGAATGCGATGCCTGAGCGCAGCCTCTCCCGCACTTCCGAGTCTACCATCGTGGCTCCGGCCCGAAATATTATAACAGAAATCAATAGTCTCGGCCAATAGCCATATAGCGCGGTTTGTCCAGTCTCCGTCGCTCAGGGTAGGTTTGGCGGCCCACCATTGTCGCAGGCGGTCATCGAACGGGGCGAATGTTAACCGAAGGCATTTCTGGTACGTGAGCGCGAATTGAATATCTTGAATAACATATGCCCAGAAGGAAGCCGATGCCAGTCCGCCGGAGATAGCCGAGTCCACATGGGAGCTGATATACACTGAACCGGCCAAGAGATGGTGTTGTTGGTCGTTTGGGGGACTATGGGCTGTTGGGTGGATTGCATTAGCCGGGGTAATTATTTCGCGTTGAAGATGATGATTGGTTGTCCACGCACAGGAGATTGATTCGAAAAATCGTAGAATGACAGTTGATGAGAGGAGGATGTCGATTCCGATTTCGAACTCGGGCTTGTCGAGGACCGGGAGCATGATTGAGATACAGCGCTCATGGTATACGTGTGCGACGTCGCCCGCGATGGAGTTTGTTGTTCGGGATAGGTGACATGCTGAGACTGCTAGACATGCATATAGTAGTAATGGGGATTGAGTCGCGCGCTCGATGACATCTGTTGAGAAGTGTCGTTCGGGGTTGAATGCGTCGAGCTGGGTTGTTAGTTTAAGGGCAGAGAACTTGATAAAAATGCCCAACTTACCCACGGCGCTAGGTACTTTTGAAAATGCCGCAACAGAAAGGCTTCGGTGACATTGGATAGCCTTGGTTGGCCGATGGGCGTAGGCGTGGTAGGTGCACGTGGCGAATTCACTGAATTCGATCTGGACCCCAACTGAGATCCTGCGGCGTAAGCAGGAATGGCGAGGTTTGGAGTTGCCAAAGCAGAATCCATCGTCGATGGAGGTGTCGAATGATCAGACGATGACCTTGAAGTTGACGCCTGCCTTGTTACAGGTACAACATAGTATTCAGCTGCCGTCTGATCTGTTTCATCCTTGAAGTCGACTACTAAAATATCAGTATGTCGGGCAGACAATAAACATGAAGACCATTCCACGTACAGTCCGAAGACGTGTCAACCCAGACTTGGTCGTCCGGGAAAGCAAGATCACTCTCGCCATATCTCGGGGGGCCCTTTCCTCTCAGGGATGGGTTCTGGCCGTGTCGGAAAGAGACCTCTTCAGATTTGCCGGGAGCTGGGACACATTCGCGGCCAGAGCGTTGACAGCGGAGACATTTCGAACCGGATTTATCACCTATTTCTGTTAGTGCGCAAGGATGAGACTGTTAGAATCCATCGACATACATTTCAGATGGCGCAGACGACATGTGAGGCTGAAAAGGGATGGTTAGTGGAGGTCAAATATGTGTAACGAATCAAAAAGAACTGACCATCCCCTCATTACGCAGTCAAAGGTACAATCGGAAACAAGGAAAGCTTCCAGAAAGCATATTTAGAATGCCAGGCCCAAGGGTAGTGAGATATGTAAATAGGTTAAGTTGCTTAGTCCGACTATCAAACTCATCCATGGCGATGTCCCATTGGGAGGAAGACTAACGCCCATACAAAAGCCGAGATGGGGTGGGTACAAAATAATTGGCAGATCACTAACGGATTGCGTATCATTTTTGGGGTATATCCAGCGGCTACTCTGAATGTGGGTTTAGTTGGAGATTAGTTTGAGCGGAGCAGAGCTAACAGTGGTTGAAATGTAGAATAGCGGGTTTCAAATGTACTGGAAATTAGCCCAAATCTCATCAGTATAACCCGAATTGGAAAACGTTCAGTACCCTAGCTCATCACGCCAGGTTCAACAATTTCCACTCCCGAGTCTAGGCAGACTTTTGCTGGTCGTGGTTGGATGAACGGCTCCCCCACGTATCAGACTAAGTTTGATCGAAAGGTTCTGATCGTTTACCTAACCAGTAAAGATCTTGGGGCATGTCATCCATGGATGTTCCGTTCCGACTTGTATCGGGTTCTCGGCATCAGACCTGGCCGAGATGTGCGGTGCCAAGTGAGTTTATTATTGTACTCCGTAGTGTCCATGGCCCGAAACCCCCTTTTTCCTCTTTTGTCATATTCCGTAGTCTTCAGGTATCTCCGCAATGTACAGGGGGTGTTATATTTTAAGGAACAGACTCCTCAAAAGATGTCCAATAATAAGATGAAACTCAGAACGGGACTCCATCCCACATGGTTATCAAGCCACGGGTTCAGGGCTGTTAGGTTTGTCAGCAGAACTTAAAACCTCCCAAGGTTGGAAAAGAAGTGCAAGGCGTTCAACAAGCTTCAACGGAATGAAATTAGGAACAAAATTAGCGTTGAAGTTATTCGGGTTTCTAGTTTCATTTGCCGATTGGTCTCACCGAACCTGGTTCAGGCACCCTCGAGAAAGAAAAAAAAAAAAAAAAAAAAAAAAGGTTTGCTCGGTCCTCCGAGCCACATGGTGGCGACAAGGATCTTTCAGGGACTTTCTTATTATTTGACAATTGTACCGGCAATCTCCGTATGGAGTACTTTGTACAGAGTATCAGGACTTGATAAATTCTGCTTTGTGGGTCAGCTTCGATGAAAATGAGATTTGGATTTGGTTTTAATTTCAAACCCATGGGAAAAAGTACTCCGGACCAGTTGAACCCTGTCGATCTTGGAGGTAATGTCCCCAACACCATGCCGAAAAGGCGATCCCAAACCAATCCCGATGCTATAAAGTTAAACCCGGCACGTCCAAACACTAAACTAAACAAATGACAAGTTGCATCTGGATATGTGGGGGGCGCTTGTCGTTATCAGCTGCCTGTTTAGGTCATATGCTCCGGGAGAACGAAACACCTCTTGGATTATTCATCATTTCATCAGCAAAGGAAAGTTTCGATCCATGGTTGGAGGTAAGAAAAGAAGAATGAATTGTGGGGAGTGAGAGAGAGAGAAGAGAGAGAGAGAGAGAGAGAGAGAGAGAGAAGAGAAGTTATGATAATGATGCCTGAAATTTAGGCTTCGAAGCCCCGAAAATAAGGCACCCATGCATATCGAGGACAAAGCTATTCCAACTTTCCAAGTTTCTTATCTTGGGAGCTCCTTGCTGGCCTCGTAGCTCCTGGAGAGCTTTGAATCATACACCTACCTTTATTTACTAATATTGTGCAACTCAGTGACCAATCCTTAAATTATAATGCCATAAAATGTCCCTAAACCGCATCTCTTTCCTTGAAGGATGGGAGCGCAACCCCGCGGCCTTTCTCGGCCACCCCGAATCGGAGGATTCGGATCCGGACTCCTACCAAGATCTGCCCGAGGGATCCGTGTCATCTTCATTTCCCTCCACATACAGCAGACTGAATTTCAACCCGTATGCGGGGCCAGGCTGGAATGAGAGCCCAGAGGATCCACACGACGATCGATCCTCGTTTTTCGGGCCCTCGTTTCTGGGTCTCTCTCCGGCGACTACCCGTGAGGAACGTGCGGGTTCGGGTTCAGCGCAGGGACTGGGATCTACAGGGCGGACTGAGCACGAGGATTCAGGGACCACCGTTGCTCGGACGCCGCCTTGTGCGGATACTACCGGTGCTTATGAAGTGAGCGCTGCTAGGAGGATTGGTAGGTTGATGGAAGTTGCATTATACTTCTTTTTAATATGCAGGGATATGCTAACTTGTAAAAAGCCCAGGTCTTCACGGCAGTTGTATACTGCTTTCTGGCTGCTGGAGTTGTTTTCGGCTTTGCAGCTCTCAAGCCCATCCTTATTCGAGAGAAAGTATATCGCAACCTCTGCTCCCAGGCTGAGCTTGAGGAAGATGTCGATGTGTGCTTTGGGCAGGAGATCCGGTATGTTTTTATCCTTGGTTCAAGATGTCTCATACTTACACGTAACAGGCTAAACCTGATGTTCACCATTGCCGCTGTAGTAACCAATGTCTCAGCCCTACCCGTAGGAACAATCCTAGACGCGTATGGACCACGAGTTTGTGGGATCATCGGCAGTATCTGTCTCGCCATAGGAGCAGTACTCTTCGGGACAGCCAGCAAGCTTCCATTCGATGGGTACATCCCAGGTTACTTATTCCTAGCACTGGGAGGACCATTCGTATTCATTTCATCCTTCCAGCTATCAAACACGTTCCCCACACGATCCGGCCTGATCCTATCAATGCTGACAGGCGCCTTCGATGCCTCGAGTGCTCTATTCCTGCTTTTCAGACTGTTAAGCGAACACACTCATGGCCTCGTATCAACCAACAATTTCTTCGCGGTGTACCTCATCGTACCGGTATTCATCATCGCAGCACAGATCTTCATAATGCCACCAACATCCTACAAAACCGCCGGCGAGCTCGTACAACAAGCCAAAGCGCACGTCGCAGACGAGATACACGATCGCATAGATGACACGGCTGACGACCGTACCGAGGGCGAGCGCCAGCGTATGCACAGACGACTCCATCGCCAAAGCATCGTCAGCCACATCCAAGATCTACTAGATGACGGCACAGCCTCCGTGATATCCGGCCATACGATCAACGACGCCGTCTTCCACACCAACATCGACACCTCGCTCGATATCAATACCACCAGAGGAACCCACGGTACTACAACACCACACCCCCACACACCCCAACAACAACCAACGACCCCCAACCCGACACCAGGCGGGATTTGGGGCGTTCTCCACGGCCGCAGCGCACTATACCAACTACGCACACCCTGGTTCACGCTAATAACAGCCTTCACTGTTCTAATGATGCTACGAATAAACTACTTCGTCGCAACGCTACGCTCACAATACACCTACCTGCTCTCCGCAGAGACAGCCGCACAAATAAACACAATATTCGACATCCTCCTACCCGTCGGCGGACTTGTCTCTGTCCCGTTTATCGGCACATTCCTCGACATATTCCAGACACGCACTGTGCTCTTGATCCTCGTCGTGTCGGCAACCGTCATCGGCGTGCTGGGCTGTATACCGCATCCAGCAGCTGCATATGGGAATATCATTTTGTTCGTGTTGTACCGACCGTTCTATTACACCGCTGTATCGGACTACGCGGCTAAAGTGTTTGGGTTTGCGACGTTTGGGAAGGTGTACGGGCTCATTATCTGTCTTGCTGGTGTTGGGAATTTTGCGCAGGCGGGACTTGATGCGCTTACGTTGAAGATTTGGAGGGGGAATCCTGTGCCTGTTAATGTTGGGCTTACGGTGTTGGTTGCTGGGGTTGGCGGTGGGCTTGTTGGGTTTGTTGCTTATCAGACGGGTGTTTTGGGGAGGAGGAGGAGGGGTGATGGTGATCAGTATCAAGATGTTAGGGAGAGAGAGCCGTTGTTGAGGAATGATGCACCCGACAGACGGTATGGGGCTTGATGTTATGGGATTTGATTTATATGGCATAGGGAGTATGTTTAACTTGTTGTTTGCATTGAGTATATAAGGATGAACAGTTCATGAATGAATGTGATTGGGATATGAGAAATGAGGATTTGAGGAAATCCCTACCACTACTACTACGAGAGAAACATAGCAAGGAAGACTGGAATACAATCTAGAGATGAGAACATGGAACGTTATGTATTATGTCTCTAATGATTCCGACCCAAACAGAGATGTACTATATACGGATGTATCCCATACATCCAAAGACGACAACTAGGCGTGAGAAAGCCACAGCCTATGTCGGGAGATATTATAATCCGAATTCACACCCAAAAGCAGATTCATTATATCCCGTGCAATCCAAAAAAGGAAAAAGAGTAATGCCTCGGGCGCGGGCCCGGGGTCAGGTGACAGTGTTCGAGTTTCACAGCACGGCGAGTTTAGACAAGATTATGCAAAACTGATATCCGGTGTGGTCGAAAGCACCTGCGGGTATATCTATGTATGCCCCATGTCCAAGTCGAAGCATATCGCTGGTGATTGTGACGGTATGTATTCCCGGGAAAGAAAGCCCAATATGTTCCATATATCCATTTCAAAGAGAACCGAGGATGACAACGATAGTGAAGATGATATGGGAGGGACGGTGGTAGGGACGAGCGGAGAGGGAGACATAGGGAAGCTGGACTGCGTCACTGCAGGTGACGGCAGATCCGGAGAGGAAGCGGGTCTATTCACGCTTCTCGAGGTTCGGAGAATTTCCCAATGATGGAATTGGGGCTGCTCACTGGATGGCATAGCTAAACTTGCTAGCGTTCTCCTGCCAGAGAGCCTCTGCAGCAGAATCGCAGGCAGCATCATACCATAACATGGACGCGAGGACAGATTTGATGCTGGCCCATGAATTCAAACCAGTCCTGCGGGTTATATCCCCTAGAGCAGAGGCAAACCAGGCGCGCTCGGGGGCATCGTTCGCTGCGATACCGCCGAGGGTCAAGGCCCAGATAAGAGGGAGACGCGTGGATGGTGAAGACCATAGGTCTGAGGAGTTGGGTTGGAGGAGGACCGATTGCATAAGGCGCGCCAGAGTATTAAGGGGGGTATTCTGTGCGGGGATGGGGAAGATGACGCCGACCCCGAAGATTAGTGCCGCTAGACGGCAGGCTTCATAGGTGGCGGCATGCGTGGGATGAGCGAAGAAGGCGTCGAGGTCTGAGGCCGGAGAGAGACTGAGGATAGTATGTTGGGTTAGGTTGCGTTGGTCGGCAAGCAAAGAGACATCATGTGTGGAATTCGGGTTCGCTTTGATGATCCCGAGATAAGTGTGCACCGCTTGGAAAGCTTCTGCCATTTGGCGAGTGGCGCCAATTTCCTGCAAACGGCCGAATCCCTGGTCGACATCGGATGGACCGAAGCCGAGCATTTCTTGGATGGACATGCCTAATCGGTGATCGGCGAGTGGCCAGAATTCAAAGCATGGATGGATGCAGAAGACGCTGCAGCTCATGATATCCGAGCTGTGAGTGGTCAGTACGGGCAGTCAATACGAAATAAAAAAAAGAACCGAGACATACAAGCAAATTGTCGCGGACAAACCATCTGTGTGGATATTTGCCAAGCCGCCTCGCAGTTTGATCAACTGCAACAATCCTTTGATATGAACCATATTTGGTGGCAGACACCCGTAGACATCGATCCATTGTAGTCGCGGGAAAGGCGGATTAAATGGTGTTCTGCGGTGCTGTTGTACCAATTTCTCCTCCGCCTGATGATGAGCCATGCAGATAACACTGAGGAGAACAGCGTCGCTGACCACGCGATCGGGGTCGCGAACAGCCTGGTTGATCAGCTTGATCGATTCCATTTCACACAGCTGCAGCGCGCGACGTTCCCTCTGACCAAATACCGTACCCGGCACCCAGTTATTCTGCCATTGTACACGGAGGTGGCACAACGCCCCAAACATGAACGCTGTAAACAAAGCCGGGTCACCCATGGACAGATCGAACCACTTATTAGCCGCAGCTCGGACATTCCGTGGCCGCGGAGCGAGTCCCGGCCACACAACACCTGTGAGATAGCGCTCTGACAGATTGACCATCTCTGGCTCGAAGTTCCTTGGAGCGGGATATGTGGCGAACGGGTCGAAGACTCCCGAGAGGTTGCGTTGAAGCCGCTCAGGAGAATTGCGCTCATTGAACCGGATGACAGCGAGGGCCTCCGAGGAGAACGTGGTCACGGTACTCGCATCGTCGCTGCTACTGCTTTCACTGCTGTCACTGGCCTGCGACGGCGAAAATGGCGAGTCTCGGTATGCAGCCTGGTTGGAGCGGGAGTCGTGCACAAAGGCGAAGCTTTGACCGCGGTTGTTCCCACGACGGGAGCTTGAATGACGCGAAACGATGGTAAAGGAGGAGGTACCGGGACCGGCGCGGTCAATGACAGGTATTGGGGCAGTGGCGTTGCGGACAGGTCGGGCGGGTGAATTGGATGATTCGCCTGCGGATCGGTCCTTTGATTGATCTGAAATCCATCGTCCGACATGCGCACGCACCGTACGCTGGGCTTTCAATCGTTCGGACTCGGTAGATGGTCTGGCATTGACAAAATGAATGCCATCCTTCTTCTTGGAGGCGGGCTGTTTCTTTCTTGACGCCATTTCAGATCATATCACCGGCTTGGTAAGCGGTGAGAGATGTATGTGATAGCTAGATCCTGCATGATCTTCAGAAGGAGAAGAGAGGTTCAAGCCTGAATGGAGTTTTAAAGATGATGGGGTATTGATATTGACAGCAAAGCCCTATGTGGATCATCCCATTTCTTATAATACTTCCTGAGATCTTTCTGTTTCTTTTTTTGGCTCTGAAGGTGTTGGAGTGGGGAAAAAAAGGGTAAAGAGGAAGAAGCTCGGGAACCCCCGTGACCGCAGATCTGTACTTTTTTGTTTTTGCACTTTATACTCCTTTATTATTTTACGCTATTATTCTATTATTCTATTATTCTATTAATTGCCTCATTTCTTTGAAACTCATATGTTACTATTACGTGCAATTCTGACGATCCAGTGGAGTCTTCTGCATTCGGCTGTAAATAGTGAGTGCCATGCACATCGTATACAGAATATTAGATGATCTACGGAGAGTAGAAATCTCTCAGAATCTTCAAACCTTATGCCCCTCTTCCATAAGGTTATAGGAAAAGAACTCCGAACAGCCGTTAAATACGAAGTTGTGGCATAAGATTGCCAAATGGGGGATTTTCTACTTTCCATGTTCTTGTATGGCCCAGAGTAATATCCCCTTATTCCCCAGGAATACCACCATCGTGGACACATATGGCTAGCCCAAGAGAAAATAATCCGGACTATTGCCACATATATTTTGTATTATCTAATACTATTTTACGGTACTGTCAGTCCCCGTCGGAATCCTGTCAAAACCGCAGAACTGAAACCGCCTACGGACCTTGGCAGTGGCATGAGGGGTGTGCGGAATCGTTATACGGAGTACGTCAAAGCTTGACGGAAATATCCAACGGGCTTTAACCTTTTCTGACAGGGCCTATGAAAGTGAAGGAATAAAGAAAAGTGGTTCTGGTGGGACCCCGTCGATCGCGAGGTTAAATGTCTTTGAAAGTGGCAAATTCGAGTGCGATCGACCTCGAGAGGGTCTACTCCGTACAGTAAGTCTACATACTTGAAATACTATCTATTGTGTTTGATATACTCCGTAGTTTAGACAGAGACAAACGGTATTTGAATTGTTATAATTAGCGACCTCTTTATGCAGTTAAGCTGCGTCACCGAGTCTTTGGACCTCTCTTTCTTGTCAGAACGATTGCCTTTTCTCCTATATTATAGAGCTTGATTGTTTCTCTCCATGATGCAAGCTGACTGCAACAAGAGACAATATGTGCCTCTCACCTACAAAGTATTCACAGTTAGCGACCTGCTATTATCACACGGACATTAAGTCAGTCCCTGCAGCCGAAAGGCCGAACCTCTCAACAATTACTATGTATACCTCATGGCTAATGCACGAACTTCTTCAGCTATATTTTCAGCTATATTTTTCCACCTGTAGGCATCGAAACCAAAGAAAGGGACCTTGCTCAGGGTCAGCCAGCCCACAGTTCATTAACATTAATCCAATCCCGATTAAGTCTAAAGTCGCAGAGGGCGCAGAATATCTCTCATCTTTAGGTCTGCCACACCGAAGATCAGCGGGAAAAATAACCGAGTAGCACCAATCATATTACTTGAAGCAAGGCCAACGGGAGAGTCTAGACAATGCACCGCTAATTAGCGTTCGTTTTGAAAGCCTGACATGACGGATACATGTACAGGGGCGTTAGGGTTAGCGCTTTCTGACAGCCCGCCGGGGTCCCCATTGACTAAGACCAAGGGTGACAGGTCCACTGACATTGACCCGTCGATCGCGAGTCTATTTTTTAATGACTATAATATATATTGCTATTTAGTTACGGAGTGGTATTTAGGTAGATGTATATATTAGAAAGGGAAAATAATGAGTAGATGTCTGTGTGTGTGGGGATATCGACGATTGGACCAGGGGGAAATGCGAATGCAAGTCGAGTCCAGACAAAGTCGGATGCGTCAAAGGATTCTCCCGTGCAGATCGACGCAGACGAAACCCAAGAGGATACTAGTAATCCCCACAAACACGATCTTCCCTCAAATTAGCCCCATCAACACGCAGAGCACCGTTACACTGCATTGATCCCATGACTGGAGTAATTACAGCCGGAAAAAGAGAGGAAATTAAATATTCGGAAAGAACTCGAACGATTGCATTGTGTCTGCTCCGACGCAACTGGGAACCCAATCATCCGATCTAGTTACATAATTGCATAACTGCATGCATGTACTAACGGGTGATCTAGGGGAGATGCTATGTATACTAGTCCGGAAAATCTCCCCGTCGAATCAACGCATTGCGGGCTAGGCCAATTTAATCAATTTCCAGCAGGGTATACCGACAGTTCTCACCGGTCTGCGGATCATGGTACTGCTCGAGCGCCTTCTCCACAGCAGCCATGTAACCAAGGACGTGCTCCTCCTGCCAGCGACGACCGACGACCTGCACGGCGGTGGGGAGACCCGCCATCTTGGCCGAGTCGTAGTGTTTCCACGCACCGCGAGCAATGCCGTGGTCACATCCCAAACGCTTGAGGGCGGTTTTGTAGGGTGCGGTAAGGGCGTCGCGGATAGGGTCTACGTGGCCTACTGGGATAACACCGGCGGAGTAGTCGAGCAAGTTCCACAGGAAGGTGTAGCCGCACGAGGAGACGGCATCGTGCATGGCGTTGTGCGGGAGAGCTGGGGTAGCGTTGACAGGACACAGGATGAAATCGAATTGTTGGGGCTCGGCGTCCCACCACTTGTGCCAGGCGGCGCGGAAGGCTTCGCGCTGGGCGGTCAGGGTCCACAGCTGCGCAGCGGACTTGGGGCCGAAGTCGCGGATGAGAGTGGCGGAGGCCTTGTCGCGGCGGATGTAGCGCACGTAAAGGTAGTAGAGGTAGCGGAGCGGGCGGGGGAGGTGGGCGATGCGGGAGAGTTGGATGGCGCCTGGGTCGGAGGGTTCAAAGCTCTTGAGGTTGGAGTTGAAGTGGTGGCAGCCATCTGAGTTGAGGAGTTGCGAGGCGAGATTCAGGCCTGTGAAGGGGTCTGCGTTGGATGGGGTGGTGATTTCTGAGACGGTGTGGCCGGCTTCAGTGAGGGCGGCTACTGTTGTTGCGACGGCGCGCTCGATGGCTGGGGTTGGGGGGACGACGCCTGGAAATTTGTAAGTAGCTGACTTTCATTGTTGGGGTGAGGAAGTTGATACATACCATCGGAGGTCATCAGACCAATGCGAAGAGGCTTATTTTGAGCCTCGGACTCGACCTCGCTGCGCCAGGCAATGGGATGCACAGTGTGCTCATATTTCCAGGGCTCCATGCGGATAATTGCACGAGTGAAATATGTCAAATCATCCAAGGTGCGGGCCATAGGACTAAACACACTAGGAATACCCTCCTGGCCGGGCATGCTGGTGCTCACGCCGCCCTTGGGCCAGCGGCCAGTGCTGCAGCGGAGTGAATAGATACCGCTCCAGGCGGCGGGAACGCGCACTGAGCCAGCAACATCGGATCCAATACCAATACGGCCACCTTGTGCCAGCAACGCCGCCTCTCCACCGGTTGAGCCACCGGGCGAGTATGCTGGGACATGCGGGTTGCGGCATTGACCCCAAAGCCCGTTAGCTGACTCGAAAGAGAGCAGAGTGATTGGCAGAGCAGTCTTTACATATGGGACAGCGCCTGTGGAAATCAGCATACAATCCAGCTATCAAAGAACGTGTCCTATGAATCATGATCTTACCGGCGTCTTTCAAGAGCTGCACCATAGGCCCATCTTCCAAGATAGGCTTTCCAGCCATAGCAGCATACCCAACACTTGCATCGAATCCCTTGACATGAATAGAATCTTTCAAAGAGACCGGAATACCGGCCAATGGACCCTTCAGGTTGATTTCCGACTCCAGCCACGACTCGGCCTCGGGCAGCATCACCTCGGTAATGCAGTTGGTACGCTCCTGAGCCCTTTTGGCTACCTTCCCATAGGTGCGGAGGATATCGAGTGGAGAGACAGCCGAGTCTTGAACATCGTGGACAAGCTCCTCGATAGGCTGGTCGATGATCTTCCGGTCCTGGGCGGCGATGCGGAGGTGATAGTGATGCGGAAGACCCGTAAAGCGGAGTTCTCGTTCGCTTTGTTTTTGGTTTCTATAGATATCAGCTCCAGATCATGTAAACCTAAGAGGATATAGAAAAGCTTACCTTATGCGACGATAGGCGAAGTAGTCAAATGGAGGAAGCATGATGGCGGTGTGGTTGCAAGAAGAGAAGGGGGGGAAGTCGGGGGTCTTATACGATGCGGGGAATTGGAGAAGTGGGGAATGCGATACCCGGACGGGTAGCACCGAGGTTAGCCGCGGACACACAACCCTTTTGGATCCCACAAGCTATAGTGTCTATATTTATGTAGGTATACTGCGTATTTGGGCGATGTCTGCTCTTATTTGATTTCGAAAGTGTCAAAATGTTGAACAAAATCACCTGGCCACTAAACGCTGGTCACTCACTATACGCGGCAATTTCTCCGCAAAGATAAGAAGCCACAACAACCAACACACTATGCCTCTTACGGCAACTGTACGCGCTCGGATAGATTAGGGGAAGTATATTAGGGCTTTGGCATCATAGACAAACGAGATAACGATAAATGATTTAAATGGTCTATTATATGCAGTTCTATGTAAAAGATATGTAAACAAAATTCCAAATGCCGTTTGGAGGTGCGGCGGGTATATCTCCAATGCCATGCAAACTCCCGATAAACGCCAAATTCAAACAAAGAACACTGTTCACTAGCCAAAGCCGGCTATTGAGGGGTATCGGGATGAGGTTGGAGCCAGTTGTTCTTAGCAAGCCACCAAAGAATCACGCTGACAATGATGACGAGCACCACTGCGAGGAAAATGATGAAGCCACAGATAAGTGATCGCTTTCTCTTCCGTCTTTCTCGGGAAAGCCATGATGCCCTAGAGGGATGAGCTGAACGTTAATCAAAAATGTGGGAGACGAGGGTGCCTTACGCATCATGTTTTGTTTGTATTCCTTGGTCAACTGCTCTGGACTCTTCGTCCATATGGACTGCAGCTGAGAACCGTTTCCAGAAATATGGGTCTCGAACAAGAGCCATAATGGTATGATGTGCTATCGAGCCGAGGCTGACACGTTGGTTGTTGTGTTGTGGTCGATTGGATGACCCAAGGGATGGTCGCGTGACCGGCTGAGAAGAGGGCAACCACTGATATATGAGGATGCAATAGTAGATCGAGAGATCAAATTGAAGTCGAGATGTCCAATCGGCAATGAAGTCGATGTATTCGATGGAAGCAGTGAGTTGAAGATGGACACCGATTCACCGACTAGCAGTAGAGAAAGGCAAACTTAACAACATGGGCTAGGGGTATCGGCTGCACTTATCCCCTAGATAGAGCGGCCTTAGCGTTCAAATGCCGCGTGTGGAATTCTAACTACTAATACACGTACATGCTGGGCCGAGGATTAGAATACCAATCAAACCATGATCGGCAGCCTGTCCATTTGCTGATTTGTGTAAAAAATACCCGAGGCTAGGCCATGGACAAGAAAATCAAGGCAGACAGATACTGCGAGGTGGGAATGGGGTGCTGGTATTGGTTCCAAGTTCATTGTTGTGGCTGAATGTCAGTTCGAGGTCGGCATGTCGATCACGGAATGTTGGAACTCAAACGAGCGGGTCGTCAACGATGGAATTGTTGATCGCTGGGATTCAAGTGATGATATTGGTAGACGGGGGTTTAGGAATGTGGGCCGACATTTGCTTTCAACGGGATTCTTTTTTTAAGTCTCAATCGAAGAGGACGTTGTTGTAGAGGCTGAAGAGTGGACTGAATCTCATATCAATTTCCAAAGCTGCTTCGCATGGGTAACTGATCTAGATAGTGTGCGTCGCATGGCAGTTGGAGGGCATTGCCTGAACAATTATATTGCAAATTAATCGTGATCCGTAACATTTTATCGTCACCGGGGTATCTCTTCATGTTGCACAAATCTCGACTGGAACAGAAATCGATATAGATGATCTACCCCGAGCCTTTCCATGTAATCTATAGAACAACGTTGCCTTCAGGGCATAAACCCGAGACACTAAACACGAGTGAAAAGTGGGTGGATAGCGTCGATGGGTAGGCAGTGAAAAGCAAGCCTCAGTCGATGCAGTGAAGATCGTACGGTCCCCTTCTTCTTGAGACTTCCAGTCCAATTTTATTTCGTTGTTCAGTGTCAATGGCACATAATCAGACCAAAAGTCTTGTCGTGAACCCCATGTAGAAATATCAGACAGATCTGGATAATCTTGCCATGTCTCCAGCCCAAAGAATGTCATCGCCCGTAACTGAAATTCGGCGGCAACAAGACTTGGTGGCAACTGGCCCAAATGAGCAGGGTCAAACCGAAGATCGATCTTCAGAGGAGTTGACGCGTCCGTCTTCGTTGGCTGGAGACTTTGTAACTGGATAGCCGGTGGTTGGGCAGAGCAGGCAGCCAGTTTGCCGTGTGCATGTCGCAGCAGCCCTGTCGACAGGGACTTGTCTGCTCGCAGTCCATAATACTTGTTCCTCCTTGGGACAAGGATGGGAGGGTGCTCGTTTCGTGTTGGGAGAATCTGCACGGGATGTGTTGCTTCCAGAATTTTCTTCGACCTTCCTGCCTTGCCATTTCGCTGCCACAGTGCAAAGTTGATACTGTAGACCACTTCTGCCATTTCTGGTGACATGTCGTGAATATCGTGGGATTTCGTGGCACGGTAGCTGAGACTTGCAGGTAGCTGCAGATGTTCTTGTTGGATTTGGTGATTGGCGCATTGGTGATGACAGGCATGGATGGGAAGTTCATCGGGGACGATGAACTTGAAAGGCATTCGATAACTCTTGCCAGGTTTGAGAGTATTTGTATGCCATAAGTAGTCGTGAATCGGCAACTCCATGCTTAGGAAGGGTCTTTGGAGTCGGTTAAAGGGCAAAGCAACATGTGTATTGATGTTCTCGACTTCAATTCGTGTCATTCCTGTTCGGCGTGTCAATATCCCGATAATAAAGCTACTTCCATTGCTCGCGTACCTTTAAATGTGATGCTTATGTCTTCAATGTTGGTTTCTTGATGAGGCGTAAAAATGATCTCTCCATCGATTATGTCGTGGGTTTTGAAAGTTGGCGAGTCAGACGAGCTGTTTAGAACGAATTCTACACTTGAGAACTTCATCATGCGAATGTGTATTTTTAGTTAACCAAACCTTTACTTATGGCATGCATTGTTTAAGTACTAATTGTGTTCGATTTAGTTCGGAGGAGGCGCCGGTAAAATATCATTTTCCCGAACCGAATGAGAAATGCTTCCTGTGCCGGATACATTAAATTCACCGAGTGACTCGATGGAATTCATAAATATTTTTCATCCTAAAACGACTATGGGGAATAACAAGTACGATCTGTGCGGTGTGGAGGATAGTCGGCAAACGCACATCTTCCCGAGTTGGGCTGAGAAGAAAAGAACTGATTCAACTGTTCGAGGATGCGGCCAAAAGACTTTTAGCCGAAACCAATAGGGCCAAATTGACAAAGTCATCCGATAGTGGCTCGCCTTTTTCTTGTCCTTTCAGCCCGTATTCTGTCATGTCCATAGGAATAATCTCTCGTTTCACTGTCCCTCTCTATCTCAGCTTTCACTGATATATCAACATTATATATATATGAATAGTTTTTAAAATGATTGTAACTTTCTTTTTCCAGGTATAGTTATAACTGTTGCTCTACATGCGTTCTGTTTCCACGGGAATTCATGAATATATCTCTACCCTCCACCGTATGAAGATAAGTTGAAACTTACTCTCACTGTTTAAAAGTCGGTTGGTGCACACACAAAAGTAATAGGAAAATATAACAACGAGCCTCAAAAACATATCTCAGAAAGACTCAAGTAATAATATTGTTCAGGTGTTGGGGCTCGCATATGTGTAACATGCATCCGTGGACATCAAGCAGCGAGGACAGCATAATCCCACCAATCAGGAGCAGTGTATACCGCGACGAATTTTAGCCCTTGCTTCCTCATACATTGGCCCCGTGCAGGCTTGCAGTTTACTGTTGTTTAAGGGAAACCCATATCATGGGAAGGGGGCCAAGCGAGATGATGCAACTTGTGTTACCCCGAACACCAGTCCCCTCTGCAGAGATCGAAAATTGTCATCCAAGATGCAGAAACAGGCAAATAGCCTTACCTTTCTGGATGCAGTGGCATGCAAATCCATGGACCGTCATTGCGTCAACCCCTTAAGGAAACGCACAAGGCTGCGTCCAGTTGTGATATGATTGACGAACGAAGCAGGAGGTCGAAGGGAGTCAGTAATATTTCCGCCAATACCAGAAAGGCTACTCACAATAGGCTGCCGCCGACGTTCTAACTGCTTAGATCTACTTCGCTCTATCCTTCTGATTGATGTATCTATCTATGTATTGCAAAGTATATCGCACTTTTGCTTTTTTGCGCGTTGTATTTTGTCAAGGCACGGAAACAAAGAAAGAAATGCACCGCACAAAGCAGGTAAAGAGACTTCTTCTTCTGAATACCTGGAGATCTTTTTATATTAACATACAATCAATCACACACACCTCAGCTCCAGTAGGGGAGGCATAGAATAGACATTAAGATTTACGACAGATGCCAGTGGGATGGCAGCATCTCACATCAAAAGCAGAAACAATAAGGGGAACAAGGCTTGGCAACCTTGGAAATATCCTGTTTCTCCATGTTCCCGCCTGAGCTCACAGTCCAACACGCGTAGAACCATCATGCGAGAGTAAGCCAAATGCAGTATGGTCACACGAACGTGTTTGCCCAATGTCGATCTATAGGCTCAAGAGCCTAGTATATGCATGATTCTGCATCTCCCATGGCGTGAACGCTGGGTAACAGGCAACCATTTTACCCTCTTGTGGTTTATATTCGCCGTTACTGCCCAATAGCCTCAATTTATAAGACATAATATACGGCTGACGGGATATTGGGCCCAAGGATACTCAGAATATGCTTTACATTGGGATGAAGTATGGGTGAACTGCCTCAGGTAAACGTGTTTATTCTGTCAAACTTCTTTTCAAATTTTTGACCTGCATAACTGATTATCTTTAGGGGCGATCAAACGTCACAGTCCAGGTTATATTATCAAGGATCAATCGCACTTTGTTGTAGACGGCGACCACCACCCACCACTACATGACGTGTGGAGCAACTAAAAAAAGTGCCATGCAGCTAGCCAGGCAAATTCTACTAGTGCAGAGAAGCAATACCCCAAATTGAGTAGAGGTTATAGGTATATATACAGATACATTGTCTTTAAACAAGAGCCAAAGGAAACGATAAGACAAAATACATCAGGTCATTTGAAGATCGAGAACTCCAATATTTCAAAATGGATCATGTGGCACGAGATCTCTCGAGTGATATAGAAGACTCCTCTGAAGCATTTATCGCAACTCTATTACATGGGAAACCAGAGCATAAACACTTGGATGTGTTGACCGAGCTTTTGACAAAAAGTTCCGAAATCGATGAGCGTGTTGCTTCATCTATCAGTGCCGCTTGGCACTGGATATGTCAGAATGATCTTTGGTCTACGAGGTACGAGAGCCTCAGAGACTACCGGAAGGCCATCGGATATACGGAAATTGTACGACCGATTGTACAGCGACATAAAAAATCGGAGCTAGCGAAACGATCCAGTACCCAAACAATATTCCGCAACTGGAAAGTTTCTTTTGACAACGCTCTTCCGATAAATACTCGTCCCTTGACTTGGAGCAAACATTTGCTTTCATTGATAGCCTGTTTGAGCAAGTACCGGGGTCATTCTGACTCACTCTCGCTTCTCGAAGACAGCATGAAAAACAGACCGGAACGTGGACGCACTACGAATCGACTCATGGCAAGTGATGTTCAACGAGCACTAGAGACTTTAGAGATACCACGGACACGCTTGGCAACGCGGAGATGTAAGTAATGATATTCTCCAGTTGAACCCCCAAGAATGCAGCTTACGAAGTTTAAAGCAAGAAAATCCCGAATCTCAAGCTCAGCGCAAAACAAAGGCACCGACATTTGCACTGAGGTTAAATCTTCGCCTTCCACCACCCATTCAGGAGAGTTATCCCTCCCAGACACGCCGTCTCAGGGGGTGTTCTCGTTGGGAGTCTCGCCTACACAAGGGCCACGAACCAACAAAGACCCAAATGAGTGGCAGACTTGTGGATGTACTCCTATATGCTTACCATTGATCGCCCTAATCTCTACCCCTCAAGCGCGGTTCGATAAGAAGCTTCTGACGGCCTTGGTGGACTGGGCATACACAGTGTCGTGGGGTAGCTTTTGCTCCGAGCACCTGATGCGCCTTACCCAGTTCATTACCGGAGAGGATCCGCGTGGTAGGACTAGAGCTGAAGCAATTCAGAATTTGGAGGCATTCTGTTCGCGTGGATGCTACAGTTCCATAAGTACAGGCGATTTCCCCTTTATGACCGACTGGGTGTCGAATATCTGCTAACGTACCGTTAGTAATAGGCGATCATTCTTTTAGCTCTACTCCCGCCCTTTGTTCGAATACGGAACTGCTCTGTCGTTATACTGGGTCTGCTGATGCATGGTGGCGTTGGCAAAGGGATGGATTTCTCCATATCCCCGGCTTCTTTTCCTACAAGGAAGAGTTCGGTGTGTTCAAACGGGTCCGACGGTACCTCAGCAGAAGCGGTACTAAAGAAGATACAAATTCGAGACTCAGCCAAAAGGCGATCCAAAGATGCTACAGGATGCTATCTCAAATGGTACAACGAGATCCGGCGTATTATGCCGTTCTTGTCGCATGCAGACCGGACCAAAATTGGAAACTCATCCATCGCCCAGGCCAGTATCAACCGAACACTGTTTTCCAAAGTGACGATGTAAGGTTTGGTGTCCCCATCGACCGTATTAAGTCACTTGTCCAAGGAGAAGTGGCAAGCGACATCCAGAGTACTGTCATCTTCCCGATCTGTGAGACTGCCCAAAAGATCCGACTGGTCCCAGGGTTTCATCGCCAATTGAATTCATGGCTTCAAAGTTCATTGGAACTGAAGTATGGAAGTGAATACAAAGTATTTGGTGAAGCCCAGGAGATTGTGGTACAGCCGGGGGATTTAGTTATTTGTCTTCCGCAAATTCTCCGATGGCCAGCGACCTTTTCCGCCTCAAACCTTTTCAACCTGTCACAAATTGGACTGGATGACACATTCACCCCAGCTCCTGAAGAGCCCAGTGAGGGTTACGATACAGATAGTTCCAACAAGGCCTGGGAGCAACCAGAACCGCAGTCTCACTATGCCGAAAGAACAGCGCACGAATATCATATGGCAAAAGCGGGCCTGATCGAGGACAGCTGGTGTAGTGCCTCCAGTGCCATAGGCCAAGCAATGGCAGGTTATCTGAATTGGGGTAGCGACAGAGTGAGCGAAGAAATGAACTGCATTCTTGGTTCCAATGGAGCAACAGCAGTCGAATTTGTCGCGAAGTCACGAGCGCAGTTGGCAAGGCAATTCCACAACCTCTGTGATTCAATTCAGCGAGACTCAAAGATGGACTCTGGTATGAAGAATCCTTCCCCGTTTATGTCAATAATACTTGCTGATTTTGCTTTAAGATTGCGGAATGGGCATGTGTAAGGAGCGACACGAGGCACCAAAATCTTTCCAAGGTCACCTCGAGACCCTGGAGTCTTTCATCGATCCTTTAACGTCAATCTCACCTACATGGAACAATCCTTCCCTGGATGATATGGTAGCAGACTTGGACCGTACCTGTTGTAAACAGCCCATATTTTTCAATTTGCCTTCAGAGGGGATGGGTAGTCAGATATGACAGAAATCTGGCAGTACGACAATGTATGGACAAAAACAGATATATTAGAATCTCTAACTAAAAATGACAAATCCCGCTCTTTCAACAATCTGTGCGGACATCGATGACTAACTATATTATGCACTTTTGTATGGTATGATTGGTACCAGTTGTCACACAGGCCATCCGCTACGTGGTCAACTTCATGCACCGAACAGGTCTCCTCCAACAGGTTAATTGAACTTTGATTGATTGATTGATACCAGTTGTCACATGTGTATTCAACCATGCATTCAACTCAGTTTTCGACAAGATATTATAAGTTCTTTGAGTTCCTATTTTCGAAACGAAGTATAATATATCCGAGACCACGAACTGTTCACATCACCCATCCTAATAAATTTTAAAACTAAAGCCGAAAGAAAAGCCGAAAGCCACCGCCCCGCTGTGTTCAGCTATGCTCCGCAAAGCTAGATCTAGCACGGAAATTTGCACCGTAGAAGTAGAGAATAAACATTCCAATCTTGGGTATAAGTTAGTATGGGAAATGTAAAATCATATCCGAACTGTGACACAGATTAAATGAGAGGAAACTCACAATCCCTAGGATACTCAATCCAGCTAACAGAGTCACCCCTTTGTCAATACCGAGGTCAATGAACATGAACCGGGAGAATAGGATGAACGCAAATGCGACAACAGATCGTGATAAATCATTTCCGGCAAACAGTGAGGCTGCATACTTTGGGTACGCAAGCGACAGGTAGACAAGTACGCATTGCAATATAATGAAGACAGCTCCTGAATATAGGGCAATGCCGAAGGCGCTCACAGCCCAATGAATATTACCGTTGGTAGTCCAGGCTAAAAGACACGAAATTAGTCTCGGGGTTTAACATAAAACGCTCATCTTAAACGGGCTGGTTCTACTTACCAAAAATGAAAAGTCCGACTGTTGGCCCAAAAGAAGCGAATAGAGCAGGGGCTAGGCGGTTCTCGTGTGTGAGTTGGCCATTGGCTTTTAGAGCAGGCATGGGGCTGGTATAAAGATAAATAATATAGACAACAACTGCAAGCGCACAGCCGATTATGATTGAGATAAAGATTAGCGCGACATCCTTAGCATCAAGCCCATATTTGGCCGGATAGGTCAATGGAAACGCCTCAAAGAAGGAGTAATAGATTCCATAAACCAGGGAGGTATAGAGATTGGCGAACAGGATGGCTGGGTCTTTGGCCATTATCTCGACAGGTTTGATCAGGGTATCAAGGAGCATGTTGGGAAATGATCGACTATTTTGCGCAATCTCCGACTGCGACGAAATATTCGAGTTTCCAGTAACTCTGCGTAGTCGTCGTGCACGACGGAGGAGTATATTGTCGGCTGATGTCTCTGGAAGACAGACGACCATAAGGACAAGGATGGGTGCACCCATCCAAAGAATTTCCCACATTGCCCAGCGCCATCTGACATCATAATCAGCCACTGGTATGATGCACGCAATATCGATGGGAAGACTCACCCCTTTGCGGCGACTGAAAAGACCGACAAAACCGGACCAAGAGCTGGTCCACCGTACGCCGCAGCAACCCAGCTGGTAAATCCTAGCGGTAGGTAAATATCCGAGTACTATAATTCGACATCTGATCAGTTCCGGCAGAGGAAGAAGGCACTCTCTAACAATGGGAAGCTCTTTTGCACGAACCATATCTGCCATTGAGGCACCACCACTTGCTAGACAGGGGCTTCCGAAAAAGCCCTGAAGAAGTCGAAGAACCATAAGTCCGGCATAATTGTCCACCAAAGCGGTGGGAACGCACAGTATGACAAAGATGATGAGGGAGGTAATATATGGGATATTGCGACCATACGATGGAACCTCACTCAAGGGCGAGAAAAGCAACGGACCGAGGCCATCTGTAAGAACCGAGGCGTTAGCAATTATCCTGTGCAAGGTATGGTGGGAACATACAGCCCAATACATATAATCCCAAACCCAATGAAGCCTTCGTTTGATTGACTTGGAAATATTCCATTATTTGGCTGTTGGGTAATTAGTCGCCATTGCAAAAGTCTTCTTGTCCGATTGAGAGCTTACGGTTCAACTGGCACGTAGATTGATGAGCCAGAATATATGGCGAACGTGTACAAACTATCAAGAATTAGAGAAACTGTTGCGTGAAAACGGAGGTAAAATGTGAGGTGATATGTACCATATCTGAAATGTAACAAATCTCTTCTTCCATGACGACCAGTTTCTGGGGTTTGATGGATCCTCCGGGCCGTACCAGCCAACTATATTCTTTGTCTCATCTTGCGCGTGCGTTCCATCCGAATTGGCACCCGGCGGGAAGTATGAAGTCGGTGCTGGAGTTATAGCAGAGTCGCCGCCAAGACTTTGTTTGGATTCAATCTGGTATCTTGTCTCTTCTGGGTTCGATGAAACAAATCCTGGCTTTTCTTCCGGATAAAGTAGAATCCTATTACCGGTAATTGCTCGTAGAAATTGACCTAGAGGTGACTCGCGCACCGTATCCATATTTCGTTCGGAGTTGATCTTACATAGAATAATTTGGAGATAGATTACGGGAGATGGTTAGCTATTAACTAAAATTCAGTTGATGATCATCCTAGTACACGTCATATTATACCAAGTGGTGAGAGAATAGAGTGTACGATGTATGCAAGCCACCATCAGAGGCAAATCCGGGCAACTGGCGTAACCGCCCCTTGCGTTATGTGTTCAGCGTTTGGCATTATTGAAACTTGTAGAACATCGAATCTAGTTTTTATGAATGATCTTCAGAACACCACTCTTGTTTACAAGTGGAATATAATCCAAGACTGAGCGAGACACTCCATACAGATATTTTAGCTTGAATCATTGGTCAGTTATACTAAAATCGAACCTAAAATACGTTGATCTTTTCAGATCACTGACCAATAACGTTACTTTGTGTAACAAACCTCATGAGCACAAACCTACAGTGTTGAATCGTACGGTAAATGATGTAGTTATCTACTACATGGGTAGTGTGGTTGTTCAGGTTCTTAGACCCCATGAGGTCAGTGTCTCGTTGCCAATTCGATCTCTCCTCGATCCTCTCTCTTCCTTTCTCTCCCCCGTCCGGTCCGCTGCATATTCACACACTTTGTTTTTCTCCATAGAGACCTGTGGGTATGACGCTGCTGAATACATATGTGGTATGTACTATGTGCCACCAAATATTTGCGTCGGTTCCAAATCTGGATACTGACATATGTCATACTTGTTGTGCATAGGGAAATTGAAGTACATCTTGTTGTTCTGCTTAGCTCGTAACACATTTCATTATGTCCTTACATCCATAGGGGACTATTTTCTTCCTTTAAGAGTTAGATAGTTCTCAGTCTTCTGTGCCGTAGATATTATCTGATGAATGCATAGATTCCATGTCGAATCTTGGACGATGATTGGCTCGGCAGAATGAAATTTCGCCGCTCGATATCATCATCGGCAAAATTCCCTCTTCTTTTACCCCGTACTCAATACATCTCCTGCATACCGCATCTGCTATATTAAAATATGAAGTCTTCATCGAAAATCTCGAGTAGCGACGCGGCCATCAGAAAACAGAAAAAGAAGTCCATCGCGTAAGTCGAAAAGAACCTACCTAGGTATTACCGAGTCTACCCGCTAATGTGACGCCTCAAGGTGCCGGAGATGCCACTCACACAAAATAAAATGCACTGGTGGCCAGCCATGTCTTAAATGTCGGCAGGCTGGTTGTCCTGCCGATTGCCACTATGTCAATCGAGATCGTCAAGTTAAAGTGCACGAGAGGTATGCTCCACTACGCTCTAGGCTTGGTCCGTTGCAAGGCTAAGTATTCTAGTTATCTTGAGGAGCTCGCTGCAGAAAACCAGCGCTTGCGTGGCCAATTATCACAATCACCCGCATTCCTAACGCCAAGAGAACATCAAGCGCATGACGAAGGTATTTGAAGTTTCTTTGGTCTTTCCGGTGACTCCGACTAACGCCATTTTCCAGATGTACCCGAATCCGACGCAGATACACATGTTCGGAATCCAATGCTCGGTGAACGGGCATGGTTCCTACCATATGACCCTTCATTACCACCGATCCACGTCTGTGAAGCAGCATGCACGGCATTCGCCACCAGGCTGCGAAAGGTTCTTACCAAGAGCGAGACCACTTCTCATATGCCTCGCACTCAATACACGCCAGAAGATACGTTAATGAAAATACGCAATCCCACAATGCAATGGCCGAGCTTGCCCCGGGCTCGGCTTTTGATTCAGATCGTGTTCAGTCAGGTGACGCGGGTGTATCATTTGCTTCTTCGCAAGTCGACGATTGACCAGCTCGAGGAGGCCTATCGCGATGGCAACTTCGACGATCCGGTATTGACGTGTAAATTCTTTGCTCTCTTCGCTCTCGGAGAAGTTTATTCTGCGCGATCCACCCCGGGCCTTGAATGCAACGTCCCCGGCGTGGCTTATTACGTGAATGCGATCACAATGATACCTATTTTGCCCGAACGGCCAAGTCTGGCACATATTGAATCCCTTTTACTTTTGGTAAGATACTTACCATTTCAATTGTACGTGGGTTATATACTCACGATTGCAGTCACTATATTCGTTTTTCTTAAACCGACGCCATTCGGCATTTCTGTTGGTCGGCAGCGCTATGCGTCTTGGCTTGACTGTGGGTCTTAACCACAATATTCCAGAAAGCAAGTGCCCGGACCCAGTGCAGCGTCAGCATCGGACCAGACTATGGTGGGCAATATATGTATTCGACCGAATGTACGGCTCGAAGGTCGGCTGGCCGATTCAAATTTCTGACGCGGACATATATGTTGACATGCCATCCAATGTGCCTGGTGATATCCACAACGATCATACTTCCGACACTGAATTCCTCACCGCCAGTATTGAGTTGGCCAAGATCACAGGTCAGGTCATTGACCATGTGTACAGCCGAAAAGTGTTCGCAGAGTCTTTCTTGCAGCGGGAGCAAAAGTTGCTCATCTCTCTCAAGGAGTGGTGTTGTGCCCTACCCCCGCAGATTCGGCTCAGCCGCGAGGGTCCCGTTCCGATGAATGTTATCTCACTGCATCTTCAATTCAACCAAGTAAGTGGGTAGCCTAGCCAGGAATGGATTGTCAGCTAATCAAATGTAGTGCATAATGCTAGCCAGTCGGCCGATCCTTTTACACGCGCTGATCCAAGCTACATCCTCAGACTCTATTGCAGAGGATAATGCCCAGACGAACATCCGCCAGACTCTAAAAACACTTTGCGATGCGTGTATTCACGCCGCAAGACATACCCATTCGCTGATCGTGGAAGAGTGGACCAACGGATCAGTCCCGATCTTCGGATATTTCTATGCTCACTATCTGTTTTCTTCGGCACTGATAATGGTCATTTCCAGTCTGGTATACCCCGAGAATAGCAACGACTTTGCGTTATTCGAAGCAGCTTTCGAAATTCTTCGAGCGATGAGCAGCCACGGGAATCTTGCTGCAACCGAATTTTACGATAACTTGGAATGCGTGAAGCAGTGCTTGGATGAGAGGAGGGGGTCAGGAGACGGTCATTTCCAGAGTGATTTATCTCGAGTTGCAGAGAGCTCAAGTGAATCTCTCGCTGTCATCGCCCCTCACCAGCTGGGGCTTTTTGGTAATACCGCTACCTCTGGTATTCCTGAAGCCACCGTACAGACAAATCATGCCAACGACATGGCTTTCCTGGGGGAGAGCATGGAAGAATTCCTAGCCCAGCCAGACGTCGATTTCGACATGCTCGACCCCTCTCTTACCGATGCTGTATACTCGTGGCCAAACTTTTCTCTATGGACCTCATGAAAAGATAATGTGACAATTGCAATATATCAATGAACACACGAAAATACCACGACTAAAGGAAGTTGGAACGGATAGGAACAGTGACACGGTTCCACTACCATCAACAATATTAGATACTATGTTTCTTCTAGGACTAAGCTTGTGAGCAAATTACGGAAGAATATAGTATCTCTCTCCTTCCATGATGTAAATTCAAGGATACAACCCAAGAACGCTAATTCGAGTGATGGCCATCAATGTCAGTATCCACAATGCCCTCACTAGATCACTGGAACCCCTCAGGCCTCCCATCTGCCATCCACACTATAGTGTCCAATGCCGGTCTCAAGTCTTTCCGCAGGGCGTCGAGTCTGTGGGCAATGGCAATGGTGGTGTGCCCTTCATTCATAAAATACTCTTTCACCATTTCCTGCATCTTGATTTCCGTCTCGAAGTCCAAGGATGAGCTGGCCTCGTCCAGAAGTAGGATTGGTTTCCGTTCGTCAACCAAGGGGTCACCTTCGCCAGTTGATGGTTTGATTCTTAGCAATGCCTGGGTGAAGGCAAACATCTGCCTTTGGCCTGTAGATATAGGTGGAAAACTAGCGAGTGGCTGATCGAGAAAGTCTGAATTTGTTGTGTCGGGAACAATTGCGTTCGTTGTGTAGCTCTGTTGATCCGATGTAGAAGCTTTTGACCAAAGACCAGTCTTGTGAAGCATTTCTACGATCGTAGCATCTTGATGTTGATTATAGGGGTCGAGATTGAATCGAAGGCTCGCATCTGGCAGCATGAAAGGGTCCTGAGGTATAGCAACGAAGCAGCGTCGCCGTACAATATGCACTGGCAAGGTCGTGATATCCACGCCGTCAACCTCAATTGTTCCGGCCTGAGGTCTTACCAACTGCAGTAGCGTAATAAATAGGCTGCTTTTCCCACTGCGACCAGTCATTCAAAACTCCGTCAGCTTTGAAAATTCGATCTATCAAGCACTTATTGCGGCAAAAGTACCTTCCAGTTCGACCACACAAAATGACACCTGAGCCACCTGGGATGTCCATATTAACCCCACGAAGGACCGAGGTTTGTAAACTGAAGGCACAAACATAAATCTTGTCAGCGATTAGTCTACCAGGTTCTGGCAAGTAATACTGACTCATAGCCTGCTGATAGGTCTTTGATTTTCACGGAACCCATACTTGGCCACTCGGGAGAGGGGTCTACGTAGTCGCAGCCTTCATCTTCAGAAAGGGTGTCACGATCAACAGATCGCAGCCTTGACACTGCCCCAAGGGAAGTCTCGAGGGTTGTCCAACTTTCAACCAAGCGAAGCAATGTCGTGTTTGCAGCAATAACCATATTCAGCGCGATACCCATATCAGGACCGGTAACCGTGTTGCGAAATCTCACTGCTGAAGCAATTAAAACCACAGCAATCCCTGCAATTAACAAATCCAGAACCACGTTCAGCCATCTCTGTAAACAGAGGAGAAGATACAACGGCCTCTGAGAGATGTCCAATTTCTCGGTGTTGTTGATCGCAAACCTATCTTCCCATCCAAACGCTCGAATTGTAGCAATTCCTTCAATCTGCTCAGGAATTAGTGTTAGCCAAATCTAGGACAGACATACCCTGCTTACTGTCTCTAGAAAACTTGTATAAAGTTTCGCTCTTGACTCTAGGTCAATGAAACGCAGTTGTCGAGAGGTTCTCAGATAGACTCGTTGAATGAAGTATACACAAATAGTGCAGAGCGGTAGAGTCATTGCTATAGTGGGCTGAGCCAGAAATATGACGATGATCTGCATCGTAAGTTTAAAGATTTCTGGTATCTCATGTTTAGCGTAAGCAAATGGCTGGTAAATATAGTCCTGAACGTACGGGTACTGAGATTTGCCAGGGCAGGAGGCATCTCCTTGTCGACTAATTGAATATCCTGGCCAAATCTGGAATATGGACAATTTAGTAAAGCTGCCATCAGATTGAATTAACTTATCAGACTTATCAGACCTATTCAATATGGTACCAATCTCAAAGGTTGAAAAGTATGAAAGCGGCGCACTATTCAAATTAGTTATTCAAATTAGTTATTTGGCCTCTTTATCGAGCGGATTCTTGAAACAAACTTCATTATTTTCCCGAGCAGTCGAGAATGCAGAGTAGCACCGGATCTTGGAGCGATGACTATATGCGTTGACCTTGAACCCCGGTTTAGTCAATGGCTGAATTGACGGAAGAGCGATAGACTAACCACATAGTCCCGTTGGTCGCTATCCAAGCCATTAGAGACAATAGGAAGTACATCAGAATATACGACGGTGAGTTTGCATTGTCGGATTCAGTCCACCACTTGAGAATGTACTGTGAAAAGGTTAGACAGAATGCATATGTTGCCGTGCAGCTTGCCATGAACAAGATATTCGAAATGCCGGCTGAACCAAAATAATAGCCTTGATTTGGCATCAGCTCCCACTCATCACTTACGCGTAGCGCTCGAGGTATAAAACTTACCGTAGACTGCGAAATCCCCGGTCCGCCTTGATTTATCGGCAGCGGCATCATCTATGCGTGTTCGATTTGTCTGTGACTTGGCGTTCTTTTCAAATTTATCACCCTCTGATGTCTTTTGCGAAACAAAACTTTTCCTCGTGTGGGAGCCTTCCTGGAGGGTGGCATCTTGGGGGCTGCAGACTTGTACTTTTCCTTCATTGACTAGAATGATCTTATCGGCCAAGGAATAATACTGAGCTGAGCGATGTCAGAAAGCGTAAACCATGGGAAATGGTAGGGTTCAGACATACTACCATGAGTAATGAGAAAGACAGTGCTTTTCATTTTGCGCAGAATCCCATCAGGGCCAAGCAAGGCATTGACAATTTGGTCCTCGACTCCCGGATCAATAGAACTGAACGGATCATCCAAGACCATAGTACGACAACGAGAATAAACTGCACGAGCAACAGCCTTGAATGATGTTCTCAGTAATTTGAACAATTGAGGGTCTGGACAAGAAGAAACTTACAATGCGGGCTTGTTGTCCCCCAGAGAGATTAATGGCACCACTTCCAACCAACGTCATATCCCCTTCGACCAGAGATTTTAAATCGGTATCGAGACTGCAGGCTCGGATCACAGTTTGGTACCAGTCCGCATCAAATTGGCTTAATTGTCCGCAAATAATATCACGTATGGAGGCAATAGGAAGCCAGACAGAAGGGCTGCAAAACGCAATATTATCATCCGCAATATTAATCTTACCCTCCGTGGGAGTGATTTCCCCCAGAATTGTCAATGCCAGGGCCGATTTTCCACTGCCAATAGGCCCTGAGCATATGGCGATTGAACCTTCAGTCATCTGAAAGTTAACATTCCGAAGAATTGGATGTGAGTTAGGGGGCTGAACGGTAACATTTTCCAATGCAAATGCCAGTCGCGGACCAGGTCGGAGTTCATCTTTGCTCCCTGATGTAAATACGCGCTCATCTGGTAACGCTCCTTGGGTCAAGTAGGCTTGTATTCTTTCGAAATTTGCCAAAGACGCAACTGCACGAGGTACTATCGTCATGACCATATTGGCTGGGTGAGTAACTAGGCCGAGAAGAGCAATCGAGGTGAAGGCAACATCAGCATTCAGTGTCTCCTGTGCATTGCGCGAGACTGCAAACAGGACCAACGTCAAAACCGGGGAGAATATCCCTAGTGCATTAGCTGAGAATAGCAACCAATCGTCAGCGTCAATAAAAGTTTCACAGTCAACAGGAATTGGTAGTATCGTACCACTGGCATTGTATGCTACCATAATCCACCGTAACATTATCGACTTCGCAATCTCTCCGTTCCTCAAATTTGAGACGACAAGGCTGGTAGCCTGCTCGAGACCTAGGATTTTCACACTTTTTATCCCCCCGAGGACAGAGGTAAGCATTGAGAGGCGGTCCTGAGTTGCAGCACTCCAATCCATTTGTCTTCCCTGGAGATGCTTTGCGACATATGCGCTCATTTGAGAACACCCTGTCGTTGCTTAGCTTTTGTCTGGTCTGAATCGCTAGTGTGTGATATATCATACCAAATACAATTAGTAAGGGCAGTAGTGCAAACCATCCAATTTGTCTCGCCAGGAGAGTCGTTCCAACCAATACTTCCAGAAGTTGGGCCCAAGTCTCATGAAGCATCTCTGCAGAGGTGTTGACGCTGTCGACGTCTGCGCTCATAAGTGTCAAGGCCTTTCCATCCTGTACAGGGGAGTTTTCAACCCTGAGTGATCCGGCATGAAGAAGGCCGATAAGAGCTCCCCGCGCCATCATCTGGAGCCGGTTGAGCTTTTGTCGATATACCGATGTGGAGATCTATGCAACAATATTATCAGACATCTTGAATCGATTATAAGTTGCTGTTTAGGAACCCTACTGCAAGACCGCAATATATGACGGTGGTGAGGAAAACAAGCCAGTATCCCGAATCAATGGTGTCGTGTTGGGGACTACCATGCCGCACAAAGTTAATAGCTATTTTAATGAGCATCGGCTGTAAGTAGCGGAAGATTATCAAGAAGAGTCTTGGTAGAATAGGCGATAAGCACTCTGCCCAAAAACAATCAAAGAGAACACGAGGCAACGTGAACCTGTTCTCTGATTTTGCTAAAAGGAATGTCAATTATTTCATTATCCCAACAGTTGGTTTGTAGCATACTTGCATCTCTGTGTCCAAGCCCGTATCAACCGTTTCCTTAAGCCTCTCGAGGAGAGTGCTCGGTCAACATTTGGTAAGTCATCTTGCGTTAAAATGTCATAGTAACCCTCCTTGATAATAGGGTTGATCCACCAAAACAGCGCACGACCAAGAACTCCGGTAACTTCCTCGGGCGCAAGATGTTTAGAACGAGGCTTTAAGATTGCGAGCCTGTTTTGAAAGTCTACTATCAGTAGACTCAACTCCAGCACCAATCTTATGCTCACGAGAATCAGCTCTGTAGTTCCGAGATTTCCCGATGGTAAGGTCAAGGCTATAAAATCCTTGATCGAATATAGGCCCACGTAAAGAGTGACTGTACTAGACGGCCGAACAGTCCTGCGGTGCTCCAAGAATGACAGTATAGAGAGCTCGAAAGCAGCGAAGGTCGATGCAAATAATGGAATCGGGTAAATGAAACCGTCTGAAAGGTTTACTTCAGTGAGGGAAACTATTTGGGTAATGGTAATCCCAAGGACTAGGATCTATTAACTTCGCACGCATTAGCCAATCTGCAGGCGGTTTTAGAGAAAGATGGAGGGCGATCTGACTGTTTTGATATGGCCTTGGAGATTAGGCACCACTTTGATGCCTGAACCACGTAGATTCCACAGTTGGAAAGGCGCGTAAAGAACGAAGATCAATGATAACAAAGGCGAGTACAAATTGAGCCAGTGGTACTCGGCAGACATGGTTTTGAAGAAACTTGTGTACCGTGTGAAGTGAATATGAACCCCAAAGCGTAGGAAAAGTTGATCTCAGCTCATCCAGAATTGTGAGGTTTTGTCTCTTCGACACAAGGGTTTTATATCACCGCCATTCCTTTTAACAAGGATTCTAATCGTCGCTTTTTCAGCTAGCGCGCACAATTTGGCGCGAGATAAATTACTCCGTCCCATAGAGTACAAAGCTACTTTTGATATTATGGCGCAATATTGGCTGTTGATTCGTGCTGTGGCGTTAACTGAAATAGAAGTAGGCCAGTCAGTCTATAATTAACTAGCTATAGAGCCGCAGCTTTTATGTCCTCTCTGCAAGCTTAATTCATTCGAGTCAATCTTATATGCTGGAATTCGTTCTCTCGCTATTATGGCTTATGAAAAAATATTGTCCATGGCCAAGATCGTTCCTTACAACTTCTGCTTCATATTGTTACGCCGGCAAATTATGAGCATGCTTTTGGTTTCCATAAATAGGTAGAATGCCTAAGTGCTGATGCATTACTCCGTAACTAGAGGCACCCTTCCCTTTGAGACTTGACGTATTAAAACCCAAGAATCCATCAAATCATTTGTGATAGCTTAGTTTAGTACCGGAGTCCGGCCTACTCCGACCGAGTGGTTTTGCGGCTTAATATTTAACCTTGCACCTGTAGCTATTATTTCATGACCCCTATCTTATAGTGGTTAAGCTGACTTTGTAAGCTCCTGTGACTGACGGGGTTTAGGTAATTATTTCGGTTCTCTCTGAGCTCGGACTTTCAAGTATTCAAGCTTTTTTCGAGTCCATCCGAACTGCAAGCCCATATTTATTGGTCCTTTTAAGACTTGATTTATTAATCACCTGTGACGTGGTTTTATGCTCACCCGCCCTGACACTATTAGCATAATAGGGATAATAATCATACGCGATTTATAGACATCGAAACAGCCTATTCTAGGCATCCAGCCGAAATTCCTGTCTAGGCAAGTAGATATTAATTGCTATTATTGATAAACACATCAAGGAACACCCCAATTAATTGAGACCTCTTTTGTTTTTAGGTAACCGGTGATTGGGTCATACGGCGCCACATCAGGCTTCACCAGTCATGCAACATTGTATGTGAGTCACGGGCATTGGGGATGACATCAAGTCACATGTATTTTGGCTGGTAATACAGATAAAAATATGAGGCAAGACATCTTAATATCTTAATATTTTCAATGTTCTCTGTATTCTTCGTACTTCATCTCTATATCACATTTGATATCAACTTTCATAGTTCGCGGTTCTTTGGTTCCCCCGCAGTGGGTCCCGTGTGTGCCTGACCGCTCTGCCTCTTCGCTGGCACTCTTCTGTATTGACATGCGCCCAACCTCGAAGCCTGTGAGATGAAATGCTTTGATGCATCTGCTTGCATGCACTTCTCACTATCTCATACCCCGCATTCATGGCTTCTGCGGATATTCACTGGGGTACATTGATCAATTCAGACAAGAGCCCAGCCCCACTGCTGGAACAGCTATGTCTTGGGATCGCGCAGTTGATGGTAAGTTCCAGACTCATATTACGTGGATTAGAGACCATACTGACATCTCCCAAGTCCTCCTTTGACACCAACGGCACCACTGATATCACCCCCGAGCGACTCGCTGCCTTTTACCGCAAAGTTGGCGGCAACTACGACCCTTTATTCCTTGAGACCAAGGCACAAGCCCTGTCATTCATCTACCAGTCACTAGGATGTTTCCACAGCCTCCAACCCTCAGCCAATCCTTACGAGCCCCCATCTATTCCCTCGCTACTTCCAAATGGCTTTGTGCGGTGGCAGACAATACAACTGTTGATGGACCCAGATGAACACTCGGTGTATTTGCAGAATGCGGTCAACCTCTGGGATATTGCAGACGCAAATGGCGATATCTTCCCGAAGACAATCCCTCGAGACGCGTTTCCTTCCGAGCCCGACCCAGAGATGCTTGAATGGCACGAAGGCGTGAGTCGGCGATTGGAGCGTGACTATTTGAAAAGACACACAAAGCATGCTTCGCCGCCAGACTTTGGGACATATCATTACCATTTTAGTGGCAAGGATCCTCTGCCTGACGAAGATGACTACTTTTCCCGTCCACGCCGGGCGGGGTCAAAGCGTCACAGCCACGTGGAGCCCGATCGGCGCAGCGACCATCGCAATCACCGCCGACGATACAGCGGAGAATATCCCGCATTTTCTGCACGCAGGCCTGGAACGAATCGACCGGGCTTTTCAACCCCGAGAGTTTCATCGCCTCCCCCATGGGGAGAGCGTCCGCCCCGTCCAAATGGACGAGACCAAGGTGGCCGGCACGGCCATCCACTAAGCCCAGGGACAGGTGAGGTTCCAGATGTCTCTGATGTGTCTTCAGATGAGTCCGCACGCCACCGCAAGGACCGTGCGAAACCAAATAGGCACCAAGAGCGACGTCATCTATCACCACCTTCCAACAGCAGTGCTAGACGCCACTCCCATGAAGCCTACACCCGCAGACCGTTCCGAGATCTGTCACCGACAAGTCCTACCCGACAACGCCGCGGGCACGAAAGCCACTCTTCACGATCTAGCAAATCCTCTAGTAAATCCCACTCTGAGCCTTCGCCAAAGGTTCACCCGAGAGATCACGCAAGGGACCACCCGAGAGATAGGGATCCCAGAGATTACCCAAAGGAGAATCCAAACGATCATCCAAAAGACCGTTCTCGATCACGCACAGCAGGTGTCAAGTTCCGGGAATTCATATTCGGCGACCCGGCCCCTGCGCCAGCTGCTCCAGATCCACCTTTCTACAGGCCTCCAACCCCTCCACCACCAAGAGCGGTACCCAGACACCTGGGACCTTACGCCGCAGATGACATGAGAAGAGGAAGCTACAGTGGTGGCAGTACAGGTAATAGTCGACCTAGTAGCGGAGGAAGCGGGTCTGAACGGCAGCGCTCATACAGCAGTGCTGGGTTCCACCCCCGCACAACGGGATGGGCGAGCCCTCGCAGCTCCGCTTCAAAGCGATATACCCCGGCCACTGTACCCGAGGATGACGGATACGTTCCCTCACGGAGAGTCCCGATTTACGAATAATTCTTACGACTGATGCACCTTGATATTTAACGAATTTCTTGCTTCTGCCATTTTTTCTCATCATTTTGAGCATATGAGCATTTACTTACCATTGGCTCTACGCATCTATCACCACCATCACGACAGACCTAGCATTCCACTTTTCTTTTTGACGGGCTTATTTATTTGGCGTTTCGTTCCTTCTGGATTTCTACGTTTCTTCGCACCAATGATACTCACGATTCGAATGAATATTGAATGACAAGCATAAATAGATCAGAGCACATGGAGGTAAACTGAAAGTGCATCTGTAGATCTATGCCATGGTGCTTCAAACTAAGACACATACTTAGCTCACGGTGCATCCCATGATGAAGGATATATAAAGTGTGATAAAACCTTACTGTCTTGTTGTTGCAGTGTGACGTGAACTCTATTGGCCCAATAATTGTTCAGTGTAGCAATTTAATCAATAACAAAAGCAGAATTCGATATAAATTTAGTCCGACAGATGCGCCCTTTGGAAAGTAAACCCATAATCACGCAGCACAGCACAGATATCGTCGTCCTCAAAATTAGACGTACTAGACGGCGGCATTCCCAGAAGCGTCATATTCCGCTCAGAAGCCGCATATTGCTCAATAACAAACCCCTCAGCACGCCCAAGCAAGGAATTCGAACCCACCTCCCCACCAAATATAGAAAGAGTACTTGCATACGCAGGACCACGGACCTTCAAGAACTCCAAATCAGGATTTGGGTTCCTCTCACGGAAAAACGCACCGAATACATCATGGACGAGCTGCGAGTGAAGAATATCCCGATCGTCGTAGTACGGACGCACATCTTCCGTCTTGGTGTTCAATGTACCCCACGCGAGCAAGACATCTGATGTATGACAGGAAGCGTTGTAACGACTATTCGGGTAACAGATATCCGGCATATCCGCTGTCTGCGCATGACCATCTGCTATCTGGATTTCGTATAGGGAAGGGAAGGCGGAATTTGAATTATTGAGAAGATAGCCCTGTGGACAAGTCCACTGGCTGTGGGTCACGGCATCGGCAAGAGCGTTAAGAACAGCATCGGTGTCCGAATCATCGACTTGGTACGTGCCGGAGGAGATTATCTTCTGAGCGAGAGGCTCGCCGAATATAGCATCTAGCAATGTAGCGAGTGGGGTCTGGGTCGCGCCGAGAATGCCCAAAAAGAGGCTTGCCTCGTCGCGGACGGTGGTGAACATAGTCGGGACGTTGATGGGGAGGTTGCCGTTGGCTAAGAGGGTGTTGAATTGGTCGTCGATTACACCTGATCCGGTGTCGTCTACCATAGGCATGAATGGCTCTGCAGCGGATATAATTTGCGTGTCGTTGTAGAATTTTGCGATGCTGGATGAGAATGCCTTTGTAGCAGTTTGGAACTCGGTTGAGTTATCGAGATACATTGAAGCCGGGACGGAACGAAGGCACTCGAGAAGACTTGCTTCTGAAGCATTGCCGTCACAGCCAACTGCCTTTCCGATTTCTGGGGCGATGTATTTAGAGTAAAGAGCGTGAGGGAACCACGGGAAGTCGATGTTTGCTGATTGCACCAGCGCGCCGGAGAAGAGGCCCTTCGCTGCGGTGGAAGAGAGCAGGGCTACCACGCTCTGGGCACCAGAAGACTGCCCGAAGACGGTAACTTGGGATGGATCACCTCCCAAGGCAGATATGTGCTTTTTTACCCATTCCAAGGCCATAATCTGGTCTTGAATACCGTAGTTCCCGCTTGTCAGGTTGCCCGTTGACAAAAAGCCCAACGCTCCGACTCGATAATTAAGCGTGACAACGACCACATCACTGCGGCTGGCGAAGTTTCCTCCGTCATAATCAACCATAGCTGCAGTACCTTTCGTGAATGCGCCCCCGTATAAATAAACAGCCACGGGGCGAAGCGCGGTGTTCTTGGTGACATTGTGAGGCAGGAATGGGGTGAAGACGTTCAGATAGAGGCAGTTCTCAGACATCCCACCGATAGGCGCATGCGAAACGCTTGAAGGAGATTGGATACATGAATCCGCCATGCTAGTTGCATCGATGTTCTTCTGCCCCGTGTAGGCTTGCGGTGAGGCCAAGCGCAAGTTATCGATTGGGGGACTCGCAAAGGGCACGCCGAGGAAGCGGAAGGACCGCGCATCTCGATATCCAGTTATAGTATAATCGTTGGATGTCACTGTCAACTTCGTGGTTTCCCTTGCGGCTCGGTCGAGATCTGTTGTCGCGGGCGGAGTAGATGTGCAAAGGGCAGGTAGCTTCTCTTTGCATGATTTTCCTATGACCTCGCGATGGGCAATCGAGAAAGCAAAACAGCCCTTGCGATTTTCTTGTGCTGTCGACAGCCACAAATAATCATCGCCTCCTAGCTCCTTTGCAAATACGAGATAGTCCAGTTCATAATCGAGTTCGGTGCGACTTTGACTGTCATTTTCGTTCGAAGACCACGGGAAGAGCTTCTCGCCAATAGCAGTGCATTTTGCAACAGCATCGGCATAGCTCGAGTGATCGTGTGCTAAAACGGCTGAAGTTCCATTGTTCTGAGGTCCAAGGTTGTTGTAGTGCAATACGCGGAGAGCACCAAGGGATTCAGCAAGGGGGTGGCGTTCTTCGGCCAAGCCCTGGCTCAAAAGAAAAGACAACGCGAATACCACGAACCTGAACTTCATCTCGAAATATATTTTTAAAGAGCTGGAGCCGGTGGATGGGTCTGTAAATAAATAAATTCCTATGATATGGGGGTTGAGTCTCGCTTAATGCAGCATCACAGACCGCATGCATTATGATCTGCGGATTTTCCGGAGTTGGTCATTCTCGTCCTCGAGGTATGAAGCAGGAAGCAGCTTGGAGCGGTGAGGATTCAACCATGGTTTGGTTCTTGCATATGTTGGAGAATGGGAGAATTAATTTTTGCAGTGGCCTTTAATCCCCAGAAGTCATTGCTTGAAAAATGCCTTCCTTGTACTGCCCGACTGTGTACTCCATGACTCGACGAAGAGTTCTCAAAAGAGACGTAGTATGTTTGACACTTGTGGTACACCCGTCTAAGTCAGATAAAGGGCCCCAGATGCGCTGTAGGAAAAGCAGTTAGCGATTGTAACGAAGCCACTAAAGCATGTTACCTACTACTTCTTTCAAGACGCCAGATCCTTCGACTCCGATTGCAATATAGAATTTCCAGTCCTCCCCAACAGCAGTGCAACCAACAAGTGGAGGCAAGTCTTTCACATTCCTGCGCTGTGCGAAAGCCCAAATCAGGAGCCCTGTCATCCATACCCCAATCTGGACTTGCGCTTCTACTAAGTTTCCATCCGTGGCTTTAATTTCAACACCAGGGCCCAGAACGCGTTTTCCAGTGTGCGGATGGGTCATGTGGCTGAAATATTTCCCTGGGGTATGAAGCCCCGCCTTTTCATACTCCACTTCCCAAGCGTCGACGGGAAGACCAACAACCAAGTCAATTTTGCGATTATATGTATCGCGGGCTGTATAGCGAGGTTGGTACTGGGGGTCAACGGATTCAGTTTGGCTACTAGAAATCAGCAATGAGTAGGGACACATGGGTGCTTCGTGGAACATACATGCTCCAACACTCTAACGGTAGTTCTCTAATAGCGCCCTCCAATAGCGGTAGTGCTACCTTATTCACCCAAGAACCTTCACTACGCAGTTCAGTGACACATTGACACGAAGAATTCGAGATTTTCCGAGCAACATCTTCATTCTCACCGGACTCCGAATCTTTTGCTAGAGTTGCTAGGAGCTGACTCGCAGAGAGGCTTTTCGGGTCGGCAGATTCATGTATATATACCACTCGGGGACTAGCGGCGGCTAGTTCAGCTTTCACGCGCGATAGACTCGATGAGGGTGATCTCCCACCACCCCGACTAACCGCGGAGCTTGATGAGGCCAGGGCAATGATGTCGTCGGTTGTTCCAAAAGCGGGTTGGTAGGGTCTTTTGGAAGGATCTGACAGGGATATCAGATTCTCGGCTTCGTACACCGACCTCTTGCGTGTGTGCTGAGTTGCTTGAGTTGAAGGAGGCCTCGCTAGGTTGCCCGCCAGTTTTTCGAACCGATCAGTGTTAGGTGGGGTTTTCGGTACGCTCCTGGCAACTTCCTCGGCCCAAGACAAGATCGCGGGGATTTTCCCAGAAGACATCAGGGCGAATTGAACGCAACATGGTATGCTGCAAAGTGGACCTTCTTCTTCCCTGGCGGACTCGTGATAAGTGACAAAATAAGTTGTTTGGAATATTCCCCCGCATTGATTGTTGTTGGAGCAACCGCTGATGATAATGATAGATCACATTGTATTCCAGAACCATAGTTATTTCAGTCACACGACACTTTCTCCGCTAGCTATTCACAGGCATTCAACAAAATCTCTGGCATAGGCACATGTTTACTTCAATAAAGCGATCTATGACACCAGAGGACAACAACCTTGGTCCTGAGACTTCACGAATTAAACCACATTCTGGCCACTCGTAGCGGTAGTTCATAATCCACATCCAAGTAGTACCTCCATGGGCTCATATTGACATGCAACACGTTGCAATCCGAGTTAAATGCGACAGTACCCTGACGAAGATGCTCGAATGTCCGGAATGCGTCAACCCCAGTCAAAGCAGCATAAATCATACACGCAACAGCGGCCATACTCAGACTACCGGCAAACCCGAAATCAAGGTGAGATACTTTTCTTCTCCATTTTCCAGTACTCCCCCCTTTAACCATGGATGCGATCAACGGGAATGCGCCGAGGACACATACCATAATAATAGAAGCAATAGAAAGCGCCACAAGCAAACCAGCAAGACCTATATAACCACTGATGTATCGGTGAGGAAATATGAAGTCATAAGATCTGAAAAGTCTCTTGTTGGAGCAGATTTGCTCTGCTGAGCATGGCGAGGATCCAGGTGCATCCAGGATGCGAGAGGCGAGACAATCGTACGCAGGATAGGGTAACACACTATTGAAACCGGATCGCGTGCTGTATACACAGATGTATATTGAAGCTACCCACTGTAGAGTTGCTAATGTGTTGAGTGTCCACCTTACAATTCGTGCCGTTCTAGGAGAGCGTCGGAGAACACACTCAAATGGATGATAATGTATGATGTAACAATATTTCCATAGCGATACCCAGCCCAGCATGGAGGGCATGGGGTATTGTGTTGGAATCATGGCAAATCTGCCAAAGCCAATGCACCACCAGATAAACGAAGCGAGATCCCAGGCCATGATTAGCCAAACATCCCACTCTGTCCCTTTGCACGTGGTATTTTCGTCGCTGTATAAGGCCTTTTGGAGCTTGTGGAGTTGCCAAAAGGCCATGAGGAAAGTGACAGCAGCCTTGTTCCATACTTCAAGGATCGTCGGCCAAAAGGCCGATGGACGTGGTGTGGATGGTATCACCTTGAAGTTATTGAAACAGCTTATCACCTCGCACCAGTTGTAAATGGTATTGTTATTGGTCAAATTGTTCGGCACTGGCAGAGACGTTCCGATCAAGGCCACAACACCTGAAGTGTTGACGTCCAGTAGATAGGTTTTGATAGAGGCACAATCCTGCGTGAGACCAGGAGACTTGTAACAATCCTTGAACATGGTATTCTTGTACACCGCGTATTCCGGGCTGTTGGGATCGAAGCCGGTGTTGTCCGTTCTCACTGCGAACAAGACCATGATGCCAATTCCCAGGACTAAAAGACATCCCAACACCACGAGGAAAAGCCATATCAAGCCTGTTATTATGTTTCTCGAGCGCTTCCTACTGTATCGCGGAGGAAAATCTGGAAACTTGCACTCGGCAGTGCCGACTTGTAAATATTAGCATTGGCTGCACATATAGGCGTGAGAAAGCAAAGAGTAGGTATATACACACAGTCATCTCGACTCTCGTTATTTTCCACGGTAATATAATCGAGCTCATAGTATTCTCTTCCTGACCGAGGGATGTGGCTCGGCATATTGAAGGAAAATGTGTCCAATATTCAACCGAAAAGTTGGGGGCAAATGTGCTGTGCAGGAGACTGAATACCCCCTGCTGGTATAGATGAAAAGGTGATAAAACCTCGATGGAAGAGCAGGGGGTATATAATAGTATGACAGGTTCTCACGCTGATATTGTAGACCCAAGTCCCACCTTAGAAGCACCCACTCTTGCGCCTCCACAATGTTGATTAGACGCTCATGCACGCTCGGCCACTATACCAGGCGTTTAGACTAAATATAGTTCTGCAAGAGTATGGAGTATTCCATTGTGGTAGAGTGCTTGTTTTCGCACATGGCTAGTGGCAGCCACAATAGTTTCTGCGGTTAGTGCGCGTGGGGGCTGAACAGTTCGTATCGGGGATGGAACCAAATTAGTGAAGCGTAGCAAACCGAAATTGCCGTCGAGGTCTACGCTAATTCAGGAACCTATTATAGCGAACCATCAGCCACATTCAAATGCTCACATGAAACTGTTGTCGGTTCATAGGCAAACAATTCCGGCTCAAAGGAGTTGTTTACCGTAGTTTTTCCAATGCCGTGCCATATTTCTTGCTTCATGAAGATAATCCCCATCGTATAGGAAAGCCCTGTGGGTCCGGCAGTCAGCCTTTGGTTTGCTGATCCGTATGTGGTCAGCATGCATGCAGTTGATCGTGTGATATATACGTTCATATTCGAGAAGTTGTGGCCTAAGGCTGCCGTGATTCCATGGATTGGGAAGGCGCGACATCAATTTTCTCTTCTTCAAAAAAATTAGCCCAGTATGACGAGAAGGCCAGAGAAAACCATCACGCTCTGAAATTGACCCCAAATTGACCGCAACGTTGGCGCCCTGTATGAGTCGTGTGCATATGCCAAGAAGCTAAGGCTTTAGGGCAACCCAATAATGTTCGATTGTAGTTCAGCTGAGAGTGTTGGTGCGGCGATCGCGCGACGTGGATGACCATCTGCAAATCAGGGGTGTTTTTGAATCAAGAAAGAGCCTCTTGTGGAGTTCTAGACTTCGTTTGCTGTAATCCAGTGCCTCGCCATGAATCGATCTTGACTTTCTTCGCCATATTAGCCTCCTTTAAATCCGCTAGTATTGCGGTAACCTGCTCCGGAGCACCGTTGATTGTTGGTATTTTTTAATTCTGACCCTTTGAATCATCACACCATGTTGATTCTATCGCTGGCCTTCCTATTCGTGAAAGACTCGCTGGCCTTTAACTCCACAGCTCTCGTGAGTTGGCAGCAGGAAGGGAATGGCCGCTCCACATGGGACATCCTGTGGCCATGTTTGACAAAGATCTTTGCTTGCACATGGACCATCCTCCACTTCGATGTTTGGCCCCGAAATATTTCTGGCAGACGGGTCTGGCTCTCACAATTACGGATAGGCATTCTTGCCATTTTGGCGCCGGAATTCATCTTCTTAGTCGCAGCTGAACAACTCAACGATGTTAAAAGACTGAGAAAAGTGTGCAACGCAGCTCAAAAGGAAAGAGACGGCGAGACGGCGGAGCCCAAGTTATGGCTTTCGGGGCACAATAGGCCCCTGGAACAAGCAGAAAGTCTAAACCATATCGATTTGAATCCAGTCAACACGGAGTGGTCCGTTTCCCAATGCTTCTGTATTATGCTGGTCGTCTAAATACAGGATGAATAGATTTACACTCTACGGTTCACGGAGATGAAAGCATTCATCCAAGCCGGCATCTTACATTGCTCCGACTTCCCGGACCAGGGTATCGAGGATCGGGCGAAAGCAAATCCCTTTGCCAAAGGATTCGCTATCCTCCAGCACACCTGGATTCTATGCAACGTTATTGCAAGATGGGCGTCCGATCTACCGGTCTCGCCGATCGAATTGTTGACTGTCGCCTACGTCGTCTACGGTCTCTTGGTATATGCCGTGTGGTGGTATAAGCCCAAGAATATGAGCACGTCGATTAAGATCTATATTCGGTATACCCGAGCTACCCTACCGGCTGAGATACACCGTTTGACCGAATCCCACCCTAAGGGATGGGTTCATCTCCGGGTACGCATTAAGAATGAAGCGTGGATCTCGCTTATATGGAAGATCATCAAAGCGCCTGTCTTGGTAATTTATGACTCGGCGAGTTCTATGGCAGCAGATGAGGCAGCTCAGAGCTATCTTAAGACACAACCATCTGAGCATATATTGTTCATTTTCATGTGTACTTTTGTCGCCAGCCTTTTCTGTGCTATCCACGTTGCCGTGTAAGTTCCCCAGCGCCTTTCCTTTATGCTATTCGTTTCTATCGATCAACACCAAAAAGGAAAAAGAAGAAGATAGGCCAATTTCTTTTTCTTTAACCCGCACAGGTGGAAATTTGATTTCCCGTCCTATGCCGAACGCATAGCGTGGCGTGTCTTCTCGCTGTCTTCGGTTGCTATGGTAAATACTTTTAGCGTTTCGAGTATCGTCCTGGTTTACGGCAGATTTCTGGATTCACACGGTCTGCTGCCTCCAATCGTGAGGGCCTTTTCACACGCAGAAAGCATTTGCTTTCGAATCAGCATTATCATTTTGCTAGCGAGCTTCCAGTTGTATGTTACTGTCCGTCTAGGGATGACGGCTCTTGTCTTTGCGTCATTGAGGGCCCTTCCTGTAGGCTCTTATCCGAATATTGAGTGGGTGTCAACCATACCACATTTTTCATGAGATCATATATTTCAATAGCCCATGAATTACACAATTTAGTGTTCAGAAACGTCATTACTGTTCCATTATCTATGAGGCTGTTATTCAAGTAATATCTCGCTAATCGTATATACTAGTTACCATGGATTGTACAACCTAAATCAGACGCCTTTTAATTCTCAATGTTCCATATTTACTCTCAAAATTGACGATTTGGGCATCACCATTTCATTGCTCATGAGACCGCTGCCAGTTTAGTTCGGACAGGCTTGTTCTCTTCCATCCCAGGGTCTGGGAACCCAGACACATGGACACCCTTCCGGAAAAGAAGACAATGTGTCGAACCACCAAAATGGAACATACCAAGTTCATCTCCCTTCTCCAGTCTATCACCCTCCTTGACAGTAATATCACATGTCGAAACTTCTGCCATCCCAACTCCAATAAACGCCATCAAACCAATGGCTGGCTCATCCGCTTCAATAAAAATAAGTGCACGCGTCGCAGTTGAAGTAATATATCCCTGCGAAGTGACCTGACCATCCATATCAATATCCTTATGCTTGACCTCCGGGTTCCCAACACCTTCAAACAGCGGTTCAGAATAGTATGTACCGTCAACAACATAAGCCTTGACAACCGTCCCACTAACAGGCGAATGCCAACGGTGATAACTCAACGCACTAAGGAAAGCTTGATAAATAGTGCCGCCAACAAACTGCGACGCAAGGGCATCATGGCCCAGCATGTCGAGCACAGAGTAAGGCTGACTCTTGATCCAGAACTTGTCACGCGCATGAACATGGTGCGCAACCCGATACGGTTTCGACTCACACGCGTTAGCAATAACCTTTCCGTCCTCCGGGTCTTCGACGGGACGTATGCCGGGTCTGAAGTTGCGGGTGAAGAAATCATCCCACGACTGGAATCCGTGATTTGGTGCAGACGGGTCACATTCGAACATATCATGGAATTTCAAATCCGTCCCAGCCAGCGCACCAATTTTCGCAACAGCTGTAAGATCCCGACGGCCAGTTTTACCGAACCATCCATGAGAGGTGTCATTCAGCACATTGACAGAAGTGGGAGAGCGCAGGAACTCGCCCCACACATTCAAGATCTTCTTGATCATCGCATTGATCTCGGGATCCAGGAAGGCTGCATACCCACTGGGTGTACCCATTGGCCAGTCGAGGACGGCATTGATAGGCATTCCGACTAGCCCGACGCGTTGTGCCTTGTCGGTCCAGTTAGGCGCGGTGGTGAGGAGGTGATTGATAACATGCAGGAAATGGAAATAGTCGCGGATTTCGGGATTGCCTGTTGGGTCGCGGCCGTATCGCTTGCTCTGTGGGACTTCCTTGAACATTGAAGTCAAGAGCATGTATATGCGTGTGTTGGATTCGATAAGTTCTTTGAATTCCTCCAGGACTGGGTGGAGGGGTTGTTTATCGTCCTCAACTTTCTTGATTATTCCTCCAAGCCATTCTTTGTGGGCTTTGTGGTCTGCTGGCATCCAGTTGCCGACCCTTCGGAATGTGAGCGGCTTGGGGTTGGTTGGGATAGGATTGATGTCTTACCTGTGAAGGTGGTGTTGTGAACTGCCTTGTCCCATCTTTTTCGAAAGTAGGAAACTAAATTATGCTCAAAAGCTTGACTATGAAAATCCTTTGGACTATGGTCGATCACATATTTATACGGCTCTACAAGGTAACTTAAACACCCGTAGGTTACGTCAGTATGATGCTCTGGGCTAGAACCAAGGCAGACATGGCGTTCTTGATGAACTCATACAGGCCTGACAACTTGTAGCTCTAGAACTATTTGTGTGTTTGTCAAAATGACGGCTGGGCTTTCTAATGTCATAAAGTGGGAACTCCCGAGGTCATACTTGACAAATTGTAGCTAGTGATGATCAAAATGATTTTGGACTTTCGAATAATCCTCCACATATGGGATATTGGAATATTGGGGAAAATGAGAGTGTTTTCAAATATGATAGGATGAGCGTATATAAGAAAAGCGAAAACAAAAAAAAGAAAAAAAAAGATAGACATAGCATGTCCTGGTTTCGATCCAGGGTCCTGTTGCGAGTTAGTTTGATGTTTATTAGGAAAATTGTTTGCGGTGAAACGTACCTCCGGGTTATGAGCCCGGCGCTCTTCCCCTGAGCTAACATGCTGATTGGTTGAAAGTACGTTACTTGAGGTTACTAAAAAGGAGGATATTGTCTTTTCAAACCATGATGATGAATTATTTCGATATTATGAAGTTGACAGAGGCACAAAAATATTGCAGAAATTGTTACCAAAGGAGGCTCGAGCTGTACTGGATGCATTGGAGAACACGGGAGTTGACTATTGGCATCGCTATCGTCTCCGCATTGTACCCCCTACTAAAGTATAACTATATTCAGTCCCGGCTCAGAATGGAAATAGCTTGAAGTGTTTACCCCGGAACTCCAAATGCTTTTGATATATCGCTTACCAATTCTAATCTGATGCCCTTTCACTCTAACTAGAGCGTTTTAACCAGCAGGCTACATGGGTTATTGTCGAACAGTGAGGCATACAGAGGGCCAGCGATAATCTCGGCTTGTTAAACCTAATCCTACAGATGCTAAATCTAAGACAACTTGCCAGAATCTCGATCAATAAAATGTGGGTCTTAAATGTAGGGCGTAGGGCGTGCCAAAGGCATGACGGGCATCTTTAATTATCGGCAGTTGACATGTTCCAATATATTTTAAAGCGTCGAAAAAAATGGCTTGTTGTTTTTTATGAGTATCAATCTACTTACTACCCCTCCGCTGGTACCCCAAATGTGTGTCTTGACTTCATTGATCCCCTCTCGGAATATTCTACAACATCGCAGTATACCAACTTCTATCCGGCACTTGACCAACTGTGCAACAACTAGACATACAAGGCCCAGAGTCCATGTCCTGGGTCTCGGTAGTATCGGCACATTCGCCGCACATTCATTGTTCGAAACCCCCGACCCTCCCTCTGAGACCATCCTTTGTCATCGACCTTTCCTTCGCGATGCATAACACGATAATGGAGATAAGATCTCACTCGAAGCCCGATCGGATGAGATCATCGAGCATGGAGGATATGATTTGGAAACGCTTCGCGACGGAAGCTGGTACTCCACTGCTGAATCGGGAGGCAGTTGTGATTCCGTCGAAACAAGCAGCATTATAAACCTGATTGTAGCTGTCAAGGCGGCGCAGACAACCTCCGCACTACAACAGCTGAAACATCGACTGACTCCTCAATCGACTATTCTCTTCCTCCAAAACGGTTGCGGAATGATCGATGAGGTCAACGAACGGCTATTCCCCCATCCCACCGAGCGCCCGAATTATATGGTCGGCGTCATCTCGCATGGTGTAACGCTCCGGAAGTCATTTGATATCAAACATACCGGATTTGCGGCGACATCTCTGGGTTTGGTCCCCGGATCAACGCAAGAGACCACAGATACAAACCCTTCCAACTATCTACTTGATCAACTCCCTCTGTCACCCTGTCTCAACGCCACTGCCTACACCTACACCGAAGTACTTCAAATCCAACTCGAGAAGCTGGCCGTCAATGCATTCTTCAATCCATTATGCGCTCTGAACGACGCCGAGAATGGGTTTCTGTTCACAATTCCCGAGACTCGCCGTGCGATATTAACAGAGATCTCGAATGTGGTTTGCGCTCTTCCGGAGTTACAACATGTCTCGAGCCTCAGCGAGCGATTTGCAGTTGATAAGCTCGAGGCTACCGTGAATGCAATTATCGAGAAGACGTTTCACGCTACTTGCTCCATGGTGTGGGATTTGCGAGCTGGTCGGGAAACAGAAGTGAGGTTTATAAATGGGTATTGGGTGAAAAGAGGGAAAGAGATTGGTATTGCGACGCCTATCAATGAGGAGTTGGTGGAAAGGGTTGAGATGAGACTGAGTCGGAATTAAATGCCTCAGCAATAGAATGGGTGTAGAGAAAGAGAGCCGGATTGGTCGTATGATTCATGCAAGTACGGGGCAAGTTACAGGGGATTATGGTGGTTGCATAAACGTTACTAGCCATAGTCGAGACATTCAGCATGACGTGAGAAAGAGACCGAGCCCCGAGCCCCGACAACATGACCGGATCAGCCGGTAGACAACCAAGCCAGCGGAGACCAGATGAATTTCATTGCAGTTGCATTTCCATGTCCCCATGGCACACCTCGGAATCTAAGGGGAAAATTGACTAGCGGACCCCGGAAGCTTTGAAGAGAGTTGGGGTGGGATTTGAACCCGTTGGGGAAGTTCAAGAAAACATCCAGGCACAGGATATTATTGGAAGTGATCGTAGGTGCAACCGTGGAAATGTATATGGAAATCCCGAGGATCACCCGGCCAATCATGTCTTCGGTATCACTTTCGGGGCAAATCTCGGGAATCCTACTGGAATCGGACTCACCGAGAGGTACACTGGGGCAGAGGCACAGGTCCCGAGTGGGTCACTTCGAAGGTTAATAGTTCTTATCTGAATAGTTATAACTTCACTTGCAAGTTCAGTTGCGAGATGTATCTTATACAACTTAGCAAATGAGGTTGTCACTCAAAAATTGATCCTTCCTGAGCTTTGTCACGCTTTCCTCCTCCACTCGGGTACATAATCCGAGTCAAAAACGGCATGCCGACCGTGTTTTTGAAATATGGAGCCATCCACCAATGAGATCAACTCGGCTCGGGAGGTTATTCGGACCATCGTCGGCGATATATGAAAAACTTAAATGACCGGCAATCGTCCGAAACATGAACCGTTTGGTCCCGGTCCGGTATGTAGAAATAGATGCGAGGTCTAAGCGTGCCTCAGATGTTGAAGCATGGGCATGGGCAAAGGAGAATAGGATATAACGAGCGAGAATTAGAGAAAGTGTTACTATAGGATTTCTCCCAGTGATCTTAATAGTACTTACATCCAACATAGGAAGAGGAAAACGGCTCCGGCACTAGGAGTTTTCACGTAGTTTTCGGCGTATCCACTTACTCCGTATTCCAACTCACTCATTGATCAACAGATTCTTCTCTGGACTCTGTGTTGGCCGCATGATCGATCATTACCTGGAATTACCCTTCCCCACCCTCCGTATAATCCCGCAGCCCCGGTTCTCATGAAATTCTGGAGTCTGGAGCATGACGCAACTCGGGCGACTTTTGAGCAGGAACACTTAAATACTATTATAGAGAGAGACCAACCCCCATTCTATTTATTCTCCCCTCGACACGTTTTCCTCCCTTCACACTCCACACCACATACAATATGAAGGCCACTAAAAATCCTCAGCCAGTATCGGCTTCCCATAACGAGAATGTTCCCTCACATGACACTACCCCAACCTACGAGGCACACATGACCAAGGGTCTCATCGTCGGAGGAAAATATCGGGACGAACTTTCAGAAGAGCAGACCCAGCACTATGACAGCAGCTTATTGCAAGAGGTCGACATCGATCTTCCTCTTACAGCCACAAAGCCCGTGCAGCACAATGGCCAAGAATTCATCGTGCTTGACTTCGTGGATGGAGACAAGGAGAACCCCTTCAACTGGAGTTCAGGCCGAAAGGCCTTCATCAGTACTCAGCTTTGTCTTATGACACTTTTCATCGGTCTCGCCACGACAGCATACAGTTCCGGAATTTCACGCATGGCAGCGGATCTAGGCACAACAGAGTTAATTGGAAAGCTTGGTCTATTCACCTTCAACTTTACATGTGCAATTGCTCCCCTTTTCCTTGCTCCATTCTGTGAGCTGGCCGGTCGACGAGTGATCTACATCGGTGCCTATGTCTGCTTCTGTCTTATGTTCATTGGCCTCGCACTAGGAAAGAACATTGCCACCATCCTTGTCTGCCGTGCTCTGCTGGGTCTTTTCGGTTGCGTTGGCACAATTCTTGTTGGTGGCACTTTCGGAGATATGTACACACCAGAGCACCGTGCTATCCCGATGGCCTCTTTCGCGTTCATTGCCATCCTCGGTACAGTCGGTGCACCCATCTACGCCGGCTTTATTGACCAGGCTCTCGGCTGGCGCTGGCTCGAAGGTATCCAGGGTTTGGCGAATATTCCCCTTGGTATCGTCATCGCCTTTTGCCTACCCGAAACTCGTGGCAGTGTGTGTCTTACCAAGCGTTCGAAGGCAATTCGTCAGGCCACCGGTGATGAGCGTTTCGTGACCAACAACGATATCGAAGCCCCCGGAATCAAACACATGCTGCACAACTCCTCCGTCAAGGCCGTGAAGATGCTCTTCACCGAGCCCGTCGTCTTCGCCTTTGGTCTCTGGATCAGTTTCGCCTGGTTCCTGACCTTCCTCTTCCTGTCCGTCATCCCAATCACCTTCCAAGAAAAGCGCGGGTGGAGCGAAGGAGTCTCGGGTCTTCCCTACATCGCCCTCTGCCTCGGAACCACCATCGGTTTCGGTCTCAACTTCTTCCAAATTCGCAAATACAAGTCCCTCTCCTCCGACATGAATATTGAGGTCTCACCCGAAGCTCGGTTGTATGGTGCCCTATACGGAGCCGTCTGGCTGCCTATCGGATTGTTCCTCTACAGCTTCACCCAGTACGAGGGTCTCCCTTGGATCGGTCCCGTCATCGGACTGGCCCTCATCACCATCGGTATCTTCTTCATCTTCGAGTCCTGCTACAGTTACACGGCCGATTGCTACGGAGAACACTCTTCCTCTGCCATTGCCGGTCAAGGTTTCATGCGTAACACACTTGGTGCTGTCTCACCGCTGTTTGCCTCCCAGTTCTTCCACAACCTGGGTAGTCAGTACGCTGGATTGTTGTTGGCCTTGGTGGCGACCGTCTTGACATTTATTCCGTTCATTCTGTTTAAGTTTGGTCCTGCACTGCGTGCCCGCTCCAGACTTGCCTCTGCCACCGTGAACGGCACTGACTAAACGTTCGAGCATTTTTTGTGAATTAGCATATCGATACATTGAATCATGGAGTTATAGATGTATATAGAAACCATATTTGAGACCTTTAAGCATTTTAAGGAAAAATTTCAAACCTTCATTATGAGTTATGGACAACGACTTGAAGAACCTGGACTTTTGTAGAATTTCTTCGCTGGTTTATAGAGGTGATTGGCGCAAGAGGATAGCACAAAATTGCGTAGCCATTTTTGTTGCATAGAAGATATTTGAGGGGGAGAAAATATATGAAGTAAGACGGCTATAGGTTGACGAGGACGGAGACCGTTCGAATATATAACACGGTATTAGTGGTTTTATCATTAGTTAGAGCAGTTACGAACAGACCAAAGGATAGTATCTACACACTTCAACACTGATCCTACCTAGCTACGCATACTCAGTCAAGAGTGAGCATATCACCGAGAGCGCTGTGATGTATATGGTATGTCCATCATCGCAGGATCGATTACATGCAAACAAGGAAAATTCGGGTCTTTGGCCTGACAAAACAGGCACCAACTGTCGGTGGGGGGATTTTCTGGGGTGACCAATAGGATGGGTCCGCTATCCAATAATTTCCCAAGATCATCTCCAACTTCGCCTCAATATTTTGTACACTCCACTTATTTTTCGTTTTAATTACACGGCCGTGATCCCCCGAGTGAGCCATTTCTTCAAGGTCTGGTGTTTTACATCCCAACAACTACGCAACTATGGCCGAAGATACCAGCGTAGCGTAACCCAACGCCGATGAGGCCCTCGCCCAGAGCCTCGTCGACATTGTGCAGCAAGCCGCTCACTACCGTCCGCACCAAGTCCCTTAACCGCGGAACCTCCGAGTCGAGCGTTTCAAGATCTAAGATGTCATGTTGGACATGATCGGGAGGAGAACCGCAGTCCGAACAAGTGGTTTTGGAAATGGCTGTTTGCTTTAGCAGCGGGATTTCTTCTGTGATATGAGGACTTCCTGCCGTCGAAGTGCGCAACCGGCTTGCCTTAGCTTTGGAAGCGTAGGTTTTGCTTGTGTATATAGCCGGGACAATTCAAACATTTCTAACTTTGAACTGACGTTGTAGTGAATCTTGTGAGACCATTGTAAAGGGATGTAGTCCCCTGGCCTTGTTGGCAGATCATGTGGATACCATGGTTTGCCTCAGACAGTTAGTATGATGTTTGCCTTGGCTCAGTTTGCTTTATCAGGTCACATATCAGGACTGAACTTAGTAGAACCCGATGGTCAATTCTCACCTCGACATGCCAAGCTTGCAAGGGTGTGAGCTGGGCCTACAGCCCCGGGGCCCCCGGTGCCAGAGTTTTCGCTTGTATAAACACTTATTTAGTTTTCCAAGGTTGAAACGCAGCCCGGAGGCCATCTACCCGGGGATGGGTGCCCCCCAGTCTTTCATTGGGTCGTCCCATTTGTGATGTAATATTGTATAGAGAAGTTCAAGGGATACATTCCTACATACTGCATACCTCCTCGGGCCTTAACTTCCGCCTCGAACGTGTTTTGGACGCTGGGTTATGCGTTGTGCGGGGTAGACCTGGCCCCCGCCAAGAGACCCTGGCTCGTGCAGGTATAGGCCAGCCATTCACCCTATGATAATGACAACTTCCAAGGTTTAGAAGTTGAAGCAGTACTATTACATGTAGTTTTGTATGCCATCGGATTCAATTGGTTTTTATCGGACCGTAATGTTGAAAACTGACAATTTACCGTATGTACCGACTGCATCTGAACCCTTAACAAAATGTACATTTCCCTTAGGCTGTTGAGGGGGTCTTTTCACAAAGACGGGGTAATGAGGCGTGTGGATCTCCCGTGCTCCGCCCCGTCCCGCGAGAAAGCAAATAATGCCCCAAAAAAATGCATGTAACCCTAGGTTTTATTTAGGTACGGAGTACTCCTTACAGCTTACCCAGGTGGCCTGATAGAATCCGGTTTCCATGCGATAATCTAATACGTGGGCTTAATGGTTTAAATCAACAAGTGATGTGGAGACTGGCAGGTTTCAGATAATTGGTGGAATACATGACAGATGTATAGTGGATATGTCTCAGGCTATGTATCTACGGAGTATTGGTGTGACACCTCCAGGGCTAGTACTTGACCGCTATAACAATCGATTTATGTATTACAGGAGCATAACTAACATATATCAATGATATTATGTGATATCTTTGTCTCCCAGCCCTCTTGCATATCTCCAGGGCTGGGTCACGCACGTGTTCATAGATAGGAAAATCTTGGATGGTGGGTAACCCTTGAAGCTCACTCGATTGGTCAACATCGGGTGTGAGACCCATCTTAGCTGACAATGTTGTATTGTCTTCTTCCAAGTTTTTTTCTGACACTGAGGTAGCTCCTAGTTTCCTGCGCATTTCATTGGACAATACTCGGCGCTCTATTATACTTGATGTAGTTAGTGGGATATGTGATTGAGTTTCTGGGGGTAAGCTCAATCCTATATTTGAGGCTTTAAAGATTTGATGACTGTTTCTTAATCTACACCGGAAATGCAATGCCTATACTTTATGTCTTTGGTTGTATACTGTTCGGATATTAGTTGCTCAATTCATGACCTTTCCTTATAGAAAATCGAGTTTGCCACAACGGCTTTTAGTCCTTATGACTCGTGCAGGCTTATATGCATAGGCTCAATCATATAAGGATAACCCTCACAAATGCTCATTCGTATTCCATAACTGCCAAGATTGATCTACACAGAGATACTACGATTCGAGTAAAGGCATATGCATTTCTATGGGCTGTTTCTTGTTCAGCTCGGGGGCCTGGAAGCATCGTCTGATCAAGTTCCTGCAATGTAACGCCAATCTAAGAACCCATTGCTGACTTCAAGGCATAGTTCTGGCATACAAGGCGTCCAACTCCAAGAATCTGCGATGTTAAGAAAACAATCAAGATGACTTGGCATTTGTTCTGAAGATATATAAATACATCGCCATATCCTCTAGAATCTCGTAATCTTAGACATCAAGCCTTCCTAAACAATCAACAACCTCAAACAAACAAGCCAGTTTCAATATACAACAGCACTTCTTTCAAAATGAAGGTTACTGCTATTCTCTTCACTCTTATGGCTGCCACCGCCGTCAGTGCCTCAGTCCTGGACCAGCGAGACGCCTGCGGAAGCGGCTATGATCCCGCCCAAAGACGTACAAACAGCCCTTGCAAATCATCCAACGGAGACAGACACTTCTGCGGTTGCGACAGGACCGGCATTGTACGTTAACATATCTAAACTCAAAACCAGATCTTGCTTGCTAATGTTTATTTCTGTGAAAAGGTCGAGTGCAAAGGTGGAAAGTGGACAGAGATTCAAGACTGTGGCAGGAACTCGTGCCACGGTGGCACCGAGGGCGGAGCCAAATGCTAGAATGAGAACAGTGAATGTGTTGACAATGGGACTGGAGTGATATTTTGACCAATTCCCCGCCAGAACTATGGGGGCAACTTGGAATGATCCAACATCAACCAACTTGCTGGCCGTGTTTTGAAATTCAGCTCAATACTGAATCCGAACTTCGAACGAACATCTTACTTGTCACTCATCGATGGATAGATGGTTTACAATATAGTTAAATGTTAACATCGTCCCATATTAGACCTCTGATTTTGAACCCTCTAATATTCTCCTTTGCGCTGAGGTGGGAAAAAGACTTCGGGAAAATGTGACGGAAATATATAATTTGTAAAGGCGAATTGGGTGAGTGAAGTTGTTTTAGATACCTGTCCTTTGGTCCCATCGGGCCTGAATAGAAGTACAAAACAGGGCTCCACAGGTTATAGTCACGTTTAAATAGATATATTAGACGCAGGATGACAACTCAAGCGCTTCGACATGAACATCTTTCATAGTACCGGTAGGCTGAAACGGGCAGTAGGGGCTGATTGAAGACTGCACAGCTTGGTTGAGCGTTCGACAGACTCATGTGGAGACTTTGACACATCAATTTGAAATACTTGGAGCTATTGACCTAGGTACGGAGTATACGAGATATAATTTCAATATGGACTGGAATTGGTGTTGTTTCAAGGCTAACCCTAATTGGGTGTTCCGGCGTTCCCCCAAAATGGAGTCAGCCTCCGGATGTAAGATTAGCGCTGCCGATCCACCTGCCCAGGTGGGAAGTCTGCTGGTGTTTATGCAGTCAGCTTCACACTGCACGGTGCATCATAGGAATGAGACCTACTTTGCACCACCTTCACTCCACTTCTTCCTCGGAATCATTGATAGAGTAATATGACATTACTACACATCAGATGACAATCGGATATAATACAAGAGAAATCGAACAACTCACCCAATCTTGTTTTCCGACCAAATAGTTCAAAAGGTGATTATTTCCTATTGAGTATCGCACTAGCTAAGATATTGACTACGCATTAACATGCGATCTGAGCTGGCCTGTGAGCCCCCCGTGGCCTATATGTATGATCTCTTGCCTTATAACCCCAGGCAATCACTCACTTCCAGATCCTTTTGTTGATAGCAAAGTTGCATTAATGCCGATAATCGACCAAGTCATCGAGCATCTCATGGCTACACGACAATATAAAGGCGACAAGAGTCAAGCCAAGCTCCATCCATGATCATTGTCATCCTTTTGTGTACCGGTTCGCTTTTCGCGGGCGTATTCGTGAATCCAAAACCTGAATTCCACCCATTTATCACATTACAAAATTGTGCAGGTGCCTGATGTTGTCCCACATATCCACACCCATGATGGAGACGTTAAGTGAGAACTCTTGCACAGCCGAGATCTTCCCTTGACTCCGCGAACTCCGCGGGCTCCGCGTTCAGCCGAGGTATTACAATGAGGCAAACTCATTATTATAAATAAATGTCCGAGGAACAATCACCCGTTACTAATTATAAAGGCAAAAGTTTAGATCTACGGCGGAGGACTGCCAGGTAGCCCAGTTTCCATTCGATTTCTGAGAACACCTACAAAGCTTTTATTCAGAGCAGGATGGATTCAACAAACTCATTAAGAGCTAGTATGGGCAGTATTTCTATACGAATAGTGCCAATCAGGTCGAGCCATATCCTGACGGACCTTATAAACAGATTCGGCATCATCTAAGATTGCCATATCCAAATCGATGATCTTCATTCCCTCTTCACAAGTGTGGGTCCTCCCGATACAACCCAAGAAAGGGACCGTGACCTGCGATAACCCCGCAAAGTCCTGTTCCGCTGGACCACCCGCATTGCAAAAGATGACGGCACAGGTATTCTCGCATGCCCTACTGATAAGCGCCGCGTCGAGAAAGACCTTCTCTGCATACGGGTTGTGCACAATTCCCTGCGGCGCGCAGTCGGTGAGCTTCCAGAAGGATGGCACAATAATGAGTTTCGCCCCTTGACTTATCAGTTCGCGGAAAGCTTCCGGGAACGCCACGTCCCAGCAAATCAACATCCCGACCTTTCCTAGTGGTGTGTCAAAGGCAACGTGAGGGTCATGCTGTGAGCCCTTGACATGAGTTCGCTCTGGGTGCCACAGGTTCTTCTTTTCGTATCGGCCATTTACGGCACCGGTGTTGTCGATGAAGTAGACCACATTGAACATGGTCTCTGCTCCAGTCTTTTCGTCGCGATACAGCTCTGCAGCGGAGCCGGGCACAATGCAGATGTTACATTCTCTTGCAAGATCACAATATATATCCAAATATTGCTTCCAATTGGCGCACTGGTCGCGGAATTTGGGGTCGTCAGGGAAGAAGTCGCCTAGATGGTACTCGGGGAGCACTGCAAGATTTGCACCTGCACGAGCTGCTTCTCGAATAAAGGCAATTCCGCGAGCCTGATTTGACTTTGTTTGGTGAGGCTAGAGTGAAAGGTGAGCTAGATATAGACAGCGAGCGACAAGTTGAGCTTGGACACACTTTGGGGTGTAGTTGAATGATAGCAACTTTGATAGTAGACATTATGAATTGGATGGGTTGCGACAGAGAAAGTTGGAAAATTCAGATTATGAATAAAGGATAGAGAAGAGTGGTTGTCGATGTACTCTGGAATCATGTCTTATCTTCCATCGGCGAACTTTATGGTTGATATAAATACCAGCATGATATCTGGGGAAGCCACCGCGGAGCGGGCGGAGGCCGTATCTTTTCATTTACGACCGAAAGGGCAAGTCCTTGCGATTATGCCGTTCTCTTGTATACATCTGAGCTGCGCATGGACTTTTTGGTTCGCCAATCAGCCGTATCTACTCGGCTGTAGTATGTTCATAGAGAGGTTTCATTCGTAAAGAGCACCGAGACAGAGATAAAAGTTCAACGGGGTCGAGAATATTGGCTCAATGGCTGAAACTGTGCTATCCAGTTGACCCATTCTGAAGTGTACAGATCTATTGGAGCACGGCGCTGTTTGTCCGAGTGCAGCCACTCGGTTTAATTCAGGTAAACACCCCTTGTCATGGACAATCGACAGAATTTACTGTCATAGATAGGCTTCCTTCATGCCTTCCCCGCATCTATACAGAGCTCCACTTTAAATATAAGGGGCCCTAAAGCATCGGGGCCTGTCCTGAGCTGTCAACGGATGTGTTGTTCACTGCAAGCATTCTTTACCAAAAGAGCCTGTCACACAAGCAGGAATTCAAACTTCAATCATGGGAGAAATTACCGATGTTGAAATGGCGGAAGAAGAACAATGGATCAAGAGTGTCACATTTGATGCACCAGGAACCGCATATCTAGAAGGTCTAGGTAAGTTGGACCAATGCCTTCATGGTGAGCTGTGGTGAATCAATCTGACCAAAGAGACCCTTTTACAGCGGGACCAGGCTCTTCACGCAATGTGATCATTCTGCAACCAAAGCCTACCTCAGACCCAAACGACCCGTTGGTGAGACATTTGGATAGGAAAGTCGTGGAGAATGCCCATGTTGACCCCGATATACAGAATTGGTCATTCCATCGAAAATCATTGCACTTTGCTATCGCATCATTTTTTACCATGTTGGTTTTTGCTTTGTGAGTTCACCTCTTGGTGTCTGTCTGCGCATGCGCGTTCTGTTCTGATCTATTCAGGATTGACATCGGCCCTGTGATCTGGCAAGACTTTGAGGATCTGCTTCATATTTCATATCCTCAGCTCAACAACCAATATGCTGTGAACTGTGTCTCTCTCGGCCTAGGATCAGTCATACTTGTGCCCTTGGCCTTGAAATTCGGGCGTCGGCCTATTTATCTCTTGACTGCTATGGTTGTCTTGATTACCGCGATCTGGCAGGCAGTGCTCCGTGACCTCGCAAACATGATGGCTGCACAAGTATTTAACGGGATAGCTTGCGCTGTTGGCTGGACTTTGGTTCCTATCACGGTGAGAATTCCAAAAGCCACATATTTCAGCTCATCTGTGTCCTGACAAGGGTACAAAGATCACAGACTTATTCTTTGTCCACCAGCGAGGGCGAGCAAACGCGGTCTATCAGTTGATGAGTAGTACTGGTGTAAATTATATCCACTACTTGAGGCTGGAATATATACTGACGCAAATGTCTTACAGGTCTTTCTCGCTCCAGTCGCCGCGGGATATATAGCTGATAGTCAAGGCTGGCCCTGGATCTATTGGTGGTCAGCTATTTTTGTGGCCGTGGATTTGCTTCTGTTTATTTTCGTCTTCGAAGAAACAAAATTCTCGATCCACACAATTGCTGGGTCGGAGACCAGGGCCCCAGCATCCGCTCAGGGCACTGGGACTGCCAACACGGGTGATATTTCCAAGAGGACAGACCCAGTAGACCCTCGAAGCCAGCCGATAGCAAACACGACAGCGTCAGTGGGGCCATATGAGACGGATTCCTGGATAGACCATTCTATTCCTCTGAAAACCCAGCGCCAACGCTTAGCGCTATTCACGACATCCGCCGGGCCCCCCGGCCAGTTTATGCAACACGTATACCTACCAGTTCAAGTCCTCGTGACTATACCAGCCGTTGCCTATGTGATGGTACAGTATGGCTCCGCTTTGGTATGGTTCACGGTAGTGGCCACGACACAATCAGAATATCTCGCCTTGCCGCCCTATAACTTTGGAACGACAGGTATCGGTTTGTTGAACTTGCCGCCGTTCATTGGATCTGTTTTTGGATGTGTATGGGGAGGTCCTGTGAGCGACTGGTCCATCAAATTCTTCGCTCGACGAAATGAAGGTATCTACGAGCCCGAAATGCGGCTTTACATTTCCCTTGTCCCCGGAATAGTGGGCCCCGCGGGTCTATTCCTGTATGGATATAGTGTATCGGAGGTATCTACTGCAATCAACTCTACATGAGTCGAGGTCGTGATCGATATTGACTATATGAGTATAGGGCTTGCCGTGGATCTTTCCCTGCCTTGGCTTCGGGTTATATGGGTTCAGCATGGCTGCACTAATTCCAATCGCCCTGACCTACCTCTCTGACTCATATAACAAAGTGAGTAGCTCTACCCGAAGCAGTGGGCTACAAATTTATCCATGCGGTTACTGATTTGTGTAGATTCTCGGAACTGCTCTGATCGGTGTGAGCTTCGCCCAGTACATGTTTGCAACAATCGTCATCTTTGCGCTTGATCCGTGGATTAGGAGCATGGGTTTGTACCACACCTTCACAGTAATTGGATGTCTGGCAGTCGGATGCAATTTGCTATGTATCCCGATGATTCTCTTTGGTAAGAAGTGGCGAATCTCTTGCAAAGCACAATACGAGAAGATCGCAGCCGTTCAATTTGATGAACGAGGTGTTTGATCATACGTACATGCACCTGCTGTCCTCAACGGACAGCATGGAAATATATTTTCTGGCATTTGGAGGTGGATTAGCATTTTTCATGAAATCCTTTTCAACAAATATTTTGTGTTGGCTATAGCCGGGATGACCAGTCAGACTTCTATAGCTCTTTCAACAAATCATCAATCCTCCATTCATTTACCAAAATGACCTTGGAAACGCTTGGGATAGTAGTTACATGTTAGCAACTTTGATAATAGATATGAAAAAAACTTTGGGAGAGATAAGAAGAATTAGGAAATAGAAAGTTTGCACACAAGATAGAGCAAGATCCTCAAACCCCGTGACTAGCATATATTGTGCACTCTCCCTTTTTCGCGACGTGCCCAAACACCGCGGAGCACGTGGAGCACGTGGACCGGACCCCGCGGACCCCGCGGACAAACCAGGGGCTTACAACTATCTCGCGGAGCTCGCGGAGATTGTTTCGAACTCATATTATTTCCCCCGCAATATCAACACGTGGAATGGACTCCCAAAATGTTGGACAGTCTCCTTCTGATTTTCCTGCGCGGAAGCGAAAGCGCACAGCATGTCGGACATGTAGGGATCGCCGCGTCAAATGCGACAACGGCCGGCCCTCATGCCAGTCATGCTCCACCTTGAAACTAGTTTGCGTATACCCCGACGACAGCTCCGCTGCAGATGCCAAGTTAGTTGGCAACAGACAGTCCCATGGCCAAATGCCATGAAGCTGACGGACATTAAAAATCAGATATGACCCTGGCTCTGTGGAGATTCTCCATCAGTTACAGGGGATCCGAGCCGTTCTCGACCGTGTAGTCCAAACACAGATCACCTCTTCTACACACTACTCAGCTACCAGATCGACCACTGGATCAAACTTGAGTCATTCAAACTCAGATGCTTTCAGCCCGGGTAATGAGCACCGCGGAAATTTGCGTGACAGGATTGGTCATTCGCCATCATATAGCCCCCGCATCGGTGTTGAAGGACTCCTTTTCTGGCCCAAAGTCAGAGAATTCCTCGGAGAGCCAGTCGTGGAGAGGTCATTTGTGCTCGAGTTTACTTCGGATACAGCGAAGGGTCCCGCGCCAGAACGATTGTCTTCCCAGTATGGAATTCGCGAAGACGACTTTCTTCCACTGTGCCGGAATTTCCTAGACTATGTGCATGTGCGCAACCCTATACTTGAGCCGAATGACCTTGAAAAGTATGCCAAACAATTGGCAGAAACTGGGTTGAAATGGGACACCAAGACTTGTCTTGTGGTATGTGATCCTTCAATTGATTGGCTCATATTTTGATTTATGATTCTGATAATTCGTTCCAGCTTCTGGCATGTGCGCTTGGATGTTTGGCTTCTGAATATCCTTTCGGAGAAACTTGCGAACTGGATGAAAGTGCAATAAGAGATGATGCATCCTACGCCCGGGCAGAAGCATACTACGAAACAGCACGCAAGCGTTTCGGCTATCTAGGTACAACACTGCTGGACATCCAGTGTCTTTATCTAGCAGGAATATACGAGAAGCATACGCTACGCGTTCTCCAAGCCTGGTTCTGGACTGAACAGGCCTGCTCTCGGCTGCATGCATATCTGCTTTGCCAACGAAGACCGACAGGACTGAATGAACAGAATGAACACCGTCTTGAACAACGCCTATATTGGTCCTGCGTTAAAGCTGAAAGGTAAGCCGGAAATGAGAGCCATGTATTATACACATGCTGACCTATTTCATACAGCGAGTTCTTGAATGAAATTCCCTTAACTCGAAGTGCTCTTATATCGCTTGATTACCCCGACCCGTTCCCCTCGCCCCCAACATTGCCATGCAGTGAATCCCCCAACATCAATAGCCGGGATATATCGTTCAACAAATGCCAAGAGCAAAGTTGGTTGTATTACCTAGCAGAAATTGCATTGCGAAGAACACTGGACCGTGCATTGCCACTCATATATCTACCAGAAGGTCCAACGGTATGGATGGACAACATACGCCATATTCTCCAACAATCCTTGCAGATCGAAGAGGAATTGACTGCATGGTATAACCACCTACCCCCCGCAATACGGCCGTCCGTAGACCCAGAAATCTTGGCAAGTAATCAACTGTCTTTCTTTGTGCAAGGCCGGTTCCTGGGTGGTAGAGAGGCGATCCTTCGGCCGTTCCTTTATTACGTTTTGCACCACAATAGCGGCTCTGTGAGTCAACCAGTTCTCTCACGTGCTAATGAATATGTGCATCTGGCAAGAGGTTTGATTATCCACCTCCGAAAGCACAAACGGCACGGCGGTATCTGGTATGCGCTCCGCGGGATCTGGTCGATGGCTATGATTATCTTAGCGGTTGTGCATGTGCAAATTGACGGTCTATCTTCGCCAGCCGATTGGCCGGGGCTGGTGAAGGTTTCCTTGCAAATGTTGCGTGCTTGGAGCTTTGAAGCGGCGGATGTTCGGCAGATGTATGATACTTTGGTTCGTGCATATCAGATTGTCTGTCTCGAGGTTGGGGAATCCGCGGAGCTCGCGGAGTGAAAACCGACAAGGACATTAAACAATTTTCTCCACAGCGCTAAAAGATTACTTCGAAAATCTACTACAATATTGGGACGATCCAATCCAATTTCCATGCGCTTGGCGGCCCTTCCGTCTAAGAGCTCCGCGAGCTCCGCAAAGTGGAGCAGTGTGTCTACATCCCCAAGATACTCCACTGAAGGCAGCTGAGTTCAGGATGCCATAAAGGCAAGTAGAATTTCATAATGTCGCCAACCATCTCGCCATGCTCCTCCACAAGCCTCTTTTATCATTTTCGCCGTGGGCATCGGGCACAAGAAAGACTTCTCTCCCATCAATGCGCTTCGCAACCTAGTCCATCGAGTTGGAAATTGTCGGGTTGCGACTGCCAGGAAGCGAAGTGCACAATGAGCTAGTTGACTGGGTCAATAAAGTCTGCATGATATACCTGGACTTGAAGTCCGAGGGTCCAAGTACGATCTTGACGTCTGGGAGCCCAAGGAAGGCAGGAGTATGAGTGAAACGGGAAGTCTTTGCATCAACTCCAAAGGGAAGTGTCACAATGTCCCAATTGTTGGCGCCATCTCATTCACTTTTCCAACCAACGGCTCCGCAGTCACTGGCTCTCTGATCTATGTCCCTTCCAACCAGAGCATCTCATCTGTAGATGTTCGGGGAAAGGTTGTCCTAAGAGACTTTCTCACTTTGCCGGTTCCATATCTCTATCTGTTGAACGATTCACATGTCAGCCCCCCTTGGCCCTCCGTGTACTTGAGTTTTGAGATACCCAGAGACTATATACTAACTCAATGATAGTATGTCACGCCAGATCTCGCCACCCCAATCAATAGTACCTATGAAAGGCCCTATCTTTCCACACCAGCCGATGACCTCATTGCCGCTGGACAAGGCGGAGCAAATGGATTAATTTCCACGTTTGACATCCCTCGCAAGACCCTGGAAGGCTACTACGACCCCCATTTCGGACAGCATTACCTCATTCCGGGCGTATATCTTGGCTCCGAACAGTACTACATACTCCGAAACGCATGTCAATCCGGCCACACAGCTTCCATGAATATTTCCGCAAACACAAGTCTCAAATACACCCGCGAGATTTTTGCGAAGCTTCCCGGTCGGTCCAACGAAACAATGATCATTGGTTTGCATACGGACGGCGGAACGTGGGTTCAGGATAACGGCGTTGCAGGGCTACTTGCGCTGGCAAAGTATTTTGCATCTCAACCGATGTCATCACCTGCCCGAGCAAAGACACTCAAGTTTGCCTTTATGTCGGGATATCTAACGTACAGCAGGGATGGAGCAATCCCGTTCTCAAAGAAACTCGACCAAGAATACGAAAATGGGAATCTTGCACTAGTCATTATTCTCGAGCACATGGGAGACCGGGAACTGATGTCATATCCTGCACCCAAGGGTCAATACGGCTGTGTATTGAACTTCACCGGCAACAGCGAAGCAACTCTCTGGAGTGTTGGGCCCATACAGCCAGTCGTTAAGTCAACGCTGTCAACGCTGCCGTCAAAGGGCGCATGCTGGACGGCATAGCGGTAACTCCGGGCAACCCCCCGAAGAACACTTCGCAGATTCCTTTCTACACCTCCCAGGATGGTATCGGGACGACATACCATAACTACCTGATCCTGACGACGTCTATTGTTTACGGGCTGTGGAGTCTGTGGGCACCTTCTTTTGGTGAGGCGGCCATTGATTTCGCCCGACTGCGTGATCAGTTGCTGGCTGTTGCTGATGTGGTGGTTGGTCTTGCACCTGCTTCGAAGGATGAGATTGCTGGGGGATACATCGAATATCGTGAGATGCGTGCGAATGGTTTCCCCTGGAAGGAGCCTAATTGGAACTCACAATACCTGCCTGGACCTCGGGCATGATTTGAGACATCGCTTATGTACTTGGAAGATACGCCTTTAGTACCCAAGTGGCAGTCTAGGTCCTATGACTGCCTTAAGTCTTTATGGGCAGATGTCGGAGTTCGGTTTGTTGTTCGTTCTCTATGCGGTGTGTTGGTGCTGACGTAAAAATGGGGCCCTCCCTCCAGGGGATGAGTAGTATAGGCTGAAAATCGCATGGGTTTCATTACATGGTATTGATTCTTTATATGAACTTCAAGCCTCAGTTATATGGAAAAAAAATGTTTCAAAGCCTCCCACGTGACACGAAAAATATCCCTGCAATCAGGACTGCCGGGATCGATCGCACCTTTCTGAATTGGGGCAATGCGCATCTGAGAACCCCCAACTCTGACACAAAACCATCCATCAATCACGCCATCAAATCATCCAATCAAAGTCGGCGGAAAAGAAAGAAACCACTGAATAAGGTTGATATAGAAGCTGCTGCACGGGATGTGATTAGACACGAAATTTCCAAGCTGATCTGGGTTAGAGCGAGAATGCGGACAACCAAGCTATAAGCCGTGGTGTCCCCCGCCACGTTCCTGCATCTTTCCCGTTCTCAGCAGGACATGTCAGAAGCGACCGAATCGCCTGGCCTCGGGCCAACGGCAATCGAGGGCCCAACTATCCCTCGAGATGAGGGTCCCGATGCGACCTACAAAGCCAAAGCCGAGGTTCTCAACCACGCGATTCAGACGATCGGCATGGGCCGATACCAATGGCAGCTCTTCGTGGTGATCGGATTCGGCTGGGCAAGCGACAACCTATGGCCGATTGTTACCTCCCTGATCCTCCCTGTAGTGGCAAACGAGTTCCATCCCTCGAAAGCGCCGTTGTTAACGCTTGCGCAAAACATCGGGTTGCTCGTCGGTGCTGTGTTTTGGGGATTTGGATGCGATGTATTCGGTCGCAGATGGGCATTCAACTTGACGATCGGAATCACGGCGGTGTTTGGCCTGATCGCAGCGGGATCGCCCAATTTCGCAGCCATTTGTACTTTTGCGGCTTTGTGGTCTGTCGGCGTCGGTGGCAATCTCCCTGTTGACTCGGCCATCTTTCTTGAGTTCTTACCTGGATCGCATCAGTACCTGTTGACTATCTTGTCGATTGACTGGGCTTTCGCGCAGGTGGTCGCCACTTTGATCGGTTGGCCGCTGCTTGGGTATAGGACTTGTGGTTCAGCAGAAGGATGTACGAAAGCTGATAACATGGGATGGCGATGGTTCATGATCGCGATGGGTGGCATCGCGATGATCATGTTCGTCGGTCGGTTTGTGTTTTTCACGATTTTCGAGTCGCCCAAGTACCTTATGGGGAAGGGGAGGAACGAGCAGGCTGTGGAGGTCGTTCACGAAGTTGCCAGAAGGAATGGAAAGACTTCTGATTTGATAAAAACTGAGCTTGACGACTTGGACCAGGGCGAGATACAACATTTCAGCGCGGCAAACATCGTCCGCCAACGCCTGGAAACAGTACGATTTGATCATGTCCGCGCTCTTTTCGATACCCCCAAGCGAGCATGGGCTACAACCTTGATCATCCTCGTCTGGGCATTCATTGGTCTAGGCTTCCCACTATACAATGCATTCCTCCCATACATCCAGCAGTCCCGAGGCGCTGAATTCGGCGATGGATCGACATATATCACGTATCGCAACTCGTTGATTATTGCTGTGATGGGCATCCCAGGCTGTCTACTCGGTGGAGTACTGGTCGAACTACCAGGATTTGGCCGCAAGGGTGCTCTCAGCAGTTCTACAGCTATAACTGGAGCCTTCCTCCTTGCGTCAACAACAGCTACCACCTCAAATGCTCTGCTGGGTTGGAACTGCGCCTTCAGTTTCATGAGCAGTCTCATGTACGCTGTGTTATACGCCTATACTCCCGAGATCTTCCTCACCAAGGATCGTGGTACGGGCAACGCATTAACTGCGTCCGCGAACCGAATCTTTGGCATCATGGCTCCTATCATTGCCATGTTCGCTGATCTCACGACCGCTGCTCCTGTTTATGTTAGCGGGGCACTGTTCATCGCGGCCGGCATTCTTGTGTTGTTCATGCCATATGAGTCTCGCGGAAAGGCGAGTCTGTAAATATGTCGTTGCGTCGTTACACCCATAATATCGTTTGGTGTATACGACGAGTTGTTGATGTGATGACCATGTGCTTCTAATCGTAAATAGCCTTTATGATCCGAACCAATCCAGCCCTGCCGATACTCATTTTGTCGAACATGAGATCATCCAAGCTATAGTTAATATAAAAGATCCTGGCCAGGTCCACCCGATCGAAGCATCGGACAGAAAATGACATCATACCCTGGCCTCCCAATTAGAAACAACATCACAACAACCAGCCAATTCGCCACAGTAATTTAATATATCAGGCTTTCTAGAAATACTGGATCAGCCACTACCCACAGGCAACCGGAGAATATCAGCCAATAATGACGTCCCATTATCCACTCTGCGGGGGACATGGGGTACAGCCATACGTCAGATGGATACATCCAAGATATTAGCTCCATCATGGTGGCTGTCAGAAAGTAGTGGATGTTGCACCCATTATATCATGGCTATGTAACCGGTTTCAGGGCGTGGCGGTGATATAAATAAAGACAGCATGCTTGCCACTCTACCATAATCTCAATCAACGCTGCACGAACATCAAGACACTTGACACTTCCCATTTTTGAATTACATACTTCGTACAACACAAACCACAACATACTCTTTCACACAATCACCATGTCCAACGAACAAAACCGTACGTTCCCCATAAATAACACCCAGACCGCAATCCCAGCTAACCAAATATCAATAGCCGGACTCCTCGGCGGCCTAGGCGATACCTTGGGCAAGACAGTCGGCGGCGTGACAAACACAGTAGGCAGCACAGTCGGCGGCCTCGGCTCAACCGTGGGCGACGCAACATCCGGCCTGGGGCAGACCGTCTCGGGCGCGACGGAGGGGGTCGGTAATACAACGAAGGGCGCCGGACAGGGCGTGCAAAGCGGTGTTTCTAGTCTTGGTGGGCAGAAGCAGACTGGAGATAAGCAAAGCGGTGTTTCTAGTGTTGGGGGACAGAAGCAGACTGGAGATAACCCGCTTGGGCTGAACAAATAGGGTATTGTTGTTCGTTGGAGTTATATTGGTTAGCGAATTTATGATATAGGTCGTCGTGCCTGTCTTTTTCTTTCATGCGATGTCTCGGGGATTTGTGAATATGCCTATAGTCTAAATTGTAGAATTGTATCGAAAGGCACGCATTACAGAAATAGGCCGTCGTAGGAATACTTGTGGAAGACCATTGGCTTGACTCCATCATCCATTGGGCTCATTTAATCTAGGTCTCCTGCATATCCCAACCAACCCTCCCAAATCTGCCATTCCAAACAGAACAGGAGGGAATGGCCGTGGGGGTCTTCGGTTGGCTGGCCCATAACATAGGATTCAAATGCCATCAACTTTCATCATCGTAAGCATAATGGGCATTGGATAAATAATAGCCTAAGCACTCCGTTTGGGTGCTCGCGGCCCATAACCAGGCAATAGGTACGAGTGCGGGAATCAGGTGGCCCCCCAAAAATCCCGGCAGTGGCAGGCTATCTGAAGCAGAAACTCCACCCAGCAAGAAATATAATCAATCGGGAGGTTTATGCGTAGTGCAAACCCTGCCGGCGTGATTATGTTCCTTATTCCTCTCCCATCAGGCCAAGATGCGGAAATATGGGAATAGTACATGGAATAATAAATACTTAATTGGCAAGTGACTAAGATCACATAGGCCACAGTTCCAAGCTTCATGTTGTATTTCTCTAACAGGTACATAACTAGAGCAAGAACCTTGTGCATCGGGCTACCAAGCCAGTTCCGGTTTGGCCATACAACTAGAGGCCTCCAACTGCGAACAAAAGGTCTCATCTTCTGCCGAATTCTTTGACAACTGAGCATTCGCGGTGGCCGGCCAAATCTCCGATCCTCCTTGCTTTTCCTCACTTTTCCGGTGTTCCATGACCATTTGTCTAACGCTACTTTGGAAGTGTATGGGCCCCTGATCTCTCGGTTAGCTAGTGTAATAGAAGGCCATGTTGGATTAATACCTTCTCTTTGCTAGGGTGTAGTTCACCATTGGTGAAAACCCCGGCGCTAAGATTCTCCTGCGTTCCAACACAAAGCTCCTTATCCTCGTTGAGAACCTGCCTGTAGAACGCGTTGATATTATCAAATTCTTCATCGGTAGCATCCCGGTGACGGTAGACCTCATTTTCGATCTTGCTCGAGGTAGCAGATACAGGAATCATGCGCTGGATATAGAAGAATTTATCACTGATTCCGCTTCCGTTAGCCCAGCTATTCCCACCTTCAAAAATTGGTTTTCTACACTCACGTCACCGTAACAGAAGTCGTAGGATAGAAGTATGTGATCGCCCGTCGAAACTGGCTATCAGAACCTTCCTTATTGAAGATATGATGCTCCATATACCGGGCCTTGGGTTCAACCCGATATTTTGGCAAATCTGAAACGCCATTGATAAGCGGATGAGAAGTAGCGCAATGGTAGCACTCATTATAATTCTCAATGACACCCTTCCAGTTCGCATCCAATTCCATATCCCAGTAATGATCGAACTTGAACTCGGCGGCAAAATCAAAACTCCGCATCCGAGGTTCCTCATCAACCTTTTCGTAATCATCTTCCCATTTCACATCCGTCTCACCGGCCTGCAGATTGACCCATACAAAGCCAGCTTTGTCGACATGCACATGGATTGGGAATAGCGAGTGCTTGGTTTTATCGAAATCGGGTACTGTTTCGAATCGGGGAGCTTTGGCAAGATTGCCCTTCAGTCCGTATGACCATCCGTGGTACTTGCAGCTTAGTATGGATGTTGAGCCGGAAGGGGATTGGACAACGGGGAATGCGCGGTGTCGGCAGATATTATGGAAACTGTTGATTGTGCCGTCTCGGTCCTGAATTAGAAAAAATGAGAAGTTGGCGATTGTAAAAGAGAGATAGTCCCCAGGTTTCTTGAAACGGCTTGAGTGGGTGAGCAACATCCAGCGCTTGGAGAAGATTGCCCGTCTCTCTAGTTGGTACATTGCCTCTGAGCGATACCATGATGCTGGTAGGCCGCGTGGAGGGTCTTGTTTTGGTGTGCTTCCTGAGCTGAAAATCCGCCACATTTTGAATGGATGATATATTTTGGTCAAATTGGGTTACGATGTACTATGGCTATCACGTCTATATAGCGTGGTACTCCTGCATATCGTGAGGGGGTTGAGAATGGGGGAGTGGGGATTTACATGCATCAAACGATAAGATACTTCTTTATTTTATTTTAATAACTTTGACTTTACCCTATACTAACACCAACAAGTCAAAAATGGGGGTCTACAGCCTTAACTCGATAACAATAGTTTATAGGGTACCCCACCGACGGACGACCCCGGGCCGCCTGGAGGAACTAATAATGTTCATGTCTATGGCTGTGATGCTTTATCGCTGACTGGCATTCTGACTGATGTCCAATTTATAGTGTGGGCCTCGTATCTCTATTATTCCAAGCCGCGTTATCCAACTGCCCTCTTGGTCAACCTTGCTGCGTCCGTCTTGGCTATCGTTCTGGCGACTGTAGCACGTATCTATATACGGCGCCAGAATGATAAGCTCGACCGAGGCTTAGAGACGGGGCAAACAGGCCCAACTCCACCCCAAATTGCTGCCGGGTTCCGTTACGTGATCTAGAATTTGACATGATATTCGACATATCAGGGTTTACTTTTGTGAACACTGGCGCCTTACTAGGCTTTGATTCTCTCAATTGGCGTCCACGGCAGCTTGATTACCATGGTGGGTTCAGGTCTCTTGATTTAACTTAGCATAGGGTAGACGAAAATACTGTATCGAAACTAGAATTCAGGTGACGCGCCGAGACACCTTAAAAGGCCCTGAATCTATGGTTCTCTTGTCAATTGCGTGTTTCAGTTTACAACATCAATGGACGACATGATCAACTATCGAAACACTTAGAAAAAAATCGAGGCAAGAAGGCAATGGTATTAGAATGATATTCCTGACACAAAGGCTGGACGGGAACTCCCATCGGTAACAATCTAAAGTGGGGAGATCAATCCGTCATTACTATATCAACTTTTAAAGACCCACGTGAAAATATAGATCATCTAATAGGTAAGCATCCCCCTGGAGTCGCACAGGACGCGGCTGAGAATCAGCCTTCGTCGCGGGACCCTTGCACTGACCCCTCAGCTGATCCATATTCTAATATCATTGGACGTAAATGCGTATCGCCCCGCCTGATCAAAACACGTCTACATGCCCAACACCCCCAAAGGGCGGTGTGGGGAAGAGGAATTTCCCCAGCGCTACGAAAATAGTGAAAACCTGACATTCGGACATACAAGCTTAACCTATGATCCAAAGCCATTCTCCTTGAAAGCCCCTTTCAGCTATTCGAGATGCTGAACGAACTGGACCCAAACATTTACACGGTCGTTTGGATAGCACCGCTCGAGATTGAGGCCCAGGCTGCGCTCCATATGTTGGACCATCACCACCACGGCCGGTTCTCGTTGGATCGGGGGGACGACTATGTGTTTCGTGCTGGTGATTTGGGTGGTCATAACATCATCATTGCTACCCTACCGGCGGGTCAAGAGTATGGCACCGGGTCCGCAGCTGCACTTGCCAGTCAAGTCAAAAAGTTCTTTCCGAACCTTTGGTTTGGCTTACTCGTTGGTGTAGCTGCGGGTCTTCCGAACCTCTCACGACAACCGCCTCGGGATATCCGACTGGGTGATGTTCTTGTGGGCCTTCCCGAGGGCAACAGCGCCGGTCTCATAGCGTACGACTTGGGCAAAGAAACAGGAGACAATGGGTTCCAACTGTTGCACTACGGACATGTGCTGGCGAATACTGAAACTGTTGTCCGATCAGCGATTCAGAATATCAAACTTATGGCTCCTCGTGATCTCGACTCATTCCTTCCTCATTACAAAAATATTCAGGATAAGCATCATGCCAACGGGGCATTCGACGACCCGGGACAGGATCATGACCACCTATACGAAACAGACGATACAGGAGCTACACATCTTATCCAGCGAGAACCAAGACCTGACTCGGCGAGAACCCGAGTGTGGTATGGACCGATTGGGTCCGGGGAGAAGCTTATGAAGAACAGTCAGAAACGGAACGAGCTGAGAGACAAATATGGTATTATTGGACTGGAAATGGAGGCCGCTGGTACAATGAATCGAATTCCAGTTGGAGTAGTTCGAGGAGTATGTGACTACGGGGACGAACATAAAAACAAAGAGTGGCAACCATATGCAGCAGCAATGGCGGCTGCCTATGCCAAAGCAGTGCTGTATGAGATTAGACCCAGGACGTCCATACTTGGATCTTCGAAATGTGGTTAGTATAGAATATATTTTATTCACCTCCTCTAAAAGCTCCCACTACAAAGAATAAACTGTTTACCCTGTAAACGAAAGAATTCATGCTGACTATTTCAGACAAAAGGGCAGAAACTCCTTTCCAAGGGATCCGGTCCGAGGTACCCATCCTCACAACATTTCTCGGGAGAAAAGAGGAATTGTCTAAAATGCAGCAATGCTTTAGCTCTGACTTGAGCACAGAACGCCTCGTTATCTGGGGCCTTGGTGGGTCTGGGAAAACACAGCTCGCCGCCCACTATATCAATACCAACAAACAGTCCTATCAGTCTGTCTTGTGGATTGACAGCTCATCTTCTGCTTTAATCCATCAGTCGTTTGAGAGGTTTTCATCTCAACTTCCAGGGTACAGCCAAGGCAGGCCAGCTGTCGAACAAGTGATTGAATGGTTGGAAAGAAAAACGAACCGTTCTTGGATTATGGCTTTTGATGGTGTTCCAGGAGCTCACGATGTCCATGACCCTGAGGATTTCGATATAAGAAAATACTTACCTGTCTGTCAGCATGGCAATATTTTACTGGTGACCACTGCATCTGATCTGCACATGCGCTTAGACTTCCCTGATATCCATTTGGAGGGGGTAGATCAACTTACAGGATCGAAAATCTTGCTAAGATGCGCTAGGATTAACGCACCCGATGATTCTGGTATGTGTTCAAAGCAGATTCTTCTCGTTTTGGTTTTTAACACTTTTTAGCAAAGGTGATAGCGCAGTCAATTTGTCGTAAGTTGGGTGGTCTGCCGCTTGCTCTCGAACAAGCTGGCACATTTCTATCATACGGCATTATCCGGATCAACGATTTCAATCAATATTTCCAAGAACGCTTTTCCGACAAAGCACTCAAAACTCCTATGCAGAAATACGTGGGATCTTATGAGAAAGGTCGGACACTGTGGGCGGTATTCGAAATGTCATATGATGGCCTTAGCCAAAGAAATCCACACGCGATCAAGCTACTTCATCTTGCCGCATTTTTTACTACAGGGTCTACGCGGTTCGTTTTTGGTGTTGAATCTGGATTCGAGGATTCTTTTGACTCCACTCTCGAGTCGCCGTTCTTTCCACCAGAGATAGGTGAGACGCAATCATTTGGCCTTCTCCGTTGGCTGAAAGAATTGCGTTCTGAAATTGAACAATTTGGAATTGCCATTCATGAGCTTGAGACATCTGGATTTGTCAAATTGTCTCGCAGTTTACACGATACTTCTATCGAGAGCTGTGCGATGCATGCTCTGGTCCGCGCCTTTATTCGCTCAAAGGCATCAGAAGACGACATTCGCGACAGCCTAGCTACCGCCGTTCTACTCAGCGGACAATACCTACAGTATGGGACAGAAAGCTTCCAGTTGACAGGGTTGTGGAAGCACGCTGGGGAACTTCACAATCTGCTCAAGATGCTTATTTCGTCAGTTTCCAGATCATTTTTCCAAGACCCAGATGGCAAATACTTTGCACTCCTCGGTGCCGTGGCGCCAATATACGCCCATACCTGCCGTTTACTGGGAAATCTACACGAGGCCAAACAGCTTTGGGATATTGCGCTCAAGTACAGGTTGGTTTCCAACACACAGTGGCCGAGTATTGAGTTGCACATGGATGAGATCCTCGAGGCTGCAAAAATTGATGTGAAACTTGGAGACTTCGAGAGTGGGATAACCAGATACGAGATGGTACTCGCTCATTGTGATCGTATCTTTCCGGACAACGATGCAATAGCCATTCAATCTGCTGCCTCAATCCGCGAGGCTCGGGAAAGTTCTCACAAACGTCAAAAAGACCTCGGGCGCGCTATCGTCGCACAGAGACTCGCGAAACGACGCCCCAATGATCTGACATCACCCAATGCATCTTCATCTCTCCCCCGACGGACGGAGACAGGAGACATTGCTTTTACAAACGATCAAGAAAGAACAGCACTAGATGAAGCCTCAGACCAATGGCACAGTAACTCTGGAGATCTGCCTACGGAAAACGATGGATTCATATACCGTGCAAGTCCCGAACACCGTGAACTACTACACCTAGTCTCACAGCGCGGAGATATGGTAGAAATAGACGGAGTTTCTTTCTTACTAGCACACGGTGCCATTAACTACCAAGACATCAAAGGTGATACGGCCTTAGTCTGCGCCGCTCGACATGGACATGAAATGCTTGCGCGGTCTTTACTCCAACATGGCCCCAATCTGGATCTTCAAAACAAGACTGGCCAGACGGCTTTGAATTGCGCTATAATTGGAAACTTTGAAGCCATGGTCATTTTGTTCCTGGGATTCAGCCCAAAGCTCGAGCTGCAAGATCATACCGGGGCCACGGCTTTGATATGCGCAGCTCGCAATGGTAACGATGGCATAGTGCGCGCATTAGTGGCCAGTGGTGCTGACTTGAATGGACAAGATAATATGGGGAACACGGCTTTGATATGGGCAGCTTCGAGACCGTGCTATGATGTAGTGCGCACATTGTTAGACAGTGGTCCTGACTTAAATGCGCAAGATCATATCGGGGATACGGCTTTGATATGCGCAGCTCTCAATGGGTACGATGGTATAGTGCGTGCATTATTGGCCAGCGGTCCTAACTTGAATTTGCAAAATCATGACGGGGATACAGCTTTGATATGCGCAGCTCGCAATGGGTGCGATGGTATAGTGCGCGCATTGTTAGACAGTGGTCCTGACTTAAATGTGCAAGATCATATCGGGGATACGGCTTTGATATGGGCAGCTCGCCGTGGGAACGATGATACAGTGCGCGCATTATTAGACAGTGGTTCTGACTTGAATGTACAAGATAATAGGGGGGCCACGGCTTTGATATGCGCAGCTCTCACTGGGTACGATGGTATAGTGCGTGCATTATTGGCCAGTGGTCCTAACTTGAATGTGCAAAATCATGACGGGAATACAGCTTTGATATGCGCAGCTCGCAATGGGTACGATGATATAGTGCGTGCATTATTGGCCAGTGGTCCTGACTTGAATCTTCAAGACAAACATGGCAGAACGGCTCTAGTCTGGGCAATTCGAAATAAGCATGGTCGCATATTGTCTATGCTGACCGCTCAGAAGCTAGTGGTCACTCGAAGGCGACAGAGAGACCCCGCAAACAGATGAACGAGGTCTGGAAGCGCCAGAGGAAAGTGGAGGGTGATGACGGTGATGATGATTGTATTATCTGAAGGGGGTTAAGTACTGGACCCGTGTAAATCTTAGCCAGATGCTAATCTAAATCTGATATCATGTGCATTCTACCACCAGTACCCTTACCGACATCCATGGATATGTAAGTGCGTCTCCTTCCACGGATATAAGTATATATGCTCTGCTATTGAGCCAATGCGAGTGATTTGGATTATCTGGTTTAAAAGGTTTAAAAATATTCCTTTTTTTTCTCATACCTTCACTACGATGTACGATTTGAACTTGTTTGTATCCTCAAGAATTTCTGATAGGAATCAAATACTCATTTAGTAAGGCAGCATATGTTTTTCTGCCACTCAGCTAGCAAAGAGATGGGGAATCTCACAGAACTGATATCTTCATAGTAAAATTTGTAGATCTTGGCATTCCCGATAGCCAACACAAATAGTGCAAACAGTGCAAACAGCCAGGTGATTCGCAGTGATTGAACATGACGACCCCAGCGGCCTTGATCAATTCCCTGAAGATATAGTGCAGACCTGGCCAGTATTCGACTCCTCCAGTATTGGATGCGTGGTCCGAGTCGAAGCTTTGTATTCCGTCGCGTGGTCCTTTCCTGGGCCATTTTGTCAGCAATCCGCCACATGATGAAGACCGCGTCCTAGCACCCGCGCTACTCGCGGCTCATCTACGCCTTAAGGATCAGCCACACATTCGATCTTCCATGGCGGTACTCTCCAATAGTATTTCCATCATAAAAGCTCCGCAGGTTTCCTGCCCTCGTTGATGCAACGGCTCGGTACCACAATGGGCAGACCACGCTCTCTTGTCCCGCCGTGCAGGTTCTGTAAAAAGCAGTTCAAGAGACAAGAACATCTGCGGCGACATGAGCGTACCCGTAAGAGAGATCAAATTCCGAAATAAAACACCCCTGTCCATTTACTGACCTTTTTGGAGACACAAACGAGAAGCCTTTCGTATGTGAATGTCGTGGAAGACACGACAGTAAGCATGACTTTTGACGAAATGATAACTATGCTGATCGTCTTTAAGAGATATGTTGACGCGCCATCTACGAATCTCCCACAATGACAGCCTCGAGTATTCCGATGTGGCTGTTGACGACCCATCCTCGGTAGCCGAGGGGGATGGTGAATCTCGCAACTCTTTCGGTACTCACGAGCTTGATGGCTCTCAGGGACTCGGCTCCACGATTACTGAGGCCAGACTCTCTTTATCCCCACATGTCCATGCTTGCGACGAGCCGGGCATTCAAATAGCCCAATTGGTTTCCCCCTTGGAGCAGATCTCACGGGAATCGCGACGGAAAAACCCGCCAACCAAACATTTCCGTGGAATGAAAATGATGATTTAGACTTTCTTTGGAACGACTCACGTCCATTTTCGGAGGTTCTACCTGCCAGCTTTTTCGACACGAACCTCTCTTTAGTTGATATTTCCCAGCAATATCAAGCTCCTCGCCTGGAGGAGGAGCAAAGCTCTGAGCGAATAGGGCAAGGACAACAATATACCGATATTTCTCTAGGTATAAACAAAACACACAATTTACCAGCTTCAGCCCGACCATCTTTGCCTGAACCGCGACATATTTTCACGGAACCAAACGAGAATCACGTCACCGCTGCTGAGGAAGAGGGAGATCCATCGCAAAACCCTCAATTGAAAGGGAATTTTGCTCCTTCAATTTCCCCTTGGAAACTGACGCCTTCGGACTACGCAGCCCTTTCCAATGAGATCAAACAGCTCGCTCTTATTCTTCCCTCATATTTTTCGTTGCCTTCTCGTCATACTCTATCTCGTTTCCTAGAAGGATTCTTTCGCGGTTATCATGACCACATGCCATTCCTCCATACCCCCTGCTTCTCTGCTCTATCGCTTGGCACAGAGCTCATTTTATCACTGGCGGCGGTCGGAGCTTTCTATCGCTTTGAGCATGCGAAAGGGTACATGATATACCATGCCCCACGCACTTATCAGCTGGCGTCTCGATCAGCGCAACGGCCTGGTGATTTCGAATCTGGCAAAGGCTTCCCCTGGCTATACTGGCCCTTCGAATGTGCGAGGTCATCCGCAGAGCTCCCCTACTCGCAATGAACACCAAGGTGCTTATTGTGGCTCATCCAGGAAAACTCCGATCTTGCGTTTGCTCCAGGGACTTATAGTGTTGATGACTTTGGCATCATGGGGCCATCGCGCTGCGGCGGGGGACTCACTCGCGATGTCCGGCCAAGTTGCTATGTTAGTCCGTGAAATTGGTATCGCTACGCCTGACGAACGCCATGAGACATCTTCTTGGGAAGAATGGGTGAAGCAAGAGGAGCGCCGTCGAACGCTATGGGTGGCATATGCTCAGTTCAACTTGCAATGTATAGCCTATAATGTCCTGCTGATGATATTGAACCAGGAAGTACTTTTGACCTTGCCAGCTTGCGGCGAAGAATGGAACGCACCTAACCCCCAAAAGTGGAGGCAGATGCGAAGTCTTCATACGCCCGATTCCAGAAATTTCCAGCAAGCGTTGGGACAACTTCTCCAGGGCCATCAAATCCACGAACCAGAGGCAGTTTCTGCCTTCGCGAATTATGTACTCATCCACGGCTTATTCCAAGAGATATTCTTCGCTCGCAGCACAACTTCTCTGGTAGAACAATCTACCGGGTCTCTTCCAATGAGCTTTATGCAGGCAATGGAATCGGCATTGCGAGCGTGGCAGAATTCCTGAGAGGCAACCTATGAATCAACCATTGATCCCTTATCGCCCAGAGGTCGCATGGGATTCAACGCAACCGCCCTTGTGCGCTTGGCATATATTCGTCTCAATGCCAATACAGGACCGCACCGTCAACTGAGCACTCGGAATCCTGCGGAAATTGCCCGTGCGCTTATTGATGACCGACATACTGTCAGTAAACGCTCTCCCTTTCTTGACCGTGCGGCTCTACAATGCATCCACGCTCTGAGTATTCCGGTCCGGTCGGGCATACAGTTTATAGCACGCACTCAAATGCTGAACTGGAGCATGCAGCATTCGCTTTGCAACTTTGAATGTGCATTTCTTCTCAACCATTGGCTCCAGGAGATTGCTTGATCTATTGAGATGTTCGGCGTTCAAACGCTACGGGACGATGAGCGCAAGCTTCTCAGCATGATTTATACTGTTGTCAGAGAGGCAGATCTTACAGAGCTTTCAGATTGGGCAGACGATAATGCAGATGCAGTACGCCGTCTAGCAGCATGTACCGCCCGACTGTGGGCCGAAACATTTAGAGGGTTTCATGTATTTGATGTTTCTCAGGTGATAGGTGAGAGTGTTACAATTATCGCAGATATCCTGGATTCTCCGGTGGCGTCTTCGACCTGATCTCGGGGATACAATGATTCACCCTCACAATTTTGACAACTTCAAGCTCTTTGGCTTACGCAGCAGACCAACCAATGCGTAGGAAGTCTACTCATTTCTCTCGCAATTCTGCTCGCAATTCTCTGCTCAATTCTACGCAAGTCTAGCCTTTTCAAAACCAACCTCAGCTACTCTACCAAATTCTGTTCCAGCAATTACGTGTAGACTCAACCCCCGGATCTAAATAGTGAATCTAGTTAGCCCAATAACACTATCAAGATCTCTGGAAGGCTGTATAGAACGAGAAGGTGGAATAACATGGGTTCTGGGGTAATTACTCCATATATGCCCCATATCTACTCCATTCGGCATAGGACTAGTTCAGTGGACTGGTAATGGATTTTGCTCCATTGTTTCCATAATTTGCTATCCTCCCCCTTGACCAGTGGATAGATAATCCAACGAAAATTCATATGTAAGCAGATCTGTAATCCTTGGGGTAGAAAAACGCGATGTGGTTCGGATGAGGTAGAAACAGATAGGAACGTAATTATAGAAACAGGATGATGTCATAGATTATTAAATGCACCTTCTTCTTACCTTTTTAAGACATATATGTAGGGAAGAGAATGGTTAAATAGACCCTGTGCTCCTGCTGCAAATTTGCCTTCTTCACTTCAATCCCCAAACGTCAGAATTCATTCTTAAATTCCCTACTCAAGATGTCTTCCCATACCGTTCTTCGCCACACTACTCGCGATTCTTGGAAAAACATCCAACAATTCGATGAACCTCGTCCCACTGTTGGAAAGCATGAAGTCCTTATCAAAGTCCGTAGCGTTTCTCTCAACTACAGAGACATTGCTATCGCCATTGGCAAGTACCCATTTCCCGTGAAGGACAATGTCGTTCCGGGATCCGATGCCTCGGGCGATATCGTCGAAGTTGGCGAAGGTGTCAATGGACTTGCGCAAGGTGACAAAGTCGTAGCTGCCTTCGATCCGGCAACTCTGTATGGACCTATGAAGTCCTGGTATACCGGTCTAGGCGGCCCTACCGATGGAGTTCTAAGGGAGTATATCACGATTCCGGCCCAAAGCGTGGTGAAAATCCCAGAGTCGTCTACTCTTAGCTATGCCCAGTGGGCTAGTGTCGTCTGTACTGGTGTGACCGCTTGGAATTCTCTCTATGGAAACATGCCATTGAAGCCCGGTCAGACGGTTCTGTTTCAGGGTAAATGCTATACCCCCCTAATCTTGCTTAAACTATCTTTGAGACAAAATGGCTAATGTTTGTTTCACAGGTACGGGAGGAGTGTCTATCACCGGCCTCGTGTTCGCTAAAGAAGCGGGTGCGACCACTATCATCACATCCTCTTCCGATGAGAAGTTGGCCTACGTGAAGGAGAAGTACGGAGTCGATCACGTTATTAACTACAAGAAAACGCCGGACTGGGCAGCTGAGGCTCAGAAGATCACCGGTGGCCAGGGTGTTGATTTCATTCTCGAGAACGGTGGTTCTCGTACGATCAAACAATCTCTGGAAGCCATCGCGTACGGCGGAATTATTTCTTGTATCGGAATCTTGTCTCTTGCCTCTCAAGACGAGATGCCTGATGTCGCCCTTCTTGCCTTGGGTAAAGGAGCGGTTGTTCGCGGTATCATGGTCGGGTCGAAGGAGATGCTAGAAGATGTGGTTCGCTTCATCGGCAACCGAAACCTGCAGATTCCGGTTGAAAAGGTTTTCAAATTTGGCCGTGATGAGTTTATCAAGGCCCTCGATTTCATGACAAGCGGGCAGCATATTGGAAAGGTCTGCATCGACTTTTAGGGGTGCATTCCTCATGCTGCAGCCATTTTGTCCGAAAAGTATTAATATACAGAGTTAGCCTTAACCTATGTACTTATCTAGCCATTGTATGTAACAGGTGCGGTATAAAAAATAAACTAAAAATAGTAGGTGGTGTTGGCGTTGAAGCACACGCATCGATTTATATATTTTATGCGGGTGACTACATCTTTCTCGCATTGAGTCCCGGACTTCCATTTGGGCTCGTGACAAATACCCTACTCGCACACTTTACATACACAATATTCCCTTGGTAGATTCAATAATTTAAACAACCGCATGTTAGCACCGGGTCGCATGCAGCATTTCTTGATGCCTGACAAGAACACCCTCTCTCTGCTGATGGAGCAGAGGTGAGGACTAAACATGAAGAGTATGAAGACGCGAGAAATTGTTAGGAACTTATCCATCACAAACATTACAACTAGAATATGAGGACCTGTGAAAATGACGCTGAAAATGACCTCTTGTGGCGCCAGAAACGGCCGTCTTTCCACCCGTAACTTTGGAGGGCGAGCCGGCGCTTCACCGCCTACCGTCTAGTACCATCACTATTTTGCACCCACCTAGCGCCGTTAGTCATCATCTTCCGGTGATGTTTGGCGCCCGTTCAACAGTCATTCCCTTAGATTCCACCTGCCACCAAAACGACGCCGAAAATGGCTCCCTTTTATAGTCCCGCCTAGGCGCCCTCGCTTTTCGTCTTGCCTAGCCGGGCGCCTATAAGATGCCTCTTCTCCTCCCTCTCTTATATTCTCCTAGTTCTCTCCTCATCCCTAACTAGTCTTCCGCACGACAACCCAGTCTGGGGCCCCAAATTGGGTTACAAACTATACAAACACGCTAATTATGTGTATAATTCTGCTGATTTTACAGGTTTATGACTGCCAAGACCCCTTTTTATGCAAAAACTGGATCGAACTGGGTCGAAACTGGGTTTTCTGGGGCCTCAGTCACTAGGTCCGGGTTGGGTCTGGGTTGGGTTTTGGGTCGAAGGTTCCGACCCAAAATGGGTTCTGCGGAAGCCTAGGTAAAACCATTAAATGGCTCAAGAGTAAATTAGAACTAGCTTCAGCATAGAATAGATGAACATTGCCGGTTTCTTTATTCTGGGATCAAAGCGTTTCTAATTTATGATTGGCTCGCATTTACTCCTTTCTCCACCTAGGAGTAGGGCCAGACCGACATATGGTATGGGGAGAAGATGTGCTTAGATTTAGTACAGCGGCGACCGTTATTGCCTTCATAGTTGGGGAACACAGAGATGCTCTTTCAAGACCCAATCACATGATGCGCGAAACCTAATATGGGTATTACGTAAATAACCAGTTTTGTACCTATCAGGTAATAATACCAGTATGAAAGATACAAGAGCCAAGAATAGAAGCCTGGAACTTCCAGGTTGTTCCTCGCAAACCCAGCAAACAAGGTACCTTCCGAACTGGCAATCTGCCAACAATTCTCTTTTGCATCTCGCATTTGCTTCACTGCTGAGAGCCTGGTTTTGCTTAGAGCAGTTAAGCATTCACAAAATTTGTTTGCGAATTTTCAGCACGTCCTGAGCAGTCACCTAGCTCTGATATTATACATGCGTCACTCAGCCAGAACTGTTCTTTGCCTGGTTGCCATCTGCCGGTTAGCTGAATCGGATACGGCAAGGTCAACTTCGATCATGGTGGATGATGACCCCTGCAAACTCCAATGTTGCAATAGAAATCTCGATGGCGTTGATAGCCTGTTACGCGCTGAAAGAGGGGTGTGCAGCCAACTGCCTATCTCCCCTGCCGACATTTTCGTGACGACTACTTCCAACCTCCCTGTAACCCGCCCTCAGCAGTACTCCAATACAGAACTTCTCCTTCAGGCAGCATTGGATGGAGATACTGAAGCAGTGCGGAGGTTATTTACTGCTGGAGCCGACCTTGCGTCATACAGACACCAAGCTAAATCTGTGGATGAAGAACCGAGAAAATTTCATATCCTTTACTCTCATACAGACTACGAAGTATCCAATCTTTTATATCGAATCCCCTCTGAAAATTGCTAATACGTTTGATATTTCAGAGAGACGCGCTCGAGGGCACAACTGCGCTCCACTTGGCAGCATACGGTGGACACATTGAAGTAGTAAAGTTCCTTATCCATGGTGGAGCGGATATCTATGCATTCGATTTCCCTGGGTTGACGGCTTTACACTGGGCTGCCTATAAAGGGCACAAAGACATAGTAGCTCTGCTGCTCGAGAATGGAGCCAATCCATCAAGCCTCCCCTACCATTTGATGGACACACTCCGCGATCCAACAGAAAAAGGGTCTATGGGCCTGACGGCGATGCTGGATCGCACTAATGACGATGGCTCTTTACTTTTTGGTAAAGTGCCGCCATTACATTGGGCAGTGGCTGGAGGCCATGACGATATAGTACGGCAGCTTTTGGACTGGGGAGCTGATCTTCATATGGAAGGCCTTGGAACACCGCATACTGCACTGGAAACAGCAGCTGATCGAGGGAATGAGGAGCTAATTAAATTGCTCATGAACACGGGCGCTCATGCTAGTCAAAGGGCATTGAATTTGGCAGTCTTGTCTGCGCATATGGAAGCTGCAAGAATTCTCCTGGACGCCGGGGTGAAGGCTTCTCTACCGGACACATTAGGGTTGCTGCCACTGAACAGGGCGGCTTCCCTGGGCCATGAGACCATTGTACGTCTCCTCCTCGAAGCCGGAGCAGATATACACTCGGTGGATGCCAGTGGAGAATCAGCACTACATCTAGCAGCTTCCGGAGGTCATGACTCTGTCGTGCAGCTTCTTATCAATGCTAGAGCCAGTACAACGTCAACGGACGAAAGGGGCATGACACCATTACATCACGCGTCTCAAGGAGGGAATCTGAAAGCAGTCCAGTTCTTACTTGATCACAATATATCGGCATCTAATCCAGATTTTAACGAGCTTACCGCATTGCATAGCGCCGCACATTGCGGCAACGTGGAGGCATTTAGCGTACTTCTTGATGCCTTTGAGAACGCCGACGCACTGTCTACATCTGCACCAATGCCGATATTCCACTTGTCTTTTGGACAAGTAGTGGAAAGAAAACAAATTGTTCATACAGGTCCTGTTCTTCATCACGCTGCATATGGTGGAAGTCAACAAATTCTCTCGATGCTTCTGGCACGAGAGGTGGATATAACAGCAACAGATGATCATGGAATGACCGCCCTTCACTGGGCTGTCCAAGGTGGTAGGACAGCCGCAGCTGCAGCAACAATACAGCAACTACTTGACGCTGGAGCCGACGTGTTTGCATGTGACAAATGTGGAAGAACTGCACTTAACTGGGCATCTTTCCCACCCCGGTTCGATGAACTTCTTCGTCAGGCAGAAGGTGCTGCTATCGCTCCTGAAATTGCACCGGCTCACATGAAGAACTTGACACCACTCCATATAGCTGCCCGAGATGGACAATCAATAGAGATAGGTGATTTGATTTCCGAAGAAATCGATCCTTCTCTCCCTGATGGCACTGGAATGACCGCACTTCATTGGGCAGCGCGACGAGGACATGTAGCAGTGTTACAGCAACTCCTCGCAGCGGGAGCTGATATATTTGCGTTGGACAAATGTGGCAGGTCAGCAATCCAATGGGCAATCGAGGAAAGGGAGCATGGAGCGGTGTTATTGCTGGCAAAAGAGCAACTGGATTCTTGTCAGAAATCAGACGTTTCTTGCCCAACCGAGCTTGTATCTCTCCTCAGACGTTTTGTTGAGGAATCAGCCTTATTCCACGGATGAGGACTCCTGTCAAATACTATAATGACCGCGTACATCCAGGGATTATCCTGGTGGACTGGTCCACACTGTCATTGTATTACAATTAGTTATTCTGTTGAAGGGTATAAGTTCTCTTCCATCCAGGGGTTATTTCCAATCTCTAATCTCCAATTTTACACACATTACTATTTATTATAATGGTCACTTATACCTTCTATCGTGATACCTATATATCGGAAATGGCCTTCGGTGCTCTCCTGTTTTCCACCGACGTTATGAATACACCGCCGAAGGCATGAAACCCTTGGTTAGGATCCTCTTTATACATTGACCAAGCTTTCTTGATGGAAGCCTTTAGCTCGGCAAAGAACTCCTCAGTCGGGTTGAAATCCGGAGAGTAAGGGGGCAAGTATAGTAACTTCACTCCTACGTTAGAGCACAACTACTTAACTCGGTCCGAATGATGGGCATATACGTTATCTATAACAAGCACGGATTTTGGCTCCGGCTACCGCCTATAGAGCTGGAGAAGCTCCTCAATAAACGATTTAAAGAACGCAGCATCAGTTGAACCTTTGAAAATCCGAGACAAAATAATGCCTTCTTGAGTATATACTAGCAGTATCTGGTAGCGTTGGCCCCGATGAAACTAGATACTTAGATAGGTGTTACGCCGAGTAGTGACTCACTAGTCCGTCTATATCCCACTCGTTTATTATACCTGAATTCGTTACCAAAAATCAGATAATATAAACGAAACTCGGATAGTTTATAGTAGAAATCTCGTAGTTAAGGGTTCTGTTCTTTTGCTTTTTTTTAGGCTTTCTTTTTTGTCTAGCTAGCCTTAGAAAGAATACGTTTAACACTAGACGATAATAATAATACGGTAAACCTATCCTATAGAAATATAGCCATCTCTTCGATATATAGGCCGGGTTTTTTTAGCGAGGTGGTCAAAAAAGGCGTCTAGCATCATAGGAGTGATGCTTGGTGGTCGGCCGGCAGAGATTAGAGAGAGGACATTTGGTACTGCTGAATGACCGTATATTCTTGCGTATATTAGTGACAGAGCGCTTACTACACTTCGCCACCTTGGCGATTTGAGATATAGTTAGTTTGTTCCTACTTCGTATTATGTAGACAATGATCTTACACTGCCAGGGATCAAGGTTTCGTGCCATCTTGTGCTGGGTTGGGATGTTGGTGCTTCGGTTGGGACGCTCAAGTTGTAATAATGTCGGGCCCATAACATAGTTATCCACTTTTATGCCAGATTACCCAGGCATCTAGCCCAAGCCATCCTTGTACCTTGCTTTGTGGCTTGTAACCGTGCCAAGCGCCCAACCACCCATACTGGGGGTTGGTGCGCCCCACCAAAAGTCATTTTTTCACCAAACGTCAAATTTCTGTCATTTTATCAACTTCCTATACAATTTTATACCACAATACGATGTCAAATCAGACGAAAACCACCGAAGATCGAACCTAGGAAGCTCTCAATGCATTCCACCAAGCCACTAAGCCCAATATCGCTAAATTGGCGCGAGAATTTGACGTTCCATACCACATACTTAGGGCTAGGATACGCGGGCGCCAGTCTATTTCCGACCGTGCCAAAGCAACCAGATCATTAAATGAGATGCAAGAAAAAGCCCTAGTAAGCTGGATTCAAACCCTAGACAACTTCCATATATCGCAACCCCCAGATCTAGTTGAATAGGCCGCTAATCGGCTTCTAAAAATTGCTGGTTCCGATCGGGTTGTGGGCTATAACTGGGCATACCGCTTCATTGTAAGACTACCCTCTAGTCTCAATTATATTAACTAAAAACTAAAGGAAAAATCGAGAGTTGATTCCGAGGATTACGGCGCTTTATTTCTCTAGTTTAACTAGCTCGCTAAGGAAATGGAGCGGTATCAATTCCTTCTATATAAGATTTACAATTAGGACGAAACTGGCTACCGAATTAGCCAAGGCAAGCAACGTAAGGTTATTACCTCTCGTATAACCAGCGACATCGCTACCGGTGGTCAGTCAGAGTCAATTACCAGTATTGAGTGTATTGCTACTAATAGCTGGTTAATACTACCATAGTTTCTACCTAAGGGTAGTTTATATATAGAGGAGTGGTATGAAAATATTACTACCCCCGATTTTCGAATTAAACCTACGCCAAATGGTTGGGTTGACGATAAACCGGCACTTTAATAGCTCTTCTCTTTTTATAAAGCTACAATTGATCGGGTTAAAAAAGGGAGGCTAAGGCTTCTTTTAATAGATAACTATGGTTCTTATATAACCTTCGAATTCGTCAATTTTTACCGGGAAAAATTCATTTTCCCCTTTTATTTTTTACCCAGTACCACCCATCTCTACCAGCCACTAGATAGCTAAGCCTTTTAAAGCTTAAAACACCATTTCCGTACGGCAAATAACGAGATCGTTATATAGGGTGGAAGGGTAAGTAAGAAGCGGGATTTTTTCCAAGTCTCAATCCCACAAAGCAGATGCTACCAAGGCAAGAAATGGCAAATCGCTTCTTGGAACCAAGGGCTTAGTGCTCTCACCTATCTGCGCAAATAGGATGATGGTGAAAAGACAGGATGCTGATTCTAAGAAGTTGAAGCGCTTACAGACAAAGCATGCCAAGGAATTGGAAGCTCAGCGGCGAGCTCAGGAAGCAAGGGATTTAGTAGAAGCCGAGCATGAAGCTTCAATGGCGGCAAGAGATAGTATAGGTGGAAATTGGTATATAGATAGTTATGGTGGTTACATGTAAATAGTATTTTCATAGGTTGACAAAATGAAAATTTGACGTTTGGTGAAAAAATGACTTTTGGTGGGGCGCACCAATACCCGGCAGGTGTATTGGGCGCTTGGCACGGTTATACGATGTAGTTCTTCTCCTGCAGGAATAAGGACTCCCGCAAGGCCACACTCCAAGATACCCTGTCTTATCATGTCTTTCTACTGTCTTAAATCTTTCGCAAGTATTGAACGCGTTCAGTAAGAAGTTATCATTTGTTGGTTGAATATTTCCATCTCGTGCTTAGTCTCACCTAGTTTCACTTGAAGTCGTCGAGATGTTTAAAAGTGGACAAGCTGGGAGAGCCAATATGAATAGTATTTTGTTAATTGCCTACTCACTGTGACAGTTCAAACGCGGAAGGACTTGCCGTGTTCGCTTGCTACAAGTGAACTATTGGCAGGGATCTTCGTGTATCTGAAACTGTGATCGATCGCCTTGGCGTATCTTTGGCCTGATTAATAGATTATCGTTAACCTTACTGTCGATCCAAGGCCGGGAATTCTCTTGGTTCTGGACGGGCTGGGCAATGGGTCGACAGCTTCCTACAACTCCGTGGTGTTCACTCCGGATAACGGCCGCAATATATTTTTACCAAGATTTCCCTGCTGTCACTAAACTCTCTTTCTCATGTCCCAATTCGATTGAATTTGGTTAGATATACAAACCGACCGGTTATATCAGGTTCTTACCACGTAAAGAAGCGATGTCAATCTCAATAGCATTGTGCTTTCCTGTCGTGCCTGAAACTACCTTGTTGTTGCCTAGAGTGGCCTCCGCTTTCTAGAGACCCTTGCTGCCTATTGCAAGAGACTTCATGTACCGGCCCTCACGGGATATCGATCTGGGTCACAGATCCAAAATATGGGTTGGAGGCGATACATTTGTGGCTTTCTGACCTTGGTTCAATACTCACCACTAAATGGATCAGGAAGGTGGCTGTTTGACGCAAACGGCAACATCCGCCATGGCTCCTCGACTCGACCGATGAGGTAATAAGTGATATTTCGTTTTCAAAGATTTCAACTTCAGGAATATAATATCCCAGCCCTTAGCCCTTAAATATCGATCGGATAATTATGGTCAGCATAGTGACCGTATCACTCATCTCCGAGTTCCCTTGCACGACCGTGTCACCCATCAAATGCGGATGTGTCTAGATGCCAAGAAATGGAAAGCCGCGACTAAGCGTTTCCCCACCAGGCTAAGCGAACGTAATTACTCCCTCACACGATCGGCGTGTGGCTTGTGTGTGGCTAATGTTGGTGACGGGTGGGTCAGCGTCGTTTGATGACTGCGAAATGTGAGGGTGCAATAGGCAGGGCGAGGAGCCAAAGTTAGCTCCACTACGGTCCAATATTGGGCTGCCTTAGCCCACATGAACCACTTTGTAAGCTAATATATCAATAGTTACTTTCTTTACAGGCAATGCGGTTCCGTTTCGGCAGCTTCTGTCAAACTAAAAGATATTTCTGTGCAATAGTATTATTGATGGGGTATGGAAGTTAACCGATCTGGTTTACTATACAAAACGTGAGGGTAATTGGGTAGACGCGGAATTGGCCTGTTCTTCGTGCTAGATATCTATCGCTCGGTTCTTCACCACTGTCTAGACCATGAGCCGGTGGCTGTGGGGAGTACTAGAGAGATAGGGCTCTAGAAATGTATTTATGAAATTGATCATTACAAGATTGGGGAGGGGGGATTACAAGATGGGAGACACAGTATGACGAACTTTCCTCCCTTCACTTAGCCAGTTATGAGTGGACACTCATCCGGTAGCTCCTGCATTTCGATTTCTAAGGGATGAGAACTTATTCAGGCCATAAGGATCATTGTCTCCTCAGGAAATCTCGGACCTCCGACCTCGGCAAGAGTCTGCGGAGACGATGGAATGAACTTTCAACTGTTACTTCGATTCGCACAAAACTGTCCACGTCTTGTTACAGATGAAGCTTTTTCGTCACTAACTATATAGATTTTTGATTCTCACATGGTCGGATTTGATTGAATTTGGATTCGATAACGAAACCATGTGGCTGTATCAGTCCCTTGTTTTAAAGGCGCAAGTCTAACGGTAAGATGCGGGATCCACTGTCGCTGGGGCTTTGCTATCTATTACAAGGGCCTTCATAATAGAATTATGAAAGTGTGATTTCTGACGACTGTTACTAAATTTAACTATATAGTATCATAGAGAACCAACATGGAGTTTAGAAGGCGCTGAACCTTGCAGCTGGAATAGGGTTTGGCAGGCCGGGGGCTGTGGCGTTACATCGGCCACTTCTTGACCCTTGTTCACTTTAGGAAAAAAATAATCAAACATACCGCCGAAAAAAAACGACGGAAGAACCCTGCAAATACGCCATAGGCAGAAGCATTAATATATCACAGCCCTGACCGATGAGGTATAAAAGGATCGCAAAAGATTGGTTCACTTCCATCACAGGCCTTAAAAGAGAATAATCAGCAACCGCCTCTATGAGCCCGAAACTTTTCTTCGTTGCTCTCCTTCAGCTTCAGGCTTTTGTCGCATCCGCTATGTACCGCCCTGCGGAATGGGATCGGCATGATCAGATCATTATGGCTTGGCCATCAATCGAAAACGACGCCTACCTGGACAAAGGTGGCAGCCGTGATTTAGCTGCTGCTACCCGAGATATTTCAACAATCGCTGAGGCAGTCGCTGAATTTGAGCAAGTTACCCTGCTCGTCACCCCAGACCGCTTCAAGGAGGCAAAGAAACGGTTCAAGCACGACGCAGACGATATCATCATCCAGCCTGTTCATGATTACCCCAAACTTGATCTCTGGATGCGTGACATGGCACCAACCTTCGTTTTTGATGGATGCCACCTTTCTGGAGTTGATTACAACTTCAATGGGTGGGGTAGTAAATACCCGGTAAATGCTTCCAAATCCCTTGCGTCCCAGGTCTGCGACAATATGGATCTTCCTCGGATTTCAACCTGGCTTGTGACGGAAGGCGGCTCTCTTGAGGTCGATGGAGACGGTACTATTTTGATCACCGAGAGCTCGATCATCAACCAGAACCGGAACCTAGGAAAAGGCCGGAAACAGATCGAGGATGAGTTGCGGCGAACGCTTGGTGTCTCAAAGATCATCTGGCTTCCTGGTGTTAAGGGCGGTGACGTTACTGATGGCCATGTTGATGGTCTCGCGCGTTTCGTCGCGCCAGGAAAAGTCGTTATCAGCAAACCGAACATTCTTGACAACAGTCAATTCTCCACAGTATTCAAGGAAGCCCGTTCAATCCTCTCCAACGCGACGGACGCTCATGGCCGACGTCTTGAGGTTCTCGAAATGGTCGAGGCCGATTTGTACTCGCTAGGGTTGGACCGAGATACTTTGAAGGACATCGAAAGTGATGAGGAGGATTACCCTTCATTGAGCTACGTCAACTGGTTGCTTGTGAATGGTGGAGTCGTTTTCCCCCAGTTTGGGGACAAGAAGGCCGACGCCGCCGCCTTGAAGATCATCCGTGACTTATACAAGGATCGTCGGGTGATAACTGTGCGCCTCGATCAGTTGCCATTCTTAGGTGGGGGTATTCACTGCTCCACGCAGGAAGTACCTGCACCCTAAATGGTGCTAACAGCGATTGAACCGAGTTGCTGTCTCATAAAAGCCAAGACCTGGGTCTACGTTGGTATTGAAGGCATCTCTTTAGTTGCTCAAGCAACTGTATATGATTCTTGAGGTGCAGATTTTGTTGATGTATTTTACTTCTAGTTTCCTTGTGGGGAACAATTGTGCTTATTGTCATGCAACATGATAGATGGTTTTGATTAGAGGGATTGAATTTTCACTGCTTTTTAGCTCTTAAGATAGAAGTAAGATGCAATGTTACTAAGCACGAATTTGGTGATCCTCGCCCCTTCTCACCCCGGTGACACCCAACTATTGATTGGCCATACATAAGAATTAGATGAGCGAGATAATTGTCTTAGAGGCCCGCCTGAAAGCTTTTGCAACCTCCTTACCTCAAAAATTAAAGGGAGGCTGGCGTGTGATCACATGTAGATGTTGGCCCGATCCAAAGCCGATGGTAATCTCGACTCCTGAAACCGGCCTGTATTAATGCGATCATCATTTGCCGTCAATGAGGGGTCGATGTTATCACTATCGTAAAGACAACGAATTTAGGTAAATCGTCACCGTTAAATGTTAAGGAGTGCAGATTTTCAAAGACCGGTAGCTTCAGACTATCCTATTATAGGCCCGGAGGTTCATAACTACATTGACAGGCTACCGTACCGTAATGACCATTTGCTAGTGAAGAAGTGGAGATAGGCAGCTTGGTAATACGGAATCGACCCTTTTGAACTGACTATAAAGGAAGGACTAGCTCTGATCGAGATAGACTTCGGGTAGTGGTAATTATTAAGAAGATCCTACGGAGACTACGTAAATTCTGAGAAAGGGCTTTAGGCGAAATTTAGCATTTAATATAGCGAGGGTGATAGATATGAGAAGAATATTAGAATAAGGGACTTATAAAAAGGATGGAGATTAGGATAGGGAAAACTCCTAAACCATAGGCTTACTATATGACTGAAATTGTACTCTATTTAGTAGGCGAAGATCGAACGTAAGGTAAAATTCGCCCTTTAATTAGTAAAGAAGATCCCGACCAGCTTCTCTAATTCACACCCTTACGCGTAAGTTATAAGACCACGCTAGTTCTATAACGAGAAACTACGGATCGCCAAGAAAATCTCTCACCACCTGCTGGCGACGCCCTGATCTATCATAGTCGTACACTTGGTCTCATTTGCGAGGTGATTACGTGCCCCTAGGCGGAACTAAGCATTTGAGCTCTCGTGTATTAGCTGAAGACAGGCTAGACTGCGCGGTTTTCGCCATTAGCTGGTATTATCGGGATATTGCCCCCCTAAATATCTGTGCCGTATAAGAGAGGCAAGAGAAACTAACGATGACGATAATCGGGTGCTAATACGCTCAACTCCGTACGCCTATCTTATTTCGGCCCTCCGAGGGTATATTACACAGCCCCGGTGTCACAATTCTGCCTAAGACGATCTTTAGTGAGGCATTTATACCATTAGATAGGGGCGAGAGGGCGTAGCACCTGTAATCACTAGGCAACTAAGCCGCGATAAAACATAGCAGAAATAACGAGCATAGACCAGAGGGTAGGTCACACGGAAGAGGCAACAGAACAGACTCTGGCGAAAGAGTAGATTATCGAATCGAGGACCGATATATTAACAAGCTGAACGGGCAGAACAGCCAATGTTTGGAACTAGGAAACTTGATAGGTCAAGTGAACTCTCTCTTAGGACCGATGTATTACGTCGCTCAAGAACAAAATCTTCTAAAGCCCGGCCATTCTCCTAAAACGCCACCTACGTAGAGGCCAATTAATTTTGACCCATAAGCTGCAAAAGTGGAGGCAACCAGGACTCAGCCGCAGATTGCAACCAGAACAAAAAAAAGGGGGGGAAGCGTGTGGGGCAGGCGGGTGTTCCGGTTAGGTGGGCAAAATAGAGGGGATGGAGGGGAGAGTGAAAGAGAAATGGAGAACGAAGAGCGCGAGGTCGGGTCTTTTATATCGGGAGCATTAAAGGGAGGTTACGTGACAGCATATTAGGGCGCTAAACCCAGAAAGGCAAAACTAACCGCAAATGGTAATTCACAGGTCCGCCGTTTACAATATAACTGAAGAAAACTGGCACAAAGCTGTCTTCAGATCGAGTACTCAGTAGCTATGTAAGTCTTGCCAATTGTGTTTGTGAGACGGTGCGTGTGTCATTTGCAAAACACTGAAGGAACGCAGAGGCTTCATCTCGTGAGGACTGCTAGATCAGACAAGAAAGTCCACTTAACGGCCTCCTTGAGGTCATTATCTTGCCATTGGTTCAATTCCCCTTGTGGAAAAAGGAAAGACGCCTTTTGGAGTGCAGGCAAGATCCCGCCGTCATGAGCTATGATCACAAGCACATTTTCACAGGCATCAAGTTCCTGCACACCTTGCACACTCCACTCGCATTTCTCAATGTCGTGAGTGAACACACCAGCAGCCTTATATATTGGTGACCGTTCGATATCGGACTTTGTATTGATTTTTTCGGAGATGTTGCCGGGGCCGACGGTCGTCTGCTTTGAATGTACAGCTACATGTAAAGGAGTAAGATCTTTCGGAATAGGAGAAATCTTCGACGGGCGAAATTATCCGGGATGATGGGCACAATGCTAATGTCCGTCAGTGCCGGGGTTATAGTACACATAAACATCATCATCAACGCTCACCCCTCCCATTAAGATAAAGGAATCGGGTTTGACACGAGCAAGGCCACCTATGTGACCAGCCGCATGACCCGGAACATCAAGTAGATAGAAACTTCCATCTTCAAACCAATCAAAAGCTTTGAACTACCCGATAGAAATAGACGCTTGATCATTGTCGAAATCGAGTTCATTTACTCGACGCCCCTTCAAATCAGCCGATTTCACTGGCGAATTTGGATTATCCGGATACCCTGGGGTATATGCATCCGTGAACACCGGCCCGACGACTAATTCTGTGCTGCTCGGAAATTTGGATGGATCCCCAATATGATCAAAGTGATGATGAAACCAGAAGATGGATTTGATCTCGTTTAGTTCAATTCCATTCGCAATCAGTGTATCTGGCACGTCCTTGGGCACTGACAGTTTCCATCCCATGTTTGGATTATTTATACAATTCGCTATGACTGGGGCGAGATTTTGAATGTCCTTTCGAAGAGACAGATCAAATAGGACCCGACCTTTCGATGGGTGGGTTATTAGAAATGAATAAGAAGGGGTTCGAAGGCGCTCGTGGCCTTCTATATTCGGTAATAAGAAATGTCCTGCCAGAAGATCTAGACGAGCACCGCTGTAAAAAATTAGCTTGTTGCTTGTGGCTAAAACTTAGAATTTGAGAAATGTAGGGAGTCAATATACCAATCAATCAAGGAAACTGAGACAGTTTGCGTGGACACTGGAAACCCCAGAACGGGGTGAAGCTCTGCTACCATACTTCCGAACTGCAATGGTATTTATAGATACCTCAGGAAAATCAAAGACAAGAGATTGGCCGGGGATGGTGAAATCAATGAAAAGAAGGCTGAGGGACATTACGCATATATGATGCTTGAGTCAAAACTTTATAACACCTATCTCAAGTGCAATAGCTTATTACGTCACGTTATGAGTGATCTATGTCATGATATGCGTAGCAGGATCAGAACTAATGCTCCAGTTGCTATTAGTTTTGTTTTATCATCCCTTTATTTTGCGTAGAAGATGTGATCGCGTTTCTCGACAAGAGGCTTTGATATTGGAGTAGAAGTGACAAGGTTGGGATTGGAGTAGAAACCGAAGGATTCCGCTAGTAGTCAGCTGATGATTAGCACAGGCAGATATACCCATAAGTGAATGAAAGAGATCTTAAAGATTCTTACCCTTGCTTTAAGATGATTTTGCCCGATTCTAACCTTAACTCAATCATCATGTTCAGCCTTACGGCTTTTTGAGTATTTCTTTTCCCCATCTCTTGTGATCCCGATTCGTATTCCATTTCGCAATGGTTTATTATGGCCAATACACTCACTGGCTGGAGTATCGATGTTATAAACTGATCCGATTGAGCAATGACCTATAATATTTCAGAATTAATATTAGAAATTATTTGGCGTGTCTTTGTATACGGCTTTTCAGATATCTTGTCCTCGGGTTTCTAGGTAGATGGGAGAAAAAGAGGGAAAAAGCTTAATTTGTGAAAACGCCTGTTCTATCTATAATCTTTGATGAATGATATGATGCAGTTCCACGCCGTTTACGGCACTCTAAGAATTGTTAGCCAGATATTGGCACAGGACATGAAAGGAATAATCTTGACTTGATCACTTGCCTACATACATATAGATAATAGACAAGCAACTCTAAAAGGGAGCCCGGGGGGGGGGGGGGTCGGGGGCGCGCCTTAGGCAGCCACACACCTTACCTAGGTAGCAATAGCGGAAGAAGCTGGAGACCGGGTGTATTACAATTCACCTGGTCATTGTTCATTTGTTTACCCCAAAATTCTCTTCATAAACCACCCCACCATTTCTTGATTCTTCAACATCCATGTGTCCATTTTGTTTTTACTACACCCCCGTCTAATCAGCATGCCTGTCGACTTCTCCACGTTAAGGAATCGTGAGCGCCAACGGGCCGCAGCCTACTTACAATCCCGTAGTAAAGTCATTGCTGCTATCGACGAAATTTACAACCGTGTCGAAATCTACAGCTCCGCCCAGATCGACCCCGCCTCCTATAAGTTTTTGGGCATCAATTGTCAATCCCTTAAGCTAGACGACGATGGGAAACACCTTCACCCCCTAAATTCAGAGCCCTCCGCACATCCCTCCGCCCTAACTTTCTTTGAACCTCGAGGTGCCGCGTGGGTGGCCCCTGTTCGCGTTACCGACGCAAAACGCAAGGAAGAACTAAGACAAATCACCGACAAATGGGACAGCGCCAAAGATAATCCGCTAGTACAGAGGCTTCACTCCCAGGCCTTGTATGTCTTTTCGAGGTTGGAACGGATGTTCTTCCTATTCCGCCGAGAGTTCTACCCCGAAGGAGATGGTAGAGTGCCACCCAACCTCAGGCAAATGTCCAAATGGGTGAAGAGGTAATAGATCCACTCTTTACGATAGGCTTTGTATACTGACGTACGCTTTATAGTGGGACTATTGTACCGTCGGTTTTCGCTGATAAATTCTACTCAACTATTTGGGGATCGATGCGATGGTCGCCGGTTGCTGCTTTTGTGGCGAAGAAACCGCTGGATAATTTGGCAGCACCACCACATATTCTAATCATCATTATGATTGAAGAAGACCCCCGCGAAGGGCTGTTCCGGGGAGAGGTGATGATCCTTACCGCAGCTATGGTCACGCGTCTTAAGGGGGAAGAAAGTTTGGAATACAACACTATTCCAGTGAGTATAGATTGAAAATATCCTTCTATGGTTCAGAGGCTAATACATGTATATATAAATATAGGTCATGGCTATCACGATTTTCGGACGGATGAAAGCCCGCGTAATCGAAGCCCATTCCAGCCAGCAAGGGATAGTCATCAAGAAGACCCAGCTTTTTGATTTCTCGACCAACCAAGTCGCCAACAAGAATATGGACATTCTGCTTGGATTCATGGCCGGCGACCTAGTGGGTGATCCTAGAGAACCCACAGTTCCTACGAATACCCAAGAGGTTTGTACTACAGATGCAATGAACTCGGAGAAATATGCTGACCATAAATTAGAACTCACCAAATCCCGAGAAGGTGGACAAGGCGAAGGGGCGGAACCCTTCGAAAGATGTTCCGGAAAATACGCTCGCGGGTTGGGCCAGATATAGGTTCATACCATGCAGAGGGAGTTAGCAAATAGCCAAGATCCAACTTCAGTCTAAGTGTCCACTTCGGTCCTAGCCCACTCGGCAAGCGCCAAAGACACCGTCCTTATTCCTGAACCCAGATTTTAGTTGACGTATCAGTGAGTCTTTGCTTGAAGTTGATTTAGTTTTCTTAAAATTCCCGACCCTATCTACAATAAAGAAGATAGAGAGTGAATAATAAAATCTTGAGAGTTGATTTGCATTTAGTAAAGCAGATCGCAAGGATGGCATGGTACTGAAACGATATTCAGCGGGAGAGCGAAACAGTAGAAGACCAATCAATGACTGTTTCAAGCTAACGGCTTGACAATGAGTAAGGCCGCGAGAATAATCCGGCCGAATTCCTCCATATCCTCAGGGCAGTTCGTGCAAAACGGGCCAAATGTGTTCATGACAAGGAAGGCGTCGGTGCTGGTCCCATTCCTCCTCTTTGTAGCCCTCCTCGAATGGCACGAAAGTAATGAAGAGTTCGTGACGATCTTGCGAAATCAACATAAAGCTAGAAGAGAAGTGTCATTAGTTATTCAAGTTCTTTAAAGCGTCTCACTTACTGTCCGTTGAAGTGGGCTACCTGCCTATCGGAGTTCATCAACCAGCCCGCGACCTCGCAGGCCTCTTGGATAAGAGTCGTATCGCTATTCACAGTGCACATTCTCTTCTTCACTTCTTCAAATATGTTCATATGGTTTGCTCGTGCAGGCGCCTCATAGTAGACAAAGACCCTGGCCACCTGTCACTGCTCGGTAGTATATTATCCACAGTCTCCTGTCTGAACAAGTTGTAGATACCGGGCCCATTCTGTCGAAGCACTCAGGGTCACAGCAGCTGCGTCCAGGACTTGGGTGGTGAACCCAAACTGGGCACATTCCCCCGTAAATGAGTTAATAGGCATTCCTCGGGGCGAGCATGATCGGAGCATCACATATTGGGAGTTGGTGGGCTCTGAGGCGGATGCCACCCAGTCGGCAGGGATTGTGTGGATGCTTTTGTTTCTCAGGCCGGCTTTGCGGGCAACAAGGTCATTCCAATCTTCCTCATCTGCCGGGATAAAGATCTCATTAATTCTTCCGAGTTGCGCTGCGCAGCAGTTGGCTGTTTCCGGGCTTGATCCTGACCCGGGGCCATTTTTTTTAGTCCTCGCAAAGGTCCAATCGGAAGGCACACGAAAGGGATATTGGGGACGAGTGAGGTCTGGGACTAACGGAAACACCCTCACAATGAGAGTTACAATAGCTGGCCACATTTGGAATGCAGAAGAACTGATTTCGAGAAGTTTGTGATGGTTGATGGATGGGTTGTAAAAGAGTAGTGAAGGATGAGCTTGGGAAGGAATTATGCTCGGGATGTGCTTCATCATTGAGATCTGCATCTGTCCAGGGTTTGTTATGAGGGAGCAGGAGCAAATGTGCTTGAGCGGCGTATTTTGTCACTCGGTTGCCGAGTGGGTAGTAGCCGCTCTAGTTCCTTCATCCGGTTGAACTTGCGAGTGCCTTTGGTGACAAGAGACTGGAGGATGTTCTCGTTGGAACTAGGTATATCGCCTATGTCTGCCGTTTCTGTATCGTCATCAAGCTGTTTTTCCACGTAGGTTTCCTCGTCATCTCGGCCCATTTCACCTGCTCCTGGCTCGGTCATATCATCAAGAAGGCGGATTCGGATGTGCCGATTTCGATTACGTATATTGGTTTGGAGCGGTGAGCGGCCGTAGCTGAACAGAGATGAGGCTCGTCGATATTCTTTCCGAGTGTATTGGGCGGAGAAAGAGGCCCGTTATACGAATTGGGGGTCTCGGCGTAAGTTTTAAAATGCGTACTTGAAATGACGGGTAAGTGAGAGAACAGTGAGGTGAATTCAAAGTGAGAGACGAGTGAGAGATAAGTGAAACCGTGACAACCAAATAAATCGGCAACTTATATAATTACTTGGTTACTACCTAGGTACTTACCTACGTAAGAGCACACACGGCATTTCTAGTTTGCATACTATCATTATCCAGGCACCAGGGGCAGCCTTCCAAAGTGACAAGAAAGAGCACGTCTCTGGGTATTCCAGATCAGCATAAAACCTTCTACTTTTCCTCTCTCCATTAGATTTTCTCTTTGCGTCTGCAGTGAATTTCTCTCTTCCTTCACTTAACTTCCACAGCTGACACCCTAACCCGTGAAGCTTCACTCTCCCTATCGTCCCCCTCTTCATTTATTTCAACGATCCTCACTGGCGTATCAACATGTCCTTGGGAAGCTAGTATGAACCTCACCCGGCTCTTCACTTCTTTATCTAGGGCAACGCTAACAATCCCAACAGCTACGATACCGGCCCCGGATACCACCAAGTTGCCTCGCTGGCTTCCCTACCCGCAACAGTCCTGGGGACTGATGAATCCTCTCCGGGTCCATGGGCTGCACATACTATGAATGCCTCATAGGCTAGAGCCAGGGAGGCTCGTTACTTGAAGACGGATCTGTTACACGTACTGCACGTCAAGATGCCTCTACGGGAGCCATTACCCCGTCCAATACGCTTCCAACCATCTCATTAGACCGCCTTAGGGATGCGTGAGATGATAGGGAACGATGTGGCGAACGTCGAGTCCACAATAATCCAAGTGACGGGTCGTGTCCAGGATGATGAATGCCGGTGGTGCCTGCGCGACCATAGGCCATGGGCCCGATTTGTCGTTCTGGATGGGCCACATGGGTTGGTTTGCGGCTGTGGGAATTGTCACTATATTCCGTGACGTATTCCGTGACGAGGATTTTGAAGGGATTGATCTCCTTGAAGGAAAAGATAGGTTTCCCATTCACTGCTGAACAGACGCATTTTTGTCGATCTTGAGATTGTTTGTGTTGGGGTTTCATCATGAAAGCCCGGTTCCAACAAAACATAGCGCAAGTGCTTGGAGCGGCGTTTGAGGCATCTTTAAAAAACACATATACCTAACAAATTCTCAATGCAAAGACTTTGATATTATTCTAGGCCGAAGAGACCGATTTATGACGTAAAATATCAAAAGAAAAGAGAAGAATCGGGGCCTCCAGTGTGCCGCTATATCCTGGTAGGCGATAAACGTAACTGAGTGACATCAACCTACAGTCTCGACTCAACAACACTAGTTCCTAGTGATTTACCCCACCGACGATCAACCTAAACAAAGTCAGTAAGGCCCGGAGCTAGAGGAAAAAGTACGTACGTCTGCAATGTGGTCATATCCCAACAATTTAGGTGCCAAACCGGGGTCTCTCCAAGCCAATGCTTCTCCCTCCGGCGTAGGGACCATCTGCATCTTTCGATCTCTTTCCTCCTGTTCAGCGCCGTCGTGTAGGTGGTAGAGATATTGTTGGATATTCCCGCGCTCAACAATCATCTTTGTCCGTTGCTTGCGACACTCCTGGAAGATGGCAAGGGCGTGTTGCTTGGCGGTCAGGAACTCGGCTGAGGTCTTGGAGATACCGGGGCTATTAGGGAGTCGAGAAAGGCATTCGCCTAGAACTGCTCCATCCTCGAAGGACATTCCGGCACTACAATTCTTAGAAAATATCGAATTGCGCGAAAGAGGGGTATCATACCCGGATGCCAAATATGGCAATGTAGCGTGGACTGCGTCACCCAACATCACAAACGCCCCGGAGGGATGAGTCCAATCAAAGTTTCCGAATCGTATGCAAAGACGCCATTTTTGGACAGACTCACACAGCTTCAAAAGTTTGGGGATACTGTTGAGATCAGCAGGTGATTGCGGTTGATGGGAATTATATAATTTACCGAGCATCCCAGTCTTTGAACAGAGCACACATCTCTTCCACATTCCCTTCGATCGTTGATGCTAATGATTCCTCTGGGATATCGTCGGGGACAAGTAGCACCATATTGAACAACTCTCCGCCACGAAGCACATAATTCACTACACAGTTAGCAATGGAAATCATGCCATGGAAGGCAACACATACCTGCATGAGCATCCGGACCCAACCAGTAGTTGACCTGGGGATCTGTCACCAATTCCGCAAGATCAGGATCCCTCCGCATCTCCTCTGTTGACAACAGCAAACGATATGCGAGATCACCAGTCTTGACCGGCGGATCGACTCGACCCAGCAATCCCTCCGTCAACTTCCCAAACACTCCATCCGCGCCAATGACAAGATCCCCAGTCCACTGTCTCCCATCCGCCGCAGTAGCAGTAGCTGTGGTCCCATCCTCGCTCACAGTGACATCTGCCACACGAGCATTGCAGGTTATAGTAACCCCCAATTCGAGCGCCCTTTCTACGAGACACTGTTGCAGATCTGCGCGATGAAAGTCACGGTACCAAGTGCCCGGGTAGTTACTCTCCGAAGCGTGAAAGTCCAACGAAGAAATTGGATTACCCTTCCATCCAAGGAAGTTGCAAACCCGGGGAAAGGTCATGTGTGGCGTCAGAGCCTTTTCAAGACCCCAATGCTGGAGTACTCGCGAGCTGTTCGGTAAAATTTGGATACCTGCGCCAACTTCTTTGATTTCCCGTGTTGCCTCGAGGACCTGGACTTCATGCCCAGCGAGTGCACAACTGATCGCAGACCCAAGACCTGCGAGGCCTGCTCCAACAACGACAACGTTTAGTTGACATGAGGCAAATCGGATTTCTTGTTGTTTGATAGGGATTTGAGGGGCCATTGTCATGGGTGTGTAACAGAACCCAGACGAGGGATGTTTGGATTGTTGAATACCGTCCGGTGTTCCGTGAGGCAAGACTACTTATGATAGATAGGCAAATCGGACATTGTCACTCCATCTTTACTCGACTTGATTCGAACGTGGACAAAGATGGGGGTTAGCTTAGCCTGGTGTTGCCGCTATCCGATAGCTTAAAAGGCAGGAATATCTAAATGGAAGGGATTCATTACACAGTAATAATATATTCCGCTACACTACGATATGTCGAGAGTGAGTGTTTCCACCTTTTTCTTGATGATCCGAACTAACCGATCAAGTTTTCTTTGAAGGGGCGCACGGCACTGGTGACGGGAGGTGCTCGGGGTTGCGGGCTAGCATTTGCGCGGGGACTCGCTGAGGATGGCGCAGATGTAGCTGTGTTTGATGTTGTTTCACCAGAGGAAGGATTCCATGCAATTGAGAAAGACTGCGGTGTCCGAACTGCGTATTACAAGTGCGTGGACTATTGTTTTGATGCTTCGTTACATCGTTAACAATGGCAGAGTCGATGTCTCATCCCAGCAATCGTTGCAAGAAGGGTTCGCCACCTTCCAGAAGGATTTTGACAATGCTCTTGATATTTGCGTTCCATGTGCCGGTATTAATCGCCATCTCCCATTCCTCGAGTTTACCTACAAGGATCATCAAGATCTACTATCTATCAACGTCCTCGGACTTTACTTCACTGCCCAGCTTGCAGCCAAGCAAATGATCGCAAACAAAACGAAACATGGCAGCATTATTTTAGTCGCCAGTATGGCGAGTCATATTGCTGTGCGCAGCCAGCTATGTTCGGCTTATTGTGGCACGAAGGGCGCGGTCAGATCGATGTGTCCTGCGATCGCTAAAGAGCTGGCTGAATATGTGAGTTGATCGCAAATAGCTTTCCGACAGACGCCACTAAGTCAGTAAAATAGGGTATCCGAGTCAATTCTATCTCTCCAGGATACGTTCGAACAGAAATGACGGCCTCAGTAAGTTCACACTGAAACAGAGTGCTACGATTATCCGCTAATGGCCAGTTCCCCCATCTCCTGGACGGCTGGAAATCCGAAGCCATGAACGGCCGAATTGCCCAACCAGAAGATATCATGGGGGCGTGTGTATTCCTCGCAAGCGACGCGAGTTCGTACATGACCGGGTCGGACATTGTTGTGGACGGTGGGGTGACACGATGGTGATAAACACTTGCAGTGAAGAGTGGGGGTTTTCCCCCGCATCGACTACAATAAATAGAGAAGATAGAAAAGAATCAAAGGATTTGTCAATCACCAAATACAATTTCAATAATGTCACCGAGTGCAGACCACGAAGGCTACAGAATTGGCCCTGTCGATGCTTCCACTACCGTTGTGGTGGTGGGCGCGGGACCATCAGGGCTGATGCTAGCGTATGTCAGTTCCTTCTTCAATTGGTGCGATACTAACACTTTCGAAGATGTAATCTTGTTCGCTTTGGAATCGCTGTGGTGGTCCTCGACGATCGTCCCGACAAGACATCCACGGGCAAGGCCGATGGAATGCAACCCAAGACAATCGAAACATTCAGACAACTTGGGTTGGCGGACCCGTTACTGAAGAGCGGAGCTCGGGTTTACGATATTTCCTTCTGGGTATGGTTTGTCTCAATTGCTGCTCCTGGATCTGGCTGACAAATTGCCAGGAGTCAACGGCAAACGAGTCACTTCGACGCACAGGTCGCAAAACCCACTATCCCGAACACGTCGGTGCTTCTGATCCATATATATTGCTAGCCCACCAGGGAATGGTTGAGGAGGTCATGATCGATGATATGGAGGCACGGGGTGTGTTCGTCACAAGGAATAGCAAGTTCGTGTCTTGCTCGCGGGTGGACGGAACAACACAATTGGATATTGTATATGAGGATGTTATGACGAATACTCCTTGCAAGCTCAGAGCAGATTATCTAGTTGGATGCGATGGAGCTCGGTCGAAGGTTCGATCATTTATTCCGGATGCAGAGCTTGAGGGAGAATTAACAAACGCGGCCTGGGGTGTGCTGGATGGTATGCTTTCGCGCTCTAACGAGAGCAACATTGGCTGATCAGATAGGTGTAATTGATACGGACTTCCCTGATCTATGGAGCAAAGTCGCGTTGCGGTCTCATTCCGCTGGATCGATATTGTGGATTCCCCGGGAGAAAGGCATGACTCGATTATATGTCGAGTTAAGCTCCACCGACGGGGATCGAGTGGAGAAATCAAAAGCCACGCCTGAATATGTCATGGGCCGTGCCAGGGAGGCAATGTATCCATTCCACCTAGAATGGAAAACAGTGGAGTGGTTTGGAACATATCTTGTGGGCCAACGGGTTGCGAAACGCTTTATGGATTCAGAGGCAAAAATAATCATTGCAGGTGATGTATGTCGAACTCGATTCGGAACCCACCTGGTGCGTTCACTAACCGATACACAGGCCGGCCACTGTCATTCAGCTCTTGCGGCTCAAGGTGCCAACACAAGTATGCACGACAGCTTCAACCTCGCATGGAAGCTCAATCTCCTCGTCCGAGGACTGGCAAAACCATCCTTACTCCGCACCTACGAAGAAGAAAGACAAAAGATAGCATATGACCTCATCAATTTCGATGTCGAGCACTGCAAAGCATTTGCAGCAGGTGACGCAGAACTATCCAAGAACTTCGACGCCAATATTCGATTCATATCCGGCGTTGGAGCTGAATACGCTCCCGGAATGTTAACACAAGCTCCAGCTACCACATCTCGTCTCCAACCTGGAATGCTCCAACTCCCAGCTAAAGCCACTCGCTATATCGATGCCAACCCGGTCGATATTCAGTTGGATGTTCCGATGTTGGGTCAATTCAAGATCTATATTTTCGTGCCGGATTTTTGTCGCTCGCGGACATTCCTAAACAACATTTGTCAACAGCTGCAATCCATTCTTTCTGGGGCCAGTGTGCGAGCAGATCATTCATACGAGAAGCATCCGAGAGGACATTCTCCGTCAGATGGATTTGTTCAGGCTCAACGATACACTTCCGTCTCAAATGCTTTTACTTTTGCGATGGTCACGCAGGCTGCTCAGTCTGAATTTGAGATTGCAGAGCTGCCGGAGATACTGCAGACCAGTCGGTGGACTTTATACGTCGACAATATTGAAGCGCCGAGTTGTACTGAGAAGTGGTTTGGGAATTTGGATCTGGAAAAGATTGGCATCGCTGTTGTGAGACCTGATGGATATGTTGGAGCTATTGATACTTGGGATGCCGAACAAGTGGGTGCCATAGGGCAGTGGTTGCAGGATTATTTCTCTTTCATGGTGTAATATTTCATTAGAGTATTTTATTGTATGTGTTAAGAAATTCCAAGACAAATTGAGATTATTTGCATATTAAACCACTACAGCAGTTCTTTCCGTAAATCAAATACATAAAAATGACCAGAACCATGCCTTCTGTTCAACCTGACTGTTCGTTCTACGTCTGGAGATTTGTTTCATGTAGGGTGATTATAATCAGCTTCGCCGCGTTGCCCAACTGGTAGATTTATATACCAGTCTTATATTTGTTGATATAGAATGTCCTTCCACATGGAGATATATATTTTGAAAGATGTTTCCCAATTTTGAAATTCTCCTTGAATCGTCATAGTCAACATAAATACTTTAAACACCACAGAATACACAAGTCCACAGAAATCAATTAGCAATTCAATCTCCCAAACGCAGGAGTATTCACCATCAACAAGATCTTCATCCCAAAATGGAAGTGGATACCTATATTCGAGGGTGGGGTAGGTCATTTATAGTGGGGGTGGTGTGTGTTGATTGCCGATCACCAACGCTCAACCCTCATCCCACTATTCAAACAGATCAACAATCCCACCTTCAATGGAAAAGTCAAGAATGGAAACGCCAAAAATGGCATACCATTGCCCCTCCAAGCTATATATATCACGTTAGCCAAAGCCAAAATGGGCTGTCAATCACAAAATCAATATATCGTTGCAAAATGGGCTCAATCGCAATCACCGACCCCTTGTTCGAGTCCGTCCGCCTGGGTGCTCTGACTCTCAAACACCGCGTCATTTTGGCACCGTTGACACGGATGAGAGCGGGCAAGGAGTCGGAGGGTGTTTATGTTCCCAATGAGCTGAATGTCGAGTACTATTCGCAGCGAGCTTCGGAGGGAGGGTTTATGTTGACGGAGGCAACTCCGATTAGCAGACATGTATGTAAAATTTCTGTGTTGGAGCAGTTTGAGTAGGTCATGAAACTAACTTTCTCAGGCTGCTGGATACCCAGGAGTCCCTGGCATCTTTACTTCCTCGCAGATCGCGGGCTGGAAGAAGGTTACCGATGCCGTGCACGCTAAGGGTGGTTATATATACTGTCAGTTGTGGCACGTTGGGCGCGCGACTGTTTCCTCCTTCATTGAAGGAAAGGATGTTCTTGGAGCTAGTGAAATCCCAATCAGTGGAAACGCACTCGATGGGTCTGAGTACGCGGGATCGCCACCTCGGGCCATGACTGTGGAGGAAATTCAAGATACAGTGAAGGACTACGTTGCTGCGGCAAAGCGAGCCCGCGAGGCCGGATTTGATGGAGTCGAGGTTCACGGTAAGAGTCTTTCCAACCGTATTTATGTGCTGTGACTAACGAACCAGGTGCCAATGGATATCTCCTTGACCAATTCCTCCACGACAACGTCAACACCCGCACCGACGAATACGGCGGCAGCATCGAAAAGCGATCTCGCATCATTCTCGAAGTCCTCAAAGCCGTCAGTGCCGAAATCGGAGCCGACCGCGTCGGCATCCGCCTATCGCCTTACAACTATTTCCAGGATACACGGGATTCCAACCCCAGCGCCAACTGGCTTTCTCTGTGCTCGCAGATCGCCGGATTGTCGGAGGAATCGCGGCCCGCATACGTGCACATGGTTGAGCCCCGGTTCGACGAAGTGATGGATGAAGCCTCAAAGATTGACTCCCTGGCTTCGGATAAGCCGTCACTGGATGTGTTCCGGCCGACGCTGAAGAAGGGAGGGATCTCATTGCTGGCGGCTGGAGACTTCAACGCTGAGAATGCGGGTGCTAAGCTTGCGACCGATGGAGCAGATGCTGTTGTGTTTGGTCGTTATTTCATCTCGAACCCTGATCTGCCGCGTCGGTTGAAGGAGGGTTTGCCTTTGACTCCCTACGATCGCACGACATTCTATGGTGCTGATCCTGCCGAGAAGGGTTATACTGATTATCCTTTCTATAGCAAATAGATATAGATATAGAAAGACCGCGCTTATTCAGACCAACACGTGGGATTGGGTAAACTACATATTGACTATCATATACAAAGACTATCATGACAATCTCATCAAAACTTTCATCGCATCGTGAACAACGGCCCATCGGACTGTCGCTAGTTGTTTAGCCATAGCCGCTGCGAGAGGACGAGGACAATATTTGCCAGATAGAACCGCTAGCTCAGGTAAACTGGGACAATTAGTTAGCATCACAATCAAAGAAGACAAATCGGTGTTGATCCGGTTCTCATCAGAGGTAAGATTGGGTCCACGATGGAAAACCCAGCAGGCCAATGTGCATAGATACAAACACCAGGGGAAGTGGAAGGAATCAGCCTGGTCCCAGTCATGAAGACTCAACACCGCGTCCTGAAGTAAAGATGCCGCTTGTCGCGCAGTGGTACAAGATGGTCCGGATTCCTCCTGTAACCATCGGGTAATATTCCGCAGCGACCGTGCCTGATCAGCTTCAGTCACTGTACGACCCAAGATCTGACACGCGCCAGCAACGATCTGCAAATCGAGGACCTCGACATTCAACGCGAGATAAGCTGCGTGATAAAGAGCATAGCCTGAGATCTTGAGCCCTGTGAACTGCCGCGGGCTAGCAGTCTGAGCGAGTTTAATAGCAAGGCAATCGGCATCGAAATCGATTTTCCACAGATCATACGACCGACCCATGCGCGGCGTCCAAGCTCCGACACGCTCGGGGTCTCCGACCGTAGGGTTGTTTGATCGCGACGTTTCAGGTCCGCAGATACGGACATTAACCCGTGCAGCACGACTATTCGGGCAAAGACATTCAGATCTCGAGGCCGGGCAACAGCCGCCGGTGTAATATATCCTTTCAGAACGGTGAGGAATGGCTTATTCTCTTCTCGGAAGGCGTGCTGCGACCACTCTCGGGCGGAAGAGGCATCCCAAGCCGCAGGACCACACGGTAATGAGGATCTGATCTCGAAGGCAGACATACACAGCGACTGCGAGAATAGCACTGCGTGCTGCGTATCCCACATGAAGCAATGTATAGCCACCCTCTTCCGCTGTTCTTCCTCCATAGCCTGTCGCCATAATTGATCCAAATCCTCCGTCTGATTCATGTTAGGCAAGCCACGTATACCACAGCAGTTGCTGCGCCTGATCATTTTGATCAACACGCAGTGGAATAGCTGTGCGCGCTCGCGCTGTTTGGGACCAGCTCGCATTTTGCCGAAGCAATCTATCAAAAGCATAGTCTGCAGGACCCATAGGTCAGCTTGTGGTGAGAAATCCGGGTGGCAGAGTAACTGGCTTCGCAGGACATCGTGGACCTCTACTGCCAATTGGTGGGCCTCGCGCGTGCCGTATGTCGCACCCATGAAGAGAATCGAGGCGAGGAACACTGGTGGCGCAGTACTTGGATTAAATGTATGTGGGTGAATCAGAGGGTATGTCGTGTTAAACCGATCAAAAAACATATCACAGTATGACTGAAGCGCAGGGAGTGTCAGGAGCGGCGATTCAAGTACCATGGGATTTCCATCAATACTCGTCGGATGTGCGTGTGCCACTATTGCTAGAATCCCCATTCGTGCTGCTTCGGATATTATCGGTAGATTTGCTCGAGTGTTTGGATCCAGCACCGCTGCACTAGACATCCAATCCAGGTCTGGGAGACTGGGTACAGGGGGTGAAGTGGTTTCCCCCAATGTTTCGTCTCTATCCATGATTGAGGCCATGAGCAAGGCCGACGGACCATCATATTCTTTGAGTATTTCCGGGGGGTTCGAATCCAATTCTTCCAAAATGGGCGCTGTGTCAAACCCAAGAGGGATGTTGAATTGATGGAAAGCATCGTCGAGGGAAGCAACATCGAAGAGCCAATTGTAATTGGAAGTTGCTGCAAATGGGAGATTAAAGTCAGTTGCTAATGAGGTTAGCATACGAATCACGGGTGACTAGCTAGAGTACTCCATACCAGTGTCCATTCCAAAATAATCCCCTATCCCATCCAACTCAACACCAAAAGACCCATCCGCTGCATCGAACTGTCCTGGCATTGGCTCAACATATTGCTCAAAAGATCCAGCTGGCACCAACGAAGCCAGGAAGGGATCTGTGTCATCCATAGACATTGATGTTGGGTCAGTCCCCGAGCCAGGCGGTGACAACGGGACACCATCATGGAAATACTCTTCCGCGTCTCGTAATTCTGGCTCTTGACTGGAACTATCTGCCGAGATAGGAGATCGAGTTGCAGCCGCATTCCTCATTTGTCGCTGTGAAGGACGCACAATAATAGAACCATCCTCAGCTCTCCGGGTTCTCTTTCGCGTCTTCAACGTCCCCTGTCCGGGCCCTCCAGCTTCGAGATCCCGTTTCTCGTGTCGCTCTATATGTCGGGCTGGACCATTATCAGCACCTGTTTAACCACTAAAACATGTTGCCTTACCTAGCAGATCAGAGCGTTGAAAGTGAACAGAGCAACGCTCGCAGGTATACCCATTGCGCGCCTGCTCGTGGTTGAGCGCATGGCGACGCAGGTGCTCTGCGCGCGTGAAGCTCTTGCTACAGCCCGGGTGTTGACACGGGTGCTTTTCTTGGATTTTCATGGTTGAGTAGCCCCATTTGCGAAACCAGGCCTGGCCGCCTACTTCAATGTCTTTGACAATAAATTACTCGGAGTAAACCCCGATATCGACTGATAAGAATGCGGGGGACGAAATGACGCTAATTGCTGATTGGTATAATTTTAATAAGATATCCAAAGCTCTTATCGAGAGCATTTATTGCCAATGGAAGTGTTAGCCACTTAGAGGTCTAGGCTTTGCCACTAGGGCCGGGGGATTTCGGATGTTGGGGGTTCTCCAAATATCCAAGGAAACATCCTAAGATTCCACACAGTAAGAATCGCATGGGCTCAACGGTTTAATTATATCAGACAAGAGTGGTCGGCCGCCTATGCTGCCTACGCTTGACGACGCAGGACTTAATCGGGTTTATCTCGCTCACCTTGATATTAGTGAGGTTATAATTAAGATAACAATCATCGTTTTTGGACGTTGTTTTAATGTCAATTTCTTGGATATTGTTCTCCTTATATGTGATAACCGTCTAAAAGGATAATGAATAAGAATAGTCGGCCGCTTATGCAGCCTGGTGACGTATTATTTTGGTACTCTGTTTGAAAGTTTTTTTTGAGATGTTTTCCATTTGGTGCTGTAACTAGATGTAGCCGTAAAAGGTCTTAAAATGTGCAGAAGATCTGTTATATATACCCTTTGGCAATAGGGGGGAATAAACTCTGGTATGTACGACGGTGAAAAGCACAAACCGTACCAGGTTTGACGCCGCCTCCAAGTATGTACTTGACTGTTCTGCGTGTTGGATCATCCCATTGATGCCCGGTTGTGCAGACTGAGCGCTTGCTTGTTAGCTTCGGGATATAAATGCCCTGCTCTCCATACATTGCATAGATCATGGTTCTTCATTCTCTCTCTCCCTCAGCTAGTAGCCTTAATACTACGAAATTATCTCGCTTATATATTCTGAATCAAGCATCGGGTTTGAATACTGATGGAGGCAAACTACCACAAAGCAAGACCAGAAAGAGGGGGAAGCATCAAGATCTGTCGGATATACCTATTGCCATGGAGTTCTTTATAGCTCCATAGAAACGAAGGGAGGTTTGAGTCACTACAGCAAGAAAGCAAAGCCTTGCTGCCTTGCTGCCTGAATGCCTCTGCATCAAATACAAACGTTCCGCAGCTGGAATAATGGCGAGGCGAAGGACTGACGCTCTGCAATGGATCCACTGTGTTGTCAGGCTGCCTTGAAACCTATCAATTAAAACAGCAAAACAGCTGATCTTCTACGTACGGAGGGCCCTCCGTGATTGAGATCCGTTTAACCCATTTTGGAAAAACAGTCATCGTTCTACCGAAAGACGTTGATTGTCGAATGTTGTCCACTGAACGCCTGGTTTGTCGAGGTAATCTTGAATGCAGCTCGAGTGAGCACAAGGACAATGCACGCTGGGCTAGAAGCCTTTCAATCTATAACCAGCGATGGAATAGCTGAACTGCACCAATTAAGAGAATTGGGATTGTTGGCGGACAAATCACGTCCAAACATTGCTCTCGCCGTTAACAAATTACAACGACGAAGTGCAGCACCACGACAAGAAGATGTGGAAGCATTGTGACAGCCCAACCGTTACGTCAAAGGAACCATGCACTTTGGAATATTGCTTGGTCGTACACACACGAACCTACACAGTCACGATCTACATGGTTTTTGTACGGCATGCAGTGAGAGAAGGAATCATACGATTAGAACTGGTCGCAAAAAGAGATGGAATTGATAGAAAATGAATTCTGGCATGCACACAAAAAGAAAAGAACAAAAACATATGGGATGAATTGAAGCAATATGCATGAAAAAGCACTTTGAAAACCTACAAAAACAGGCAGTTTTATTATGTGAACCGGAATTGATCAACTTAATACTACCGGTTTCGACACAAAGTTTCTGCTGAGAGTGTTCCTCAGGATTTGTGCCTCGGGCAGTGTGTTGTGGTGGCCTTAGGCCGCAGTAGATGCCTCAGACATCAACCCCTCGTTGCTATATAGATAGTCGGGCTGTTTGCTCCCAGTAGGAATCAACTCTCTCCCTCCTCTCCTTTGGTCCCTAAATAGTGTAGATGCCCAAGAAAGAGTTATGACGAATTATGGCAAAACATGTATTTCTGTGGGGTAGGGATACTTGGGGATGTTATAAACAAACAAAAAGCATCAAGGGAAATACCTCCACTCTGGACTCTTTTCGCCCTCCTTGAACTGACTAGTATCAGTCTGATCATCTCTCAGTCTTAGTCCCTGTTTGCTATCTCGGCGGTGATTCTCCATACGCATCCAGCCTCCCAACCCAAGAACAAGGACAATGCAGACTGCATTGCAACAACAAGTTGCGATGAGAGTTGGTAGATACCTATTCAGTCAGCGATAGCTCTTCGTAGAACAGGAGAGTTTCTCACTTTGGTGCATATTGAGTTCGGAATGTGCCAGCGCTCAATACTCCAGCGAAATTGCCCAGTCCTACAAAAAAGCCCGTGTTGGCAGCTCGGGAGTTTTCGTGTACGTTGTTATTGTTGTGCCATGCATGGACGAGACACGATGGAATATATGATCCTGCTGCCATCAGGAAACAGGCGAAGTAGGCTATCCCCTTGTTGTTCTGAACGTCAATAGCAATTAATATAATCATTCCGACCAATGAAACAGTCAATGAAAAGACAATATGGAGCGTTCTTTCGCGGAAATAGTCGGATGACTTGGCCACGCATAGCAGGAATACTGCTCCGACGAGATTTGGCGCCACCGTCCAGAGATTAGTCTTGATGACGGAGTATCCCAACCGTTGAACAATCTGCTATTGTTAGGCAAATGCCGATGATGCAGGACTGAATACTCACCAACGGGAAGAAATTCATCGCAGTGGCATAGGCAACAGGGTAAGTGAACGTAATCAGACACCACACTGGAAATTTCCAGTCGTTCCATGACTCAAAGCAATCCTTGAAATTGAATGGCGTATTCACCTCCGATGAGGTATCCCGAAGCAGACGTGCTGTCGCTGCCGCCCTTTCTCTGTCAGTCAAAAACCAGGCTTTCTGTGCCCCATCTGGTAGCAGGAAGAATGCAACAGCCCCGGTGACTAGCGTTATTGATCCCTCGATAATAAACAACCACTGCCACCCTTTGACTTTTGGGTCGTTTATCTGGAAAGCTCCAAAGGAAATAAGTCCACTAAAGGCAGACGCCAAAACTGCGAATGACTGTATGATCGCCAGGCGGAATCCCATCTCACCGCGCGTATAGAACAACGTGAGGTAGAAGGTAGCTCCGGCAAAGAAACCAGCTTCAAAAACACCCAAGATTATGCGAATCGCAAGTAGAGAACCGAAGTCCTTAGCGGCGCATTGGCAGAGTGCTAGAACTCCCCACACAATAGACACTTTCAAATAGACATCAGTAAGCCCCATCTAGATCCTCAAAGGTCGGGAAGGTCTCACTAATAGACAGCATAATTCTGCCTGAAAATCTCTTGATCAGCAGATTCCATGGAAGATCGAACAACCCAAATGGGATGTAGAAGAGGAGAATCAATATAGAATAGTCATTTCCCTTCAAATGCAAATCCTTTTCTAGGCCATCTGTCTTCGCATTTGCCAAATTGCTCTGGAATGGTTGTTCATTAGTATTCTTCCGCCAAACATTGTGGTTGTCCAAGCACTAACCCGATCCATGCAGTCAAAAAAGTACATCTGTGCATTAAAACAAGCCTCAAAGTTAGCAATTAGTACTCCCAGTAATTTAGTGTATTATGCCTGAGGACTTACCAAGCAAAGCGTTGGAAGCACAATGAAATCAATTTTCCTGACATAAGACCTTTCGCCCTCAGGATCTGTATACGCAGTGCTTTCACCGATGTTTATTTCATGGTCAGGCACCTTGGCCATTGCAGTTGATTTCAATTCAGACATCATCATATATTGTTCAAACCGCTAATTTTCAAATCTCTAGCGCGGAGGTTATTAGACAGGGTTCTTATACTCAGCAACATATCCTTCCCGGTATAGCATTCCAACCCCTTGACTTTCACATTCGCAGATGTAGTACTAGTACAACAAGCTATGTCCAACCAGATATGACCAATCGCCATATCTCCAGATTCTCCAGATAGGATATATTTTGCACTTTTGTTCTTTTTTCTCCCCATGTCTTCCCCGCATGCCTTATCGCAGCAGCATAATCTGATCCCCCCCCATTCTTGGGGCATCCGTGTTCCTACCCCCATCCTTCACGGCACATCCTCGAGCTCGAGCTAGAGCTCAGTAGCTGGAGTCAAGATGTCGGACTTCTGTCCGAGGTTGGACAGTCTTGGGGTAGCTCTTTTTCAACTCCGAGGAAATATATTGAGTGCCACACGAGCTGCACAAGCAAACACAAGCACAACCCATCAATTTATCCAGCAAAATGTCTCTACCTTCAGCTCCGCCCATCTTGAATTTCTCTCCATTCTATGGTCAAGACAGCGACGCGAAAACCAAGTTGATCGACGAGGTCCGCAAATGTTGCCAATATAATGGGTTTTTCCAGATCACCGGCCACCGCATTCCACTGGACTTGCAGCGCCGCGTCATGAATTGCTCCAGGCGCTTCTTTGATCTCCCTCTGGAAGAGAAACTCAAAGTTGACAAGAGTAAGACCCTTTGCCAACTCATTGCGAATTATACTAACTAAATAGATCTCACCACGTTCAACAGAGGCTACGAGCTCCTCCGATCGCAAATGCTAGAAGTGGGCACCGGACCTGAGCTGAAAGAAGGCCTATACATCGGCGAGGAAATACCCGAAGACCACCCCTACTATTTGGAGAAGAAGTTGAACAGCGGACCTAACCAATGGCCGTCTACGATCCCCAGCAAGGAGGAATTCCAAAAAACAACCATGGAATACTACCACGCGGTATTCGATCTGGCAAAGGATGTTTTGGGAGTCCTGGCTCAAACATTGGGAGTTGAATCAACTTTCTTCGACCCTCTCACACTCGGAGCTGTCGCGACAATGCGATACCTACACTATCCCGCGCAGCCACAGGATACCGACGAGAAATTGAACCGCGGTATCGGCGCGCATACCGACTTCGGATGCATCACTCTGCTTCTGCAGGATGAGGTTGATGGTTTGCAAGTCCTAGACGCGCCATCCGGACAATGGCTAGATGTGAGTTGCAACCGAAATACATTCTTAACATTGACTGACTCTGACGGAGATAGGTCAAACCCGTTCCCGGGGCATACGTGGTCAATTTGGGTAATCTCTTCATGCGCATGGCGAACGACAAATACAAATCCAACACCCATCGTGTGATCAACAAATCCGGTCGGGAGAGATACTCGATTCCCTTCTTTTTCAGTGGAAACCCTGATTATATCTGCGAGTGCTTGCCTAACTGTCGTGAGGAAGGTGAACCTGCCAAGTACGGTCCGATTACCGTGCAAGATATGGTGACGGCATCTTACAAGGAGAGCTATGGCCGCGCTGAGGCATTCAAGAAAGATTTTGATTTACAGAAAGAAGATGCCATTCCACTTGTTGCTGCGGTCGGTGCTTAGTGTTATTTATATTCCAATTCATTGAAATCTTTCTGTGTATTTGATGCTCGGTGTCGAAGAACACCAAAATATAGAAACAGTATAGAACATTGTTAATTTAATATTAGCATACTCTACGGCACACAACGCGGAAAAGTAGAATAACCATGTCGGATAGGTTGGCTAATCGATCGGCAAGCCTAACAACGCCAACTGCAGCGAATCCACCAAGTAGCTCTCGGACTGGTTTAAGCCGGTTTGATGTCATCTTGCTCAAGAGTGGGATGGCACATTACTTCCTCTCCACTCTTGAAAGCCGAACTCAACCCTATCAATCTGGAGTTTACGGACTATCAGGCAAGGTGATCGATTGGCAGGCACGTCGTAGCCCTAAAAGAGACGGACATTTGACCTGGTGTGCCTGGAATGAGAGCAAGGAATTCCTCACCCGATTACCAATTGCAAAATGGACGATATTCAAGTCGACAAGAAGCAAACGCAGCCAGCAGAAAGGAGCAGCGCTCCGGACTATGAGGTTGCTAAATTAACAACAATTGATGATTATGAGGTTGAAGATTTCTACGGATCCTCCACCACCAAGGCGTACCGCCTGAAGTCCGAATTAGTGGGAAAATGCATGGAGGAAATTGGGATGGGCTGGTATTGACGCCTCTCATATATTTTATCACTGCTTTGGGCCATTGAGATATTGACACTACCAGGTTTCAATGGAAACTCTTCGTGGTTACCGGTTTCGGATGGATAGTCGATAACGTATGGAATATCACTCCTCTTCTTCTCGCACTCACCCTCCCTAACATTTCTCTCAAATAGTTTGCATCTCAAGGCATTGGCAGTGTTCAACCCCCTATTAAGCAGGAGTTCTCCGGCATCGTGCAAGTTAGTTACAGCTCCGTTGCGTATTATGTTGGCCTCATCTTGGGTGCTTCGTTTTGGGGTCTGTCGAGCGATCTCATTGGACGCAAGCCGGCCTTTAATTCTACGCTGCTCATTGCTGGTGTCTTTCTGTGTGCCACTGCTGGGTCGATGAATTTCCTCGCATTCAGTGCACTTTGGGCAGTGATTGGAACCGCTGCTGGTGGGAATGTGCCAGTTGATTCAATGATATTTCTAGAATTCGTGCCAGGAAGGTAATAATCCCGTGGCTGGCAACATCAGTCTGGACCATTGCTAACTCCAGCACTGGCAGTCATCAATATCTTCTCACGGCTCTCTCGGCATGGTGGAATCTTAGTCAACTGATTGTGTCCTTGATTTCTTGGGTATTCTTAGCCCACTTCAGTTGTCCAACCGATGCCACCCCAGAAACGTGTTCTCGAAATCAGAACATGGGATGGTAAGAGTCACAAGATATACAATTAATCTCCTCGCTAATGGTCCATCACTAGGAGATACACGCTCATCACTCTAGGCGGCCTAGCCCTCGCATTTACCTTCATTCGCATTTTCGCTTTCAAACTCCCCGAAACTCCCCGATACCTGCTCTCCCAGGGACGAGACCAAGATGCGGTTAACGCCATCAATTATGTTGCCCAGCAAAATGGCAAGCCAGAACCCTTGACACTTGATATGCTTCAAGAAATCGATGCTCGCTTTGGAAATACCCCCAGCGAAGAAGGGGAGTCTAAGCGAATGTCGACAAAGGATATCGTTAAGGAGAACATGCAAGCCTTCCGCGGGGGGCACTACCGTGCATTATTTGCAACAAAAAAGCTCGGAAGACAGACATTGATTATCTGGGCCATCTGGCTGACAGTCGGTAAGTGAAACGGTATGACTTATTGATGGAATATATCGACTCATACTCATATTCAGGAATTGCATACCCGCTATTCTTCGCCTTCTTGCCGTCCTACCTAGCAACCAAATTCACAGAAAAATCTTCTCTCTCCCTAACATATCGGAACTACTGCATCACATCAGCCGTCGGAATAATCGGACCATTATCAGCCGCAGTATCAGTCAACACCCGCATGGGCAGAAGATGGATGATGGCAATCTCAGCCGCTGTCACAGGCGTGTTCCTCTTCGCATATGTCGGCGTCAACAGTCCATCGGCGGACTTGGCATTTTCTTGTATTACCAGCCTTCTAGGCAATTTCGGTGAGACTGCCATCAAGCCCGATGTTTGATTTCGTAACTAACTAATATTACAGAATACGCTATTATGTACGCGTTTACTCCCGAGTCCTTCCCGGCTCCCCATCGTGGCACAGGTTCTGGAACAGCAGCTGCCCTTCTTCGATTCGGAGGGCTCATTGCTAGTCTTATCTCATCCCAGACTGGTTTTACGACTGCACCAATCTATGCGAGCGCGACATTGTGGGTTGTTGTCGGCATATTGTGTCTGGGATTGCCCTTTGAGACACATGGACACGATGCGCTGTAATAGACAGATCAAGAAGATGCTTTGAGATTTTGGATATACCATCAAACATTGGGATTTAGATAGATGGTTATACTGCAATGTTATTCAGTCATTTGGCATTGGATTAATACAAGAAGAGTCGGCCACTTATGCGCCTTGCATGCCTTTTGTGTACCCTTTCTCGTAGTGCTTTGATAGTCTTTTTCGAAATCTGTTTTGTTTTAGATATCTGCCCTCTTATTGCTGTTAGCCGCAAAATCTAGAATCTTGGCGCTAAACCACTTAAACCGTATATAGGACTTTTCTATGTATAACCAAAGCCATTATTCATTGTATGAAATAATGCAGCACTTCTGCCACTATACCATAACAAAAACCTCAGTTCCTGTTTAGGGCCAAGAGGGAGGGAGGTGGGGGGAATTCCTAGTTCGACAATCATCATGTCTACAGCCATATCAAATATTGAACGCTCATCGATGGATCCTTCCCCACAAACTTGATCGCCACCCAATTATATTCGAAAAGCATGCACATAACTCAAATAGAGTCTCTAAATAGTTAAACCCCATCCAGAAGGGCTACGGGTATTCACACTGCAGCACACGAGCTGGTCAAAAGTGGGGGTTCTCACAGTTCATATGCTAGATAAGAACTCCGATCTTTACCTGTCTGAGTATACTCGACACCATAGCTTGTTTGAGACCGTAGCTTGCTGCAATTGACTCACAATCAAGTAAAATATATTAAAAGATGGATCTAGAGGCGTTTTCATGAGGGTGGGGGCATGCAATGTCAATGCAAAATGAGAGTGAAAAGAGGTTAGCTTATTATCTATGATACACATCTTGCCTGTTTATATACAGAAACCGTCGATTGGTTAGTTCCAAATGATAAACTGAGTCACGATGTTTACTCTTTGTGAAGGTCGGTCATTATTATCAGATCAGGGACATTGGGAGTAAGGACCATTGAACTAACATTTCAAGTCTCCAAACACAACACCCAAGATAGTTGCTGGGTTATACTCTATGGAAAACTGTACGATGTAAGATATTTTCCATAGTTTGTAGGTAAATTCAAATTAGCTAACTTCCACCAGGTTACAGGCATTCTTGATACTCATCCTGGCGGAGCACAGGCTATCCTACGTTGGGGAGGACGAGATACAACAGAGGAATTCGACATGATCCATCCTCCGGAGACTCTGAAAGTGATTGAGCAGTCATCTGTGGGCACGGTCGAGTCACAAGAGCCGCCGGTTATGGATTCTACGCCCGAAGAGAGCATCCAAGCTCCACTGAGCACGTTGTTGAACCTAGACGAGATCCAAGCTGCAGCCACAAAGATCATTAGCAAAAAAGCATGGGGATACTACTTTTCCGCTGCAGACGACAAGATATCAAAGTATCTCAACACGCAAGCCTACCGCTCAATTGTGTTTCGACCACGGGTATTTGTGGACTGTCGCACTTGCACACTGGAAACCAACCTCCTGGGTCACAAAGTCGGGTTACCGATCTTCGTCAGTCCAACCGCAATGGCGCGCCTAGGACACCCTGCAGGAGAAAGAGGAATTGCAGAAGGATGTCGGCTTTTCGGGGGGCTTCAAATCATCGCAAACAACTCCTCCCTATCTCCGGAAGAAATCGTCGGAAATGCGCCCCCAACACAGATATTCGGATGGCAGCTTTATGTCCAGCTGAACAGGCGATTGAGCGAGAGTATTCTCGCGCGAGCTAACCAATTAGATCAAATCAAGTTCATCGTGTTAACACTTGACGCACCGGTATCGGGTAAACGAGAAGACGATGAGCGTATCAACATCCAAGCCAACACAGCGGCAAGTGTCAGTACCCAACTCTTTGCTGGGACAGATCCATCGCTCACTTGGGCGGATACCCTTGAGTGGTTATCGCACCATACTACCAAGCCGATTGTCCTTAAGGGGATCCAGACACACGAAGACGCAATCCTGGCCGCTCAGTATGCACCTTTAGTGAAGGGGATTGTGTTATCCAACCACGGTGGCAGATCTCTTGATACAGCGCCCCCTGCTGTGCATACGCTTCTTGAACTTCGAAAATACTGCCCTGATGTGTTTAATAAGGTTGAAGTGTGGGTGGATGGTGGGATTCGTCGCGGTACAGATGCTGTCAAGGCGCTATGTCTTGGGGCCAAGGCTGTCGGGATAGGAAGGCCAGCTCTTTGGGGTCTCGCTGCTGGCGGGGTCGAGGGGGTTGAGCGAACATTGCAGAGTTTGTTATGCTGCTCCAAAATATGAATCGGTGCGGTGTCGCTAACCTAAGGAATTTCTCTCCCTAGTTCTATCGGATGAGATGAAAACATGCAGGCGCCTCCTTGGTGCGAAAGCAGTGGGCGATCTTGGCCCTCAACATGCAAGTCCCTCTTGCTGTCCTATTTTGTGTCCATTGCTAACACTCAATCAAATAGATCAACACCGCTATATTGCAACAGCAAATATATAGAGGATCTTCTCATCTGGTAGATGAACCTCTGGGTCTGATAAAAGGGAAACTTTGAAGGATCAACCTGTCTTCAAATTCTGAATCTAGGTGTTTTTTTTTAGATTTTTTTTTAGATGGATACGATTGCACTAACAAGCATAGACCGTACAGAGAGCTTTTCTATCTATAACCAGGGAATTGATCGTTCATCTACGTCGATCTTGGGTGAAATGATGTTGTGGCCTCAGGCGATAGTTAGTGCCTCAGGCCCTGCAGACGACTCTCTTTCGTTTCCAAGCCTCTCAAAGTACAGAGTAAATACAGACTTTCCATCTAATACAAGTTGTAATCCCTTTGAATGTGCTCTATTTTCATTTAGCAATTTCGTAGATGGTGGGAATAACCCATTGAAATGACGATACGATGCCAAGCTAGCGACGCCGGCCTTGAATGTGCCAGTTGGAGTGAATCATGAGTGGGATCTGGGTAAATAGCTATCCATTACATGAGGATCCATATCTCCAATTCGAAAATCTGATTCAAATCATCCAGGGATCACCCCACCTTTGTCTGTCGCGGTGCATTGTTGGGGGTAGGTGGTTATATATTTACGCCGTGCCCCTCCTACGTCCGATTCCAACCAATTCCCAGGCCAATTGTGTTTCTTTTCTTTTACACTCAACATCAACCTCGTTCTCACCAATAATACTACTAATCCCAGTCATCATGGGCAAAAAGCGCGTTCTTGTTGGCTACGGTGTTGATATCGACGCAGTAGCTGGCTGGCTAGGCTCATACGGAGGAGAGGACAGCGTCAGCGACATCAGTCGAGGTAAGCCTAAGTATCTTCGAGATGATCGCTGTCATACTGACAAAATTGACGTCAACCAGGTCTCTGGGCCGGACACGTCGGGACACCTCGCGTGCTGAAGCTATTCGAGAAATACAACATCAAAGCAACATGGTTCATACCAGGCCACACCCTGGATACCTTCCCAGAAGAATGCGCAATGGTCCGTGACGCGGGGCACGAGATCGGGCTACACGGCTACTCGCACGAGAACCCCAGCGATTTGTCCACAGAGCAACAGCGTGACATCCTTGACAAGACATATAAGATGTTGACGGAGTTCTGCGGAAAGCCGCCGCGCGGAATTGTCGCGCCGTGGTGGGAGGCCAGTGCGGAAATGGTTGAGCTCTTGTTGGCCTATGGGATTGAATATGATCATTCCATGTCCCACGAGGATTGCCAGATGTACTGGCTTCGGACTGGGGATACGTGGACGAAGATTGACTACAAGCAAAAGGCGGAGACGTGGATGAAGCCGCTCGTCAAAGGTAATACCACTGGTCTTGTGGAGATTCCGGGCAGTTGGTATATTGATGATTTGCCGCCGATGATGTTTATCAAGAATTCGGCGAATAGTCATGGTTGGGTTAATCCGCGGGATGTTGAGGATATTTGGAGGGTTAGTATTTCATTTTAATTAGGACTACGGGCTGGGGATTAACAGTTTTGCTTGATACAGGATCACTTCGACTATTTCTATCGTGAGTACGATGAGTTTGTCTTCCCCATGACAATTCATCCTGATGTCTCTGGTCGGCCTCATGTTTTGCTCATGCACGAAAGGTATATTCAAAATTCACACTCTTCAAGCCTGTTGGGCAGTCTGAAACTAACGCACTCTTTTCAGACTCATTGAATATATCAACAGCCACGAGGGAGTGGAGTGGGTAACATTCGAGCAAATGTGCGACGAGTTTAAAGGGAAGAACCAGCCACCTCCAGGTGCACTCATGCCAGCTGCTCCGGGAGCGATTGCAAAGACACAGGCACAAGAGTAACTCTTGACTCGGATAAATGCCGTTTAATAGTCAGTGGGTTATCTAGATTATCCGCTGAGTGAGGGGGCGCTTTCAATTGAATAGATACGGATTAAAATAACGAACACCCTCAGTAGTCGAAGTATCAGTCAGTACTATTAAATTTACCAAAAGGACTTGGGCAATTAATTTCGTTTTATAAAGTTCAATCTCTCCCATATGACCCAGTACAAATAGCCTAACAAACAGTGCACTTCTTGCCCTGAAGCGCCTCCACAACAGCGTAATACGCCGGTTTAGCCTGGAGGGTATCATTGAAAAGAGTGGCACCTCCCTGACCTTCAAAGGTTTCAGGCACCCAAGAGTATTTATCATAAAAGTCCCAAACAACAACACCAATACAGCGACGTCCAGCCTGAAGACAACTTTGAACAGTGAGGTAGTAGTCCGCAGCCTGTTGTTTCTGCACAGCAGCAGTATAGTACGGCTCCTCCGCGAAGCGAATGTCGAGTTCCGTGACAACAACATCCAAATCAGCCTTGATATAAGCCTTCTTAGTAGCGAGTTGATCGGCAAGCGTAGGCGTCTGGCCGACGATAAAGTGAGACTCAAGACCGACACCATCAATACGAATTCCGCGCTTGCGCAAATTCTTAACAAGCTTTAGAACAGTATCTGCCTTGGTACCAGCGTTTTCAATACCATAGTCATTGTAGTAGAGCTGTACATCATTTGCACCGATCTGAGCCAGGGCCTGCTGCGCATACTGGAAAGCGAGGTAGAAGTATTCCTCACCGATAATATCGTACCAGACGCTGGACGAGAAGGTGCCGTCTCCGTTGATGGCTTCATTAACGACATCCCACGAGGCGCAGCGCTTGCCGAAGTGCTGCACCGTCTTGAAGATGTGGTTCTTCATAACTGCGGTGAGCTCCTCGGCGGTCCAGGTCTTGGAGGTGACGAAATCTGACACCTGGCTCATCCAGACAAGATTGTGGCAGCGGACTTTGGAGTCGTAGCGCTCGGCTAGGTCCATGAAATAGTCGCCATCGGTGAAGTTGAACTTGTTTTGCTCTTGCTCTGTGTACATGAACTAATGCCACGAGAATAGTTAGCCATTAGTCGCGAATTACCCAACAGTCCGATTTGGATATGCGATTTAGCCTACCTTGAGCGCATTAGCCGGAGTAATTTCGCCGAACTGATTTTTCAGAATCTTCAGGTACGCAGCATCGGTCGTCTCGTCCGTGCCGGGGATATCAGCAGCTGTGCCGAACCATTGTTTACCCTGAGCCTGTGCAAGGGCATTGAGGTTGTAATTGTTGCGATCTGGGTGTTTGGGCGCAGCCTGGGTGAGACCGGCCAGTAAAGCTGTGATTGCAACGAAAGAGCGCATTGTGACAGAGATGTAACTTAAGATGCAGAGGATGAGGACACTGCAGCAAACGACGCGGGAAAGAGCCTCATTTTAAACTGGAAGAATTCTGCAACATAGCCGTATACCCCTCTTAACAAAAAAGAGCTAGCCCGACTTTGCAAAGGCCCGGGAACGCAATCTCCGGCGTGAAGCTGAACATCTGCCGGTTCGTTGGCTATAGACTACTTTCCGGGGTAGCGTGGGGAAATTAGGCTAAATTACGGTTAGCTAGCCAGGGATGGACATTGTGATTCGAATTGTATTTTCCAGTCAACGCCACAACGGCGATATTTCGACAGAAAAGATAGGTTGGGGAGTAGCGCGTTGGCTAATCTAGGTCTACAGCACCTAGGCAGTTAGCTCGGATTTCCGGTTTAGCCAGATTGTCAGACGATATATGCCCCATTACAGCTCAGGCAACAATCCCGTCGGTTTTTGTTGTGATCAGATAAAATGCGTCGTATTTCTTGCCATGCAAAGTGCAATTCCTACATCCACCCCAATAGTCTGTTGAGGCATCAACATGAAAGTCAACTTGGGCGATTTCTAGCGCTTACGCGTTGCGCAAATGTTGTATCTTAAAGCCAAGCCTAGCCTAGCACCGGCAAAAATGCCAACAGGCTTAGCCTCGGCAGGAGCAAATAGTCCGAGTCCAGTTTTCGAAGCATCCGTAGCTACCTGTCAATAATAGGAAGAGAGAGTTGGGTGATTTTTGAATGCATTGTGAAATCCGGATTGAGAAGGGCAGAAACGGGGGAATCAACAACACATGTCGTGTCCCCCTCATAATTTACCACCAGATCATGTGATTGGCTATCGTTCACATCCCATATCAATCTGGGCCTGATAATATTCATTTGACACACCTACATGGCAATTGCCTGGGCACTATCGAGACGTTCTGTCCCCTTGAGGAACATCTCACGACTTTGCATTTTCTCCAAGTCCATATGTACCCACCCAGACAAGAGTCCGATCGACCAGCCCCTTTATTTTTCCCCCGTTGATTCAGAGCCACTTCATCGCTACCGCCAAGGCGACTACCACCCAGTCACCTTGGGTGATTACCTGAAATCTGGAAGGTACAAGGTGCTGCATAAACTAGGATGGGGAGGCTACTCGACAGTGTGGGCGGCCAGAGATCAAAGGTTGTGCAAAGTCGTGTGACTCAACGGTAGTTCTAGCTAACCAAAAAGTTACCTGTCTGCAGGGATGATGTTTATGTTGCTGTCAAAGTTTGTGTTGCAGAAAAGGACCATGGTGGGGAGACGCGAGAGCTCCAAACTCTGAAGAATTTGGGATCCCATCACCTTCGTCTAAAATATACGGTGCACCTGCTTGATACCTTCGATCTGAGAGGCCCAAATGGATCTCATAATTGCCTGGTATATGAGCTTTTGGGATCTAACATTCCGGACACAATTGATGCACACTTCCCCGGCGGGAGACTCCCTGGGAAACTAACGAAACTCATTGCGAAGCAAAGTCTTATCGGACTTGATTGCTTACACCAACATAATATTGCACATGGAGGTAGGTCACTCTTCTAGGAATATTTCGAAATATTCTCACATGATATAGATTTGCATACTCGCAATTTAGCCTTTACTATGCCTTGCATGGACAATGTAACCGAAGAGAAGTTCATGGAGAAGCTAGGAAAGCCAGACATTGGCTATGTCCGAAGGCGTGACGGGAAAGACCTAGAGCCTGGAATACCTGAGTATATCATTAGGCCTACCTCATATCGGGCGTATTGTTGGCATTCGGTCCAGTCGATCAAAATAATCGACTTCAGTGAATCATTTTTACGCTCTACAATCCCCCAGACACTGCACACCCCTTTGCCTATTCGGGCACCGGAAGTTATATTTCAAGATCGCATTGATTATCGTGTTGACCTATGGAGTTTGGGATGCATGGTATGTGGAATCACTCGACGCTACACGCCACGCAATAGTAAACTGATAGATACGACAGCTCTTTGAACTTTTCGTGGGACAGCCGCCTTTCGATACCTTCTTGATAACACCCACTATCCTCGTTAGCCAGATGCGAGAGATGGCAAGTGATGACTTACCTGAAAGATGGCACGAGATATGGGAGACGATGAAAGCAGATAACGGTGAACCCACAGAAAGCACCGTGCCCAATTTACAAGAATGGCTGGAAGAATTGTATTTCGATAGCCCGCAGAGTCCCGATCTCACCAGAGAGGATATCTCGAGGCTAGGGCAAATCATTGGAAGGTTATTGATGTTTGAGCCGTCAGCGAGAGCTTCAGCAAGACAAGTTTTGGATGACCCTTGGTTTGATCAGTAAATAACCGACCAAAAGCAGTCATTACGCGAGAGTCTGGGTGGAGTACTCGTTTTAAACCGAAATTGTATCTAAGGACCTCCCAACATGTCTTCGATCTTAAACCCTGCATCCCGAATAGACAACTCGCTCCGTACGGCGAGTAGATACGGGATGTGGGGAGACAATCGGCTAGGAAAGCTGGGCCTGTAGTAGACCTGATACTAGTATTCGGATATATTTATGTATTTATGTATATATTAGGCGGTCGAAGTTGATATTCGTATGTAGTATGTACACAGTTGTATAACTTGTAACTCCTCTAAATAAGTTTAGGCGCGTTTAAGCTTAATAGTAAGTTCCTAATTTTCGTCTTCTAGTCGTTAAATAGTGGCCGTAAAAGAACCACGCCCGGAAGCTATTTCGGATGGCTTAGGAAGCTTTCTTAAGCTTACGCACTTGCTCTTTTCTTTTTAGCACTTATAAAATCAAAAGAAATTAGCAGCTCACCTCCTATTATTAGAGCGTGCCTGCGAACTAATTCCATCCTGAGGTACATGTGACCATGGGCCTATCGACGTCGATGGGAGGCAATTTGCCCAGATTTTCTGCTGATATTCTCCGGTTGGAGACTCATGGGCGTCGTGAAAACCATCTCAGTGTTATTGATGTTCCTGGTATTGTGTGCGTCAAAGCGGGATCTTTCCTGCTCGGGTATTTGCCTACATTGGGAAGCATATGGCCCGCATGTTTCATCTCATGTACCTCGAGATAGCGTGCTCTCTGCATAACCTTCTGTCCCTATGTTCAGCCTTTTTCAGCTAAGTAGCTACATGGATCAACCCTGTGGATCTTACCCCTCCCCGGGACCCTTCCCTCGTGGGTACTAAACCGGTATGCGTTGTTGGATTTCGTTACTATACACGCCCATTTGTTGAGACGTGGTTGAACATGACCTGTAGCGCAGGTGGACACGTCGCGTGCACTGCTAACGTGCATTCTTAACGGTCAAAACGGCTGAAGGCCCGCCCATTGGAGCTCCCCCTCCTTTTCTTCTTAATCGATCTGAGATCTGTTTTTTTTAGATTTTGGATCTTAGATCTCATATTATATCCCTTCGCAATATTATACAATATGATTCTAGATGAAGAGGAGTATCTTCTTGCTGAGCACCGTTGCGATGCCCACGTGGAGGGCGGGATGAGCCGCAATCTTAGATCCTACTGGGCGTGCTTTCGCCAGCCATCGGTGCGCCTTGTTTCCTTTTCCCGATCTTCACTTTTACTGATGCCTCATACCCATACTGCAGCCATCATGGGTCCTTTGTACCTACGCTATTAACGTGTTCATATTCGGCATATTGGCCGTCCCCGAGCTTAATGCGACGTTTGCATTGATCTGTCACCAGCGATACGCAACAAGCCCGGTCCCCCAAACCTATCAACACCATGGCACCCCCAATCTCCTCGGGGAGCTGAAACAATGCTTGGGCAACAAGGATGCGCAATCAGAGCTATCACGGTTTCTCTTATACCGCCAAGTGACGGCAGGTCTTGTTAGTGCGATATCGACCCCAATTCTGGGCTGGTTGTCGGACTGCATCGGCCGCAAGCCGATCCTCGCCAGCACCGTGATAGGAAACTTGCTGTTTGAGGCACAGATGTTATTGGTACTGCGGTATCCTGATTCTATAAATATGCACTGGCTCCTGGTGGGATGCGCCATGGAGGGTCTCAGCGGCTCAATAATTACCGCAACGTCCACTTCGCAGACATACATTACCGACCTGGCGGACCCCAGTGACCGGCCTAGACTGTTCAGCTATTTACAGGCAGCGTTGTCATTTGCTGGGGCATTGGGGCCGATCGTTGCCGGTGTGCTCCTCGCGATGCCCAACCCCCTTGAGCTGATGTTCTCGTTCGCTGTTTGCGCTCATTTATCCCTCGCGCTAATCTTCGTCTTTGTCTTGCCGGAATCGCGCTGGTCACAGTCGGGCGGTAGTGCCTATAAAGACCGGTCGGTCCAGGAGCAGCCCTCTGGAGAAAGCTACGTCCGCGTGGTTTTGAAGTCACTCAAATCGCTCTGGCCATCGAGTACATCTCGGCAAAAGAACATGGTTATTCTGGCTGTTATGGAAATCACCACTCATAGTGTCATGATGGGCCTGCACTCACTACAATTAGCGTACCCGGCGTTCTTGTTCCGATGGCAGCCCACCACACAGAGCTTCTATATGTCGCTCCTTTCCTCGTGGAGCATTCTGGTGCTAGTTGTGATCTTTCCCATGGTCATGGCCCGGGTACGTCAAAGAGCGAGGAGAATGAATATTGTAAATCTGTCGGCTGTGTTCAATTTTGGGGAGGTGGGTGCTATCCAGGCGAACCTAATTTTGCAAATGATCGGCTACATTGGCATTGCTGTATCTCGAGTACCCAGTCATTTCGTCATATCGTCCCTCATTGTTGCATCGACTGATTCGATCATCCCTCTGTTGACGTCTTGCCTCACAGCCCATGTGCCGATTTATCAATCGGGGCAACTATTGGGGGTTTTGAGCTTTTTGCATGCCATGGCTCGAGTTGTGATTCCTGCAGCCTTGAATACCATATATAGCATGACGATAGGTTTCTTTCCGGCGCCTTTGTTCATGCTATTGGCCATTGTCATCGGGGGCTTGATTCTTGCTAGTATGCACATCAAGAGAAATCCAATGTGATGAGTTTACTGGCTGAATATGCCAGCGGCCTTTTTTGATCGAGTCGCATCAATTTGTCCTCCGTAGACACTGCATGATTGTTCGCCAATCAACACGCAGAATAATAAACATGCACTAACCCCAGGTGCTCAAGGCGGCTTACTTCTTAGGGATCTGCAAACCAAGAAGTATCGGAGATTATAGGGCGTGTCTAAACATTACATCCTGATTTGACCATCTACGCTGGTCAATGCCCGCCTTGTTCTCAGCCCTCCGCCACCAACACCCTTCAGGAATGCCTCGGGAATGTATCCCAATTGAAGGAAGCAGCAGGGCTATCAGGTTGTGACCCCTTCGGATAAGAGCGACGACACTTTTACTCAAGCGATCTCCTCAGTTTGCATCAAATCTCCAGAAAAGAGACCAACCATCTACTTTCTTTGCCTTAGTAACCCCAGGCTTCCAGAGCGTGAATGACTGGAGAAGTACGAGAGGTTCTCTCACCCGGTACTTTGTCAATAAGCATATCAAGCCCTTCCCAAATGACATGCGCTGTGAGTGCTCTATTTGCGGGGGAAAGCTGGGGTCAAATTTGGGGCTACTGAACCATGCGGAAAGTGTTCATGGAACTGTCTCCCGCTTGTCTCTATCAGCTCTTGATTTGATATAAATACCAGGCGATTTCTCTTTTCACATTTCGTGAAGATGTTATCGGAGTTGAGGGCTATGGGTGCGATTTTTCAAGTCTGAACAACTCCATTAGCTAGACAATGCCGGCTCTACACCTTTACCAGACCCAGAGCGCCGCGGTAAGTGTGGATGACCATCCCGTCAATGTCGCTACCGGTTAATGAGCCCGTATCTGGTTGTAGAGCAGCCCAGATGATCTTATCGTTGATACTGATCTATTCCGGTCGATTTTGCGCTTTCCGTATAACTTTCAAGCAAAGTTCAACGGCCTCGGAAGCATCATCCGGAGCGGCCTTCCCCGTGCCTTCTTCCACGGTTCCTTGGATAACTGTCGCGTATGCAGAGTCAGAATATAGAGCTCATTCCTTGAATAGTGAACGAAAATATGAACACCACTTACCGGAACGAATAAAGTCAAAAGCGCGGTCGAAGCTGATCTCGTCCTCGTCATTGAGAATTGACGCTTCTTTGCACTGGATTTGCCCATATGTTCCCACGACCACATGTTTCATATATTTTCAGCTTGGTAACCGCTGTTATCGCTGGTCAAAGGACCGCGCTGATCTCAAGATTTGATCAGTAAGGCTGACAGCATTGCGTTATGACAAGATAGATCTTCCCAGTGACCGAAAGTAACGCAACGCAACAACTGTTACAGCCTACCATGCCCATATCCATCTTCGACTCCAATGCTAGCAACCATTTACCCCAGAATGCCATGGAGGCCTATACTCACGCCATGCAGGCGCATACCCAGTCCCAGATATCGTCTCTTGATGGTCTGAGCGAAAGTCATGGAACCAGCAGCAGGGACTCCGGTAATGTCCCCACCAGCGGTGTGCTACACCAAGGCTCTGGTCCTCCCATGCAGCTAAGACTGAAGAAGTCGGACGGCAAGCCTGCAACGACACAGCATGCACTCAAGCTTAGCTTATACAACGATTTTTACGCGAAGCCGGCATAGTGATGATGCTACCTGTGGATTTTACTGACAGAACGCGCTGGTAACTTATATTTCTTCTTATGACGGGCCTTCAATTTTCTTTATAATATAGGGATTCTACGGCACCATATTGACTTGTGGACATGTGCTTAATAATTCTGTGTTATCGCGTTTTCATTGTTACCGCAATAACTGTAAGAAACGAAAAACGACTCCGGGGAGATCAAGATGAACTCTCAGCATCCAGTCACTGGAAAAGGCAAGAAAGCTTTCCCCGCCCTCCGTCCCCCATCTTCTATCCTCAAAACCGCCAACCCCGCTACTCCACCCGAACAAACCACCCCACATTGCAACGTCCAGCCGCGTCTCCGTATTCATCCACCTATTCCACCATCGCCGCCAGAGCTCTCTCGTGTCAAGGACAACTACTCACCGGCGCCATGCCCTTCCAACTAGCCCAGAATGGCTTGCATTACAAGCTCCCCGGGTTTAGCAGCAGCACTGCGCGCTGCTTGCCTGTGGAACGATCACCCCTCTGTCCACCTTCCAGCGAGCCCCTATCGAAGAGGAACAGCATCTCCACGTGAAATATTGCATATGAAAGGTCATTTATCGCGACTTGAAATCTCTCCTTGAGAACCCCGACACGGTATCCCACTCAACAGCCACATCTCCCAGACAACCAACTACCAACTCCCACCTTTCCTAGGGCAGATTACCACTCGAAACGATCGCTTCCAACTCTAATATACAGTCTCGAAACCAGTCAACAGCACTAGCACCTACCATACCGGAGGAATCTCCTACCATAGACCTCGACTTGCCCGCCGAACCGTCACCTGCCAGGCTCGAACCAGAACCGCAATCACCTCAGCCATCTACTGCACGTATTCTTCAAAGTGCGACCACGGAACTAACAGGGGGCCCTGCTCGTTGAGTTGATATTCCTGCTGCTGAATATCGACCCGCCAATCTGAACTTCCACCCCTCATAAACAGCAAACCTTTCTCAATGGAAGTTCACTTCCGTTTGTCTTTGTGACCACTGCTCTGGCTTCTTTCCATATCCACCGCCGGCAGAAACATCTAACACTATCGCTTTCAGCTACCTACAATCGATCCGATTCCCACCGATCACGATACGAGAGATGTAAGAGGCAGTGAGGACCGCGAAGGCAGGAAAGGCAACAAGAAAGCACGGCATCCCAAATGTCCTCTGCCACAAGCCTATCGACAGACAGGTGATCGTGTAAGTGCTCGGTCAGTTGTTTAACGAATACATACGCGCTAGCTACACCCTATCGCATTTCCCACGCTCGATCACAGTCGTCCTAAAAGAGCAGGACAAAAGCGACTACCAACTTGCAAAGTCCTACCGCCCGGTTGCGCTGCTCAACACCGTTAGCAAATTCATGGAAGCAGTGGCGCACGACAACTCAGCTACGCCGTGGAAACCGATGGATTACTTCCAAATGCGCATCTCGGTGGCCGATGGGGCATCTCCACGGGCCGTGCTATACAGAATGTGATCGACCGAATAAAAACAGCCTCGGCAAATGGGAGACCGGCGATGTCACTGTTAATGCTGGATGTCTCAGGAGCCACCCGTTTACAATTGCCACTCGCTTACGGGCTACGTTAAGGGATTTCCACTGGTTCCCCGCAGCCACTATCCTAGCAACGGCCCTATGTTGTACGTCCGCGTATTCAGCGTATTGCTCGACGAAAATTTCTACCAGGCAGGAATTGGAGCGGTGGTATGTAGACAAGTTTGTGTATGTGCAGTGTCCAGTTCGGCTTCCTGTTGGGGGTTAGGCCCGTGTAGGATATATCTCTTTCTCTTCAGCATCTCTCTTCTTAGCGTCGAATGCAACGGATGCATCAATCTCTCCTTTTCTGAAACAAAATACACATAAAATCAATGCATTGCTAGACGCAGCATTACGTATACTCTCGTTTATAACAGCTTTCAACCCTCGCTAGGGCTTTCTCCGCCGGATTAATTGAGACTTAGTGACATGTGCCAGAATGCTTTCACTTGACATATAGCAATTCGTCAAATTCTTAAGTAGCCACTCAATAACGTATTTCACATGCGAGCTGCGCAGTCCTATACACAAACTAAATGCGATAAATTACAACTGGATATCCTAAAAATATATTTCTATATGAGCTTTTCCTTACAACCTAATGCTGATTATACAATATTTTGTCACTTTAAGAAGTTTCGGGAAATTTAAGAACTTGATGGTTGAGATATATATATTCAGAGGTTTTAAAGATGAAATTTTTGATACCATAACAATTCACGCTTTCGATCTATTCAAAATTGATATACACTACTTAAAATACTTATCAATGGCTATCGGCATTTTAAAAAAATAATAAACAGACGTTGGTTGTTGAGATGTGAGTATAGCACATATCGCATTTATTATGGTGTTTCAGCTGCGCAGCTCGCTTGTGTGCGCAGCTAGCATGTGAAATACGTTAGTCAGTTTGATACATACATTGTGGCTCGCCGACAATCACTCCGCACAATGGAAGACCAATCCACCTCGTGACGCAACCTAATCACGATCCTCAGGATGGAAAATCAAAGCTCTCAGCTCAATACTCTCTCTCGGAGGCTCATGTTCCGTCGTTGGATCAACAAAAGCAGCATGCGGCGCCCGCCTCGCCCTCCCGTCAAGTTTAGAATCGAAAAGTTTGATGAAGGTGACCATATCCGGAGTCTGTTTGTAGCGATAGTACCACTTGATATTTGGATCCGGCTTGACGGACCATGACTCACCCTCTGAGTCCGGGTAAACAAACTTCAGAGGGGAAAGGGCACTTTCGGGCGTAGAGTTTGCATCTGCAATTGCTAGCGGGTCCTTTAGGATTGTGTGGATCGGACGCCATACACTGATCATCTGGTAGCGGCTCTTAAGGAGCTCTGGTGCCTCGTCGGGCAAGTAGTGGCAGACTCTAGCCTTGGTTCCGTCGTAGGATGCGTCGATATGGACGGTTTGGATAGGACCGCGAGGCTGGTCCCCGGTGATCCAGTCTTTTGGCGCTCGGCGGATGGTATGATCGAAGATAAAGAACCGAGAGGCGCCAGTGCTGTGCCGGTTAATTTCATTTTTATATTAATTTCGGATTCAGACATTTCGGTTTGCTTACACGTCTTTGAGCAGTTGCTCTGTCTCTGGGTAATACTCTGCTCTGATCTTCTCCTCGTCAAGGAAGTCCTTCAGTTTGCTCTCGTGGTAGTAGTACTGGAATCCATGGCTGTCTAGGGTGTAGTCAAGCTCGTGACCACTGACATCATGGATAGTGGCGGGGATAGCGATGGTAGGTCGATGGTAGCTTTCTGGCTTTCCAATGTATATTGGTGCTTGGGGAGAACCATCCTCGTTCTCTTTATTGAAGATGAGTGTAGTCTGAACATGATGAGGGTTATCGGAGACGGGGACTTTGGGCTTTTTCCCTTCTGCTAGCAGAGAGCCATGGCAGCCGGGAAGATGAGCAACTGCCGAAGCCATATTTTCAGGTTGATTTGCTTAGATCGTAGTATGACTTTTGTGTTCGTGCTTTGGCGGGGGAAGGGCGGTGTTTAAGATAGCAGAAGAACGAGGATTATATCTTCGGTCAAATACATCACTTATCTGCAGAGCTTGGGTGCAGGCGGTTTCTTTTTGGAATCATCAAGGCAAGCAATGTTTCTTCAACTTAGAGGCCCACATAAGCCTGAATTTCCCCCTGATTCACGCATAAGTGGGTTTATAAGGTAACGAATCGAGACTACTTGCATACATGGATGAACGTGATGGGCTAGCTGAGAGCGCCCGCATGTGGGAAAACTTGGTGGCTGGCTAAAAAGGCGCCCGCAGATGGCGACGATCTCTTGGTGAGGGGCTGTTCCCCCACCCCGATCGATTTGAGCGACTGTGAAGTTGGATGCTAATGAATGCCAATTCCAACCCTGGGTTCTTTATCCTCAAATCTACCATTCTTCCAGACTGAGCGTTGAGCACAGGCTGAAAACAGAGTTTCAAGACCTACTTACCGACCTCACTCGCCTTTTTAGGGCAAATGAGAGCAGAATTACCGCTGATCAAGTATTGGAATGCCTTAAGCATTTTTTAGCGATGGAAAGCTCGGCATTAGACCGCTTGGTCTTTCTGTTATATAGAAATAAAGTTAGTAATCCTGTGGACCAGTTCTTCTCCCATATCGCGACGCTAATTCTTGCTTGAATAGACCCAGCGATCGGAAGCGATTGGCAAGAGGGGCGCTATCCACCACTAGGAGTGCACTCTAAATTCTTCAGGCACCACCATTACTAATAACCCTGGGAGGATAGGTGACATGCCTTCGGTGGTTGGGACGGTGTCTTGCCAGGACGGGCTCTCTCCAACGTCATCCGGAGACAGACCTAGCAACACTGGTCATGCTTAAGAACACCATGCTTCTCCGACTTCGCATCCTGGATACGCCCGCCAACAAAGGTCACTCGAAGGTGGCAATCGGAGAAGCTCTGGCCATGCACATTCGCAACAGCACCATCCTGTTCCCTCTTCGATTTCTGGGAATGATGACGACCAGCCAGGGTTGCACGGAGGCATCGGCTTGGACGACATAGCAGCTCGGACGTCCCAAGAGTTCGATAGCTGAGGCACACCCTGCACAGGATTTGACGAAAATACAACGCTACTCCAACAACCCAGTGAAAATATCGCTCCATCATCGCCTGATACGGAATTAGCCAACTCGCACCAAGTAGAAACGACGACTCTTCACGTTGGCGTCGGTGATGGCGCCTTTATCAGGACGGGCTTGGCTGCGTGCGGTGAAATAACATTCGCGCCAAGTACCAAACTCCTTTTGGGGAGCTGAAAAACAAATCGTGGAGGATTCCTACGTGCGATTAGAGAAGCAAAAGGGACCTTCCTAACCGGGTATGGCTTGTGGGGAGTTCCTACGTGCAATCAGGGAAGCTAAAGCGGCCTTCCCGACCGTACAGGTACACATCCAGATGTACCAAAGAGCAAATGAAAGCCGCTCTAGAAACTCATTTGACCCCGCCGCACCCCCTAAGTGGATCTGATCGCCTTTTAGCGCGGAGAGAGGACCGTAGTTCCTGCACAGATTGCTGCAATATACCACCAGTCCGGGGAATTACTTTGTGGAAAAGCTTGGAGTGGAGGAATTCAGGAAGTAAGTTGAAACCAGACACAGTAGGTCACTTATGTTCAATAAATAGATGGTTGCACATAAATAATAGTCATATTATACAGGCTCGGGCTCATGGGCTGCATCATTTTTGCCTTGTGCCACGGTGTTCTACTTGTTTTCCTAGAGAGTCGATCTCAGCTTATAATTCTTGATAAACATGGCACAAATAAAACCAGCAATTGCGAAGCCCGCGGCGAGCTGGAAGGTGCCATGTAGCGCATACATATAGCCATCTTGAAACTCGTCGCCGCCGTCCTGAGCATGGAATTGATGCAACTGGAGGTAGCTGACTGTCGAATTCAGCGAGGGAAACTGGTCGTGCTCACTAGGGCTCGTGACTTGTTTGTTGAGGCGGTTGCGAAAAATGACACCGGCAGCCGATAGTCCGATCGTCGACCCAATGGATCGGAAAGTAAGTAGTACAGATGTTGAAGTGGCCTGCAAATGGTGTGGAACTGCACTGAGCAAAGCAAGCAACAGTACGGTCAGAAGTCCACCATACCCGAACCCGTAAACAAACTGATAGATTGCAGGCAAGACGGATGGCGAGCCCACAGAGAGCGTCACGAACCCCACCGAGCCAAGAACAACGAGCATCGGCTGGATGGTCTTCGGCAACCAGTACTGGCCAGAGATACTTGTGACAAGCCCAACCATGGAGGATCCCAGTCCACCGCCTACAGGCTCCGGGAGAATGAGGATTCCCGTTTGACTGGTAGAGTGTCCCCGCAGTTGTAAATAGAGAGGGACATAATACATCAACGTGTACATTGTCACTGACATGAATCCGGTGCAGAGGCATGCTGCTAAAACCGTTGGCGTACCAAACATCGTCAGGGGAAAGATTGGTTCCTCAGCAAAGCGGAGCTCGATCGTTATGAAAAGGGCGAGCGATAGCCCTGCCAGAGGGAGAAGCGCAACCGCCTGGGCGTCTTCATGGTTCAAATAGATAAGGACCAACGCTAGAGACGAGACCAATGTGATGGAGCCGCCGTAGTCAATCCGTCCTAGCTGCTCGCGAAAGCTGGCATTTTCCGTCGATTCCCGGGGCAGGAAAACAGCCACACCAATACCAGCGCAGACCGAGATGGGGGCAAGCATAATAAACGCCCACCGCCAGCCCAGAGCATCATTGATCCCACCACCGGCTACCGCTCCACAGCCCATGCCCCCGGTGTATGCCACGATAGACATACTATGCCATATGCCACGATACCTCGGTGGGACATGGTCTGATGAGATAAAGGTGGAAATGGAAGTGCAGCCACCGCCGCCAATACCCGCAATGACCCGTCCCAAAATAAGTATGGTGCGCGAAGGGGCGAATCCGCAGGCCAAATTCCCAAGAGTGAACACAAGCGTAGCGAAGACAAAGCTAGCTTTCCGACCAAAAATGTCACTGAGTTTGCCTACCAATGGCTGTGTCGCGGTCAGGCCGATGAGGTACCCGGCACCAAGCCATGAGATAATGGCAAGCGACTGAAACTCGTCCGCAATCGTAGACGACAGAGTGGAGGTTATGGTGCTGGCTGATGTTGTCAGCAAGGAGCTACAGAACCCTCATGGCACAACTTACCAGCAGCAGCAACAAAAGAGGCAATCGAGCTCGAGAAAATCGCTGCGATTACCGTCCACTTCAGAGCGCGCTCCTGTGTGGGAGAAGGAAGCAGGGGCGTTTGTTCGGTCGACATGACTTCAGCGCCGTGAAGCATGCAAAGACTGAAAAAATGAACGGTGAGGATGAAGATGTGAAGTATCCCGTGGGAAGCTCTGGAGGCTGCACTTAAGGTTTCAGTGAGACGAACCTGACGATCGACGATCATGTTAGATGCATCTCCTATTGAAACGCCACCATACATACACATGTCCAATCAGATACATTCCTAGAACTTTATCTAGCCCCTGACATTGGTCATAACGAGTCACCTCCTTACATGTAACAATACGAGCATTCCTCCGCCTTGGGAGGAAAAGGGGTAATAGCTAACTCTTGTACGACCCTGTACGATCGTGAATTGATAACTATGAGAAGAAAAATGCATATGTTTCAATTGTCTTGTACATCGATCCTCTCGCCTGCAGAACATCCTTCAATCCAGTAAATTCTTTTTTGGATCAAAGGGAAGAATACAACGAATATCAATTCTGGCACCATTCACAACCCATCACCGAAATGTTCCGATATTATCCATGTCTTTACCATCTGATTATCCTAACATGTTTAATATGTAGGTTTTTGACTCGAATATAGGTAAATATTGTTAGAGAGCTTCTGCGTTCTTATAGGTCTTTCTAATTGAATCATATTCTTCGAATTTTATTCTAAGAAAATAAGATTTTATGGTCAGGTTAAAATGTATTAAAATCAACTGTAGTAAATTAGGCAATTTGGAATTTAGTTACTTGCGTACCTGCGCAATTTCATATTTTACGACGGGCGCCTCCAATAAAGTTCCGCCAAAAACTCTACCTATGTAAGATTCAAAAGCATGCATTTTTGTGCGGGGAATTCTACGTGGGAATATTTAGAGAAATATTTATTGCACGATCGATCATCTTTAGGTGAAAATAATATAATCATCCAAAGACACGGATCGAGAGGAAGACAAAGGGTCCTTTTAGGAACGTAAGCCAACCAAACGGGAACAGGGCCCTGACGAGTCAAGCACGAGTCAAGCTGTGGCGTAAGCTAGGAGCACACCTGAGACGACTGATTCGAACACTAACTCACTAGTCGACCCAAGCGCCGAGATGTATTGGCTGGAGTCGGAAATTAGACGGACTAGTTTGACGGTGATATAACCAGAAATAAGCTGTGGAGACTATCACGTAGTAACTGCTCTTAAGATTACGATAGAGTTTATACTAGTAGGTCTACGTGATGCGAGGCAAGCAACCTGTTCGATAAATTCAAACGCAAGACAATGCCTGCATGGGCAGGCCCTGCAGGTATCTGAATTTAATAATCCTTGACAGAAAATTGAGTAGCATTGCTAGGCCGAGTTCATTCCATAGCAAGGGCTTCACGACGGGTCTTGCTGTTCGGGTCGAAGTAGGGTCTCTCGCCGATTCCAACAGCACGATGACCTGTACGGGCGCCCAAGCCAGCAAAATCAAAAATAGCGGTGTGGTAAACCGAGCGGTTATCCCAGATAGCTGCGCAGTAATTAGATACCCTAAACATGGAAACCATATGGGATAGAGTACTCACCGATGTCGTAGGGATTTTCCCACCGATGCCTCAATTGACAATCATGTTCCTCAACGATCATCTGCAGGAACCAATCATGCAACCGCCTGCTTTCATCGGGGGTCACGTCATTGATGCGTTCGATGTGGTTTCCAACGCCAAAAAGACTCTTCCACCCTGTGACGGGGTTGGTGCGAACGACCGGGTGGACGGCAGTGAGAGAAGTGCCAACGTTGTTGGGGGACCCACGGGGCTTGGAGTAAAGGTCGAATCCTTTCTGAGCAGCCGTGACTGGTAATCTAGACTGGGAGAAGGTGGCAGTAAGGCTTTCCAGGAAGCTGCGGTAGGCGGGGGAGATTTTGTCGTAGATTTCACAGGATGAGGCCCACATTGTGTCTACGTGCTAACAATCAGAACTGCATAAAAACAACTGGGGAAGAGATAGAATGGGATTGAATACCTCCACCGGTTTCGGGCAGCTTGATGAGCTTCAAGATCGAGTAGTCGGCGGGATTGGGTTCATAGCTAGTATCCGTATGCCAACTATTTCTGATATCGGCGGGCCTGTTTTTCCAAAGGTCCTCTGCAGGGTTAGTGGCCTTGTCGGTGGTGATAACGTTGAGATTCGGGTCCCGATCATCATTGTAGTTGGTCAGAGGGTGGATGTGCAGTGTTGAGGATTCCGGTTTGCCTGTGAGACGGCCTAAGCGAAGGGCCAACTCCTTTTGAAGCTCATCGGTAAGGTCATTTTGGGCGCGGAAAAAAACAACGCCTCGACGAGAGACTGCTCATGCTCGTTAGCCATATGCTATCAAACAATCATAGACTGTATGCCTACTGGTGACAGCTAAGTCCCGGATAAGTTCATCACTGTTCGTAGCTTTCATCCATTCCACCACGTTGGCGTTAGGGAACTCCGTTCCGATTGTGGGAGTGACGTTATAGGACTTGTAGTTATCCAAGAGACCCTTCAGCTTTAAAGGCTCCACGATGAGCGGTCTCTCGGTGGCACCGTCTTTCTGGCCATTTGGCACCGGTGGCGCATCCTGAGTTATAGTCATTCTGGAACAAAGGAAGTAAGGTTTCAGTACAGAAATCGGAAGGACATTCGAACCCCTCCAGTGTTAAAGCCCTATTTATGTCTGGGACACGTCTTCAAGAATAGAAAAATGTAAAATGAGGGGTAGATGACATCGGAATATGACGGGCTGAGTGCAAGTCCCATGCTGCAATGTCCACTGCACTTCTATCTCCACCGCCAGCTCTCTCTATACGCCGGTTACGAACGATCCAGTATGAAAAAGGGCCGGGCGAGAAGAGGAAAATCATGAAGAAGTGTGATATTGGGACTCTGACGCCGAATACGGATCTGGTGTATCAGACGGTTGTGTCCGAATTTGCCACCAGTTTTTGGCACTGGCAAGGTCATTCATGTTCTTTCGGTCTCAGGACAAAATGCCAACGAACGGACCGTAGGATGGTGTTACTGTCACTAAAATCGTGGGAGGACAAAGGGGGTGTACTAGCTTGGTCACAAAGGGTGGCCTCAGGGTATCACCCTTCAGTAGTTGGTCGTTTAGGTATATCAAGAACTTCTCTCTTCCACACATCATCTTTCTCTTCCCTTGCCCCTCTACGCTGTGTAAGCTGAAATGTAAGCACACCGAAATGACTGGTAAAATTTCTTTCAATTTTCAACATCTATATCCATATCATATTCCACAACTGACAATGGACAACTGACATCCCAGCATTTCACTGTTTTAAGGTGCGTACTACCTGATCCAGTATTTGAATGAATGTCTCTATTTCGTTCACGGTATTGTAATGGACCAAGCTTGTTCGAATGATACCGTCATCTGCCAGTCCAAGAACATCGTGGACGGTACGGGGAGACCAACAATCACCAGTGATAAGCCGGCAGTTTGATGTTTCATGAATCATTTCCGCAACCTTGTCAGACGCGACTCCATTCACGGAAAAGCTGATCAAGGAAACCCGAGCGTTCGGATCTGCTGTTTGCGACCCATATACGGTGTAAAGGTCAGGATTGGCCGTCAAATAGTCGAGAAGGTGTGCTGTGATGACTTCCTCGTGGGCAATGATAGAATCCCAGCCAATCTGATTGACGAGCCAACTGATGATGGGGACCACAGCATGTTCGAGCTCAATGCAGCTGTTGCCGAGGCCCAGCCTCACGGATAAAGCGGTGGGGTCAAAAAAGTAGTGGTTGAGACTGGTCAAGTAGCGCTTCTGAACACTCCGCCGGGCATAGATCTGTGCAATATGAGGGCCAAAAACCTTATACCAGCTGAAAACGTAGAAGTCGACACCCAATTCTTTCACGTCGATGGGGCGATGAGGAGCCCAGGCTACTCCGTCCACGGATATCAAGGCCTCAGGGATTGTATGGACGAGATCTGCGATCTCTTTAATGGGCTCGATGGTTCCGGTAATGTTTGACACATGCCCACAGCATACAAGTCGGGTCTTGGAGGATAGGAGAGGTCGAAGTGTTTCTAGGGTGAGCTTGGGATCTTTATTGTTTCCCATTCCCCCGGCTGGCGTCCACCACTTGATAGAGATACCCAGACTTTTTGCCAAGGCAACCCACGCAGTCACACCGGCCTCATGGCAAAGAACAGATACTATCATTTCGGAGTCTGCGTTGAGATTCGGACGGAGGGAGTTGGTCAGGGTTCGTAGAAGCCCCGTCGTAGAAGGTCCAAAAGCTTCATTCGCAACACTCGTTAGCAACACAGGAATTCAGATGCCATCAAGAGAGTTTCGTCTGTCTATGGCAAGTTGCTATACGAAAGAATATCTGTGCCGAGTAACTCTTACCGATTTCGTCAGGGTCAGCATTCATGAATGAAGCAAGCTTCGCGTATTGGGCAGTACGCTCTTTAACATCGATCTCGCTTTTTGAGTCCAGGCCACGTAGATTCATATGGGGAGAAGACATGGTGCGAGTGATACTATGTATTAATCAATTGTTAATTGAAAGATTTCTATCACACCATTCTATACGGCTTTGAGAAGAACTCACCTCTCAATGACCCCTCTGTAAACCAGAGCACCAGAACCATTGTTTAGACAGATGGAACCTTTATCGAGACCTGGAAATTGTTTCCGAACAGCCTCGATGTTAAAATTGCGAAGGTGTTTGTTGATAGTCATGATCGAGATAATGATAAAACAAACCAAGGAGTGATATGATAGCCAGAAGATGTTATGTGGTGCAGTATACCTCTTCTGGTCTTTCGCGATCCCAAAAATGTTTCCAAGGTTAATGTGAGAAGTAAGGAGGTTTATGAGCGAGACACTGTTCCTTGGGGTCCACGGGTTCGTATACCGGCGGGAAGTCGTGCACGCCCCCTCTTGCATACCCCCCAATATAAGAACACTCATTCATGTCCTGAGCACTTCTCGATCAAATTGAACTTTGTTAGTTTGTGTTAACTTTCGCCTACCTCAGAGCTACGAGTAGCGGAGCTACCTCAGTACTGACCTATTCGGCGCTCTATCTGGTATTGTTTCTAACACGCCCCCACTCCCCCGCCCCCGGCGCCCGGATCGTCTTCAGCCTTGAATTTAATTATCGAATAGCCCTCAACTCAGCTTCGGTCGCGTACATTGCACTTCTCGAAAACTTTCGAGCAGGCGCCCTCTTTTCACTCATCACAAAAAATAAGGTTTATTCAGTTTGGAGCCCCACATCTTTGTGAATTTCTCCCAGATTCATGCATAAGTGGGGTTCAAATCGTGATGAGCCGAGACCGCCTACATGTGTACAGATGTGATGGGCTGGCTGAGAGCGCCCAGATAGACACGATCTTTGCCGGGGTCAGTGCTGATCGCTTTCAGCGCTAGCGAAGCTGAATGTTGATGAACCCCGATCTCGTCCAACCTAAGTTGTAAGTTGCCCTTTCCTCAAACCCACCATTCTTCCAGGATGAGCATCCAGCAGAAGTACAAACCAGAGTTACACGACTTGCTTGCCCAACTCGCTCGATTTTTCAGCGCAAATGAGACCAGAATCTCAGCTGAGCAAGTATCAAAATGCCTTGGGCGTCTTTCAGGGTTCGAAAGCTCCGCCTTAAATCGCCTATTCTTTTTATTATACCAAAGCAAGGTCGGTGTCTCATATGAACTGGTCCTCATTTCATTTAGCGACACTAATTCTATCAGTGACCAATAGACCCCAGAATCAGAATCGAGCGGCAAAAGGGGCTGTATCTCCCGCCCGGGGGGGACCAGAAATCATCATTCAGGCACCACCATTATTAATAACCCTAGGAGGATAGGTGATGTGCCTTCGGTTGTTAGGACAGTATCTCTGCAGGATGGGCTTTCTGCAAGTTTATCCGGAGACAGACCTAGCCACACTGGTCATGCTCAAGAACACCAGCCTTCTCTCGCTTCGGTTTCTAGGAATGACGATGACCAGCCAAACCAGCCGAGGTTGCACGGAGGCACCTGGTCGAACCACATGGCAGCCGTGATATCACATATCGATAGCCAGAGCACCCCCTGTTCGGGCTTTACGGATAATACAACTTTATTCCAACAACCTATTTCAAATATTGCTCCAGTACTAGTCGACTCCCACCAAGCAGAAGCGACAGCCCCCCACAATGGGACTGATGATGACACCTTTGGCAAAACGGGATTGGCGACATGCAGCGAAATCAAATTTGCGCCAAGCACCAAACGACTATTAGAGGCTTGTAAAACAAATTGCGGAGAGTTCCTACGTGCAATTAGTGAAGCTAAAGCGGCCTTCCCAACCGGGCAGGGCTGGGAAGCTGCGATAGCCACGAAGAAAGAAAATGCTGACATTCGCGATCTGATGAGGATATACCATAGGTTTGAATGTTATAACATCTACCGGCATGTCGTCGAGGCCGGATATCATACCGGTACACACTGGATTCGGGAAATGCGCGCTGTACTGGCCAACAAGCTTTGCCGGGACTTCCCGGGGCGTTTTCAAAACCAGAAGACTGCTAACAAATGTTTGAACTGGGTCGATCAGGGCTGCAGCTATCATGAGTGGACGGAAATACTTAGTGAAACACCGAATCTGGGGTATCTGATTGCATTGCCTTCAGACGTGTCCCACTCAGCGTATGCTCCTCCTCCACACGCCTCCGTAACTTAGTCTCACGAAGACTTTATAGGTACACATCGAGATGCACCAAAGAGAAAATGAATACAGCTGTGCTCAAATTCAAAAGCTTGGGCATCGATGATGTTGTGAAAAATTTGAAACTTGCCGAACTGGGCAACAATATTGCGGCAAAACTGAGGGAAATGACAGGCAAGAAGCGGAAGGATGTTAATGGTAAGCCCTTCGGAAAGGCTTCAATTTTGATCAATCGCAATGCTTATATACCTGAACAGGGGAAAGGACGATCCAGAGCTCCCGGAAATCACCACGATTGACGTCATCCTCGAGCATACTTGCTCTCACTCTACAGTCGGGCCAAAAGACCACGGCGCCCGAATCAATGGCAGCTGGTACCGACGACCATCCCATAATTCAAATTTCGGTTTTTTTAATACATTAACAGCCAATCAACACCTATTTGATCACCCTACCGAGTCTTTGATGTCAACTTCGGCGCAAGAACATGTTGGTAACCATGGGCGACAAGATCAAAACACAAGCGGCTCTGTCGCGGACGACTATGTGGTCCCATATGACCCTTTCAATAACCGTAGGACCCCCTTCCAAAATCCAACATTCCGCACACTAACTCGTATAAGTTGGGCTCAACTCACCTGCATATTCGGAGCTTTTCATGCACCAGTATTCTGCCATCTCGATACCATTCGATGAGTGGTATCAACACCCAAATTATGCAGAAGGATGTGCTACAAATTAGAACGAGGCTTCGAGTCTACCAAAATACGGGTTATTTCTATAACGGACAATAATAACAATTCAATGCGCTTTCGCGGGGAAATATTCAGTTGCCCTCCATTTCCCAGTATGGTTCGATCCAGAGCGCTACCCGTATCAAGTTTGGGATATCGACAGGAATACACAACGGATTACATGCACTCCACCTGCCACAATATATTTGAAGTCTTATCACAGCGGTCAATGGCTTTTTACTGCAAGATTTCCCATGTTGGTACGTAATCGATCACGGGCACGCTAATGCTCACTGGCCAGTGGCGCCAATCCAGTCCTTGCGACCAGTCAACATGGCACCGTGCTGCTTGGCATCGAGGCTCGCTTCTCTGAACAAAGCATACTTCTGATTATGCCACTCCACACTATTCATCTGCTTTCCATCAGGAGTGGTAAATTTGGCGTCGAATTCTGGCCGCAGGAAGTAGATCGTGGAGAACTTATCCTGGCCAGTTGAATCAGGTGGAGGGACCACACGGTGAAGAGACGAGGCCAATGCGCCATTTGACAGAAAGCGCAAGGAGTCCCCGACATTCACAACGGCGTGTCCAGCTCGGGGTGGAATAAAAGACCATTCCTCGGTCCCAGGCAGCAGGGCCTGCAAGCCATCAGACTGGGTGAAAACAACAGTCAAAGTTCCCATATCGGTATGTGCCATGTTTCCGATTTTCTCATCGCTGCTGCCCCAAGGTAGGTAGTTCAGCATGGCCATGTTTGCAGACGATGGCTTGTCCTTCCGGTGACAATCCTTCAAGTCATATGGAAGCTCCAGAGCTTTTGACAGAGTGGAGAGGATACAGTCGGTATATCCATGAACCTCGCTCATGAATGTCTCGAAGAGTGGTAGGGTTTCCTCAATCGCTTGGGGGACAATCATGGCATCCTGGCCAAAGATGCCATTGTTATGAATCTTCAGATGGTGAGTTAGATTAATTTGCCTCAAGTTGAAAGATGAAGATATCGATCTTTCATCCTCCAGTCTCCGATATGGCAAGAATGGCAACATACCGAGAAGCTCTCATAGCCATCTTTTTTCCCAGAAAATGGCCCAACGGAGCAGCCGGCTCGTTTGTAGCTAAATAATTAGACTTTAGCGCCATCATCACTGCGAACGTGTAATGGGAGTCAGGCTGGACAAAGCGAAACATACCCGAGAAGCCTTGATGGCAGATACTTCTCAGTGCTGTACTCCTCTTTCTCCTCCAACGGTAGTTTGAATACGGATTTTCCAATGACAGCAAGAGCATCAGCATGCTTCAAAGTGTCGCATGTTGAGGCATCACGGAAATCAAGGTAAAAAAACCCAACTTCTTTACAGGCAGACACAAGATCGTTCACAGTATCAACATCTCCGGCAAGAAGGCCTGATAGTGAGATCAATTTGAGATCCGCTTGTTTGGTGATTTCGAAAGACCCCATTTTCAATGAGTTTGTTGGTGAAGTATAGTTGGATGTTTGGGTTGAGATTTTTGAATAAGAAATATCTGCTTTAAAATGATTTCAGTCAAACAATCTTCTCCTGGCTTCCCCTGATAAAGAAGCGGGGTCTTCAATGCGACTGCCAAATGCAATATTTCGATTATTTCCAGCAAATACAAAGTATACAGGCAATCACTACTATAGTGACGACGAGCCGCATCCTTGTGTCACCCTACTAGTACATATTACTTGCGCGTCGTATTCTCCTAATGCAACTCCAACTTGCCCATGCCATTCAATCAGAGCTATCGGGATAGACTTGTGGATTGACTTGTTACGGGTATCATAGCTGATTAGAACAGGCCAGTACAACTTCCGGGTGGTGGAGAACCTCTCTCATGAAAAAGGAACCAGGTCATCGGCGCTGCAATAGAAAAATGATACCCCAACCGATAATTGCAGTAGAAGATCCGAATGCATACATAAATAAAAGAATACGCGCAAATTTAACCCGTTTTACTTCTTGAAAACATATTCTGGACACCTTGATCAACAGTCGCAATCCTCACCGAATCACACGATGCTTGAGAAAACAAAAATGCTCAACACAAAGGACTACAATGCTTTGAGCTTGGCTCAGCCCACGAATTTCAAGTCCATGTTAAAATCTGGCGAGCTACTCTGGGGCACCGGAAACCGAATCCCCCATGAAGAGGCGGCACGAATTGTTGCTTCAACCCCGTATCATTTTTGTTTTATAGACGCGGTAAGTTGAATTACTTGAAATAGTGAGCTTTTTGGTGCCAATATCTCAATAATGGCAACCAATCTAATTCATTTATACGTAGGAGCACACACCTCTGAACGCAACACTCCTTGTCAGTCTTATTCGAACGATTCAATATCACTCAAATGGCTCGATGGTACCATTTGTGCGCATCCCAAGATGCTCACCAGAGCTTTTCAACTATGCCCTGAATGCGGGAGCCGGGGGGTGGTGATGCCTCACGTCCAAAATGCTAAACAGGCAGAGGAATTGGTCCGGTTCGCTCGGTTTCCGCCAATGGGGGACCGTAGCTTCCCACCTGCCGCTCTGATCAATGATCAGCAAAATAGAACGCCAGAGGGCCAAACAACCTATGATGTGTGGAACAACCATGCAGCTGTGATTTGCCAAATTGAGGATCTGCAAGGTTTAGAAAACATTGACGAGATATGCAAAGTTCCAGGTGGTGTGTGCCCTCCATCCCTCCCCGGCCCTGCCATTGAGCGGAAAAAAAGGAAAAGAGCAGATTCTATTCGTGGGCATATTTCCCTACGACCATGCATATGCTAATATCTCTTACCTACAGTTGACGGCCTTTTCATCGGTACCGGTGATTTACGCATGTGCATGGACTTGGCCGTAGGCAGTCTCGATGGGGATGAACCTGTTTTTACCTCTGCCCTCCAAAAGATCCGAGATGCGGCAAAGGCCAATAATCTTCCAATCATGGGATTTGGCATCTCCCCTTCTACCCTTGAGCGCAGGATTGAGATGGGCTGGAATGCATTCATCATCCATGGCGACATTGATGCCATATGTACATCAGCTATTCAGTCCCTGAACACATACAGCGATGCTGCCAATCGCCATCTATTTGCGGGGAAGAAGAACGGTGAGCGGCCTCTGAAGTAGAGAAGTGCAGCTAGCGAAGCGAGATGTCATAAATGAATTAGTCTGCTTGTGCCGTCCGATGAGGACGGGAAAGGGCTTTAGTGCTGCAGGCTTCCTAATGCACGATTCAGATTTAGAATTTCGATCTGTATGAAAATATCAAGATTCAAGAAAGTGGAAATAAACCAACCAGATGATGGTTCATATCAATGTGGTCATATGCCGTTCTCTTAAACATTTTCTTAAATAGACCTGCTTTATGCCAGATAGGTTGGCGCATCCCCGCTTTGTCCACCTGAACATCTTCCATACTCTTCTCTTACCATTCTGACATTTCAGGAATCGTCTCTCAACACATTAATCTGCAAAAGGTTACCAGTTTAAAGCTTTCCCAGATGGCGGACCTTGCGACCAATGTCAAAGCAGTTATTGCCCAACAGTTTGATGTGTCCATCGATATGGTATGGAGCTTCATTTTTATACATCATCTTGAGATCAACACTGAGATATCTATCCATAGGTGACCAACAACGCCAACCTTCAGGATGACTTGGTAGCAGACGGGTCAAGTATGACACACATGGCAGCCGCCCTTTTAGAGGTTTGTTTCCCAATGCCGATGAATCTTGAAGACGCCATTTCACTGACCCCGGGTTCAGAGATTTGACATAAACATTACGGATGAAGATACGGACCAATTCATTACAAGTATGGCCTGTACAGATCTAGATGTTTTTTTTCCCGCGAGCTAACATATTTCCCTATTTCTCTAAAGCCCAGGATATCATCGACTATGTTGAGACCAAGCTGTGTGGTGGTACAGCCTGTAGAGGGCTGTCAATTACATGGAGGCTACATCTCTGGCGCCGGTCAGACGGGTTTTCGAAGCTGTGCTTGAACTTCACCGACGCCGCACACTAGGTCTTTGGTCTACTGGCGCTAGCATCTCAGGCCACCAGGGCTGATTGCTCTTTTTATTTCACATGGAGCATAGTTGCACTTTTTATTGGGATCTGTAAATGGCAGTTGTCTTTACCGACTACAAAGTGACGCGTTGGGGAGTAGAATAACAGTCGTAGGCCAAGCCGGAATCAAATTGTGACCCTGTCAATATCGTCAATTTCACACAACTCCACTCTGAGGAGAAGGCTATTGATGGGGTCTGAGTGGGCAGCCTCCGATAAGCCTGGCATGAGGGCGACTCGGTACCGGGACTGGTCCATTAAAGCGTTAGTGGTGTATCCATATGTTGCGACAGTGGCGCAAATTACCTCTCCGAGGGCCCTTGTTTTCCAAATTTTCAAACACATTCAATGCCCTCAGATCTGCGGGGTCGACGGTCGACGGCCAACGTCGCAAATCATCCATATCACGTGTCTCGATAGCCAAATATCAAGAAAGATCAAGGAATCTTTAAGACTCTCTCAATGTTCCTGAACTCGCAAACTGAAATTGTGAAAATCACATACCTCTTGAAAGTATGATGCTCCCACAAACCCACGCCTTACCCGACGACCCAATCTTCTCCAGACTCCTAAGAATTGCCGCTCATAGAGAGGACAAAGTCATTGTTGATGATCGCAGTATTGGCACGCAGTTTGGCTATCGTCACATTCTCCATGGCACTGTGAAACTCCAACAAAAGCTCCTAGGTCTTCTTGACAAGTCTGCTTTGGATAGTCCTGGTGGCTTTTATGTCGCTGTCTTGGCCCCAAACGGCTATGAATTCATTGTTGCGACTCTCGCTGTTCTGTCCCTTGGTGGAGTAGTTGTGCCAATGCGTGAGTCCCCTCACAAACGATGATGTTTCAACCAACTAACAGCAGCTCTTAAACACAACAGCCACAGGCGCACTTCCAGCCGAAGCATCATATATCCTTCGGCACTGCGCTGCACGCTGTCTCCTTGTTGGCCCGGAGCAAGTCGACCTCGCTGCGCAGATCCAAGAGGAAGTCAAAATTACCTCACTGGCCATTGAGAGCCAAGTTGATGATGCCAACAGTCTGCTTCCACTTACAGGCTATACTCTCGATCCAGCGCTTGCGGTGTCTGAAGAATGTCCTAGTATCTTGTTCTTTACTTCAGGAACGACTGGGCCTCCGAAAGGCGTTCTACATGCCCGTCGGACTATCAACAAATATGCTCGGATGGAAGAAACCGAGCTAAACGACGAGCTGTGTCTTATACCTAGAGGAGCATTTTGGTCCATTTACTTCACAAAACTATTTCAAATGCTTCTCACAGGGATTCGCATTGAGATTCAGAATTTCGGACGCCATTATAACCTAATATGGGAGAAACTACGTGAGCAAACTGGCACCAAGATTGTCTTATCTCCTACCTTTTGGTATGGTATGATGAAATACTACCAGAATCACATTTCGAAATTGCCGGAGCCCACGGTCAGAGAGTACATTCAGGGAGTTCAGTACCTTCGCGATGCATGCGCAACGGGAGCCATGCCTTCAAATCGTGTCAAGGAATTTTGGCAAGACCTGTGCGGTGGACGGCCGCTTAGGGTACTATATGGGTCTACGGAAACGCAGGAGATATCTGTTTGCGATGAAGAATCGGGCAGTGCAGAGGTGAGACATTACACACTTTGTGCTACGCTTGCTACGCTTTTGCTGACATAGGTGTGGCCCAGGGTGACTTAGGAACGCCTCTTCCGAATGTGGTTTTAAAGCTGTCCCAAGGAGAAGAGGGGGAGCTTCTTGTCAAGACTCCGTCATTATTTCTTGGGTATGTATCTCCTTCACATTTGGTCGACCAAAAATCGCTAACAAACTCTGTCTGGTCTATCAGGTACCTGAACTCCCCTGATGCTACGGCAGAGCGTTTCGACTCAGATGGGTTCTTTAAGACTGGGGACCTAGTTATCCGCCAGAATGGACGTTACATCTTCAAAGGAAGAGCAAACATGGATTGTAAGCACTACCCCCTCTTTCGAACTCGTTTTATGCAATAACTATAATCTGACATTCTTCCTTGACGCAGTGTTCAAGTTCTATACCTACAAAGTCCCTCGAACACAGGTCGAAGCCAGTCTGATTGCGCTCCCTTATATCGCAGAGGGGTATATCATGCCGGTGGCAGATCCGCAGTGCGACACCCGGGTAGCTGCCCTTATGCGACTCCACGATGGCCTTGATAAAGTCGACTTGCATACTCTCAGAAAAGACCTTTCTAAGGATCTGCCTGCTTACCAACTACCAACCGTGCTTCGGGTTTTGAAAGAACACGAAACGGTTCCACGAACATGGTCAGACAAGACTGCAATGATGAAGGCAGTTCAGATGTTCTTCCCACAAGATAGTGAGGACCGGCTTTGTGGAGAGGCGACAGAAGTGATGGATATCAGTGAATTCATGAAGCAGAAAACCACGAAGCTGTGGGACTTGTCGGGAATGCGGTAGCGGCCTCTTCAACACATATTCATTATTTAGTGCCCTGTTGTATTTTCCTGTTCCAAAGTATTAATTCTAGTCGGTGTTGTAAGCACCCTGCGTTTCCCCTACCCTTAAACGAACAAAGTGAAAGAAAAGGACCAAAGCCAGGCCAAGAGGATATTTGACAGGATAGATCCCTGTTGCCCGCTATATTATTTGATTATTTACGTACGATATTTTTTTTTCCTTTTTCTTTTTTCATATTCATCTAAACAAAGGCTAAGGGTTTCGCTTTATAGAGAAAAACTTGTCTTGATTGATTTCAATTAAGTGCATGGGTACGTAGCTGGCCTTTGAAGGTAGGCAAGGAAAGTCCTTGATCATTCGGTGCTTACAACTTTTAAGTGAGCTTGAATAACCTTCTGGAGATATTCCCCAACGTCACAACCCGAGAGTCTCTACGCCGATCTTGACATTCCTCTCAGGAGTGATGGTGATCTTGTCCTACACGGCGCTGGAGAGGTTGGGAAGTTCTTCGATGGACTCCTTAATAATTCCGAGCGCCCGCTCGAGTTCGTCTTCGGTAACGACGAGGGGAGGGGCGATACGGATGACGCCTGTACGGCTGGATTTGAGCTAGGGACAGTTACTAACCAGGTATATCAGATGAAGAAATGAAGGGTACTTACCAAAAGGCCCTTCATTTTCATCAGCTCGCACAGTTCTATGCCAGAATGCCCATTGGTCTTGGACTCGTCGATGACGAATGCGTTGAGCAGACCCCTGCCGCGCACTGTTTGAATGATGGGGCTCTGGGTCTGGATAGCCTTCAGACCGTTACGGAGGACATGACCAAGATTTTCGGCACGTTCGACCAAGTTTTCCTCCTCAACAACTTCAAGAGCACGCATGGCGACTGCTGCCCCGAGCGGGTTACCGCCGTAGGTCGACCCATGGGTTCCGGGCTCAATGGTGAGGATCACATCATTATCGCCCAGAACACACGAGACAGGATACATACCACCGGTCATGGTCTTACCCAGTAGGACCATGTCGGGCCTGATTCCACTCCAGTAGTGACCGAGCAGCTTTCCGGTTCGCGCAATACCTGTCTGGATTTCGTCGCAAACTAACAGAACATTATGCTTGTCGCACAGGGCTCTCGCCTCTTGGAGATAATTGTCATCGGCCACAATAACGCCCGCATCTCCTTGGATTGGCTCAATCACGAAGGCAGCTAGGTTGAACCCCGCTGCCTCAAAAGCCTCCCGTAGTGCAGCCTTATCGTTATACGTGATAAGCTTGTCGGTTCCGGGAATAGAGCAGCTAATGTTAGGAACCAATGGACCATAATTCTCACGCGACTGTGCATCAGAAGCCAAAGAAATCGTGGCCAACTATAAAGAGATATTTATGTCAATGTTTTTCACCCAAAGTTGCATCATATTGAATCAGATTACTTACTGTTCGTCCATGGTGGTTGCCTGCCGCACCGAGAACAATAGCTTGGTTCTCGGGAATACCCTTGACCTTATAACCCCACTTTCGAGCGATCTTGATTGAAGTCTCGGCAGCCTCTGCGCCAGTGCTCGAAGGTAGTACCCTATCGTAGCCAAAGGTTTTGGTCACCATCTCGGCAAATTGAGGGTACAAATCGTTGTGAAAGGCGCGGGAGGTGAGCGTCAGTCGTGAAGCCTGTTCGCAAAGCGCAGCAACGAGCTTCGGGTGACAATGACCATGGTTGAGGGCGGTAGAAGCGGAGTGGAAGTCAAGATAATGACGGCCCTCAGGATCCCAAACGGAGACTCCCTGGGCGCGGGCAAATACGATGGGGAGCGATTGGTAGTTTAGGGCGGAGAAGTTCTTTTCGGCCAGGAGGGCAGTGTCGGTGGTGGCAGCGTGACGCGAGGTTGAGAGTTTGCTTTTGGCGTGCTGACCGTTGGTACCGTTGGACACCATGATGAGTTGTGGTGGAAGATTACTTTACGCAAGGGGAGGAGGACTTTGGGGAGAGAATAAAAGAGAATAAAAGAAAGGAGGAGGGTTGGAGACAGATAAGACTTTAAGAGGGAGGAAATTGGAGGAAAATGTCTAATTTACTAAATATGGAGAAGCCGGACCATATCCTTTTATGGCTGACGGGTGTGATGTAGTTACATACCACAGCCTAGCGTCTAGCGCTAGTAAGATTTGTAAATTCTGTGACACGGGCATCTGAACGGTGTGTTTAGCCCTGGAGGCAACTCGACGATCTGACCAGGTCCAAACATACGAAACCTCCTAATATCCATCCCCGCCCCGACCCTTCCCACCCTCAGTTCGCTCATGTCAAGCAACACGTCGACGAAGTCGCACATCATCGCTCGCTGAGCCAAGTCAATACTCTAATCCTTGGAATTGCACTTGCTATCTGACAATGTCTAGCTTTCAATTACACTGGCATCGAGAATTGCATCGCGAATAATACGCCTAAACAGCTTGCTTTTCGCCCACATTCGTCAAGCGCTTCCAAAGCTATATAAGGATCTAGAAGCCGCATTGTCACAAACCAGGAGTGAACCGGCCGCCATAGGAAGCGTACGAAAGGTCATGACATGTGTCGTAGTATTACATGTCCTTCTGATACTCTACGCCGCTTTCTTGACAAATTATCCTCCGATGGCGATACCTTAGGATATCATATGGCACTTAAAGAGTGTATAAATAAGACCGGAGACATACTAGAATACACATAAACTATTCCTACCACATGAACAGCAATAAAATGAGAAATACACTACCAACCTGTCAAATGGGCTTGAATAAAACCATACTTTTGAAGCTGTCATAGCGCCTTTTTCCATTTTCAATTTTCTCCCCGTATTCTGATTGTACTATAACTCCTTTTGTATTCTCATCTGAATATAGCCAAAAAAGTTAGATTGTCGCACTTGCAAAGATGGCCTGGGTTAGGAATGGAGATCATTTCTCACCTTTCCATATTGACCATTACAACGCTCCCCTGATGAAGCTCTGTCAGCTGCCAAAGCATTTAACCACACGGCCAGGCGAATTCCTGCTTTGAGAATTTGTGCTTCCACAATAGGAGCAGCTTCGTTGTAATACTTTCCACCCAGGTCATTATTTTCGAGCCATTCAACGCCATTTTTAAAAACGAAATCACAGTTTAGTCTGTTTGACTCAATTGCCCATATCATAGGGCATTTTAATGGTCTTTTTATGTCAGAGCATTCTGCCTGAAGGGGCCTCAATCCGTGAGACTGGAATAACTTTTCGGCCCATTTCATAGCAGGCTCTTTTTTATCGTTGTGCTTCGGTGTGTCCTTCAGACCGTTGATCTTATGTGGGATATCCGTATCCCACACACTGTGAAGGTTCTTCTTCTTGGGGCAGTGATTGTCAAAGCAAACGGGGAGATCGTTGCCTCCTCGAAGCGTTGCCTCGATATGTAGCGGTTGGTGCAGATCACCAATGAAATGCATTAAGAATTTCAACGCGTCACCTTGCTGCGTCTTCTCTAGACTAAGGTCCTGAACTTGATGTGTCTTTTCACCCGTTAGTGAAATTTCGTTGCGATTTGTATCCAATTAGGCTGCAATATTCAGGGGGCTCGCTCACTAACCATATTTTCAAAAGCGGATATAACACATCCATGCGTTTTGCAATCTGCTTTATAGGAAAGACGACATGAATCGGGCGGATTATCATTGGCATCTGCTTGAATAAGCTTGTGGGTTTGGTGCAACTAGCATCGGTACATACCTATGTAATGCCATGGTCTAGTAAATGGATACTGAAATTTCCTTTTATCAGCCCAGACTGCCGCATCTGAAATATCGAAATCCTCATTCGGGATAATAAGATCTTCCACTAGCTGAACTCCCTGCTCGTTTAGGAACTTCTCTGCTAAATAAGCTACCGTTCGATGACCGAGGTCTCCCCAGCCCCAAGTGAACTGAAGGATACAACTTAGGAATAGGAGTGACCAGAGGGAATACATTGTTGATGGATCTGCAACTGACAAGTGGCTATTGAAGAGCTGAGCTTTGGATAGGTCCTTGCGGATCATAAAAAGAATGACAGAATAGCAGATATAGTGGTCCAATATTTATAACCCCTCGAAAATCCAAACAACAATCAGTTGTACTACGTAGAAAGCCCACCGAAGAGTCTAGAACAAGACTTGCGGATGCGACAAACCTAAATACGAACTTTATGCTGTTTGCAGCAAGAAAAATGATGTATTCATTACTGCACGTCGAAGCTGATTTCACAATGACCAGAAATTCCTGCTCTACGGCTAGAACCCTCGCGAGGAGATCGCTGGTGTCTCTTAGTGGCTGAACGAACCAAGCATGAAGCTCAGATACAACCCGGAAATTACATGAAATGTACATAGCACCACCTCGATGCCCCTCATCACCAGACTCCTAAGTATAATCGTTACACTTCCTTTTTTGGTTTCTATCTCAGACTAATTTTTCCAGCTTGATCTGATGCTTGAATTAAGAGGGAGTTTTCAACATAAAGAAAATTATTATGGACGTAACAAAGTGTTCATCGCTAAGTAAGGAAGTTTAGGCGACGGGTTCCGAATGTTGAGACGGTATTATAATAATACCCATCGGCTGCTAAAGCAAAACTATTGACGATAACGCCGTAGGCCGATTGACGTTTTCTAGGTATAAACTCTTCTTTGGTATTTATTGAGTTCCGCCTCGTGTCTCTTCATACCAATTAGCTATATGAACATAAAACCGGGGTTTGACTTTCACGAATAAACTCAGCATAAGGTTTCGGGATCGGATGATCAACGTGCATCATGTGGCGTACCCGAAAATGGCAATCATCTGGTCGGTACAGGTTAAACATACCATATTTTTCTGGCTGGTCGGCCGGCTCTACGTTGAATCTAGATTGCAGCTAGGATATCGAATTCCGGAAGCGTCGGAGCCCAGATAATTCAACAAACACCCCGTGCATTTATTGAGGACCACAGATGACCAACCTATCCGTGGCTTTGAATTAACTATTTTGAGCCTCGATTCCTTGTATCTGATCAATAATAGGGCGCAAAGTAGTATTTTTGGCATAAACTGTCTGATAGTTTGATTGGGTCCCACGAGCAAGGCAGTGCACAGGAAAAGATATATTCGGAAACACCAATTTCAAAGCCACATACATAATTCATGATCCATGTGCTCATCATATGCAAAACATGGATTAGTTTTAACTAGGGATGAAGGACCGGTTCTCGGATTGATTGTAGTATACCATGTGGATGACAGAGGGTCCAAACCCCCCGACCCCGAGTCCCGAACATTCAGAGCCATATGGCAAACTGAGGCTGTAATCCAGACCACTGTCAAAAGTCTAGACAATTTATCTTTTCGATTTGCATGGGTGGTCGTTAGGTATTGGGAGGTCAGTTCATCCTCTGCCCTTCTCATCGACTGAACTAGCCGACAAAACTCACCGATCATGGACCCATATGCGCAAGCTACGAAACTCCAACTCTCCCATTATTTGATCTTATGTTTGTTGCTCTTCTCTGTAATTTCCGCGGCATTGGAAGACCCCTGTTGGACGTTCGAATAAATGTGAACGTGCAGTGGGAAGTGCACCTATTTCTCAAACCACTTGCTCCAGCCAACGCTATAATTACTACGGCCTAGCGGCCTACGGGTTGGTTCCATCTAATGCGACCGATCGATATGGAGACACCCTGGGTGGGTTTGGGAGTGCGGTCACCTTTTATCAGTCGGCTTGGAACAAAGGTCAGGATGGTTCCTACGACGGCATTATCTGGGCAATGCCCGATCGTGGTTGGTATGTTCCTTAGCCTACGGATGGGCAGTGAAAGTCTATGACTAATTACCTATGATTAGGAATACGAACGGCACTTTAAATTATCAGTCACGGATTCACAAGTTTTCCATTCACCTGGATCCAGCTCCAAACGCCTCCGGCAGCGACCCAAGTCCACCGAATATGCATTTGGCTTATATCGACTCAATACGACGGTGTAAAGCGCTCAATGCCGAATGCCTGATTTTAATGCCTGAATGCCTTCTTTTGGCCTGACTTATGCCTGAATTAAGCCTTGTTTTAGACCGCTTTTAGGCCTCTCTATACAGTGTACTGTACCAACTCGGCATGGAATAACTAGGCGCCGTTAACCCATAAAAATGAAGCCTTTCATCTCCATACAAATCGAGATATCTCCATGTTCTAGGTGGTTTGCAAGTCCAAAAAATGAAGCTTTTCATCCTATACAAATAGAGATATCTCCATGTTTTTGGACGGTTTACAAGTGTCAATCGATTTGTATGGAGATCAAAGGCTTCATTTTTGACTTGGAAACCACCCAGAACATGGAGATCAAAAGCTTCATTTTCATTCCTACCTTAGGCTAGCGGAACTGGGCAGTGTACATTGCTTATTAAGATATCTGTAATAGTAATTCACGTATTTTTATTTTTCTGCCAGGCCAAAATAAGGCATCCAGCCATTAAAATCAGGCATTCGGCATTGAGCGCTAACTATACACTGTCGTAGACTCAATCCTATTAACCGGGCCAGATGGCGTTCCCACCACGAGCCTAGATGCAGACGCGATCGGATTTATATCCCTCGATGGGTTTCCTCATCTGCCACAAGCTACCTATAACGGAGATGGCTTTGGCGGCCCCGGCCTGACTAACAGGCGGGTTACGTTGGATTGCGAAGGCTTAGTGGTAGATTCCGACGGAGATTTTTGGATCCCAGACAAATACGGCCCATATATCTACAGGTTCTCAAAATACGGCAAGATGCTCCTTGCTATCACGCCTCCGCCCGCATTCCTCCCTCTACGGAATGGCATAGTCAGCTTCAGCGGAGCTGAGCCGCCAACGTTTGAACCGGATCAAGTTCCCAGTCATCCTGATCCCACCGCTGGTCGAGCTAATAACCAAGGCCTCGAGGGACTGACTATTTCTCCGGACGGACGCTTCCTATATGTCATGATGCAGTCGGCTATGAACCAAGAAGGGGGACCAAAGAAGAAGTCTCGACGACAGACCCGGCTCCTGGAGTACGATATCTCTGATAAGAAATCCCCAGTTCTGTCACATGAGTATGTGGTTACACTGCCTCTTTATGACAATGGATCCAAAGCCGCCGGGCAGTCGGAAATCCATCGGCTTTCCAATGGACAGGGCACGAGATTCGGGCTTTGGACGAGGAGCGGACAAGACTGAGTCCGAGTATCGTCATTTTGATGTTATATCTACCGCAGAAGCTACAAATTTTGCCCACGGAAAATGGGATTCGGTTAACGGTTCGATTGCAAACACTAAGGGGTTGTTGAATCCGAATATCACGGCGGCGACCTAATGTCCGTTCCTGGAGTTTAATTTGAACTCGGAGCTCAAAAGGTTTGGGCTGCACAACGGTGGACAACAAGATGAATTTCTCTTAAATGAGAAATGGGAGAGTTGCGCCCTAGTTCCTCTCGGCCAGGAGGATTCGAATGCAAGTCCAGAATACCTCCTGTTTAGCTTCAGCGACAATGATTTCAAGACGCAAGAAGGTAGGATTCTATATGGCACCTTAAGACTTCTTACATTGTACGTGCGATCTTCAGGTGACTAATATTGTCTGGCACAGGATATCAAAATTTTGGACGCTTTCGCTTTTCCGACAAATCTGGAGACAACATTGATACCCAGATCTTGGCATTCCGGATTAGCTACGGGCACCATGCCGCAGCCATGCACAATACTAAGCTGTAATCTACTTCTCATCCACATGGGGTTTTGCCGCTGAATACGTAGATGAGACGATGATTGGTGAATGTCTTTCTCCTAGCCCAAGTATTCGACGTAAACTGTTTAGTATTCCATCCAGATAAGTTATCAGCAATATTCTTGCTGAGAGACTACCGTCATTTTCTGCGTTATGCCACGAAACTTTCGCCTCCTTGGTGACGCATGAGATTTTTCTGAGTCGAGGCGATGGTTTTGTGTAGGTACTCACGGGTCTCTATTAAAACAAGGTGGCGTAATGGCAGCGATGTATCCGCCAATTTGTGATTTGCTGAGAATTGAGCAAAAGAATAGCCTATATTGATGATTATCTAAGGTCTATACTAGTGGTCCTTACATCCTAATATGTATGGGGCAATTCTAAAGACCCGCGATTATGTTCGATTGAATGAAACAATATCACCCATATAACCCTCTTTCTAACCTATTGACCCTAGAAGTGGACCGGCCAGATACAACCCAGGCACAGGAACAAAACCGAAAAGTCTCTTTAAATGGAATACCTTGGTACATCCACGAAGAACAGCTTTTTAGAAAAGAATTTTCTTTCGGCAATCACCAGGAGGTGATATAAAATTAGAAAAAGAAAGTAGTCTTCACCAAAATATTTGGTTGCGATCATCTCCTCATACAGGTAAGAATACGAATGCGAGGTAGCGCCAAGACTAGCACTTATCAGGTCCCAACAATAATCATTCTTAAATTATCTAAAAATGTCCTGCCTTGAGGATGCATTCTAAGCGATTACGAGGCATAGAAAGCATAGTTCAATATTTAAATAACTCGATTTCCCCGTCCCAAGAACTAATTTAAGATTTATACAAGATCGCCGGAATCGACTACTGCCATACTAGTGCTCACATTGAAACCCTTGGTTTCGATTGAATCAGAACGCGACAGAAAAGCTACACATTACAACAATGAACCTATCAATCGAAAGAAACCCGGTACTCAAGTTCCGACTCCACATCATAATCGGGGCCTCGGTCTTCGTCGTCTTCATTCTCATCATTGCACGCATTGCCAACAGTGGCACTCCAAAGACAAGAACTAATGTTTGGGGCATTGCCGTGGTGAGTTATGTTCCGCTTATATTGTAATATCTTGTATAAATTCATTAACCCATGACCAAAGTGCCTCAAATCAGCCGTGTTCATGGCCTATCAAATAATGACGACTCACATGGATCGACTTAAACGATGGGCGAGCACAAAAGCGTACATGATATTGAATATCATTGATACTGTCTTTTGGTTTGCTCTGTTTATTATCACGATCATGGGTACTACGGGGTCGACTAGCGGGAGCAGTCGGGCATTGGGTGGTATCACGGCTACATTGGTCTTCTTTCTGTGGTAAGTCGTATTAATTGAAGCGACGCGGTGGGTCTTTGTACTAACTCGGTTTTTCTGAAGTGGACTTGCAGGGCTTTTGGCTTTTGTATCCATTCGTGACAGGCGTTTCTTCAAAGCAAATGGGTTTCTTCCTGGGGCTAAGCCTGCGGTTCATGCTTCTTGTTGAAGGAGGAAACTAGTTAGTACTTCTTCTGTTTGTTCTGTCGTTCCATCTATGATTGATTGTCCTAGCTAGCTACCGTCTTGCTTGGCTTATGGCATTGATACAGACACCCCGTTTAGACTATCCTTCACGTATTTATGAAAATGGCTCGTTCTTCTTTACGATCGGTATCGGAATCAGATAGCAGCCCCGGGAATGACCTAACTACAAGCACCATGAACCTTATAAACGATTTTGATAATGAAATCAACAATAGGTTAGAAAGAGGGTTATATGTGTGATATTGTTTCATTCAATCGAACATAATCTCGCGGGTCTTTAGAATTGCCCCATACATCACACCCTAGGGATCTTCTAGTAATTCAGATCTATGCTGCAAAAGGGCCAAGGTTTTGACTGCCGTGAAGCGAGATTTTTGGGCATATTCTCACTGTCTACCGGTGTCCAAAGATTCATACATCTTCATAGGATGTTCTAACGCGCAAGGTTGGCTGCTAAAGGCCTAGGCTGCCTAAAAAACGGCCTCATGCTTCCACAGAAGCCACCAACCAGTTACCACGGATTCCATCTACAGCAGGCGACAAGAACGCCTCTCACAATGTTTATTAAAATTTCGAAGGGGCGGAGCGACCTTCAGACACCGTCAGTTAATCCCACATCACATCGGCCCTTGCTCTGGAGGTACAATCGGACTTGGGTAGCTTGAGGTGAATATGAAACTGAGCACCGCTGTTCCACCAAAACTACACTGTGTTTGGTTTTCAATGGTCACGTAAGGCAGGGCGAGGCAATTAAACCGGCCATCCCGCCGCGACCTAAAATCTATTCAGGGTCTCTTGTTCACTATCTCTGCCTGAAAGGTAAAAGTCATATCGACATCCCAGAGAAAGGGGTCGGTTGACTTCCAGATGGCTCCTTTTCTCCCAACGCCATTCCCTTGACTCGCAGTCAAGGAGACAGTCCGATCGACCACCAACAAGCCAGCACGTGCCGAGACGAAATATTCCATAACAGTCCACACGCGGGGTTCAATTATCCGAATCGACTGATTCTTTAACTAGTTGATGTGGGATTGGTGGATAGCAGACTAGTGCTGCATGGCACATTCGAAGCTTAGTATGGCGTGCGATGTGGTTATCTACCGGCTAGTCCCGACTGGAAGACGCAATACTTTAGATATATAAGGCAGATAAAATTCGAGAACTACCACATCCAAAGCTAGAATTATTTCATAAATATGGTCGGACAAGCACTGACTTCTGTTGCCATCGTTGGTGGTGGACCCGGAGGACTAGGAACGGCGATTGCTCTCTCAGAACTGCCGTTCCTGAAGGTGACTCTGTACGAGAAAAATACAGAGCCCCGAGAAGCCGGTGCGGGCATCAGCCTGACCACGAATGCGTGGAGAGTTCTGGATTTACTTGGTGCTAGTGATGGCGTCAAGGGAGGCTCTAAATTCAAAACCCATCAAAGGTAAGCGGTGCTTTCCTGGCTGCAGTAACAGCCGACGCATATGTTGACTTCGAATCGAAAGAAATGGGTACACAGGGAAGGTTGTAAACATCACTCAACATCCTGAAAATTCAGCTGCAGATTCCCGCGGAGCAATCCGTGCTCGCAGAACCCGACTGCAGTCAGCTCTCTTATCGAGAGTGCCCCCGGGCTTGATCCAATTTGACAAAAAGGTTGTATCGTTGGAGAATCTTTCGAGCCAGGGAGTTCTTTTAGTTTTCCAGGATCAAACGGAGGCGATCGCAGATATTGTCGTTGGAGCGGACGGGATACACTCTGTTGGTCAAGCCTCCTATGTTAGGACTGGTATTCGTGACTGACGCAGTTTCGTGAGGTAGATTGTCCGTAGGACCCTATTGCCTGATCATCAGCTTCACTTTACTGGCAACTCTGCATTCCGCGTTCTCGTTCCGAAGTCTCAGCTGGCCCATATCCCGGACATCACGACTACAACGTCATGGTGGTGGGGCGAAGCTGGGCATGTATATCTCTCCGATGTGGATGATGCGGAAGAGACCGAAGATCCGCTTTTCGAAATCACCGTCCGGTCGTATCGTGAGCCTGAAGTGTCAGGAAAGACGGTCTTCTGGGGTATCCCTGCGACCAACGAGAAAGTGGGATCCCGTGTTGAGGTGTGACAAAGCTTTGTTGGATCGAAAAAGAGGCCTGACTGCTAACATGTAAAACAGAAATTCGACAAAAGAATAAGAGACGCTGTAAGCGCAGTGACAGAAGGAGAATGGAGGGAGTTTGCGACATTCGCTGGGCCTCGTCTGAACAAGATCACCGACTGGGATAAAATCGCCCTTATCGGAGATGCCAGTCACCCTCTTTCTGGTAAGTCCAAGTGATTTTACTCAAGCCTTATTTTGTTATGTCCAGCGCTAAGAGCCAGCCAGGCGCGTTTGGCTCTGGGGCGACGTTTGCCATGGAGGATGGTTGGATCCTCGCCCGGGCGCTTGAGTTTACGCGATTTGCTTCCCGTCCCGCACGGGATGCTCTCGAGATCTTTGAACAGATCCGGTCTCCATACTATGCCAAGATGTAAGTTCGAACTCGAGATTATAAGCAAAATGGCATTTGTCTGACCATACTTTTTTTTTCAACCCTCCATAGGTATCAGCATCTGGACGAAATACGTGACAAGACACAACTACTCCAAGCAGAAGCGAAGGATTTTGACGTCTTTCTGGAAGCCAAAATCGACAAGTTCCTCTACGGAGACAAGGACTTCATTTATCAAAATGACATTAAGAAAGTCTGGGAAGACTACCTTGTGGGAGAGCAAACAGGGTTGTAAGCAGTGTAGGAATTGCTTTGCTTGTCGAGTTTATATATATATATATACCTGGCTTTTCTTGCGCGTTGTAGTTGTTTTCAATATAGATTGCACGGGCCTATATCCACTCCTAGTTTTACAAAGAAAGGTCCTCTGTACGGTTCGTGGGTTTGACCGCCTTTGTATACATCTAAAAAGACATCTAAAAAGATGTCGGAGTGTTGTCTTACATATAACGTTCCTTCCTACCGCGTTAAGGACACAGGCCGAATACGCGGCCAACAACTCTTGGCAGAAAGCAAAGACAGAAAAGGCCTTCCATTGAAATTCTTGAATATTCTCGGAAAGATAAGATCGAAGATGTTCATGATCTACAATATAGTGCTCGGCTAATTTGGTGCCGATCCGCTCCCAATTTGTGGTTGCATTGTGGATCATCCTCAGTATTGGCGCTTTGAAAGGGGTTGGTTTCAAGCTTTTTTCGCCCTGTTTGGCAGATCTTCGGGTAGCGGAGGACAAGGATGTTGGGAAAGCAGCATGATGTCTTTATAGTTTTCATGTAGCACGTACTTTGTGTAGTACTTGTGAGTGGTGTGATTCTATACTTTGCAAGGATTGCGGAAGATAAGCAGATAACTAGGCGTGTAAGGGAGGATCAACTAGTTGAGGAGAGAAAAGGAGGTTGAGAAGTTCTAAACTTCCAAACTTCACAACTTCAGATGATGAATTAATATATTAGTATCCTACCTACCTAGGTAGAGTGTACGGAGTATGATAGAAGGCTATGCTAAGGCTACCTGGTAAGTAATCACGTGATGTGGAGAGGAGAATCTGAAAATTCCGTTTTTTTTCCCAATTTCTTTTTTTTATTTTATTTTTTATTTTTTAATGTTTTTTTCCCTCGCCATCGAGGAATCCAGCCCAGCGTCATCCACTTCATCTTCAATCTACTTTTGCTGGACCCTGACATCCGTTAAGGCCTGTAGCAAATAGATTTGGATCACCTTCGCTGCCTCTCTGGATCCCCCCAGCTGGTTTCCCCCCTGAATCCCTTGGAGCGACCGTCGACTCATTTTCTCGATCTGCGCTGACCGACTCGCCTCGGTCCCCGTAGCCGCTAAGCCCAATTGGGAATCAGTGCGCGGTGCTTTTTTTGCCTTGCTGCCTTGTGGCCTCAGGCCGCCAGGGAACAACAAACACGCGACCTCGGCGCGACTCAGGTGGCGATTCTTCGTATAGGATTATCAGCGGCGCTGGCGCGACATCGGTGACAATCTTCATTAAAACTGCCCATTTGTATTCCACATTTGCCTTTTCAAGCTAGTTCGCGATCGTTTTGACTGTTCTCGCCCTTGCATGCTTCGTGGTCGGAAAGGATCACTCCATTCTCTGCCGCTTACGGCCAAGTGCCAGCGCATTTCTAAAATTGAGTCAAAATGATGAACTACGGTGGTCACCAATTCCACCCTCAACAGCCGCAGCAGCCTCAACAACAGCAACATCAAGGTGTCCAACCCCAACATCCGTTGGGTCCACAGCCTCAACGTCAGCATGCCCAGTCGCCCTTGCTAGGGGCGGGGCCGCCGCTGCCACAGCATGGCAGTCCATTCCCGGGCAACAAGCCAATTTTTCGGGGGCAACCTCAGCAAAACTTCGCTGCTTCGCAATCTCCGGATATGCGCAAGATGACCCCGACATCGGGGTCATTAGGCGGGTACCCCACCAGCAGCAGTTTCGGCCAATTTCCGGGACAGTTTGCGGCGCAAAGCTCCCCGGATCTGATGTCTCGCAACCCAGACCCTATGGGGTTGCAGAACCTCCAGCGTGGGTTTAATCCAATGGCCCACCTCCGGCCGCAGCCGGGGACAGCCGGTCTCACCCATGGACATCCCATGAATGTTCCTTCGCCGCAGCAGGGGATGAACAGACTACCTCACGCGGGCATGCAACAGAGGGATAACCATACCTCGGCTAGCCCGTCTATGGCTAGCCCGTCTATGTTTGCCTTGAATCAACAGCGACAGGGTCAGCCCCAGTCACAACCGCAGTCGCCTCAGCAGACACACCAACAGTTGCAACAGCAGATTCAACAGCAGCAGTTCCAGCAGCAACGACTTGAGCAGCAGCAAAGGATGGAGCAGCAAAAGCAAATCCAGCAGCAGCGTTTAGAACAGCAGCAACGCTTGGAACAGCAGCAGCGGCTTGAGCAACAGAAGGAAATGGAACAACAAAAGCTAGATGAGCAAAAGATATTGGAGCAGCAACAGCAGCAACAACAGCAGCAGCAACGACTGGAGCAACAGAGGCTCGAGCAACAGAAACAGCATCAGCAACGGGTGGAGCAGCAGCGGCTTGAGCACCAGCAGAAGCAGCAATTGGAGCAGCAGAGGTTGCAGAAATTGCAGCACCAGAGTCAGGCACACAACCCATACCAACAACAGTCACCATTTTCCCAACACACCCAACCTCCGTTCCACCCATCTCAATATCAACAGCATCAAGCTCAAGCGCAACACCAGTATGCCCCACACCAGGCGCAATTCTCTCAGCCGCAGCAGACGCAATTCCAGCCATCTCCGCACCAGGCTCAATTCCAGCATTACCAGGGACCGCACTCGGCTGCCGTGCCTTCTTCCCATCCAGCTGCGCCGGTTGTCCCTACGGTCACGGAAAGTCCGGTCATGAAGACTGACGAGTCAAGTCCTGCACCGAAGAAGAAAGCCAAACCTAAGAAGGCTGCTCCGGCTCAAGCTCAGCCTGGCCAAACCCAGGCCCAGCCTCATGCTCAACCTCAACTCAATGCCCCCATGGCCGTTCCTAGCGCTATCCCCACGCAGGCCAACGGACAAGGGCAGATGCCCGCCGTGGCCGCAGTTGGAGGCGACCAGATTTCCACTCCGCCTGCCAAGCGTCGTCGGGGACGGCCCAGGAAGGAGGAAGTCGCGGCCAGGCTTGCTGCACAGGCCGCACAGGCTGCCCAAAACGGCGAATCTATTCCAGGAGTTCCTCAACCAGGACAGGCTTCATTCAATGCGAATATGACACCCACTGCTCCAGGCTCTGCCGGACTAAACACTACAACTAAGGGGACCCCTATTCTGGGGCCGGACGGGACTCCTTTGAAACGAAAGCGTGGACGTCCTCGTAAGGCTGATCAAATTGCGTGGGCAGCTGCGACGGGTCAACCCTTACCACCACCAAAGCCGAGGAAGCCAGCTTCGGCCAAACCAAAGGCACCTGGCACGGGCCGACCACGTGGAAGACCTCGCAAGGCCGATGTGGCCGCTGCGGCAGCGGCTGCCGCCGCCGCTGCCGCGGCTAGTGGAGATCAGACGCAAGCAGACGTCAACACTCAAATGGGTGAGGGCACAGATACAACGACGGCAATGAACCGTGCAACCTCTTCGATCGATGAAGAGGCTCGCAAACGGCCCACGCCACCGCAGATGCTTCAAGGCCAGTCTCTGCCGCAACAGCAGAATCTCCACATGTTCCAACAGAATCAGTCGGCACAGGCGCAGGCCAGTCAGCATATTGGGCAGCCGCAAGTCCAGCACATGCACCAGCAACAGAACCAACATATGTCCTCACAGCCCGGTTCTCACTTGCCGCATAGCCAATCCATGTCCCAACAACCTGGCCAGCCGCTCTCTATGCCACACATGCAAATGCATCACCATTCTCCGGTCCACCCCCCGCGGCCCCTCCCTCATCAGCCATATCTTCAATCTCCGATGCAACAACAGATGCAGCACCCGATGTCGTCCGAGTCCCCTGTCCATGGGATGCCAGGACAACAACGCAGACCTCCAATTCCCCAGCGGAGCCAGGCCCCTCCCCCGCCCGCACCACAGCATGAACATCAGCATACCTTCCAGGTCCAGATGCAGCCGCAACCAACTTAGTGCTGAAAGTGGTTCGGGATATGGTTTTCATTCAATTAATGCAACGTCCATTGTCCGAAGTTTCTCTTCTGACCAGTATATTTTGACTTGATTTCATCCTAAAGAATATCGGTGTTTATATCGTTCCTCGGGTCTGTCACGTGCGTTTTCTTGATCGTTTTACGTCCATGAAATCTCGTATCAAGTCTTTTCGTGGGCCTATTATGGCGTTGTGTGCTTTTGTGTCATTTGCATCTTAGGCATTTCCTTTTCCTGTATTGTTTACTTAGCCTGTTGTTTCGTTTTTTTTTCTTCTTTTTCTTATATATCTAATGTTCTCAACTCAGTACATACTCGGTTCTAATCTCATTTTGTCCATTGTGCCCTATCTTAACTTTCATTTTTTAGAGGTGATTCCGGCTGGTTATCAGAAACAGGCCTACTTTAAGCCTACGTTCTATGTACGTGGAGCTCGCATGGACTGGTGGATGCATATTAAGATGGTACATGGTACATAAATCGATGTGAAAAAACTGATAAGGTGGTGGATACCACAACGGCGCGCGTTAGCTGAAACTGAGCTAGCTTTCCACATGAACCTGACTGAAACAAGAGAAAATCGAAACTAAAAGGCTGAAAAACAGGGCTTGAAGCATTACAAACACCGGTACCCCATATACCACTCTTGAGCGATTTGATGCAACTTTCTGCGATCAAGCTTGTTAGACCTTGTACGGGGGATTCGGTCGACAAGGAGAAACAAGCTGGGCATCATGTGTTTTGGCAGGGTGTTATGGACTTCCTTCTGCATCGCCTCCATCAGGCTGTTCACTCGGACACGATTTGTTATCGGCCGAAACGACATTTCGTGGTCTGAGATTCCTGGAATCAGGTTTGCTGGGTTGTCCACTAGGTAAATAAAGGCCACGAGGATGGGGTCGTCGCTACCGTCAATCTCGCCGAGCATATCGACAACGGTAAAATCGCCCGGTGAAAGAGTCTTTCGCAGGATGTACTCGACTTCGGTTGACTCAACACGGCCACCGTTGAGTTTAAGAAGTGTATCCTTTCGACCCATGTGCTCCACCGTTCCATCGTGGCGATACCGACCCAGATCACCAGACCGATAAATGCGAGAGGTTTGTGCTCGCGACGGGTGGAGATCCGCAATCCACCGAGGGACTGTGCTGAGGAATCCCACATCAGGTTTCTGGCAGAGGTCATCCAAGTACCCACGGGCGAGGTGGGGTCCTTCAATCAAAATCTCGCCTACAGCGCCGACGGGCACTGGCCGCTCAGGTGAGGAAGGATTCGCAATCCAGATGGCACCGCTACCGGATTTGCCGACAACGGCATTATGGCCTGCCTTCGGGTTATCGTTGTACGCGCAGAAGGTGGCCGCCTCGCCCATTCCGTACTGATTTACAAGCTTCACATGAGGGCCCCATTTCATGAGGAGATCATTCGACATGGGCTCGCCGCCGACACAAAGTAGCTCCAGCGATGGGACGTCTTTGGGACTGAGTTGGATGGCAATTGTTGGAGTCATGAAGCTCATATTGGCGTTTGTGATATTGACATTTTCAATTAGACCAGAGATGGTTTTTTCGGGTGTGGGAACGCAACAACAGCCACCGGCAGCCAAAGCTGTCAGGTAATCATTGTTACTGATGTCAAATGCATAGTCATCGAACTGAAATACACGGCTGTGTCGGCCTAGACCAAGGACCTTGTTATAATCACGGATTGCTGTGGCATAGGACCGATGTTCCTGGATGATGCCCTTAGGCTGGCCGGTGCTCCCGGAGGTGAATAGAATCAGACAGGCATTTTCCGGTTGGACTGTGGAAGATAGCGGTCCAGTGGGAAGCTCTTTCAGCATATCTCCTGTAATCGAAATGACGTTCGAAACAAGTGAGGCATATTTTGACGCATACTCAGGGGACGTGAGCATGACTTTAGCGTTAACACGATTGATAACCGAGTCGAGGAAAATGGGAGGGTCGCTAGCGTCGATGGATATATACGCGCCGCCGGCTTTCAAGATAGCCAGACGGGCAATAATCGCCCAAGATGACTTTTCAAAACAGCTGAGCACGAATGTTTCAGGACCAACGCCAATATTGGTCAAGTGAAGAGCAAGACGAGATGTGAGATCATCCAACTCTCTATAGGTGAAATTTCCATCCCACGAACAGATTGCAGGAGCGTCCGGGGTCAGGCGTGCATGCTCCAGTGCCATGTCATGTAACAAGGCCTCGTGAGAGTCCGAAACCTCCCTCGTAAACTTTTGCACTAGAATGAGGTCAAGATCTGAGCATAGATCAAGGTCGCCTAAAGAAGTTTCGGGGGAACGGTATATGGATGCGACGACCTTGTTCAAGGAGTGAAGAAGGCTTGTTGCGAATTGTTTGGACATCTCAGGGGATGAGAAGGCAAGACTCGCGTGCAGCTTGCCATTGTCGTTTGTCACATTGAGCATCAGCTTTGGATTGGGGATCTAGACCAAGACGAGGTCAGCTTTGCTAGGGGATGTGAAGGGGATGAATCAGCTCAGGTAAACAGTACATTTGAATTGGCAGACAAAGGTGCTTTTTGCAAATTCGGATGGTCACCAGCATAGCGGACAGCCGAGGTGAGCAGGTGATTCCTGTCATCGGAAGCCCACCCTTCGTCAGGGCCAGTCGAGTGGACGCCTGCCTTGATACAACAGAAATCTCGGACGAGATCCTTCAATGGACGCTCCAGGGAAAATTCAAGAGCGTATGAATCGGTCCCCTGAGATTTGCCATCTATATAGCACAGATTTGACCCAGGGTGGAACTCTAGGTACATGGTTCTCACAGGAGAGAAACCACGTATCACAAGCAACCAGCAAACAACGAGCACCGACTCGATGTCAAAGCCCTGAGCCAATTCCGGATCCAAGTATTCCGAGTATTGGGAGTTTGCAGCCTCAAGTATATGAGATTCGCAAAGAGTAAGTGGAAGATCGACGGATTCTTGTGGGATCTGAGAGGGAGCTTTCTTGGGTAGCTTCAAGGCATTGATGGGTATAATAGAAGACCCATGCTCAAGAGTTGCGATTGAGGGCGCCATGATGAAGGATAATGAATGAAAGTAGGAGAAGTCTGATAGAATTCAGGATACGTATCACCACGAGGTGTGTTCCAAGGTCATATAAATAGATAATTGAATTCAAGTGAATTTACGCAGTAGGGACAGGGGTATTACAACAGTTCAGCTTCTTCTACACTCTCAGCGAATATATTTTCATGGATCATGCATATTATTGAAAGTACGGAGTAGATGCAGCTGGATTCTACATACGAAGTACTCCGTATATAATTTGGTGACCGACAATACACCCATGTACAGTTTCCTTTCTTTTTATTTTTGGCTTAAGGAACTGTGCAACGCCAAGCAGTGGAAAAAATCCCGATATTTCCGTTGTATCATCAATTTATATGTTTATTGGTTATTCCAGCTGTACACCTGCACACCTGCACACCCTTGTCTTCAGCTCCTCATAAGTCGGACTATCCTCGCCATCTCCATTTCTTCGTTTATTATTCCCATTCTTGCATTTGTCGACTAAACATATCACGAAATTTCAACAGTCATCATGGGCGTTCAAAAAATATTTACTAGGAAAACAAGATCCTCTAGTACTTTTATACTAGTGGCTCTATGTTTTGCGCTGTTCACGGTAGGTGGTCTTGAAATGGAACTTTGGGTCTCACGAACTAAGCTCGAAAACACTCTTGCAATAGGACACTTTTGTTTATGGCATTGTAAGTAATTCTCACCCATCTTAAGATATGACAGCAGCCCAGGAAAATCCATGAAGTAGCTGATACGACCTCCTAGATTATACCCATTCTGCCTTTCTTGTTGATGGGCCATGGCAATATGGCTTCAAAGGACGGTAATTTTTAATCTATATCTCCATGACTTCGAACGCCCTGTTGACTGACTGCTACTAGTTCAAAAGTGGTCCTCCGTTTTATTGGCGAGTTATGGGTTTGCTCTTTTACTTGGCTCTCGTCGGTATATCTCAAACCAATCCATCGTGCATATGCTAATAATTGAGTTACAGCTGTCGTGGGTTATTTTTGCGACAAGTATCACACTCGGAAAGCACCACTCGTTTGTGGTTTCATCGCCATGGCCCTAGCGACCGTCCTATTCATCTCTGCAAGTAATGTTTGGGTGCTGCTCGTGGCTCGGGTATGTCAGGGTCTCTCAGGCGCGGTTGTGGGAGTTTTAGGCTTGAGCATGATCGCCGAAACATCCAGTCCGGAACATTTGGGTTCACATATGGCTTGCGGGTCGGCGTCATTGACATGGGGAATACTCTGTGGCCCTATGACTGGTGGTTTCCTGTAGGTTGATTTGGCATCCCTATCCCATTGATAACCTCAATGTCTAAGAAAGCAGCTTTTCCCAATTTGGCACTGTTGGTGCGTTTGGGGTCCCAATGGCACTGCTTATGATTGACATTATTCTGCGAATGTCGATTGTACAGAAGGATGAAGGTCTGTCACGGTTCATTTTTCATATTCCTAGATACTAACTAAAAGAAAAACAGATGAAACCAAAAACCATCCCCAAGAGGATTCTCCTCTCTTGGAAAACGATATTTCTGGCCATACTTCGTTGAGCTTTTTCCATTTCTTGCATCCAATCATGCTGGGTCTGGTGTTTTCTGTCCTCGTCATTTCTTCTATTTTATCTGCCATTGAAACGGTACCTTACATTTCCTACAGTATAAGGAAGAGCCCAGCTGACGGAGATGCAGACGCTTCCACTGTATGTGCTCGACACATACAATTGGTCAAGTCTGGGCGCGGGACTCGTATTCCTCCCATTGACGATACCTTCCGTCCTCGGTATTTCAATTACCCACTTTGTAAGGCATTGTATGCCACGAACGGTTGTGGTGACTGGGTTCTTTGTGATGACAGTACCCATGGTATCACTGCGGTGGACTCAAGCAAACACGATCCACCATGAAATCGCCATTATTTCCTTGCTCTCCATCGTGGGAGCCTGTCTCACAACAGTGCAAGCGATTATTATGGGAGATGTCTCTAATGCAGTCCGGAGGATTGAAAGTCTTCACGGGATCACGGAAGAGAAAAGCAGCGGACTGGGCCGGGGGTATGCACTTTGTAACATGGCGTTTGCTGCCGGTCAAACGCTTGGGCCGATGGCTGGTGGATTCATAAAACGTGAATTAGGCTGGGGATTTATGACGCTATTCCTTGGGATTCTATGTTTGGTTGCTGGCCTTTCGTCATTATTTTCCATGTCGGCAGCCCCGCCTAAAGCCGACAAGAGCAAGGTCAACGATAATGAATGTTGAGTGTGCTTTGTGCTAAAATTATGTATATGGTTGTATACTTAGCAATAGGTGAAAAACTGGATATGGCTACGTTTTAAGACCAGATATGAGACGGGCAACGAGAAAGGATCATGATATACTTCACTGGTAGATACATGATTTATACTGCAGGTGATTATATTAACAGCAATGTTATGTTCGTAAAATTGCGATTATGACAGAGATGATTTTCTGTACCTTGCAGATCTCCGTATCCTACTTGACTGCATGAACGCCGGGGTAGCAAGGCTATTGTTTTTAATTTTGTAAGCAGAATGAGAGGATAGATTTCGATTTGGAAACTAAATCATGCAGATACGAACTGAACTCATCCAACAGTGGTGGATCACAGCTGACGAGTGAAATGCCATATCCAAGTATCTCGCTAGATGCTCTGTTATTCTGTGGTGATACCTGTGCAGAATCAGCCACATATTTGCCTCGCAATGTGACAAGTTCCAATTCAACTTCATTCTTTCCAGGTTGTTTTCAGCTGCCAACTCGGCCCAGTGTACTATTAGCCATCACCCCACTTATATGCACGGCTGACCATCACATCACCTGTCAGCCAGCCATCATCGACCAACGAAAATACGCCTAAGGTTTCTAGTATACTCCGCATGTATGTGGCTATCATGGCGAAAATGGGTTCATAACGATGCATTGTGGGTGTCTGGAACGTGTTCGTTCATGTATAAAGCCCCGGCCAAGAATCCACACTACCCGCCTGCATAGCCAAGTGTCAGGCAAAATACTTGCTTTTAGTTGACCACAAAAGTTCCTAACTTGATTCTTCCCCTGGTACTGATGCCTAAATTTGCCACCTAGCTCTGATCCCAGATAGGTTTCAATTACATGTAGCAAGCTCCTAGCTAAAAACCAGCTAGAAACCCTGTGAGGTAAGTACGCCATATGCTTTGACAAGTCATTAGCGGAAACTACAATTGCTATTTGCCATTTAACTCATCTTTGAAAAAGATATTATCAAGCCGGGCTTTTACTAACGTATTGTAGCTACTAGTTAGTGGTTTTTGTTTCCGAGAAATACCAAACTGTCTGAATTCATACATACATACACTTCTTAGTTATATCACAATGCCTCCACTCTCTCTACCTCATGCACAACGGTCTCTAGCAATTCCATTCCAGGTAATTTAAAGCTGATGGGTCTTGGGGATTTAGCCTGATTTAGTTGGGTGTCCGCGATATTGCATAGCCGCTCCCAGGATCGCTTTCCCCTCTCTGCATGTAGCGCCGGTGTCCGGTGATCACTGTCAGCCAATGAACGCGAGAAGACCTCATACGCAAGGTATCCCGTCCATCCGAGATCGAGGATGGCCTTTAGTATGCTGAGGACAGGCAAGAAGCCACCACGCTCGGGCTCACAAAGGAAAAGCCGACAGTTTCGGGACCAGCTCAGTCGACTGGGCTGGCCGGCAACATAGAAAGGGTGGCCCGTGTGGAGTGGCTGGCTGAGACGCTCCCCGTCGGCTACCTGGACGATAAACAGCTTGCTGACATCCAAAGTAGAAGCCATGCGGCCCAGTGAGGCTGACAGATCGGCCTCGGCCGTGTCCGCAACGCGACCGTCCTCTGTAGTTGGATCGGCGTAGATGGCGCCGGCAATGTTGAACGTATCCAGAGCGAGGCCTAGATTTGGGCGATTGACTGCCTGTACGATTTCCCAGGACTTTTCCCACGTGTTGACATGCGTGCCCCAAGCAAGTGCCTCGTAGGCAAATTTTATGGAGTGTTCATGTTGGGCGCCTCGTGCCGCCAGTTCACGGAGATCTTCGACGATAATGTCAAAGTCGCCAACTGTCTGAGGAAGCCCAGTCCCAGGGTCTTCGGGGAGGAAGTTTGAGGGCACCAGAATAGTGTCTGCACCGAGGATCTTGAGTGCGTCCATCCATATGGGAAGCACCTCGTCTAGGATTTGGTTGCGCTTTTTGCGATCAACCAGGCCCTCGTAGAAGCGCAGAGGCTGGAGGTTGAGAATGACAATGTTTAACCTGTCACACTGCTGGCGAATCTGATGGGCAGCAGCTAATACAGAGTCACGAGAAGGGGCATGGGTGGCAGGTGCAGGGCTGATATCTCTGGCGAGGGACTCAAGGTCATCGATGAAGAGTTCGATCGCCTTGAATCCATTTCGTGCGGCTTCGTCAATTTTGACGGTGATGCTGTGAAACTTGCACGACCCAAGGGAGACTGTTGTGATAGCTGGCTGACAATCCATCTTGAAAATTGAAATGAAAAGTTCAAAGCGAAAGAGTTGTCGAATGAATAAGGTGGTAAACAAATTATATAAATAGGGCAATGCACATATATACAACAGCTCGCTAATATGGACCAGGATGTAGTCGTTATCAACCCAAGGGGTCAATGTGAATGTTCAAGACGGACGATCGTATCCCGATGCAGTAATGATCGATCTTCCCCAGTTGTGTTACAAATTCTCATCATTCAGCACAGGCATACGGAGTACTCCGTATAGTGTGTGGATTTTGCGTAAGAAGATCATGCAGCTGGCATCACACATGAGCAGTGGCGCGCTGAGTTCAGAGACATTGATCGACAACAGGTACTATAGGAAGAAGCAAAGAGCTCTATATGATGTGACCGAGGATTCCATCTACGAGATATGTAGTTCTCTCTATATATTACATGGTAATTTTACCCGAGTTTCCTTAATCGGATCTATCTTATCCCTCATGATTAGAAATTGGCACAAGCTTCAAACATGGCGTAGGTGATAGGAGAAATGATCTCTGATATATAACTATCTAATACTTCTCACTCTTACTCTTTATATCGATAGACGAATGTAATCGTAAGTCCTAATATTAATAGTGGATTTTAGAAGATACGACTAAATCCTTAGTCGAATATAGTTCGAGAAACGCAGTAGTCGGATTTATACCGCGAATTGTCTCAGCAAATCGTATGATTGAAAATGTGACCGCTTTCATTTAGCCTCGGATAGTTTGAGGAGTTGGTTTAGTCTATGATCGTCTCGATAACGTTCTAGAGTCTCTGCTTTCCAAGCTTCCCAGTTTGAATCCCCGTCAATGCCTAATATCTTGAGCAGCCTGAAAAAGAGCCCAATGAATCCATCCCAATCATCAAGGTAATATCCACAACAGAATTGGATTCAATGAAGAAGTCTGGGGGGGCGAAGCCCGACGTATATAAGCCGAGTGAGGCTACCCAAGCTGAGGTTTGTTCACTTGATGAACAAGAGGTGAAGTACGGAGTATGGAACTAGAATAGTTCCATTAGAAGGTGATTGGACAACTTTTTGGAAGAGGGCGCCCCCGCTCTCTACTATAACATTGCCCCAAAAAGTTGAGACTTGAGACTCAACGTAATTCCCCCTTTGGGGGAATTTGGGATACCGGGAGGGGCCCGCAGAGGGCGGGAGGGACCCCCGGCCATTGGCCGGATAGTGCGTAAGCACTCCCGAAGGGGTTAGTACCGGGTAACGGTACGGTATTGCCACCCGATAGGGGCGGTCAAAAACTGACCGCTGCCCAATGAGGCGATTCTTGGCATGAGACTCGAGACTGAGGTAAATTACCCGATAGAGTAATTCTTGGCACGATGTACCAAGTCACATTGTATTTGACGTAGTATATAAGGGGACTGTTGTCCCCTGTTGTTTTAACTCAGTTAAACAATCTTTTGGATAACAAAAATGGCATACAAGTATTCGAAGAAACCAGCAGCCCGAAAGGGCAAGGGCGGCTATCGCCGCCGTCCTGCTAAAGGTGGCTATGCCAAATCTACCTCGAAGAGTCTCGACAAGTATGTCGAAGCCAAGGTGAAGCAAGCTGTTAAGCAGGCGAGTCGTGGACCGCCTCGTTCTGTCCCGGTGCAGTTGATACCTGCACATTTCGATAGAAATCATGAAGTACCTTCGGTACAAATCCAGGACCAATGGACGAGTTACTTCCAGGGACCGTCCTCTGTTCGCAAGTATGCGATCTTACCGATCTCTGAGTTGGTTCCAACTCAGCGGCCTGTTGCTGGTGAAGCCGATGACCGTTTTCAGTCTCTCCACACGGTGTTTGTCAAGGGAGTGTCCCTCCGTATGACAATTAATCATGCCGAAGGTGTTCGGCTTCTCGTTTTTGCGTTCCGCAATGGAATGCGGCGTGATGTCACGCCGTCGAGTGGTACTCGACCGTTCGTGGATCGTGCCACGATCTCGGATCCGCCTGTGAAAGGACGACCGGTGTCGGAGGTCGTGTTTGATGTTATGAGCAAAGAGCAGCTCATGGGAATGGAAGGCTGTGGAAAGCACGCGTTCAGAAATCTCGGAGTTCACGACGGTCCTTTTGCCGTTACGCGGCAACTCAATGGAAATTTTGAGTGGAAGGGTACAGACTTGTCGGCTTTTACAAGCCGATTTAGCAAAGACGAAGGTCGCCCTGTTGGCACGGTCTATGCGAAGCTTGATGGAGGAGTTAGCAAGGCGCATGGGAAAACATTCAAAGGAATGTTTGGTAGTTCTTCTCATGGACAGAACCCGAATGTGTCGGGTTGGATTGGTACCCGGACTAGGCAAGTTGAGTTTTTTATTAAGCTCAATCATCGTGAGAAGTTCGCTTTGTCGAACGGGTCGTTGTCTGTCAATGAACGGCCATTGGAACTGTTTATAGGATTTGATACGCCTGGGTCGATGCATGCGGCATCGCATACTCGTAAGGATGTTGCTTCTGGAGCAATCATGGCCATGGATATGGAAGTGTATTACGAGTGATATATGAATATATATATTTCCAACATCTAATGTTGATATGAAAAAAAAGGGGGGCCCCAGGCTCTGCCTGGGGGCGAAGCCCGATCGTACTGAGAGTGTAAATGCTACGCAACGTGATGTTCAATTATGTGTTAATTGAGATAGGAAAACTACAGTTTACCCAAGGTGATGTTCGATCAGGTAGTGATCGAGGGATATTGTGATTGGCTAACTTTTTGGATCCACCGGATATATAACATTGCCCCAAAAAGTTGAGACTTGAGACTCAACATAATTCCCCTTTTGGGGGAATTTTGGGAACCGGAGGGGCCCGTGAGTAAACGGGAGGATCTGCCGGCCATTGCGGCCACCGGAAGAAGTACAATAGGCGAATTGAAGGCAGCTGATTTCGAAACTGTCTGCGCCCATTCCCAGTCACTAATGGCTGTTATATTGAAGTCGCTGTCAACGAGGATCTGATCCCCCTTTTCGTCCGCATGTTTCAAGTAGAACATCCCATCGTCAAGGTCGTTTTTGGAAAGGATTTTAGGGACGGTTTCTAGGAGGAAACGGCTATATTCGATATTTTACGGCCAACACTAATACTAGGGGCAAATATCTGAAAAGACTACTGAAAAGACTGCTAAATAGCCCTAATAAGGCTATAAAACTTCAATATGATGTCTGCCATGTATAGATATTCATTCATCAATCATATTCTCATTAGAGTATACAGCTATAATAGCGAAATCACGCTCAACATAGACTAAAAGATTCCACCTTCGAAATCAACCAATTCTTCAAACGCCTCCATCCCACTTCCACTATCATGACCATTGCTTCCACTACTATCCGCATTCCAATTCCAATTCCCATTAGACCCCTTCTCCCTCCACTCCATCACTCTCTCAAAAGAATTCCCATCGGGCCACTCACTCAAATCAATCCCCAACCCAGGCGCAATCTTCCTAACAATCCCATCACAAAGCAGGAAAGCCCTCCGCGCCGCCGGATCCACAGAAGCAGTAGTATGAAGCCAAGCGAGCGCCTTCCTCGCCGTGACAACAACCGTACCCATTTCCTTCTCCAGCAGCGGCGGGTACACCTTGGTCTGAGACATTGACGGCGTAGCAGGCGAGAGGAGCGGATTTGCGCGATCCGGACTGGCAGACGTATTCGCGCTAGAACAGTACGACAAACCCAGCAATAGAGCGGTCGTCGCCTGCATCAGGAAATGCAGGATACTCCACCAGGGCGCGGCGCGGGCCAGCCAAGCCATGTTCGGGTCGTCTGGGAGGATAGAAATAAGCGTGCAGGAAGCTTGCAGACAATGTGTAGCCATTTCAGACCGGAGTTTTCCGCGCGCGGTGTGTTCGACGGTTGGCGTGGTGTGGCGCAGGGATTGGTGGATGTGGCTTAGACATGGTCTGCAGAGGGTTATGCGGGCGGAGTAGTAGTTCATTGCTAGACAGACGCGTTCGCGGACGAAGGGGGCAGAGAGGTCGTTTAGTTTTGTGTGGTTTAGGTGCCAGGGATCTGTGTTTGGGAGGGTGAATTGGTAGAATTGGGGAAGTTTTGAGAGCCAGCGGTCCATTTGCAGGCTGAATTTCTGGACGTGGTATTCAACTTGGCTGGGGCCTTTGCGGAGGCCTTCGATGCTGTAGACTCTGTTCATGAGGGCGTGGGTTGTGAGGGTTAGGTCGACGAGGAAGTTGAAGAAGAGGGATGGGCAGGGTGGGCAAGTGGTCACCCAAGAGGGGGAGTGGTATTGGGTAGGGGATTCGAAGATGGTGGGGCGGAGTTGGGCTTCGCGGAGGGCGGGATTTTGCAAGAGGCGCTTGGCGTCGGGTTGGTCGAAGGTTTCTTCATCGTAGGGGAGGGGTGCAGGAACAGAGCAGAGGCCTTCGCCGACACAGGAGGCGCGGCCCGTCATGGAGGCTAGGAGGTGCTCGAGGGAGTAGATGGACCACCAGAGGCGGCCGCGGGTTTCTTTGGCGGCGTCTTTGGTGCGGTCATCTGTTAGGCGGAGGTTGATGCCGAGGGATAGGGCTGAGCGGAGGGCCATGTTGGAGAATTTGGATGCTCTGGAGGGGATGGTGAGTTAGTATAATGCTGGGGGTTGGAGAAATGTGACCTACCGGTTGACCTGTCCCAGACAAAGCAGGTAAACTGCTACGAGGAGTTCGAGTTGGATCTGCTGGAGATCGGTGTGCTCGAATAGCACAGTGCTGTGCAGACCGAGATGGCGCGCCCGGGTTAGGTACAGCAGATCTTCGTCTTCCTCGCCGGTGCTTTGTGGGTCCTCTATGAGTCGACAGTAGCGACAACCAATAGCAAAGATCATGTTCAGAATGGCCAGCCACTTCCGAGGCGGATTCGATGCATTGTTGAAGAACTTCTGATACTGGGAGATAAAGATCATCTTCCGAATTGCACTGAATGTCGGATGAACGTTGGTCAGGTAGGCATCGAAGTATCGATCTGCCAATTCCCGGGGGGCACAGCCAATAAGTCGCATGGCTCAATTAACGGAATATCCAGGCTGTCGAGATGATAATCCATCATAGAAGTGGGAATTTGCCTTTCTAATGCCTGCTGCTGCTGCTGAATAGAGGCTGGGTCACGATGACTCTCCATGTAGAAAGAATTCGGGACATGTTCCTGGGCACTCTTCACACCAACGCCGCTCTCCAGCTTTCGAATCCAATTGATTTCTGAATTCTTCCCAAAGAAGCCCGCGGCACGGGTGTCTTCGTTTCGATTTAGATCTTCGTCAACCTGGTCGATAGCATCGAGTGAGCCCATAGAGGTCGAGGAACCTTCTGAGTCGGCATCGTTTCGAGGGTTTCTAGGGTTTCTAGAAGTTTTCCCACTTTTGGACTTTGACAACTGGCAAACGGTGAGATTCTGAACTCGGCACTCAAATCATAAGGTCCGAGTCGCGGGCGAGACCCGGGACTTCATTTGACATTGACTGGGCTTACCTTCAATGCTTTTTTAATCTTTCGAGCCGTGGGGAGGTCCACCTCGGCTTCAAGCTCTCGAAGAAGAGCTTCGTATGCCTCCACTCGCTTGACTAAGCAACCCATTCGTTTCTGGTCGCGCACTCGTTTGACGTCTTCGTAGGAGCAGCTATGATTGTGGTATGCACATTGTCCGCACGATGGCCGGATACCATCACATTTGATCTTGCGCTGACGACAGGGCTCGCAAGCCCGCGCTGACCGTCGGCGCCCATGCGAAAAGGTGTCGGAACCGGCTAGGCGAGGGATGGCTACCTTGGGTGCGGTACTCCCTGTAGCTGCTGACGGGGCGGGCGTATACTCTGACAAGGCTTGGGCGGGCGCTTGAATTGGCGATAAGGGGATAGGCGTAGGATAAGGCTGTTGAGGTGTAGATCCAGCATTCACTGATGGTATCCAGTCGTAATCCTCAAAATTTCCGTCATCTTGATTCTCATAATTTTGCATATTCAATTTATCGATATTATCGACATTGATATATATTACTGGGGTTGTTGGAGGGGAGAGGTTACAAGGGGGAAAGGGCTCAACATATGTTGTCTAGGGGCAAAAACAATTCAAACAGAAACAGGAAAACAGGGATTGGAGATTTCTTTCCCAATGGTAACTGTGAAATATCTCATCATGGACCACAGAGGGGAGAGGTTACAAGGTGAAAAGGGCTCAACATATGTTGTCCAGGGGCAAAAACAATTCAAACAGAAACAGGAAAACAGGGATTGGAGATTTCGTTCCCAATGGTAACTTCTCATCATATGGACCAAAGTGGACCAAAGTGGACCAACGTGGAGAAGATATTCCCATTGCCACTTGGCGGGTCGATGAACTTGCTGGTTTGACGTCAGACAATATCTCAATCCCAGCCAACTTCCAGTCAACCCACCTATAAGCCACCTATTAACTCTTGGTCACCTGGCGATATCCCCCTAATTCACTACGACTTGTCGGTAACTGTTTCATTTCATGGAATCCTCGTTTGTGTCACCAGGTAGAGCTCCCTGAGCTCATCTGGATCTATATCTCCGGAGCAGATCCATAGAACCATTGTCGCCACTTAGTTAAGGCAAAATGTACCTGGACACATATGACGATGATGACGAATATGACGATGATGACGACGAACAGTACATTGTATGTTGTATATGTGTCCATCATTTCCCCTCAACATCCAACAGGCCGATACCTCTCAACCAAAACATCATCCTTCCCAAGACTAAGACTCTCATACCGATCCAACATATCCGAAAGTCCAAGTCCAGGATAATCCTGCAACCCCTTCCCATCCCCCTCCCCAATCCCATGATACTTATCCTTCTGGTTCAACTTCTCAAGCCCCTCAGCATACTCATCAAACCGACTACATCCCCTTTCCTTCGAAGCCTCATCAAATAAATCCTTCAACTCATCCGGCACAGAACTTGCCTCCCGAATCCGATACCCCTGCGCCTTGGCCCTGACCGACTGTCGGAAAATATGGAATAGATTCCTCCCCAGCGCAGACCGACTGGCAACAACCGAGAACGCACTTGTAAGAGTGAGGAAATCCTCATCCAATACATCGAACGACTCTTGCTCGAGCATCGTAAACAGCGCCAGGTTGATCGCGTACATCGCGAACTGGTGCGCACGACTAACCCCGAACTCGCGTCTGTGCAGACGCGTCAGGGCGGCGATCCCGCGCGCCGCGCTCTGCGTGACTTCCCCTGCATTGTATTTTCTCTCCGGGGTGTGGCGCGGCGGGCTTTCGGGTGTTTTAGGCTCGAAGGGTATGGGTGGGACTTCGTCTTCGGAGATGCAGCTGAAGAGGTTTATGATGAGGGCGTTGTAGCGCATTCTGTGTGGATGAGTATTTTGCTTTTGCTTTTGTATAGGAGACGGTAAGAACGACGGATTTACTCACTTCAGTAAGATGATATGCGGAGCTGGCCTGTACCGCACATCAAAGTCCTCCGGGAGAAGATCGTGCCAGCGACGAATACGGTCGTATAGATCCTCGCGGCTCTGGCGGTGGATGGGGCCGAGGTCGGTGTTGCTCCTGTGGTCTGCGAACATGCTGCGCGAGATATCGCGCGCAATCGTCGACAAGTTGCATGCTTCATCGAAGTACTGACTGAAGAATGACGGGCGCGGGTCGCGATGCGTTGGGTATGACTGCCAGAGGGCTTGGTCTTCGGACTGGTTGATATCCAGACGGGCCATATTGACGTGGTCGATGAGGCTTGGGCGGAGGAAGGATGTGTGGACCATTCTGCGGATGTGAATGTGAGTTCGAGGGGTGAGTGATAAGAGTATCAGCAGGGTTCACTTACGTGTCGACGTTGAACAGACCCCAGGCTGTGCGCTTGCATGAGATATCCATGTCCTGGGATAACTCGCCCGATGCCATTCTAGGTCCTGTGCTGCCGACCAGGCCCAATGCCTCGCCCATTCGGATAGCCTCATGCAGCATGATATAGCCCAGGTCGTCTTCTCGGGACATCGCATATCTGTCTGTGTCAGAACAGCCCAGGACACAGGACAAAGATGTTTATACAAACCTCTCATACATCAGCAACGTCCCCTGCAAACCCGCCAAACTAGGCTGCGAACTCTCCTCAGCCCTCAACCTCTCTGCCTCAGCAAGGAAATCACACCCTTTCGAAGAGATATCACCAGGAACGACGTAAGCCTCGGAGAACTCAGAGAAGTACTAAACAAACCAATCAGCAACCGAGCCAACACCAACACACCTCCAACACTCAACGAAACGAAACGAAAAAAGGAAAAAGAAAAAAAACCCACACAAGCATTACTGAGCACCGCATTAACCAAAAACGGGCTACAAAACTCAGACCCCAAGACTCCCTTGGCCATATGCCTAACAAAAACCCCCTTATCCAAAACCGTGGTGAACGGCCAATCCCAGGCAAAGTACAACGAAACAAGATGCGACACCAGATCCGCATCTGCCGTAACCCTCGTCCACGGCTTCGCAGGGACCTCACAAGGCGCGGAATCACACAGGTAATGTATATCCATAACCTTCCTTCTGAAAGTAGGACCCGTACCCTCGACATTGATAAGCTGGCGCATATCTTCCAGCTTAGCAACAGTTTCCTGCTTGTGGGCTGTTGATGTTGTTGTTGGTGTTGATGGGGAGGTGAGGGAAGCGAGTGTTTCGTTTATATAGGCGCGGATTTCATCTGCGGGTGCATTGTGCCGGATTATTGTCAGGAGGTGCAAAGCGTCTGATTCGTTTGCTTCGCGGACGAGCTTGAAGAGGTCTGAGAGGAGGTCACGGTGGTAGGAGAGTTCGTCTGCTGTGCGTTTTGCGGCTACGCGTCGGCGTTGGTCGAGGGATTCGTCGAAGATGCAGACTCTTTTGAAGGTTTGGCAGTTTGTGCAGGGGGATGTGCCGGAGCACTGGGTTGTTAGTTTGGGTTATGATGTAGATGTAGATGTGGATGTAGATGGGATATAAATGTAGAGTAGGTGTAGTTAGTTTATAATCTCACCTTCCTCTTCGACTTCTTACAAGCCAGACAAGCAGTTGAAACCCTCTTCTTCCACCTCCCAGAACCCTTCCCTTCTTCGGCAGGTGGACTACCATTTTCAGTGTCATGTTCATGGTAGTTTTCCTGGTCATGGTCATGGTCATCCTCCGAATGCGAGGGACCTGGTACAAGACGACGGTAACGCTCACTCATATTCCGACATGAGCAGCTGAATTTCGGTATGTTTTTGGTTTTGTGTTTTCTTTTAAAATGCAAAATGGAAAATGTAATATATAAACAATAACCGTCCAAATATGTGAAGAAACGTACGTAAAAAAAAAGAATATGTAAAAAGGCGTGAGATATACAGTCGAATATGTACTGTTGACAATATACAAGAAAAAAAACACAAAATTGAACTGTACAAAATCAGGAATGCATATTGTGCAAGGAATATCCCGTTCGAATGATTGTAGGACGATAACACCTGAGAGGTTCTGAACAGGGTTTAGTAGCGCAAATGGGCTTGTTTTGCCGCGAATGACGTTGTGACGATATCATGGGGAACTTTTCCCCGCCTATTATTATCGGAGTTTATTTGCCTTAAGGCAATGGCGTTTTTGTGTCTGGAATTTGTTGCTTGGGTTTGAAGCTTGGGTGTCGTGATATCGAGGCTGAATGAGTGTTTCGGGGTTGTACCGTTGGGGATATATATCGAGTTGGTAGCTGGGGAAGAAAGAACCGAGATACGACTATACAGCTACAACTACATATATATGTAGGTCTCTATCTACTACGTACACGTAGGAAAAGAGGTTGAACTGGCATGCATTGAGAATGGTGAGCAACATCACAGTACTTGGTAATTAAAGTCAGGTCTAGACTAAAAACAACCCAATAAGAAAGAAAGAAAAAAGACGCTGGATTATTGTAATGTAATACAAGTACTTATTTTGCATACTCCATGGAATCCATAGCCTCGGATGCACCAGTTGAAACGAGAAAAGTCAAACACTGCGGATCTGCAAGCCCAAGCCAAGAAGACAGAAGAATCAGACGAAAACATCTAGTGCTCGAGAATTCTCAGGCTACCCTGCACAACACAGTTCTCAAGGACGGATCCAGGGGGAATGTCAATGGTGCTGCCCTCGGAAGCGACAATGATAACGGTTCCCTTGAGGGTGACGTTGCGGCCGAGATTAACAGGTCCGGTGATAGTAAGGTGGTCCAGCTCGACGATGCGAGGAATACTGGTAATGCGCTTCTGGAAGTCGGAGACCTTCTTGAAGTCGGAACCGAGCTTGATGACGGGGACACCACCGAAACGGTTGGGGTCCATGACCAGCTGGCCGTGCTCGAGACGGTACAGGTCAGACTTGACGACCATCAGATCGGAGCAGGTCTTGACGGGCAAGAAGCGGCGACGGGGCACGTTGACACCGTGGGCGTTCTTGAAGTGGCGGATGGCGGCACCGACAGCGGTCTCCAGCTGGTAGATAGCCTGATCGGCCTCACCCTTCTTATCGGCGGGAATGGACTTCTCGTTAGGGATGATCTCCATTTCCAACTCGTTCTCCTCAACGACACGCTTGATAGCCTGGACGTTGAGCCAGATGTTGTTGGTGTTGAAGTACTTGAACTTCTTGATGGACTTGAACTCGTTGACGTGCTCCTTGGGCACCTGGGCAATCTCGAGCAGGCGGACCTTGCCGTCGGAATCGATAATGGTACCACCCTTGACGTCGGCCTTGGTCTTATCGGTCAACTCCATGATGTACTCGGCCTGGGAGTCAACCATGTGCTGCAGGATGCGGAGATCAACCACGGCACCGAGGTTGTCGGCGTTGGACAGGAAGATGTACTCGATACCACGCTCGATCAGCTTGTCGAGAGTGCCGGAGTTGTACAGGGACTCGAAAACGTCACCGTGTCCGGGAGGGTACCAGTCCTGGAGGGGAGAGTCGAAGCTCTTGGGGGCGGGCAGGAGCGAATCCTTGATGATGCGGGGGTAGCGCGACTGGTTGAAGGTGATGATGTCGACGTTGTGGCCCTCGTACTTCTTGATAATGGACTGGGTGTCCTGATCGGTGTTGAAGGAGTTCATGAGGACGAAAGGCACGTTGACATTGAAGCTGCGGTTAAGGTGCTCAATCTGGCGCACGGAGAGATCGAGGAAGGACATGCCCTCACGGACCTCAATGACGGACTTGGGACCAACGCAACCCATGGAGGTACCGAGACCACCGTTCAGCTTGACAACGGCCAGCTTGTTCAGGAACTCGACGGAGGCGTCGGCACCGAGGTCATCGTAGCCAACAACCTGGGAAGGCTGGGGAGGAGCGATTTTGTCCCAGTTGACGGCGTTGCCCTTGGCCTTGTCGTTCAGGAAACGGCGGAACAGGGCGAAGAAGTTGTCCATCTCGGCCTCGAAACGCTTCTTCTCATTGGGATCAGTGACGCTGTCGCCGAGGGCGTTCAGGGCATTGCGCATTTGTGAGGCGGCGACGCTAGTGGAGGCATTCTCGAAAGCCTGGTTGGAAGTTTCACGGGTCAGCTCTGGACCAAATGGAGGCGCCAATGTAGCCATTGTAAGGAAATGAATAGAGACAATTGAATGAGGGGCTTCCCAGAATTCAAGTAGATTGGGTGATTTGACAGACGGAGCAAGGATAACAGTGTAGCGATGGTGGAAGATGGGGAGAAAAGAGGAACAAGTCTCAAGACGCGACGAAGAAAGCAGAAACAAAACAGCCCAGAAACAGCAAGAACGGCCAAAATGGCAAGAACGAAGCTTCAAAGATTCGGGGACTCGGAGATTCACCGCCCGAAGTGTTCACTTACCATGTGCGACTGCGACTTGCCATGGTGCTTTCCACCAAAGGCCTCGCTCTCGGGGGCCCGAAGGTGAGTGGGAAGAGCCTTGGAGCCCATTATGAGTTATTATGGGGATATGGATATGGAGAGGAAACTGGCTATTATAAAGGAAATATGAAGTCAGTGGCAGATTCAGAGGCAAAAATAGGGAAACGTGGCTCCTTTTAAGAAGCTCTTAAAGCTTTCAATGACCAAAAGACAAAAAGGAGGGGTTCATTATTGCCACTTGTCGATCCATTGGATGTCAAGCTGCCGTCATAGGCGGGTATTGAGGACAACTCACAGGTCAATTCCTAAGAACGGGGATAAAGAGGGGGAAAGAAGAGAGAGAAGTCCAGAGGATATAAGAGAAGGAAAGGAAAAAAGGGAGGATAGGGTGGGGGAGAGGAACCCCGTGATTTTATATTATTTGTGTTGCACGTTGGGACTGTTTAGGTGTTTACGTACATATTTAGACACTTTGACACTTTGACACTTAGACACTTAGACACTTATAAGATAATATTCATAGATAATATCCTAATTATCTGCATTCTCTACTATTCCTATTATTCCTCTCCCTATACCATTGCTATGCCATTGCTATTCCTCTTCCTATGTATTCTGTTGTCTTATCTCGCTCAGTCCTCCTTGCATCCCGATGTCGTCAGTTGCCAGCCACTGACATGCCCACGGGTTGGAGCTCGGAAACTAATACCTACATACACATTACTATTAAGCCTGTCAAGAGTAAAGTGACAGTTATACAGGATTACTATTCTAACCATTGACCATCAACTATACCCTTAGACCCCTAAACCCGGAGTACACAAGTCCACTGGTCAACAATCCAGACCCCTTTTCCTCTCTCCACCTTAAAAGACCTAGTCCCTACAAATAGGATTAAGCCCCACCAAAGACAAGCTCTCATCCTCCTTTTCGCCCTGTTTCTGGTTTGGTTTCAATGGTTTCACGTAAACTTGATTCGTTCCTAATTATATCAATGTTGTGCTATTCCAAGACGTTTGGAATAAATGCATAGTCTGGATGGTGTTCACATGACCTGTATATTGTGTGCAATATACAATAGAGCTAAGTCTGTAGTACGAAGTACTGTTTACTGAAATGTACTAGATGGACCTAGCTAGGTACATGGGAAAGCACAGAATTCAGGTAGAGTTTTTCTCTTTCGGCCCCCTATTATCATTGCTACAACAAACACAGACTCTAATTCTTCTAGACTAATTGCATCCCACCTGTGTATTTGCCCTAAACAAAAACCCGGTCCAAGTGGCAACAAGTGGGACAAGCAAATTATCCACCCCACCACGCCTCTTCCCTAAATTAATGAGGCTAATATACGGATCCCGTTGGATCTAAAAATAAGATATGAATTGTCCATATCTGACATCTCTCATATTCTCTATCTCTATCTCTATCATATCTACAATTATATCTACTCCGTACACTCTCAGTGCCACATATATATATATGGTACCTACAACAACATACTGAAGACTCTTAAGAGGCCTAAGCATCAAAGCGCAGATCACTCAGGGCTGTGCAGACCAAGTTTCGGGAAAAAACACTCGAGTTGAAAAGAACGGCCCGAGACCAATTTCCTTTTTTAATATAAAGAAGCCATGAGAATGCAACGCGCATACCATATCAAATGCGAATATAGCCTCTATTGCTTCGCCGGGAGCCCCTTTAAGATTCCAAAGTGAGACATTGGTCTTAGGTCTTAGACTCAGCCTTGTTTTCGGCTTTTTTGGGTGGCGCGAACTATTGATTCTCGACTATTTTTACCCGGCTATTTTCATTCTCCATGCTATGTGGTATATGTCTCAAAAAGACTCCGGGAGCCATCTCAACAATTGGAATTCATATTGATAGGGACGAGAAAAAAAAAACGAGAAAAAAAGGATATCACAACAAACGCAGAAAAAAACACCAATTAGTAACAAGCGAAAGCAATTCATATTTTCATATACTCTTCAGCCTAAACAGGCAAAGCAATTCCAAAGCGGATAATAAAAGTAAATAAGGGTGTGATTTAAACCCCGCTAACAGACCTCTTACTCAAGAAGCTGCGACGGGGCATCTTCCTCGAATCAGGACTCCCCGCACCCTCAGTGGGTTCGGGTGTACCAGCGGTCGAGTGCGATGTAGTAGGCCTCACGCCAGCATCTGAAAGCGCGAAGCTGGAACGAATGGTAACGACACCGTCGCCAACAGTGATAGCCTTATCCTGGCCGGCGACGGAACCCTGATCGTCAACGAAGAACGGCGCTTCGCCGAGGACATCGTCCGAGCCAAAGGTGGCATGGTCGACGACGCGGACCTGGTACTGGGCGTCG